TACAGCAGCCAGGGATGAAATTTAAGATATTTCTTCCGTGGAATTTCTTGAAGCCGTTGAACATATGAAACATCTTGGTGCTGAGATTACTCGCCTGTTAGATGAAGGCGATTGCCACGCCCTCCCTTTTCCAACTTTGGGGGATTTTCCGTACAATCTTGGACAGAATCAAGTCATCAGCGTTCCTGTTTGGTTTTACTTCGACAAGAAAAGACCCACCAAATGGAGTGATGGGGCGATCGTCACAGCGCCTGAAATATCGTAAGATTCCCATGATCAAGTGAAAGAACATCCTAATGACTCTTTGAAAGCTATTCTCTAAGCGGTTCGGGAAGAAAATTTGACGAGAAGATCACCGCATTGGCGTATGCCTTTGAGCAGGAAAAAATGGTTCAGCGCAGGGCAAGGCTGTCCGTCCAGACAGCCATTAACCTGCCTTTGATGAAATCAAGCAGTAGCTGCCTAATTTGACGAAGAAAATAACCATTTAATTTGACGGTTAAAACCGAGGCAGATGCCTAATCTAGGCCTTTCGAAGACGTAGTTATATGTAGTACTAATGATCATTCCCCAAGCATATTTTCCAAATTTCTTCTAGGAGCGTTGCTTCCCTTTATGAGTCGTGGCGCAGGGGATACCTTCAAGCAAGTTAGCACTGTGGCTCTAGAAATCGCGATTAAACTCTCGTCTTTGGCGATACTTACTCAAACTTGAGTGAGAACGATGGGGGAGCAGTCGTCGCCAGGAGTTTGACCGTCTTTACGGACAGCGCCAAGCTTAACAGTCTGGAAGAGCTCATCCAGTGGGCAGGCATAAAAGCTGCCGTGGGACCAGGTCAACTTGCCATTCTGCACAGAGAAGCCCGAGTCGCCGCTCTGGGAGCCATAGAGAACGTCACCTCTGCTGCCGATGTAGACTGGGAGATGTGAGCATTTTCCTAGACTTGTGGACGGAGGAGAATGCTGATGATTCTTACGCTTCTTGCCATCGGAGGTACTCAAGAACCCGTTACTAACGGTGAACTCGCTACCCTGGCTCTGGAACTCGACAGCACCGTTGGAAGCCCGAATTTGCTTCCCATTCTCGTGCAAGTAGCCGTCACCGCTGACAACAAACTTGGTAGCGGTAGCAGTTGCGGCAAGAGCGAGAATAAAAGAGGAGAGAGTGGTCTTCATCTTGATGACTGGCTGGGCTCGGTGAGTTGTAAAGAGTTGATTCTGATGGAACTCGGTAACCTGAAGGATACACGCATTCTTATAGACAGGATAGCTACCATGGTACTCGTAAAGAGGACCATGAGGTATTTGCTCAGAAGGGTTTCACACCAGTGAGAGTACCTTGATAATCTTCAATATCCACATTCAAAGTAGAGACGTGAGCTACTGACTCTATATCAATTCTTACCCGAAAGGGAGCTTTCACCGATAATGTTTGAGTACTAACAGGCATACCAAAGATACCTTAGAAGACTTATGCAGAGGAGGAATGGAAAGAACCGGATTCAAGTGATTGGATCTGAGCAAACCTATAGTTTGGCCAAGAATTTCGCTCAGGCAAGATTTGGGCGGCATGACAAGGTCTTTCGGAGTGAGTGATTGTCTTTGTCAATTTACGTATTTGAGGGCCGGTTTATCTTGTAGGCATTCTAGTTGCGCTTTGAAGATAGTGGAAACCCTTAGGCTCCTCTATAAGGCTAATTGTGTGAAAGAAATACACCGAGTCAGGGATTGTAGCCCTGGAAAGGCTTTGTTGGGAGCTAAATATCGGCGTCAGCACCTAGTAGTCGTGCAAACTTGGAATTATCTGCTACCTAGTATGGGACCCAGCTATATGACATGCTAAAATGACAGTATCGGTGTATTTCTTTGAAGGGTAAAGTTGACTTCCAAGGTTCACTGACATCCATGAGTCTTCCCTCGTGGGTCTCTATCTATACAATAACCAATAATCTCAGCACCATGCCCCACAGAGGGGGAATTTCTGGCGTGTGTATCTGGACGCGACTTGAGCTGAGGCACATGCCCATGGCGCTGATAGAACATGAAATCTGTTTCATGGCCGAGCGATGGTACCGAATGGATCCCATTGCCATAGCTATCGATGGCTGAAGATATAGCAAAGAATTTAGAACAAACCGCACCATATCAACTCATTGCTCAGCCGAAGTCATTGGCCCATTCCCGATCCATAGATACAACTCAGTGAGCCCAAAACTACTGTTATCTGTAGATTAATAATCTCATAATATCAATTGGGAGAAAAAATACTATCTCCACCTTGATTTGGCATAATCTCGCTTGCGCAAATGTATCGGTACGAGTACGAACCCGAACAAGAATAGGAACCTTGGAGGCACGACATGTTTACTAGTTGAACTGTAGACATATATTGAAACTCCAAACAACTTGGAAGGATGTGACTCTCCATAACTAAATTATAGTCCCGGGACTATCGATTTTGCGCGCAGCCTTGGAAGAACCTTGGAAGCGTAGAGATGCTACATGAGTGTCTAATTTGGACACAAAGAGAGGTCAATCTAAACTCCATCGGCAATGATCCAAGCGATGAAAATGAAAGAATTAGCCCTCCTCAACTGGCAGCAAGTGAAGGACATGTGCACATCGTCAAAGCTCTGCTAGAAGATCATCGCATGGATCTGGAATTTCACGTCTCTGTGCTTCCATCCAAATTTACTAGTTACCACACAGGTAGCTCTGATTTCAAAAAAATCGCGACACCATGCCTCTTCCTAGCTACGTGGGATATTCATGCTGCACTTTCCGATACACTTCCAGATGTTCCTGGGCTACAACCGAACACACACGACCCACTTGATAGCACCCCTTTGATCAACGCGGTCTTTTCAGAGTCACTCGGAACTGTCAGGAATTTTTTCAGCCGCCCTAGTCTCGAGACCGACGTCAATATACAGGGCAGTGCTACCTCCCATGACTTTCAACGGCGAAAGCAAAGAACCCCTGTCCTGCTCGCCTCCGCCCTCGAATTCCCGCATATTGCAAAACTGCTCCTCGGTATACCTGAAATCAACGTTGACCACTACAATCATCGGAATGAAACTGCCTTGTACTACGCAGCTGCCGATGGACCGAGTGACACCGTCCGGTCATTACTCGAGCACGGCGCGCATCCGAATCCAAAGGATGCGGAAAATACAACTCCGCTTTGGCATGCGACCAGAAGGGGAAATATTGCAATTGTGAAGATGCTGCTGGAGGCGGGCGCAGATCCACATCATGCTTGTAAGAGGGGATTTCACCCGTTGAGTGTAGCCGAAGCATTTGATCATACCGAAGTAAATCAGGCCTTTTTTGAAGATCCTCGTGTTGATTTGGCTTCTCGGAAGCCGGCCTCAGAAGAATGGCACCAAACTGGGAGGAATTTCAAGACATTCGCACGATCTAAGTACCCAGAGTTCCCATTTCACACTTGAGCTCTGTTCCTCCGGCACCTAACATGGAAAGTGTGCGATATTCGCTGAGACTCTTTCTAACATAACCTTGGTCTCTGGCCAGCATATGAGCCCAGAGCCCTCAAAATCAGTACGGTAGTGCCCTGGGAGATCCTAAGGGACCGAGTCCAATCAGATGCCTGACCCCTCGCATCGTGCAGATCAGCCGGAATACGAGGTCCCAAGCTTAGCCCTCATGCAGCCCTCTACAGCCACCCCCTCATTCAATGCAGAAGGATCAATCTTACTCTTCAAGGGTCTCTTTTGCTGGGGATCGGTAGATATTTCCCCAAATACTACATATCTCGAATGGAGTGCGATCTAGCATTGAGGTGGCATTGCATAGGTAGCAGAAGATCGTGCCTCAACAGAATCAACCGTGGATGCAATCACACCGCTCCAGATTCATAGCATTGATATCTCCAGACTTCTTACGAATTCAACTGAGCAAAAATCAGCTCTTACTTCACCAAGGTGTCAGCGCCGAGTACCATATTGGCCCCCACAAATGCAGGCTGATGTCGATCCCCACCGAGAGTTATCAACGCCAAGATGGAAATGAAACTCTTAGCAAATGGTTTCCCCAAGATTCAGTCTCACACGAAGTGAGCGTTTCGAATACTGGTGGCCTGATATTCTGCAGCCAACTTGGTGCGATGTAACATCAACTACACAACCAATCAATTGACTATTGCTGGCTCGGCCATGGAGTCACTAGGTGGCCCAGAGGTATGTGGAGGCTCCTGTTTGTGTATATAAGGCTGCTGCTCGCCGCAGATTCTCTCTCCATTCCCCTTCTACTACACTCTTCAACTGTCAATCTATTCTAGAATTCACATTTCAACCATGAAGCTCTACGCCATTGTCCTTGCTCTTGCTGCGCTTGCTGCTGCCGATGCAGGCAACCTCGAAGCCCGTGCTGGATGTTCTCAAAAGGGCCAATACTGCAATGGCGGTACTTTCTTGTGCTGCCCTGGTCAGGGTAGCTGCTCAGGCAATGTGGTATGTTTCTCGATCATCTCAATGTGCATTGGGTTGCTGACTGGGCTGCAGTGCAAATAGAAGATATCAAAAGATATGAATCAAACAACGATGGACATGGTGGGTGTGCTGTTGCAACCCGCATCGACAAGAGCATCTTGGAAGATTTCAATGCCATCGGAGCAGTTCATCGGCAGAGGGAATGTCCACGGGTGTGATTCATTCTTCGCCTGTTCAGCTGTCAGTCTACTTTTAACCATGTGGCTATTTGAGAATGCAATTCTGCGAAATGGAAGAATTCAGTCACACACGTTGTTCCCCGACTCACGTTCAGTAATGATCCGCAGTTGCCCGTCAGTAGACAGCCTCATCCAGCCTCGATGCATATCTGCGACTAACGGAAGCTACCCGTGAATGAAATGTAAACTGAGAATGTGATTATTAGAGTGCATATGAAGGCTAAACCCGAGCCAACAGTAATGTCTACAAATATCTAATAAGCGCCGAACCAAAGATCATCACACATATCAGCGGACATGACGAAGCATATCTAGAACCACATGATGCCCGCCACGAGGCCAATAACAACAGCCATGCAACTTCCATGCAGCTCCCGCGAGTGCCGACCGGCGGCAGCATCAGAGGAGTCCTCGGCTCCCATCGTCTGGACTTCAGATGTCGGGTGGAGCTCCGTATAATTCAATTCTGTCGAATGGGGTATTAATGTTGACGGCTTGTCTGCCGCAGAGAACATCGATCTGGCGTATTCGGATGCACGGAAGGTGTGTTTTCCAAGATCGATGACCATGCCATAGGCCTGTTGGCACATGCCGCGAAGGGTAGGTAACCGCCCTAGGGGCTCGGTGTGATTTTGCGTGTTGGAGATGAGGTCGGTGGGGAGTGAGGAATGGTTGGATGGGTATGAAGTCGATTCCACCACGCTGCGATTGGAGAAAGATGGGAGGAATGTATAATCGTCCAAGTGCTGAATGAAGTAAGATCTGAATGCGCGAGCCCTGCGGCTCAACGAGGATTCTCTCGAAAGTCGACTTTTGTTCACAACGGGGGTTTCGCTAGCCGCGATCGCGGCCGGATTCCCCACTCGCGCAGTGCGTAGTAAATTGACTCGGGATCGGGGAGGTGCCGCCGGAGGCCATGGTTGTGGTTCGAATGGGTGCGCTTTGTTGATCTCGGTCACGCCATCTTGCAGGAGGGGAACCTCTGCAGGGGTCAGTGGGGATTCAGGAACGGTGGAAGGGGTCCACATACGGCGCGCTGTGCCTGAGTAGAAGCTGAAATCGGCGAGTTTCAGGTTATAGATGCTCGATAGCGAGGGGACCAGGGTCAACAGCGAGAACACCACCAAGGCGAGCAGCGGAAGGGCGCCGGGTTTATCCAAGCCAGATCGCATCCTCCCTCAGCTGGAGAATTGTGAATCGAGCGCGAGAATTGAGAGCGAGACGGCCATGGGGGTCAGGAATCGTTGTTGAGGAGTATGCGCGCCGGTGCGCTGAAGAGCAGAAGCTGCCCAGAGGGCGGGAAGTCCCTTTTTTTTTCTTCTAATGACGTCGATCACTGCAGCTTACGGGTCTGTACCCCGGACAGCTTGACTGGATGTTCAACACGGTTTCTCACTTTTCTTCTTCTTCTTGATGTCTCAACTGTCAAGAATTCTTCTCTTTTTTGACAGGATTCCAGGAATGGTGGCCTGAGGCAGCCACCGAAACCGGATTTATTTCCTGTCGATCGTCGCGACTTCACTTGGCCCACATCACAACTATAGCATGCGCAATCTCGCCATCGTGATTGGGTTACTTTACGCCCATTCTGCGAGATGCCGTCTCTTGTCTCTATGTATATCTCTTGGATACCCCAGCAACGCTTGAGTACTCCGTACATATCCCCCCTCAGAATGGCACGCCACACCGTCGACGCCTAGTCCTTTTCGGGAAGCCTGAGCCCATCGCTGACTCCATGGCTGAACTGGTGAAGTCGAGACAGTATGTCAGTCTGGGTTTCTGGGTTTCGACGGCCACGGCCGCGTGTCATATGCTTGAGCCATGCATCTCGGGGATCTTTTCAGCCTGGGCGAAGTACACCCCATCTGAACCGAGCCCATAGTGACCCCTCCGGTCATCACGGAGACACCGTCGCAGCTCCGTCAAGCCACTCAGAACAGCTATGAGCTCGAATGTCATTGATTAAGTTCAATAGTGGCCCGATCATGCTGCATCGAGCCCCATCGCTCCCGGCGCCCTCGTTCTCGCCCGCACGTGGCCCAGGGCATACGAGTCATGACAAATATAAGATGCACATACTCCGTTCCGTAATACTAATGTAGGAAAACCGCCCATGGAATAGCAATGCCAGATTCGTAACTCATGTCTCGGATATCGGATCCAGCGTCACGCCCATTTATATACAAGGCAACAAAAGTTGCACTGGAAAAGTCCGCCGTTTCAAGTCATACACACATTAGATGGGATTCACCATGGAGGCATCAGGGACAGCCGGTTCGATCTTCGGCTGACTCGAGGAAGCCGACCGGGAGCCGACCTTCGTGCCTGGCGAAATGGTCGTCGGAATGCTGGCATCCCGATGGCTGGGACTGCGACTGCTCCGGCTTCGGGAGCGCGACACGCTACTTGCCGTCTCGATGCTGCTGCCGGGCTTGCCACGCTTGACCATCTTGCCTAGAACGCCGACGATCTCTGCCGCGTCGGCGAAACTTTCATCGTCCATTCCTTCTTGGGCATTGTAGACGTCTGCGATGGCTTGTTTGGCGAGACGGCGACAGGCGATGGGATCCTGGAGACAGTCGTAGAGGTAGGCGGCGTACTCAAGTTTGACCGAGAGGCGGAGCGGGTGCGAGCCCGGGAGAAGCTTGTCGGAGAGGGCTGCGGCGTGGTTGAAGCAAGCCGTGGCTGTGGCCGTGTAGTCCAAGGCTGGGAGGAGGAAGGATGATGGTTGGGGCTGGACCGGTTGGACGCCCAGCCCCGGGGGTCGAGAGGTCGGAACCTTGAAGAGGGACTCGGCGCCGTATATTGAGTCGCTGCTGAACAAGGGTGGTGGTTCGTGTGTGAAGACCGGGCGATTGTGGAACAAGACGAAGATGTGGTAGAATGAGGCGCGGAGTTTATAGGCGAGCACTTTCAGCTCGACGGACATGTCGACCATGGGCAGGATGAAGCTTTCTAGGATGAGCAGGCCTTCGCGCGACAGCCATATGATATGGTGGTACAGCTGCAGCGATCTGGTTTCACGAGTCGTGTCCAGACGGCGCAGCTTGCGAGCTCGGATCAGCTTCTTGGATAGCATGACGGACACCCCGAGCACTTTGTACAGCATTGTCGAGAGGAAGGGGTTCTCCAAGCCCATGACGGCGGCAAAGTTGCCCAAGGCCTTCTGGTCCACCTCGGAGGAGGCCATCCATAAAGCACGCGTCCCAGAGACCGGGGAGTCTGGAACAGAGTCAGTCATCGTCCTTTGGGCGTTGGCTAGGCAATCGATATTAACCCCGAATTCGGGGAAAACGCAATTGGTCGATGAAGCCTGGAAAATCTGGGAAGAACAAGAGCCGGAAAGACGCAGGGATGCAGGACGAACAGGGACAACTCACCGATATGGCAAACCGATCTTCAAATGTCCAAACGCAGCGGCTGTACCATGCCAGCCACGCGCGTAAGAGAGACGCGGGCCAATTGATCCGCGCAGCTCAGATCTTGGCAGTGATACACCGGATCGCAAGAGTGACAGCTTCTCCTGCGTGCTCCGTTTGTCGCGGTAGCTCAGGGTCCCCGGGCCGGCCGACCTCGGGAGGTATACAACCGCCAATTGCGCAAATGCGACAATTGCAAGAGTGGTGTTCCGTGCACACAGCACACCGTATTCCGCTCCGTCGGCGGTGCGTTCGAGACTGCACAGTGCGACAGGTCGAAGTCGCTAGCTATGCAAGGAGAATAAATAGGACGGAGTCGAGCTGTCGAGCTAGTGCGGGGAAGAAAATTGGAGTCGCGGGAAGAAGCGCTTTGTGTGCGCTTACAAGAGAATTGCTCCACCTTAAAGCAATTGATTGCCTACGTGGCTCATGACTTCATGTTTCTCGCGCCCTGGAGAGGCTAACTTGGCTGCCCGAAGCACGGACTGCCACGCTGGCAGTGGCTGTGTATAGGTATTGTATATTATACACACTTAAGGGGCAGGGGAATAATGTATATTCTTGTCCAATCAGAGTTTCCATTGTTCGGAAGTATACAACAAGTCGTCCTAGACAACAACACTCCAGAGCTAGTTCAGTTTTTTATTTCCGACCTGAACGGGTCGCCCTTGGCGGCTCTGATATCGCACATAACCGTAAATACCGCCGGCGACAACTGCGATAAGAACAATGTTGCCTGACCCGTTAGCGCTGATCCACTGCCACATTGGCTCAATACTAGGGACTCACTGGCAATCAAATTCCCCAGTCCGCCTGCAGCCTTCAAAGTCTCCCCAACAGTGTGTAGTGCGAGTTTGATGGTCTCAACAACGAAGCTGACTGCGCCGGTGGTTAAACCAGCTATCGTGTCGAAGGTGCCTTGGCACACGGAGAAGATGACTTCGAAGATGGAGGTGAAGAGGTCCTGGAGTGAGGCTAGAATGGAAGGCATGGTGAGATTTTAGCTGCAATAAGGTGGAGATGGTGATATCTCGATCTACCGTGGTGGGGTATTTATAGAGGGCAAATGCGATGACGGTTATAACCAACGAAAACGAGGCTTTCCCTGCTTTCAAGGTTTATGACGTATCGGATCCAGGGCTCATTCATCCAAGGTTTGCAGTAAAAGCTACAATGCTGGCCTAAAGGGGTAATATGTGCAATGGTTGACATTGGCGTTGGTATATAGATTATACGGTGATTAACAAACTGTTTAGTAGTAGGTAGTAGATCTAACTCATTTGCTTTCTTTCTTCCCTTCTTCAGCAAGCTTCTCAACCTGCTTCTTTCGCTTCTCCAGCACCTCCCGCAATTCATCCAGGGTCTCCTTCAGCACATTCTCCGCCTCACCCCCTTTCTTCTGCGCCACATCACGCAAAGACTGGAGCTGAGGAATCACCTTAGAGCCACCAGGAATCAAATCCAACCACTTGTCCAAGCTAGCAAAGTCGGTATTCTTCGCTCCCTCAACCTTGTCCTTGACAAATTTCTCCACTTCCTCCGTCTTGCCAGTAGAAGCGCTATCCTTGACCAGACCCCAAAGATCCTTGAAATTCCCCTTCTTCAACGCATCCGCATTATCATCAATCAACTGCTTCAGCTTCGGGTTCTTCTCAAGGTACTGCTGAGATTCATCACGGCCCTTCTGCCACGCCTCTTCCCCGAATTTCCGCAAAGTCTCACTCTTCTCCTGGATCAACTTCTTGATCTCATCCGCCGAGTCAGCACTCACGCCGCGCTGAACAATGCCAGAAATCTGCTCCCAAGTCCGATTCACCTCCTCCTTCGCCTTGGGCCCGTATGCGTCTCCCATCTCCTTAAGCTGATCATAGCTGTCCCCAATCTTCTCCTTCAGCTTAGGATGGTTCTCAAGCACATTCCCCGCCGCATCACCAGCCAGATCGAAAAGACGCTTAGAATGCTTCTGCAAGATCTGCAAAGCCGCAGCAGCAGAAGTAGCGCTGACACCTTCCTTCTGCGTCAGATCCCGTAGCTCCGTATAAGCTTCACCAATCACTGTGTCGAATTCCTTGCCGTGATCCTTCCGGACTTTCTCAAGGTCATCGAAGGCTGAATCGACGTAGCTGCTTGCACCTGGGATGAAGCCCGCATAGCTCTTGACTGTATCTTTCAGCCAGCCATAGGCTGCGTGTGGCTCCGGTGCCTTCTGAGCCACGGTCTGCTTGGCTTGGTCGAAGTACTCTTGGGCTTGTTTGCTGGTCGCCACGAGTGATTTGGTTCCGGAGAAATGGTACCAGGCGTAGCCTGCCACGAAGGCGACGGCACCACCGGTCAGTCCTCCAACGAGTGCTGGGCTGCCTCCTGAGCCAGAGCTGCCATTAGAAGTGCTTGATTGGAAGCGGGCATTGGCGAATCGGGTTCGAGGCTGTACGTGGCCTCTGGAGCATCTTGCAGCTCGGATTGAAGTGCGTCCGAGCATGTTGAGGATCTGAAAGTGGTTTTGTCAGGCAAATCTGACGTTCTGTTCGTTTTAAAGCGTCGAAGCCAAGTATTCCATGTACAGTCCGGGTGACGTCAAAAACGAGGCCGAATTCGTCTTGGACTTGATGACGTCAACATGTATGCCAGTTGACTCTCGACTTTCAAGGTTGTTTGCTCTCTGTATTGATTAAGTCTTATTTGCTCTTTATCTGAAAAATGAAATTGACAGCCTCCAACACCACAGCATGCAAAAGCCAAGTATGTGTCAATGCAAGTATATACTCCGTAAACAAGTAGATCTCAATCCAAGTCGTCAATATTCTCATACCCAACGAAGGCGCGCTCCAAAAAGGCCCGCCAGATCGTGTTCATGGGCTTCTTTTTCTTGGCCAGCCAATCCGCGCTCGAATCGGTCTCGGCCTGGGCCTCCTCCTCGGCTATTCTGCCTGCGAGCTGGAAGAAGCTGCGCACCGTCAGGTCTTTCATTTTGTACACATCATCATTGGTGGTGTATTCGACCTCGAAGTCGATGCGAGGATCTTCGGATTGGTTTGCGTCAATCTCCTCTTGGATGCGGGTGATGTTGGCGTAATACTGTGTGTAGCCGAGGAATGTAAATGGTTGGTTGGAGTAGGCAGGGCCGGGGGGAGCAGTTGGCGAGGGACCATCGGGCACCTTGAAGTCAGGCTTCTTGCCCTTCTTGCCCTTCTTTTTCTTCTTCTTTTGGATCTCGGGCTCTGAGGCATCCTCGGACTCAGTTTCGAGGGGTGTGTGATCGGCATCTGCAACGTACCAAGCAGGCCAGTTTGCAACATCAGCCACTCCCGTGATATTGTAGTCAATCACACGCAGGCTGGGGAAGTAGTTTGGGACTAGACTGGGTGATACCAGGGAGATGCTGTAGCGTTCCGCCCACGGGCCTCCGATCTTCTCCAAGAACTTGCGCTTCTTCTTCTCCTTCTTCCCCTTCTTCACTAGAGTATCGGGGGCAGCACCCGCCTCAAGCTCGGCATCGAGCTCCTCGAAGAATCCCGTCGGAGGAGATGGCAAAGATGACCACTGGCTGCGCAGCGACTCCAAGTAGTCTGACTTGGAGTTTGTGGACACCTGCCCACCAGCCGAAGCGATGCGAACCTCGTCGCTATCTTGCATGATAAAGTGATCGATGTTCATATGGCCGTATAACGTCCCAACCACCACGTCGCGATACTGATGGACCCACAGTGTGTATTTCTGCCAACAGGTCTCATCCCAGTTCCGTTTCTCGCTCGAGTGAGCGGGCGGCACATGGCCCATGAGAATGGCCTTCATGTTGCGACTGCGCAGGGTCTTCAGCTGAGCTCGCAGCCACTCCATGTGCTCGTACCCCGGCTCGGACTTGGCCTTGCACCCGTCCACCGCGCTGTTAGAGTCGAAGAAGTACATCGTGTTCAGACTGATGACCGCCAGTTGACCTGGGACCACCTCGGTGGTGAACCAGCCCCCAAGCACGAAAGTATGGCGCTGATCTTCGGGGATGAACGGGTTCCAGATCTCCGCGAAGCGCTTGGTCCATTTATTAGGTCCCTCGTCAAAGATATTATGCGGCATGATATCGTTATTGCCAAAGGTCGGGATGACAGGCACGGAGAGCCGTGGGACCGACGCGGCGCGGTTCTGGGTGAAGATGTCGACCCATTTCTGCGAAAGGTACGTGTTCAGATCGAGGATTTCGTCGGCAGTACGGGGCGCCTTTTCGTCGTTATCATGCCTGGCGGAATCGCCGGTCCAAATTACAAAATCAATCTCATCCTTCAAGTTGTCTTCGATCCAGCGAAAGGTCTCGTCGATGAGTGAGAGGGGTGCGTCGCAGTCGGAGCCCTCGGCTCCAAAGTACCCCGATGGTCCTTTGCCGCGGTGGCACGAGCGATCGAGGGAAGTTCCTGGTTTGTACAGGCGATCGGGATGGAAGTCTGTTGGTCAGCGCGTGTCGCACGGCGTGCTGGATCTGCTCGTACCCGTTATGTGCAGGAATCGGCCGTGCAGTTGTGACGCGACAGTCAATGGCTGCTGCAAGGGATTGGCGATGGCAGCTGCCAGGAAGCCCAGGAATAATAACAGCATGGCGTGGGCTCACACTGCACCATGAAGGTGCAAGAAGAGAATTTCCGATCTTCGATCTTATCACGTCACTGCGGGTGCCCGAAGCCGAATCCAGGAACCACTTTTTCCCGTTTTCTGCACTCCGGTCTGACCTCGGAGCGAGATGTAGATATAGATATAGATGCAGATGCAGATAAAGATAAAGATGTAGATAATTAAGATCAAAGACAAGTCAAATACCCCAGATCTCGGTGAGAAGATCCTGGCCAATGATCTCCCCACGTGAAGGACCTTGGTGCCCAGTCTAGGGCTGCTGAGCATCCGTATATATACATCTGCCAAATAGCAGTATTCAGCTAAAGGGGTTTACGGACAAAAGTCCAATACTAGAACAATAGTCCCATGACAGCAGGGAAAGCTTCTGCTCAGGTGGGTTTATTCTCCGCGAGTCGTCTGATCTATACAAGGGTCTATCCCATCATGGATATCAACTCATCTCGCTGTCAACGTAACTCCCCGCCGCAGCAAGTGTAGCATAGTACAAGTCTGTCTCGGCGCAAATGACCATTCTCCCCTGGCCAGCAAAGTTGAAATTCGCCGACGTAGCGCCCACATAGATCTTGCCAATAAGCTTACCAGAGGGATTCCAGACATGAACACCGTCTCCGCAACCGGCATACACGTTACCCCAGGAGTCGCAGTGAATACCTGAAGGTGAAAGAATTAGCCCGATTCCAAAATATAGAACCAACCAGGATAAACTCACCATCGGGCGAACGAGCGTTCACAAAGGCAAATAGCTTGCGATTCTCAAACGTGCCATCCTCCTTAACGTCATATCGGTAGCTGTCGTAGAAAGGAAAAATTAGCCTAAGTTTAAGGAGCAAAGAAACAACCGATCGGAGCATACATGGAGGCTGGGCGCGTGAAATTGAAACCGAAAAAGCCGCTCGAAATGCCTGTATCAGTGATATAGGCGTAGTCTCCATCAGGAGAGAAAGTAAGTCCTGTTTCACTGTCAGCTTTGTGTGAACTCTAGAATCGAATTCACCGCATACCATTTGGATGGTCGAATTCATCTGCGACAACAGTCACGGCACCGGTGTCCGGGTTGAAGCGGTAAACTTGATCCTGCAGACCGGGGGCAGGGCGGAAATCTTGAACGTAACCGTAGATCGTATCGGTGAAGTAGATTTCTTTGTTTTTGGGGTGAATAGCTACATCGTTCAGAGAGTTGAACTGGCGCCCGAAGTAGTTGTTCAGAATAACTGGACGTCTAATTAGTTTCCGACAAATCTTCCGCGAAGACAGACACGTACCTGTAGAGTTATAGGGGCTGTTTGGGTTCACCAGTGACAAACCAGGGGGCTTGTCATCGCCTTGGCCCTCGCTGGTAAAGATGAGCTGTCCGCGGTAGTTCGTCGCTCCTGAAATCCACATATCAGCTCCCTGCAAGACCAAAAGATATCGCTGTGTCGTCACTAACCGTTTGGATTGAGCACCATAGGTGATGAAGGGACTGTGGTGATATTCACCAGACCCACGGCATCGGTCTTGTGCGATACAGCAGCGGCCTGTGCAAGAGAAATCTTCTCAATAATGGCTGACTTGTTCAAGCCCGTGCCGGCATCTCTGGCTCCGGCATTCTGAACGAAGAAGACCTCATCGGTTTCTTTGTGCCTGTTATTACCGCTATTAGGATGTTGATTTTTGGTTTGGAGCAGAGAGGCCATACCAGACGACAGCCTCGTGGAAAAGAGGGTCCTTGGGGGAGTGTCCGATCCGGGTCAGGGTAGGGGTTTCCCCGATGATCTTCAAGAATTCGTCGTCATATACGTGGAAAGGTTGCTCTAGAAGGCTGTCTTTTGTTGAGCCCGGAGGGACAAAGAGCTATCGATCGCGAAAACCATTAGTTTGATTTCCTGAGCAACTGATTCATAGCTGCATACACTTGTTGCGTTGAACTCGGTCGGAGGCCGAGTTCCATTCAGAACATTGAAGATTCGCTGATCAATGACTTGTGCTTGTTCAGGGAGACTGCCAGCGATGGCTGGAGTCAAGAAAGATTGGCAAAGAGCCAAGATTGTTAAAGAGCCTGTCCTGGGAACCATTTTGGAACTTGTTCTAGTATCGAACTGCAGACAAAGAAACCCAGACACGACCGGGGAGAACCAACATTTATCTACTCGACGCGGTTTGTTGCACAGGCGGGGGAAGTGGGACGATCATGCTCCCCAGAGAAGACGCATCCGAACTACACTGCCAATCAAGTTGTCCACTGTCCGGATGCTAGTCCTTTGGGATATAGTCTTGGCCTGAGAGCTTCCGGAGTTCCTCCGGCCCCGCAGTTCCAGCTGCACAACAGGATGCGGGGGAAATCTGGGGAACGCGAGTTCACGATATCGCCTCTGACAATTGTGTAAAAATGAGTGAGAAAATGCACGTTGTTCAACATTGATGCATGTCTAACACATCGACATCGAATTCAGAAAATGGTGCCTGGCTAATATACCAAGACTTGGCAACCTCTTGGGCTCGGGCTATGGGCCGCAATCCGGAAATTCGATTCTGCACACCGAAGTGGACTTACTCGGACCCCGAACTAAGGCACCAGAAGTGGGCAGGATCTGCAGTCGGCAATAATGCTCATCTGCAAGTATGCTTGGATTCTGAGGCATTTTGTGAAAACCACTAGGGACACAAGACAAACATCACCGCACTTGCAGCGCGCTAGGAGCTGACCGTCGTTCGGAAATTGGAGCTGAGGGATAATTATCCCCAGCACTTTTCCGGTTGAAGTGGTGAGACAATATTTGGGTTCCTAAAAGTCGAGGCCAAGGCTCGGCATGCCTGCATTCCGAGTCCCATTCCGCGAGACCCACACGGAGAAAATAAGTCTTGGTTGAGTGTCGGTCAGTTCAATGCCTCCGAACAGGCTTTCGGCCTCGTTATGCCAAGCAAGGGGAGGCAGGTGGTAGCTGCAAGGTTCGCTCATGTATGTCAAGAACTTTCGGAACTCAGAGCCGGGGCATCCATGAGCTCAAAGCTGACTTAGGCCGGGAATCCCACCTGGGCCTTTGTACACGATAGGACGGTAGCAACGACTGACGGGTATGATGACTGGGCAATTCAGGTCGGAAACATCTGTGGAATAAGACTCCAGTCGCAAGAGAACGTCGCGTCACGAGATTCACTGAAGTAAAGAGGGAAAGGTTAGCCCATCAGTGATTGTACGGCGTGTGCATTGGCTGGGACTGAGAATGGGCCACGGCTCCCGAGTCAAACCACAAAGACTTCAATCACGCGATAAGAGGCAGTAGACAGGAGGGCGGTCCTCTCTTCTATAGGGTTTGAAGACATGAGCTCTTGTGTGTTGAAATGTAAAATGCACCTGAAGGACATCACTCAGGAGTCTTATGTTCGACAGGACCGCATCCCAGATTTGGGTACTGGCAGTTTCTCTCAGAATGAAAAAGGAGAGAAGAGAGAAGAGAGAAAAGTGCCCAGCGGCAGTATGAGCCCTTTCAGCCCGGGGCTTGAGGGTAGACCACCTCGTTTGCCGAGACAACGTGTTGCCAAGATGTACTTCGTAGGTAGCTCGTGTGCGCGTTTGCGAAATCCTGTTTGCAGCGGGTGAACCAATGAGGCGACGAGGTCTGAGCTGAGCTCAAAGTCCGTGGCTCATTCAGCTCGTAAAGTTGCTCGAGTGAGTATTGATCGCAGACTGGTCGCCACTCCTACGGGACTGCCTGGAACTGGCCGCGAAGATGGAGACACATGCTAGCTCACCATGGTCTCGACTGTCTACTGACCTGATGGCAGCTTGCCCAAATGCAAACAGATGTTGACAATAATCTGATTTCCATTTGTTAAACACTAAAATACTAGAAATGTACCCCGATCCTTCCCTCTCTATCTCTTTCTCTCCCGATCTCGCCCTCACAGTCTGATGCATAAGTGAAAGGATGCATTGTACTCCATTCGGCTATCTCGGTAAGGACCCTGGAAATTCCTCGGCATCCTTGCGTCTCGTAAGTAAGGTGGTTGCCAAGGCTTAAGAGAGTTCCCATGAATGGTCAAGCTATCTGATGGCGCTCGTCGGCGTTCTTGGATTGCAGTTAGCGAGAACCATTCCTTCCTCGGAGGCCCAACAATCCCAGACTCCAGTTCCAACTTCGGCCCGGAGGCTCGGTGCGAGGTTTGCTTGTCTTCGGCCCTAACCCCGTCAAAATGGCGTCCCAGAAAACGCCGCGGAGATCTAGTTCGAAGGGGCTCGATGCGAACTCAGTATCGCGCACGGCCTAGTCTCAGTGGCGATTCCGAGCACCATGTGTTGGATGTACGGGCCGAAAGCTGTCTCCAAGTGAGGTGGCTCGAGTAGAGAGTGAGAGCCGAAGCGCAATAAGCTCATACCCCAGGGTTGCCCGAAAGGGTTTGGTCTATTGTGGGGAAGGGGCCGTGAGAGATGCAACACGGAGGATCCTCCGTACTCACAACGGTGCACATGCCTAACTTCGTTCCACTACGCCAAGAACTAACGGATGTTTCTAGTATGGCTGATGTTTCTGAGGGACTCCAAGACTGCAGTGGGCGAAAGTCGGCACAGCCGGTAAATTTGGAGAAACCACCTGGGCACAAGATGACACCTCGCCACAAGGATAGATTAATCCAAAGGCGTGTGAGGTGACAGGATATTTTTACATTCCAGAGAGAATTTTTCACGGTCATGCCTGCAGAGTACCATATTGGTCCTTAATATCGGGGACAATCTAGACTGAGGCGACTGTTTGTTGTGTGTGATCACCTGCAGACCAGCCAATAATTGGACTCCCACAGGGCCCATCTCGCCGAAGCCGATTTAATTGATTCCTTCCAGCCTCCGGGCGGCAGCTAGGGCCGACAGTCCAGGGAGCAGACTGAGACTCGCTTCCTGTGGATTTTACAATGAAACAGGATACCAAATCCGGTGGCGAGTGGTATGATTGGGGAATGTCCCGATACCAATAAGGATACGGAGGCATCTCACAAAAGCCACCAACTAGAGGCGTTTGTCACTGGCGAGGACAGGGGTCCGGGGTCACAAGGCAATTGGAGTCTGGGGAAGACACCCGAGTAGTCTTTCCGAAAAAGGACTATAGTCATTTCCCATGATTTGCGGCCCAGTCAATCTGATATGAGTTATAAGAACTGCGCCCTGCCCCGCTGCTCTCCAGATTTACCGTTCGTCGCGCCAGCTTCAATTACCACCGGATCTTCTGCCGAGATCGTCAATCCCAGCCATGTCGGACATGAAGGCACAAGAGGAGGTGCATGGCATATCTTCTGCCTTGGAAAACGAGACCCATGTTACTGCTGGCTTTGGTCAAACTACCAAACGTGCGGGTGCGAAGACCAAAGAAGTCCACAATGTCAGTTCACCTCTCCTGACCTTTATGTGACCAAAACTCATCCGGATAAAATCTAGGCCGATCTGTTCGCTGCTATTGAGGAAACCAAAATCGAAAGATGGAGCAAAGAATCGATCCATTTGTACTGTAAGTTTTACCGCATCCCTGACTGGAGTGGAGACATGGGAGGCATCTACTAACATGATCACAGTCTGTATTTTTGTTGCTTTCTGCTGCGCCTGCGCCAACGGTTATGATGGTACGTCTTCTAGACCAACCTGAAGCCACTAATATCTGACCATGCTTTAGGATCGTTGATGGGATCGATTCTTGCCATGGACCACTACCAGGAAGTCTTCAATACGGGAATGGATGGACCCAAGGTCTCTCTTGTTACGTCTTTATACACAGTGTATGACCCCTCAAATTCGGAAGAAGTGGATTTTCAGCCGTTCGGAAACTGATATGATTCTCGTACAGCGGTTCTATCGTCGCCACCCCATTCAGTGCTGTCATCTCCGACAAGCTTGGCCGTCGCAAGTGCATGTTCGTTGGTGGATGGATTATCATTATTGGCTCTATTATCATCGCCACTGGAATGACCCTGCCTCAATTCGTTGTCGGTCGGTTCGTCTTGGGTGTTGGAATCCAGGTTATGATCGTCTCAGCCCCGGCATATGCCGTCGAGATTGCGCCGCCCCACTGGCGTGGTCGGGCAGTCGGTATGTATCACAGCACATGATAATCATTGATTCGGGGCAGGGGCTGACCAGATATCTAGGATTCTACAACTGCGGTTGGTTCGGAGGTTCCATTCCAGCTGCTGCCATCACATACGGCTGCAATTACATTGGTAGTAACTACCAGTGGCGAATTCCTTTCATCTGCCAGTGCTTTGCTTGTGTCATTGTCATTTGCTCTGTCTGGTTCATCCCCGAGTCACCTCGTTGGCTCATGACCCAAGGTCGCAATGAAGAGGCCATTGCGTTTTTGGTCAAGTACCACGGTAACGGCGACCCCAACGCACGATTGGTCCTTCTTGAGGTTGAGGAGATGAGGGAGGGTATCCGCATCGATGGTATCGACAAGAGATGGTGGGATTGTGAGTCCAAAGTGAACCTTGCAATGCCAAACGTGAATGCTAACCAGTACTAGACCGACCTTTCGTTACTACACACAGCGGTCGCTGGCGTTTCGCCCAAGTTATGATGATCTCGATCTTTGGACAGTGGTCCGGTAACGGACTTGGCTACTTCAACGCCACTATCTACAAGGTTATTGGATACGAGCAGAGCTCTACACAGCTGTTGCTCAACCTTGTCAACTCTATCGTCTCTGCCATCGGAGCTCTCACTGCTGTGCACTTGACTGACAGGATGCGTCGTCGTCCTGTTCTTATCTTCGGTACTTTGGGTGAGTTGATCCTAGTGACATCAGTACTTTATTACTTTCAAAATACTAACGAGAAATCCAGCCTGCGCCGTAACTCTGGCCATCAACGCCGGTATCTTGCAAGAGGTTGCCAACACCGGACACATTGCCAAGACCAAGGGCCAGGCTGCTCTTGCTTTCTACTACCTTTTCAACGTTGTCTTCTCATTCACCTACACTCCACTCCAGGGTGTCATCCCAGCAGAAGCCCTCGAAACCACAACTCGTGCCAAGGGACTGGCACTCTCCGGATTCATGGTCAGCAGCATCAGTTTCATCAGTCAGTTTGCGACACCCATCGGTTTGCAGAATATCTCGACCAATTATTTCTGGATCTTCGTCGGCTGGGATGTGCTCGAATCCATTTTCTGGTACTTCTTCTGGTATGTCTGCCCAAACAAGACCCCTTGTCTGCGTCTGCATCGTCTAACGTGTGATTTCTTAGTGTCGAGTCTCAGGGTCGTACTCTGGAAGAGTTGGAGTGGGTATACCAGCAGCCCAACCCCGTCAAGGCATCCCAGAACGTGGACAGGATTGTTGTCCAGAGCGATGGAACTGTCACGGAAAAGATCGAAGATGGTGCTTGAGAGCCTTTTCGTTTGAAGTCCTCGTTGATGCAGGTTGACTAAACTTATGAGAGCTCAAACTGTATTTAATGTGGCTTTCATCATACTTGCATCTTGGATCTGTCATTCCACAGACCCTCTGAAGATATTTGAATATATGCGCTTAATTGGAGGTTGATTGTGTGTTGGTCACCCAGAAAATATATTTCAGGGCTCTATACAAATAAACATGAAAATTTACACGTTGCCCACTCCGAAATTCTAACCTTGGAAGTTCAAAAAGACCAAAGAACAGGGGTAAATCGAACCTTGAAGCACGCCAACCTTGGACCTCGGAGGCCAGACTGTCCAAACTCTACTACCTATGCGGTCTCACCGATACCTTCGATCTCAAGGACAAGATTGGAAAATCCCCGCCCTAAGCCGCCCGTGCTACGCCCTACCCGAAATGATTTGGCCCCCGACAAACACAGCCTTGCGCTAAGATGAGGGGAATCTCCTATTCTTCCAACAATGAAAAGTTTTTAAGAACCTTTGAACTTCAAGTTTCAATCAAAATTTATCTTGCACAGTACTAGGTATACTATTGAAAATCTTGATAGAGGCCTCAAGTCCCGCAAAATTCCAGATGTCAACCCACGATCCTGAAGCCCCGGAAAGCCCGAGGCTAAGCAACGCCGCCCGTGTCGCCGAGGGGCAAAAGCCACCAAACTGGGTCCCAATTAAGGAACAGCATGGTTATACTCCACGAAAAATCAGAATGATCTGTGTCGGTGCCGGTCTCTCCGGACTGACGTTGGCGCATATGATCAAGTATGAAATGAAGGATAATGAATTCCTGGATTATACAATTTACGACAAGAATGCGGAGATTGGCGGGGTTTGGTTTGAGAATAAGTACCCCGGTGTTGCCTGGTGAGATTGCCTTTGGAAATTTTGTGTACATCTTCTCATGTTATGACAGTGATCTCGCCGCCCGTAAGAACTTTTGCCTAACGGTTATCTACGAGTGAATGTTTTCATATACCTACTGACGGAACATTCAAGATACATATTGTTTTCGATTTGAGCCCAACCCAAATTGGTCTCATTTTTATGTCCCAGGTGCGGAAATCTATGAGTACATCCAAAGGACTGTACGGAAGTGGGGCCTCGACGACCATGTTGAGTTGAACTCCAAGGTTATTGAGTCCAAATGGGACGAAGAAGCAGGGAAATGGAAGGTGAAAATTGACCAGAATGGGACAATCAAAGAAGACGAAGCGGAAATTCTAGTCAACGGCATGGGCCTGGTGAAGTGAGTGACATGCCAAGTTGTGCCAGGTGATGGTATAGCACTGACCCTGCGCAGTGAATGGAAATTGCCAGACATAGACGGACTATCGGACTTCAAAGGAAAGCTGGTTCATACAGCAACCTGGTATGTAAAGCAGTCGAGCATCGAGCATGTTAGACAGCGCTGATCTCAATTTAGGGATGAAAGTTATGACTGGAAAGGGAAGCGCGTGGCCGTGATTGGGAATGGCTCAGCGGGCACACAGGTCGTGGCTACAATGCATTGCGAGACATCGAAGCTGGTCAACTACGTTCGCAGTCCAACATGGTTGACCCCCAATATCAATGGGGAAATGACTCGAGATGGGTCAAACTTCGCCTACACTCCCGAAGAACAGGAGCGATTCAGAAATGACCCAAAGGCCTTCTTTGACCTACGCAAGGAGTTGGAAACCCAGTAAGTCGAGCGAAATGTTTCTTGGCTCGGTTGGGATTGATTGGAATTCTAGTGTCAATGGCGGTGCATATGCCACGCTCAAGGAGCATCCTTTGCAAGATTTGATGAGAGGAGAGTCCAAGAAAATCATGGAAGAAAGATTGAAAACTCTTGATCCATCTATTGCTGCTCGAATCATTCCGGATTTTCCTGTCGGCTGTCGTCGACTCACGCCCGAAGTTGGCTACCTGAAATCCTTCAATGACGAAAACACAGAGATGTGTTGGGACGAGATTGAGCGGATCACCGAGACTGGGATTCGAACGAAGAAGGGCGAAGAGGAATTTGACATGATTGTCTGTGCGACGGGCTATAACACATCTGCTCGACCACATTGGAAGCATATCGGGAGAAATGGCCGAATCCTCACTGGAGATCTGGAAGGTTTCTTCTCGGTTCAAATCAACGACATGCCGAACTATTTCATGGTTGGAGGCCCCAATTTCCCCGTCTCACACGGGACTGTGTATACTGCCCTTGTCTTTGCGTGCCAATATGCATTGAAATGGACCCGGAAAATCGCCACGGAGGATATCAAGTCCGTGCTCTACTACTTCCTCCCTTGGTTTTCGATAGAAGCTGACAACTGCGCCCAGATCTCTCGATGTCCGAAAAGAGTCGGTGGACGACTACAACGTTTGGTCTCAGGAGTACCTAAAGCGCACTGCATTTTCTGGAAAATGTTCAAGCTGGTACAAGAACGGAAAGTCTAGAGGCTTCGTGAATGCCTATGCGGGATCAATGAGCCACTTCCGGAAGTCACTGGAAAGGATTGGTGGCGAGCATTTCAATATCCAGTACAACTCGGCAAACCGATTCTCCTATCTGGGCAATGGGCAAATGAAGGAGGAAGACAATGGGTTTGGCGATTTGTCTGACTACTTCGTGCAAGGTGTCTGGGGCCCGTGAAGATGTACCTCCGTTCAAGGTTCTTTACTTCAAGCTCAGGATCCAATTATATTCATACCCGAAGCTCAATACTGAGGTCTCCGGAGACCCCTACATCCGGATCCTGCAATCTAGCTACCTGGAGCACAGTCATTCTCGTCTGTCTGGAAAGCAAGAGAGCGAATCATGCATGTATCTTGTGTCATTTTGTGCTCTACGGGTGGTAGTGATCAAACGTGGATGTGAGCTGACTTGGTAGACCCTGCTTGTTCATGAAAATGATCGACATCGTCGTCGTTCCATTGAAGAATTTCCTCCAAACTCTCGTTTCCGCCCGTCACACGTGCTTCTGCTTTTCTCGGTGTGTTTGGAGTCATCCGCCTGGAGCCAGAGACCGAGTTCTCAGCATGCACCGAGTGAAGTTCGTATACACTTCGCGCAGAGGCGGTATGCTTTTCACGGGAAGAGCGCAGCAGTGATCGGATGCATGGTATAGATGCAGTGATGATGACGAGATAGCTCTCAATGAATAACCAGCGATCATAGCTCACGGTGGCAACGGTTGGATCATCATCCGGGTGTGCGAAGACTCGCGTTTCCACTACCTTGATGACAGAAGCTATCATCGCACTGGAAGGTATCGTGTTATTTCAAGTTGCGGGATAGGGATATTCGAGAGACTCACAAGATACCCAGCCCAAGTAGTGCAACTAGTCCTAGCTTGGCCCGGAGCCGAAGGTTGAGATTCCAGAATATGCAAGTCGAGAAAGTCGCCAAGTAGAGATCTGTTGCCGAATTGAACGCTGTTTGGGTGTTAGTTCGTTCAGTGGGTAGTATAATTGTCGACGAAGATTCCTACACCCTTGATAATATCCGTAATACGCTTGAACACGAACATCCCAACAGTTGTCCTTGCCACTTGGTGCCCATATAGCCGAAGCATGTCCTGGGCACTGAACGAAAAGTATGACGATCAGTACCAGGTTTGTCACGAGCTGCAGGCCAACCAAGCCCCACAAAATAACCCGGTATAGCCTCCTGGTGCCGAGTAGTCCGACAATAAACACAATGAAGGCGATGCGGCCCAGCGTTCCTCCAACAATACCAAAGGCTTGCGCCAAGTAGTCATACATTATGACTGAAGGGACTTGGGGTTGAATATCCCAAACATGCTGACCAAATCCGCATTTGACGCCGAATGTCACCAACCCTGATCCAACGACGGCGCAGGACTAATGAGATGATAAGTTAGTCACTATGCTCATGAGGCGAGCCGAAGTGTCTGCCCGATGGTCCAAAGAGTTGAGTAGACTTACCAACGCCAAAATCATAAGAACGTCATCCCAGGCGAACTTTCTGATCTTGATTTTTGCAATCACCCGCAAAGTGACCGTGAGGATGCCGAGCGCTGTCAGAGCCCATATTTCGCGCAGCAGTCGCGGGCCAGTGTCTTCTGGTGGCCCGCGGGGCGAAACAAGCATGTTTGGCAACCCAAATCCGAGGGACCTTCTCAATTTTGAGGACCTAAAGCGATGCAGAAGAGCATACCAAGTTCAGTGCAAGATGCGATCGCTGATGCTATATGCAAGTCACCATATCAGTTGGGTGACGGGTGGCAGGGTTCAGGAAAATCTTGACGAAGATATCCAGCCTCGCTATCAGCTGCTCGGGGCCTTGGAAGGCCATTCGTCAAAGGGAGATCTTAGGCCTATGAAAGGTGTGTCGGAGGACTCCGGCGCAGTCCTTGAAGCGATAAATCGAGATCTGGCGAATGAAAGCCTCGCAGCCCCCAAAGCTTATACTGCGCTGTGGTCGGGACGGCGATAGAGTGTATAGGCTCCAACTGAGGGTCTGATCGGGTGTGTTGAGCAGCTGGGCCGCTCTGGTTCCCGTCATCGAGATAGAGATGCCCTGCCAATCAGCCTGGAGACTTGTAACTTTGATACATGATGGCGCTCTATTGCCACATTGAACCGCGTGAATCGCGTTGATCAAGCATACAAATTCATCCCAATATGTTACAGCCAGCGGCTTTTCGAATGAAGCCACGAGTTGGGTCTAGAATCATCGTAGGTGTCCGCATAAAGCAACTCGATGCGAAAGAGGGAGGCGACGGCGATTCAGGGTCAATGCCAAGCCTTCGGAATACGCGCCCCCCTTTTACGCGACATCACAGTTTGCCCTTCGCCCTCCTAAGAAAAATAGCACGATGCTTGAAAATGAGAGAGCCTGATTGATTTGTCTATCCTGTCCCTATCGAGCAAAATCAAGAAAAAAGGCCGCACATGCATTAGTAAACGTATCGGAAATGGGGATTTTCACGGTCGGTGATATCCTCGAAGGCATGAGTGAAGTTGACATCAGGCACGACTTCTCCAGATGCGATCTTTGCATCTCGTTTGCGATTCTGGATGCTATACCAAAGCCTCAAAGAAAGAAGGATGATCACCACAAGACCAAAGCATCCGATCAGAATGGAAAACGCGAGGTAGTATCGCGGGGCATCCTTATCACGGAAGACCTGGGGGCCGACAGCATTACCGGCAGCCCAGAAGACAAAGTTGCAGGAGATGATGATGGACTTCTTGGTCTGTCCGGCGACATTTCGCGACAGCAATGCCAATGAAAGCGACGAGACGGCGAAGAATGAATAGAAGATCCAATAAGCGATGAGCATACCGACACGCTTGCTTGGAGAGAAAGGAATGCCGATGAGGATCGAGCAGCCCAGGATGGATGGTACAACTGAGCTGATCATGATCCAGATAGTCTGATGGAATTTGCGGTCGAGGTAAGCCGAGACCAGCATCGTGATTGTTGTCACGGCGCCAATGACCATGGACAAGAGCTGGGCTTCCCAGGTGCTGAAGTCAAAAGACTTCAGAATGATGTTGGCATAAGCGCCAATGCCTCCGGAGGGAATAGTCGTGAGAAGCTGGATGAGCGCAAAAGCGTACACTAGCAAAGTCAGTGCTTGATCTGAAAAGGGAGGCGTGGGGGACTCGTACGTTGAGGGTCAGTCAGGGCATCCCAAACTTGCTCTTTTCTGAAGCTTCGGTTCTGCAAACCTGTTTGGTTTTGACGCACTCGTTCAACCATCAGCTGCTTGTCTTCTTCGGTCCAACATTTTGCCCGCATGGGGGAATCCGGCATCCAGAAGTATACGAAGACCGCCCAAATGACAGTCAAGAGACCGTAAGTCATGAACATAGCCTCCCATGACTTGAGAGGAGAGCTGGAGGGGACGAAAGAGAACCCAAAGGCTAGGAGGCCACCGACAACATTTTGAAGACCATTCATCATGTACCTGCCTGCATGTCAGCAGCGAGCAAAAGGATCTTTTGACTCATTGGACCCACCATAAATTGATAACACTTCCCTGCTCCTCTCGTCGATACCATGTCGAGGACAGAATGACAAATGTCGGCTGGCACGCAGCCTCAAAGGCACCCATGAATGCTCGGAGAATGACCAAGCCTGTGAAGTTCTTCATGGCCGAAATGAGTGTGATGCAGACGCCCCATAGAAAGATGTTTGCTGAAAGCCACTTTCCGATGGGAACGCGTTGAATGATCCAATTTTCCTGCCTGCTCGTCAGCATGGTGGTTCGGGGATTTGTGCGATTATCAGTCAAGTTACCGGGTATTCCACAACCAGTACCGTGAGGTAGACCACGGTTGTGAGCCATTGGTACTGCATCTGTCAGTCAATGTAGCATATGAACCAGAGTATGAGGTAACCGACTTGATTTCCTGCCAGATGCGCATCTTCCACGATGCCCATAATTGAGGCAAATGACATCGCGCCCTTGTCAAGAGTCTGAATCAGGTATGTGACCATCATCACCACCAAAATCCGTTTATGAACCATCCGCCTCAGTCGCTGGTTTGTTTCCTCGTCGATATGAATGGCTGTATCGGTAGCATACTTGGCGACTTCTTTATCGACCAACTTGTAGTCGGTATGATTCTTCTGTGGAACTTCATCATGGAAACTGTGAGCTTCATCAACCTCTCGGTCGTCTTTTTGTGAATTTCCCATGGCGGCGGTGATATGAGTTTCCCTCTTCTCCGAAAATTGACAACCAGGACCCATTTAACATCACCCTTTGTAGCTCTGACGCAAAATCCGGAGATGCGGGGGTGGAGGCCCGCGGATAGCATAGTTCGGTATAACATCGTCCCCCATGGGGACAGCAGTGGAGATGTCTCCCCCACGCCCGGACACTTACCGAGCACTCCGCGGGCGAATATCTTCAAAAACCGGCAATAGGTTGCCGATCATAGGCCCGGCATCCAGTCAGCGGCTTCGTCGGCAACCGGCGTGGCCGTATTGACCCTAGTCGCGCTCCACAGCCGAGTGTGGCTGCTCGGTGGAACAACAACCCGAGCAGTTAGTCTCGCTTCGGGCGGGGATGATGTCGGTTACAGCAATGGCATGACATGTCAGGTTGCGGTGACCTCCGATGACGCTCTGCAACTGGCAGTGCTCTGTTGGTTGCTCGCTTTGCGACTCGGAGAAAAAGTCCTGCCACAATGGCTGATGAAACCTTTGTTACATTTTCCCCCTCCGCGGGGCTCCTCAGCCTTACCGAAGCCGCTGTGCTAGTCGATGGCGATGACTTCGTCGGGGTTCATCACGCTGCTCGAGCACTTGCTGAGGACTTCGGCCGCGTGACGAAAGGAAGCGCAAACGCCTTCCAGGTCGTGGGACAGGAATTGTCCGCGCCAAGATTTGCTATTGTCATCGGATGCATCGACTCTTGCCAAATAATCCAGCGACTAGCGGCTTCGGGGAAGATTGACGTATCGCAGATTCAAGGCAAATGGGAGACATTCCTCACTGTGGTGGTCGACGATCCGGTGGAGGGATGTGAAAAGGCGTTGGTGATTGCGGGCAGCGACAAGCGAGGGGCAATCTTCGGCGCCTACACCCTCTCCAGCCAAATTGGAGTTTCTCCGTAAGTAGCGAGACTCTCTCTCTCTCTCTCTCTCTCTCTTTGTTTCTCATGCTGACCTCTCAGATGGTATTGGTGGGCCGATGTCCCTGCAAAGTCTCATTCCAGCATCTTCGCCTTGCCCAAGCAAACAATCCACGGCGAGCCCAGCATCCAATACAGAGGCATTTTCATCAACGATGAAGCACCTGCTCTCACCGGGTGGGTGTTGGAGAAGTTTGGTGGATACAATTCGAATTTCTACAAAAAGGTGTACGAGCTACTCTTGAGACTCAAAGCCAACTTCATGTGGCCAGCGATGTGGCCTGGATATCCAAACCCCGGTGCTGTCTTCTTTCTCGATGACCCCGAAAACCAGCGCATCGCCGATGAGTATGGGATATGTGTCTCTACCTCGCATCACGAACCGATGCAGCGGGCGACAACGGAGTGGTTTGAGGATCATACAGACGGGACCTGGGACTGGACAATCCATCGTGAGGAGATCATTCAGTTCTTCCTCAAAGGGGTTCAGCGGGCCAAAGGCATGGAATCATACTTCACGTTGGGCATTCGGGGCGAATACGACAAGCAAATGGCAACGAATGATCCTGGAAAGGTCATCCGTGATGTCCTTCAACAGCAGCGAGCTCTTTTCAAAGCTGTCCACGGGCGCGAAGATGCAGTTCCCCAGGTGATGGCGCTATATAAGGAGATTCAGGATCTCTATCAAGCTGGCGAATTCACTGTCCCTGACGACGTGACGCTTCTGTTTGCGGATGACAATTTCGGAACATTACGTCGACTTCCATCTGGCCCTGAGAAGTCTAGAGCAGGCGGAGCTGGGGTAAGAGATCTATCGATGAGCGGCGAAGGATTGCTAATGCTAGGCCAGATCTACTATCATTTCGAGTACGTGGGTGCTCCTCGGAGCTACAAATGGATCAATTCCAACTCGCTGGTAGGTCGTGCGCAGTTCGAAAATGTCCAAAGCTAACTTGCAGCGTTGCTGTAGGGCAAAATTTACCACCAGTTGAACCTGGCCTATCAATCTCATGCGCGAAAGATTTGGGTATTCAACATTGGAGACATCAAACCGATCGAAGTTCCGCTCACATTCGCGATGGACATGGCCTGGAATATAAATTCCATTAGCCCAACTAGCATCCCTCGATATCTGGGAGACATTGCGTCCCAGTATTTCGGTGAAGACCTCAGTCCAGAGATAGTATCTGTCTGGCACGAATATGACCGTCTTGTTCGCATGCGCAAACATGAACACATCGACCCAGAGAGCTTCTCGATTCTGCATTACAACGAAGCAGACGATATTGTCGCGCGTTGGAAGACTTTGGAGTCCACAGTTGACGCACTGTATGATCGTGTTTCCGATGACCAGAAAGCGGCTTTCTGGCAGCTTGTCGTCCACCCCGTCAAAGCCAGCACTATCTTCACCTGCCTGCGAGTAACCCAGGCTCGGAACCAGCTGTACGCACGACAACGACGCAACACCGCCAACAAATTACTGCGCCAGGCTTTGGACTTATTCGACGCAGATTTCAAACTCTCTCAGGAGTTCCACTCGCTGTTAGACGGAAAGTGGAATTACATGCTGTGCCAACCACACATGGGCTATGGCGATACTTGGCATGCTCCATCGCGGGATGCGATATTCGGTTTGGCATATGTTCAGCGTCACCAAAATAGCAATATCATTGTTGGACAAATGGGAGTTGCTGTCGAAGGGCATGAGGGAATTCGCCCCGGTCGCATCAACGAGGAGAGCGAACGCACCCATCCAAGTCGCCGCGACTTGGTACCTGGTCTAACGATGGGTCCCATGAGTCGGTACGGCCCGGCGAAACGGTGGTTTGATATCTTCACGCGCGGCTTCCAGATCATTCATTGGAAGGCATTGGCGCCGTTTCCTTGGGTCAAGCTCTCTATCACGGATGGAACGCTGCATCCCGATGGAGATGACGCCCGAGTCTTCGTCGCGGTCGATTGGGATCAAATCCCGCACGACTTTGATGAGGAAATCCTCATTAGTGTCGCATCCGAAGAAGGTGACTTTGAACATGTTCATCTCCCCGTGAAAGGGGATGCAGCTCCAATTTCTTTCTCCGGGTTCGTCGAGGCAGACGGATGCGTATCCATTCCAGCATCGGGAATCAGTCTGAAACATCCGTATCAGCACCATCGCGACCTTGGCCGCAGAAGCGAGGGCGCTGTTTCATTAAGGGACGACGCTGACATCGAGGATAATGATGTTTCTTTCCTTGAGTATCCTGTATACTTTTTCTCGTCTTTCCCTTCGCCATCCATCACATTGCACTTCAACATGACTCTCGATGTTGACCCGGCAAATCCCATGTCTTACTCTATTGGAGTGGATGAAGAACCTATAGAGAGGCATATTCTCCTCCCATCAAGTGGGGGAGAAAAGACCAAGCTTCCAGCAGAGGGGTGGTCAGAGGCTGTTATGGATTGTGTGTGGAAAAGGTCTCACTCAGTCTCGGGACTACGGGAAGGAGAACATATCATTCGCATCAGCCTCCACCATCCAAATTTGTTGCTGGAAAACATCATTTTGGACCTCGGTGGTGTCAAAGAGAGTTATCTTGGACCTCCCCCGAGTTATGACCAAGGGTGTTAATGGCAAAAAGGGGAATCTCAATCAACGCCGACATCTATCCTCATATCGACGAATATAACTTCCGGGGACAAAATCAATTTATAATGTCGCAACAGTTGACTCTAATGATAATTCTATATTACAAAATTGAGACTCCAGACCAGGGCATTGACCATAATACTGTTCGCTATCACGGCTTTTGTGGGATCTGAGGGCTCTCTCATCCAAGGAGTATGGGGGTAGAGCTGGATGTGCCCATTCGTGGCAATTTGCCCTCTTCCCAACTCGCCATCACCGCGAGTCTAGCTCCATCCACAACTTTCATGTGGTGCTTTTGTAAAAACTGCGAGAAAATGTGCATGATCACAGTGCGATCTCCATTGGAAGTGGCAAGTCGGCCGACAATATACAACGGCCACGTGAGAGTAGCCATCGGGGTGGAGAGCACACATACTCGAAGTACGCTATTGAAAGCGGATTGATAAATATCATGATCTGCCGATGCAGGCGATGATATGTCATGGTCATCTCCATAGAAGATAGAAGGTATTGCCATGCGCAGTGTCAATAGTCCACAAAACTTGTACGCCTGCGCTATCTGTATCATAGCTTCAAAGTACGATTCAGAGGTGCCCACAGACTCGAGTGACCACGACCGGAGATGATACTGCAGTATCCGAGCTCTCTCATCCATGTTCTCGCCCGCTTGGGATCGACTGACCACATCAGCAAGTTCGTGCATCAGGGGCCACAGACTGCTGCTGCACCCAAAGACGGGTTCGGGCTGCTCAAGCTGCTGCGCTTGGTCATGTGGAAATGGGATGCTCAGCGCCAGGGGCTTTTGGCCCAGCGATAGAGCCAGCATCACGTTGAAATATTGGAAGACTTTCGAAAAGAAGATGTGATCTGGCGCTCGAAGCATGCTTGGGTCACATTCCAGGAGGCTCTTTGCTCCCTGTAGGTGGCACCAGGCGTTCGTCGGGGAGTTTCCTAGCACGATCTGATGGAAATCTGGTATTAGGACCGAAAATTACAGTCGAGATGGAACTCACATGCCTCGTAATAGATCAGGAGGAGACTTCCCACAAGGCTGTTCCGCCGCGAGATATGATCCTGTTGTGGAGCACATACTTCAGCAGCCAACAGATTCAGCGCCTGTGTATGCAAGTTTGTTGGGACAGCAGGTGATTCCACCCCGAGCACATGTAAATGCGCGGCGGCCACCGCTTCAATGGCGCGCTGCACTTGGATCGAAGATGAAGCCAAAGGGAGGACATAAATCAGAAACGGATTTGAGGAACCTCCTTTCGAAGAAAAGGAGATCAGGTTCGATAAACTCGTCTGGAAGTGATACAGAAGCCGACTTTGGCCACTGCTCGGTTGAGCGGCCATTAGGAACGGCGGCGAAACGCGAGATCCGGTACTTTCACTCTGAATGATTCTTTGTCGAGTGCGAGCATATTTGACCATACTCCAATCTGGATACACACACTCGACGCCTCTCTCGACGCAGATCTTACAGTTTGGTTGTGTCTCGTCGCATTTCTTCCGCCTTTTGCGACTGTTGTTCATCAGCTGCGTGCTTCCATACAGATAATATAGCATACCAGCTCATACACCCCCATCGCGATCGTTTTTCCCTGGATGTTGACATGTTTGGATTTTGCGGAGATGCAACGCTGCGCTTCCCCTCACGATCGGCATCTTCCGAACTACATTTCTCAACACGGAAATCATATATTAACGACAATAACAGAATAACAGAACAGAACAAGAGCCTTAGGTATCACCATTTAGAACCAAAACACCAAAATCATGCCTCACAAATCCAAATCCAAATCCAACGCGTCTGAATATCCTCAATTTTGAACCTCAAAACCGACCACCAGGCGTACTACCTGGAGCTTCCCAAATAACCGGATGCCCCTCAAGCTCTGTCGGTGCCCCATACGAGCGTGCCGGCACAGGTGGCTCATTCCAACTCCAATGACCCTGTTGTGTAGACGGAGAACCACCGTGCCCGGAAACATTTTCCACCCCCGGGGAGAAAGTTCGGACAGTGGGGTCCGGGCTAGAAACCGCACTGATGTCGATATGGCCTGGCTTGGGGGCGTTGCTTCCGATCTCACTCTTGCGATTGCCGGCGCTGTATTGGTCGTCGTGGTTGAACAACGCCCAGCGGCGGGTACGTTCGGTCCGACCGTCTTGCGATGACACCCACCGGGAGTATACGCGGTTTCGACCGAGGACAAAGAACAGTGCCCCTAGAATTGCCAGGAAAGCCACACCTGCTACGGCAATACCCGCAATAGCACCTGTGCTGAGACCGTGTTTTCCCCCGGAGTCGGAGTTGTCTGAACCTGAGTCGGAGTTGCCACCGTCGCCCTCTGCTGGCATTGATTGTCCGGGTACTAACATGTAGGGGTATTTGAGGGCTTTCTCGTACTGTGCCTGCCAGGTTTGAGTTGAGTTCTGGGATTGGGTCAGTATATTGCACTTTCTTTGGGATATAGTTAACATACCGGATTTATTACGCCAACCATGCCATTTTTCTGACACGAATCTATTGCAGTGCAATAGAAGAATGTGGGCTGCATGACATCGATGTTAGTATGCGAGCATTACTATTAAGTTTGTGTCAGCAGACTCGATACATACCTCCGTGTTATTGACTACTACCGACCAAGTCGGGGCCTGTGTTGAAAATGTCAGCAGTGTTCATATACCAGCACATCTCACGACTCGTTTTCGTTTTGAGTTACTCACCGGCCCGACCAGTTGCCCTTCATTCTCATTAAAGTCATCAAAGGCTCCCGAATAGAAAATAGGCGCACTTGCTGGCACACAAGGCGACAGGAAATCCGCCTTGACGACGGAGTGGTTTGTCGGATAAAATTCAAACACAACGACATCGCCCACATTCGCCGTGATGTTGGTCGGCACATACTGATGTGGGTCAGACTTCGGACCAACTTGAAACGTATGAGTCGCGATGCCGGTGGATGTCGTCGTCGAAGCCGTGTTAGTTGTGCCAGTCGCCACGGCCGAGCTCGAATCTGCCGCCGCTGCTACTGTCGCCAGGACTGAGACTAGCAGCGGCCAAACCAGCTTCCGCATGAGCATCATGCTGAGATACTCCGCTCAACAAAATATGCAATACGCTGCACCCTAGTGGTTTTGGAACTGTCTGCGCTGTGAAGAAAGAAGGTGGGAATATGAGTGAGAAAAGTGTATGGTCTTACAGGACAAAGAATGTCCAAGTCAGGTTTCAGACAGGGCTGCACGTTATTGGGAATTCCCTTGATTGGGCTGACCACCATTGACAGTCTTCGGGTCAAAGAGCCCTGCGGTAGGCAAAGCCTTGTCAGAATCGGGTATCCAGGCCCGGCTCAGCTCGCCCACTATGAATCTTTTGTCAGAGTTCCCGTCAGCCACTGCCTCTGATTTGTGGGTTCTATGGGTTTTAAGCACCTAAGAGGCTCTGCATGCGCTAAAGTTTAGTGTCGATCAGACCATGTTGATGGATCGCATCTCTTCGAGAGTATTTCCGCCTCGTTGGGGGTGACTATACTGACATTGTTGAGGAGAATACGGCGGACATGCACTTCTTATGCAGATATTATTAATTTATTTCTCTGTCTTGAACATCGCTGAATGCCAAGTCCCTAGAAGTGTCATCAATTAGTCGCGGTACGAGGTGGTCAGCAAGCCACCGACGCTAGGCCACCCTTGCTGCTTTGTTCCAATACAAGGTCTGTATTTGATGAGTCCTGCATGTCCTCGTGGCGACAGGGTCAAAGCATTGACAATGAATATTTATTTTAGCTCAACAAAGCCCCCGGGTCAAAGGTCCTGAAACGCCGACCGTTGGTCTGGGGATAATGACATACAGCAACTTAAACCCCTTGTTCTTCCTAATGCGGTGACAGCTTTTCAGTGATAGAGCCGCACTATCTGCAAATCCAGACATAATATCAGTCGATATCATGATTTCCAAGGTTGTGACTGTCAGTCTGTAAGCATCTAGCCAGCGGTGAGGGGCACCAGCCGTGCTCGTGTCGACTTCCAAGGCCCATTAGCTCTTTTTCCCGTTTATCCGCTGGCTTCTCCTCACACGGGTAATTTTCCAAACGTGTTGCGTCTCTTCAGCGTTGATGTCGATTCGGATTTTTCGATACGCCATCGGTCTACTCCGTAGTCCATGCAGCGTACCTAGGTACCCCCAAAGTCCGAGTGAATGCCTGTTCGGTCAGCTCTCTAGATGATTTTTTCAACTCAATTTCATGCTGCAAATCGAGTTTTCTTCTATCATTGATGACCTCGGGAGTAGACCTTGCCATAAAATATAGGTAGTGACTACATAGGTAAATATCTCTCATTGCGGGACATATCAGGGAATGGAATTCGTCGGAATCGTAGTTGACAATTGTTTCAAATTATTTAGAAAATTAAGATACAATTTATTATTTATGCGTCATACCTACACAGATAGTGCTTTTCGCTTTCTCCTCCCAGTCAGTGCAGGCAGTTTACCTTAATTCTCCACCGACTGGAGAACAACTTCATCAATGTAAGGCTTTCGAGCCCATACCCTTTTCCTGCGTTGATATCAGCACAACCTGTGTTTGCGAACAGAATGGTATGACTGACACTCTGTGAAAAAGATGATTATCGGTCTTTTTCAATTCATTTCTGATCTGAGCCAGAAAGACTTGGACTTCATCGTGAGACCACGGAGTCGGATCACCATATTTCGTTAAGAGATACATCACGTATCCCTCCACGCCTACCGTCCAGTGCTCGAGGTTGAGAGACCCTGCCTCTTTAAGTTGTGCGTCCCGCGCCCACGGTCCGATCGGCCATTTCTTGACTTCCTCATGAATGTCAAGAAACCCAGCGCTTCTGACCAGCTCTGCGCATCGATGATACAAATGGAGTGGCCGACCGGTCTTCGCTGCCGCCGACTTCATCATTGGCATGAAGTTCTTCAATGGGCAGTCTTCAGACCAGCTGTTATCTTCGCTTTGAAAATCAGCAGTCAGTTCAAGCAATTCAATCCAGCCGCCCGGGCGCAAATATCTTAGGACAGGTCAGCTCACGCCGTCGCTGTGATTTTCGATTCTCATGCGCCTACCTATAGCACTGATCGAGAACTTCTTCGTTCTCTTCCGGGGTAAATGCGGCATCTAACAAGCGCATGTGGATAAGGTCGAATGGTAAATGCCACGTCCACTCTTGAGTGATATCGTCTACTTCAAGAATGCAATTCGGAGGCACCCAGGGCGCAGGTGGTGGGAAAAGATCCACTCCGCGAACAATTGCTGCGACCATCAGTTCTCTGCGATATTCCCTCTCGAGGCGACCTTACCATGTGGGAACATGTCGGCTACGTCGCTTCCTCACGTCAGTTACTCGTAGCCACATGATGATTAGTACTCACATTGCCCATGACCCTGTTCCGGTGCCTATATCTAGAACATGCTGATACAGATTAGTCTCATGATTAAGTCAATGGCATCCGTCATACCCTCATATCGTCTCCAAGTGGTGACCGGAAAAGGGGATTATCCCGATGGCTTTCCATAACAAGCGCTGTGATATGTCTGCCACGAACTGAGCTTTCATTCGCAAAATTCAGGGAGGGTGGGATACCCGGCCTCATAGGTTTCGAATTGCTGATCATCAGAGGGCACACTGGTCCGAGTTAGCAATTGTCACTTCACATCTTCCAGAGGAATTTATCCACGGGTGACATACAACGATTCGCCCTTGAATGTCTGGTATCTGTACTTCTCTTAGTCTCTTCGGGCAGATTAAAAAGCAGGACATGATCACTCACCTCCTTCCATTCTCCAGGAAGCCCCGGTATATTGATGACTCAATGGTCGTTGTTTCACTAAGTAAGCTTTCAGCCGTGCATAATAGTACTAGTCCAGAGAGGTAGCTTACGATTGCCAGTCGTCTGGGTGATATTGATCGGCATCGTAGGCGTATAGATCAGGATCCTGTACTAAGGTTAATTCGGTATCGAATCATCAACTGTGATCTTGGAATCACGAACGACGGCGATTTTCGTATGTTCCATGATGCAGCGTCCGAGTTATTAGGCGCTCAAGAATTACAATATGCGTCCGTCTGGGTTGTAGTGAACATCATTTGGCAGAGGCCGATATTCACGGTTGAAGATAAGCGGGAAACGAGCTCCGACGTCTTTAAGAGAGGCCAAGGGCACATCTCAGAACGGGCCGATCGTGTTGGGTTTTTGGATCTGGCTTCTTTTCTTTTTTTCCTTGATTTTTGGATACACCAATGATGGTATTCAAGTTATCCCTGCTAGTGTCCGATTCGATTAAGCTGAAGTGGGCCGACTGCGTTTTCCTTTTTTTGTGCCCCCTGGGATCACCAAATCGGTCAGATTTGGGCAAAGGTCCCTTTCATCCGATGTGGGGATTGGTGGTACATATGATATCCTGTACCGCTCAGTGGTCGATGCGTAAAAGTCGAACAAAGAACTTGACGTTCACTTCCCTGGTCGCCTATGGGAGGTCGGGTGCTGTCTCCACCTCCGCTTGTAGTATAAAGGGGCGAACCCTTGTCATTTCCGGGGCCATGACTCGGAATTATTGAAAATAATCGGCCCGTCGCTTCTGATTTACGGTGTAGGAATCTCTTTCACCGTCTGAACAATTGCATTCTATAGGTAGTACATGTGCGGACGCCGCGCATGAGTTGGCCTGACGCCCGCTAGATGCAAATAATTAAGCCCACCAGTGCGTTGGGAAGGGATAAGAGCTCGAAGGCATGTCATGGGGAATGTGGGATCACCGCTCTAGTGAAATAGTCTCCTGATTCTCTGCGTCTCCTTTAGGTGCCATTTCACGAAGCAACGGGACCTTCACCTGGATGACAAAGGTGCAGACTGCAATGATGAGAGCCTCGGGCAGCATGGTCATGGTCAAATAGGCGGTCGGGTCCCCCTTGATGGCATTGAATTTCATGTTAGAGGTGATGATGAAACTCAGTGAGTACGCAAGGCGCACTGCCAAGAGCGGAAGACACACGGCCACCCCTATTATGCCCCACCGCTCTATCTTGGGATAGTCATTTCGGCGATGCCAGAAGACTATGAAGACTCCTACCAAGTATAGGTATATCACCGCGAGTAGTGCCGTGCTTGCTTGGCTCCAAGGAGTTGGGAGAAGGGCATGTTCGACGTGCATGACCGCCACCCAGCCACCGATGGAGATCCCAATGTCAATCCAGGTGATGATTGATGGGATGAGGAAGATGCGCTTTCGGATGATTGTGACATATTTGTTTCTGTATCCACATGTCAGCTTTGTCTTGGTACTCGACAGAATTGATTGTGGCATACGTTCGTTCCAACATTTCCAGCAGTAGGAAGATGATCAATATCATGCCAAGCGATTCACAGACAAAAATAGCCGCCGAAAGGCCGCGGGAATCACTATTGATTGCTGCCAGCTTGCAACTGGCGCCTATTAAGCGTAGAAGCGAGAAAATGCCAATACAAAACCATCCTATTCGGCCGGTGCACTTGAAATACACCGCGAATAGCAACGGGGCCGAAAAGGTAGCAATTTGAGCCACGGAAATGCCATCGCGGTATGCGAAAGTTCTGGAGCTCATGTTTTGCCTGAGTACTCCTTAGTGAACAGTCACTTCTAAGATTGTGGCAGATAACAACCTTGGAACTTTGGAAAGAATGGCCAGTGTCTCAAACTGTACTCTTCGGGTCGGTACAGAGTACTCTTTTTTCCAAATATATATCTGGTGGTTTCGTTTCAATAAAAACAGTGCCGAAAGGCTGGGTAGAATACACATTCAAGGATCGAGAGATACTGAGAAGATCCATATCTTTTATACAGACCCCAGACACGTCAGGATCATGATTCTTGCTCAAAATGAAGACGCCAACCTGATACTCTGAGTGATCACCGCTATACAAGACTGGACCTGGGGCTTGGCACAAGGCTGAGAGTTCCAATTCGGTATAGCGCGCAAGCTCACGTGACAATATTCCGCCGACTGATCACGTGCTTCTCTATGTACCCTTCCCCGATCTGGACTAGCATCCTTCCAACGGGGCCTGGCCCTCGAGTCCTTCCACGTTGGTCCTTAGTATTTATGTGTTAATGCAGCGAATCAGCCGCGGGGCTCGGCTTCTTTCATCCCGGCTTCAATGTTTATAATAAAGTTCAAGTGATTCACTCGGGCATTTGTTCCTCGGCATGTCACCTGGTTTGTAATCTCATTTTGTTAATTCTTTGAAGATCATCGGAAAATTTGGACGATCTACTACAGTAGTCTACTCCGTATTGTAGCATGTAGATAGAGATTTCCAAGGTTGACCGGAGACGTCAAAAGACCGGTACATAGCTTTGCTAGTACGTACTGTATTGGCGAGCCTTGCAAAATCTGATGAACCATGCTTTTGATAGTGGGCCTTAAGATCCGAGGGAATCCGTGGAACCACAAACACAATCGGCGAAAAACACGATCTCGTTACCTCGTAAGATTTCGAGATTCCAAGGTTTGGACGCCGCCACGTGGTGCACGTGCTGACTTAGATCCCCGGACTCAAAACAATGACTTTAACGCCCCGAATTTGAGACCGTTTTAGACACTCCGGACTACTCCGTACTTTGTGCTGCAAGCCACAGGAGATCCCCCCGACGTCGGAACGGTACATAACAAGTACCCACGCGGCTCCTGGGAAGATATGGAAATTAATTACATGTGGGGGATAATCGGGCGTTCAGCTCTGCCGTGGAAATCCTCGGTAACTTACTGTAGTCGCTAGGGGAGGCTGAACCCTAGCTGAGCAGTGACTTGGTGGCGAAGATTTCCAATCGAATGCCTGGATTACAGTGGGGCATTCGTGCGTCTATTCGATCCATAGGCCCTTGTTAGGCTTAGGTCGGATACTTTTCCCGCTTGGGTCTTCACCGAGACCTTCGATATTATGGCGCGTTTCAGTCGACCCAACTTTCGGGAAGGAGGAGGCACTGTTCGAGCCCAATGATGGCTTGAGCTTGGTTTTAATCTATCGACGCCATTGCAGAGATTTGTGCGAAATAGACAACCTTAGTATGTTCTAGTTGCCAAGCTACCGCACAGGGGTATTCATACCGAAGCCGGAACAAAACCAGATGTTGCCCCCGGGGGAAAATGGATACTCTTTCAACGACTCTCGAACTGCTTGTTGGACGAGCATCTTCGCATCGCCATGAGGGTTCAACTGTGCATGTTTGCTGTCCTGGCTTTTCTAGCCGTTGGACTTCAAGCGGCAGCTTTGAATGAATCTTTCCCATCCTGTACAGTATGTTTCTTGAAAAGGGATTATGAACTTATCACTGACTGCCTTCGAGATTGCTTGCGACAAGCAATTATTCTCCGACTGCTCTTTGAGCGGAAACACAACATGCTTCTGCGACAGCACTACACGCTTCAACGATCTTTTGGATTGTGTTTCAAGTAACTGCACGACAATGGAGCTTTTTAGTGAGTTTCACTTCCAATGTCTCGCCAAGTCTTTGATCTAACTCACTGTCTAGCCACTAAAAGATTGCACGAGAATACTTGTGACATCACCCCACTCAAAGGTCCGCCAGCAATCAATGGAGCAACCCTTGGGCCTATGATCCTGGCCACCTTCTTCTTCATTTCGAGAATCATTGCCAAAAGCAGCGGTCTTGCTGGCGGTTGGGGATGGGATGACTATACCATCGTTGTTTCATATGTAAGTTTCACTTGGAGGAGTTCAATGGGGCATCCTGAAAATCTTCCTGCTAACACTGCGCCAGATTCTTGGACTTGCAATCTACATTCTCAATGTTTTCAGTAAGTTCGCACCGGAAATCATTCTACAACTCCAGTCCTAACCAAACAGTGGTCCGTTATGGGTTCGGCCAAAACATCTGGGACATTGTCCCCCTCGACGACATCAGCACGTTCTACCAGCTCTTCCAGGCTCTTGCTGTGATGTACAAGGTCCAGATCTCTCTCGCCAAGATCTCAGTCTGTCTTTTCCTTCTTCGAATCTTCCAATCTCGATACTTCCGGTACATCACCTATGCGCTCATTGCCGTGAATGCCGCCATTGGAATCACCTGGGGCCTGGTGGACTCTTTCCGCTGCATACCGACCCGGCTCACATGGCTCGGCTGGAAGAATGAAGAGGCTGGATATTGCATCAACTTCATCGACTCGATTCTCGTCAACTGCCTGGCGAATATTTTCGTCGACTCGGTCCTTATCGTCTTGCCGGTGTTTGAAGTCGCCAAGCTGCAATTGCCTCTGCGGAAGAAGCTAACAGTTGCACTGATGTTCGCCGTGGGATCTGTGTAAGTCATCTATTCTACAGACTTACTGTCTGGTACTAATTATGCGCAGCCTCACCATCATCGCCATCATCCGAGTCATCGTCTTCTGGAACAACCGTTGGGGCTACAACCAGACCGTCGGTCTATACCCGCTCATCTACTGGACCGTCATCGAATCCCAGATCTCCGTCATGTGCGCCTGTCTACCAGCATTCCGAGCTCTGATCGGTCGATGGCTCCCGGGGTTCTTGGGCGGCACAGCGCGCCGGACATATGCGACAGGAGGAGCGGACTACTACCATAGGTCCGGCGGGAACAGCAACATCAACAAGTCCGTTACCTACGAAGTCAACTACACCCCACGGTCAGAGACGAACAGTGATGTGGAACTGGTGGATTTGGATGGAAAATACCATCGCTGATGGTTTCTCAACTACAATATTTCTTTTTGTCAAAACATAACGCTAATCCATAGAGGGTATCAAGGCAATCACGAGCCATGTATATATTTGTATCAAATTCACGTTTTTTTTTTTCACGCTGCAGAAAGTATAAAAACAGTAGACCCGGGCCCACCAATGATATCTAGATGATGGGAGATCGAAGATCTAGAAGTATCCACCGGGGCGTTGTTCTTATTTTTGGGTTTTTTGGGTGAAAAAGGTAGAAACACCCGACTGCCTGGATAACCTTGGAACTTTAAACGCCTAGCCAATGTGGCGTTTCCAAGGTTCCTGACACAGTCCACAAGCCAAAATTCCCGAGCGCGAGTCATGGTTGGATGCGACGGATAAAAGTAACTTGAAGGGCCGGACCCAAAACACTACATCCGCGCGTTTAATCCTTTGAATATGTCTCACATTCCAAGTTATCGCTCTGCGAAGCGATCAATGTAGCAATGACATCTTGTATCTCAAATGGTATGTGAAGGGTCTCATAAAAAGTGCTATCATCAACTTGGATCTCGAAATCATAGGCGCACCGTCGCATCAAAGTTTCGCCTTGGGAAGGCGATTCTCAGCAGCCGAGTCATCCTTAATTATATCAGCCGCCCTCTCCGCCACTGCATAAACACTAGCCTGAATGTTGCCACTCAGATTGTTCGGGAAGATGGATGCATCCGCGACTCGAACTCCTTGAACGCCCTTCACACGCAGATGGGAGTCAACGGCTTCACCCAGAGCAACCGTACCGCACAAATGATACATCGAGGAAACATAATCATGTACTGCCTCTGTAGCCTGATCGAGATTCTGAAGATCCACGCTCGGTCGAGGGAAGGTTCGACTGGAGATCGAGTCTCGTAGATGCTTTGAGTGGCCGACGCGATCGGCCATGCGCAGAGCAGCCCCGAGGATAATAGCATCTGCTTCCTGGGTAAGCCATTTAGGCTGGATGGTGGGTTGCTGAGCGGGATCTGTATATATGTTAGCTGGGTTCGATACTGGGTTTGGACTAAGCAGTCTACCAGATGACTTGATATGAATGTATCCGCGGGAGACCGGGTTCTGGATGCCCACAACGGCTGTGATTCCAATCTTCTCGGGGTCGGCAATATCTGTGAAGAGCTTGCTGTGGTTCTTGACATCGCCTTCGGGATTCATCATTGCGGGAACAAGAACGATCTGGATGTTTGAGGCTTTCTCGTCGTCCAGGTTCGCAATGACCTGTTGAATCTGCTTCGCGTGGAATTCGGTCTCCGGCTTGATAGCCCTGACACTCTGCAGCACCTTTCCCATCTCCTCCTTGGATAGAAGGCTCTTGGCCGAGTAGAATCCCATGATATTCGGGACAGCTGCAAGCGGCCCGTCCTTGGTATCTGCATACTGTTTAATGGCAGCCTGCATAGCTTCAGGAGCTTGGCGTAGAACATCACCGGTGATGACACCGGGTTTAACCTCCCAGTTCAAAAATGCAATAGCATGGTCCTGGAGATTCGCTCCAATAGCGGAATTTTTAACCTTGCACGGAACACCCGCTGACTTGAGGATGGCAGGGTCTCCGATGCCGGATAACTCCAAAATATGAGGCGAGGAGACGGAGCCGGCAGTCAGGATCACTTCCCGGGCTACTTGAATCTCGTAGCCTTTCCCTTGATGGTTGATACTGACCCCCGTCGCCTTGATCTTGTTATCGAGAAGGATCTTATTGACCCGAGCTTCGCACAGCACCTTCAGATTCGGACGAGTGTGATTCGGCGCGTAATACTCCCTGGCAGCATAGCTGCGCAATCCCTTGTTGGGACCCTTTCTCGTAATAGTGGCCATCACATGGTGAATACCAAGATGATGCCCCGACCAGGGGTCTTCGGATTTATCTGTTATCCCCGTTGTATCCTCGCATGCCTTGAGGAAGTCGAACTCCACCGGCATGGCGCCCTCATTGAAACTCGTATGAATGGGACCATTTGTGCCATGAAACTTGTCCTGAAGTTTGATCGATCGGCCCAAGTCTGCCTCTGCAGGCTCGAGGGTCTGATCCATTATTGAGATTAGTGAGGTATTGTGGGTCATGTGGATCGATCACACCTGATGCTTGCGCATGTACCGCTGCATTAATTCTGCAGACCAGCCTTCGTCACCGACAAAAGAGGCCCAGTTATCGTAGTCTTCCATCGAACCCCTCACATAAACCATGACGTTCATGCCACTAGATCCCCCTAGATACTTCCCGCGAGGGATTTGGTGGACTTTCCCCCGATTCCCAGCCTTCACAACTCGTTAGTCAATTAATTCGCCAGAAGACAGTTCATGCTTACCTGCGGCTCGGTATAGATGCACCAGTCATAATTTGGGTTCGCGAGCTGCTCTGGGAACATCCCCGGGATGTCGACTACGGGGTCTCCGAGTCGACTCTTCCCCGCTTCGATCACACCGACCGTAACAAGGGGATTCTCGGATAGGCGGGCAGCGATGGTACATCCAGCTGTGCCTCCTCCGCAGATAATGTAGTCAAAGGAAGTATCCAAAAACTCCTCGATGGAGCAGGTTGGGATGTCAATTTTGTCGGCCATGGTGTGTGAGCTTGGACTGAAATCCTTTGTCGAAGACCAGTGGGCGTGAGGACGCTTATATGAGCCCCGCGCAGTACTAGCACTACTAACTCGTAGTTAGTGTTCCACTGAGATGCGTACAGAGCGCATTGAGCTTGGCGGCCTCGTGGGGCGGGATTGGTTGATGCAACGATGCATGCTAGGCGCTGTCGCTGTCTCATTAGCTGCACCGCCGATGAATCAATCAGTGCGTGAAGGCCAAGGGGCCTGAGTGTCTGCTGACGGAGAACAGAATAAGCGGTGCTCTTTGATGGACGATTCACTGAGAGGGGAAGCTTTCTTGGCGATTGAAGATCGAACATCGATGTGCAACTGTGGGGTTTCCCAACGTCATGGTGTGGGAGATACAAATGTGGGCCCAAGGGAGATTTCAATGCAAGTTTTGAACTCGCTATGCTAAAGATCTACTTATACTGTTCTAATCAGCGTCTCTAAATAACGGTCAGCACGGCTGATGTCGGCTAAAGAGGCAATGACCCCAATGTAACCATCCGGTCGAACGATGGCCAATGCTCCCTTTTCGGGATCAACGCCGTAGATTCCGTAGACATCATCCATCTCGTATCCACTGTAGAAAGACATCTCAGAGTGCTGCTTCACTTCCCGGGGAATGTCATTCCACATAAAGTCCCGGGGTAGTCGAGGATGCACAACAACTTGCTCCAGGAGAGAGGCCGGGAATCTCGCGATAGTTTGAGACAGAGCTTTGAGTGCCTGGGCCGAGATCCCGGTCGGGTCTAACAGATCCGAAGATGTGAGACAGAGTATGCGGAAACGACCGGTGGATGTGAAGTCTGTGATATGTCAGTGATTGAAATGACACAAAATACAGAGAATAGGAAGCATACCATCCTGTATATCGCGCCGGTAGCCATCAGCATGGCGAACAAGACGGACGTTTAAAAGTCGACGCCCTGGATAGAGAATACCCGAAAGGAAATCCGTGCCACGAATCGGGTTCTCGGTAGAAGAACGATCGACGGTCATGTTTTCTGGATACTCCACACCACATCCACTAGTGAATCCATTGCCGCGTCTGAAGACTTCCATGAACTCGTCATGGGTGAGACCATCAACACCATCTTCGGCGGCACCGATCTTGCCGGAGAACATCGATGAGAACGCTTTGTCGAACTCAATCAGTTGCTGGGCTATCGTGTGTCGCTCTTGGTGATAGGTATCGAGAATATCATTGGGACCTTCGGGAGTCAGCCCATTGATGAAATACGCGAGCTTCCAAGCTAAGTTGTAAGAATCCATCATGGAGACGTTCATGCCCTGGCCGGCCTAGATAGATTCAGTCAGATTTGGTCCTGAGTTTGCATTTTCAGTCCTACCTTGGGGCTATGAGTGTGGCAAGCTAGTATATCCGTTAGTTCATCGCGCTAGGACACCAGAGAAAGCGAAGTGAAAGCGACTTACCATCTCCAGCAATGAAAACCCGATTGATCCCACGAGAGTCCTTAACAGAGAAGCTGTCCGTGACGCGCTGACCGATCTGATATGCTGCCCACCAATCCACAGCTCCATCCGACTTAGGTCGAATATAGTACGGCGCAAACGCAGCCGCGGCGTTATCAAAAATTGTCTTCTCAGTGACTTGGCTTCTGCGCGCCCGCGCATCAACCACAGGTGTCCCTGTGCCAGACGCCAGGTCCAGATCATCGCCGTGAGCCACATCACCGGGAACCTGGACATACAACCGAGTCAGGTATTCACCGGTGGCAATTCGCTCACGAGGAATGACCATCACAGAACCAGCCGGTGAGTGGATGGCGCATCGGCGTCTGATGTCAGGGAAATCAGTATCAACCACCAAGTCAACAACACCCCAGATATGATCGCTCGATTCGCCTTCGAGCTTGAGTCCCATTTTGCGTCGGACGACCGAGTGGGCGCCGTCGGCGCCAATCAAGAACTTCGATCGCACTGTCCGAGTTTGTCCCTCCGTCTCGATCTCAGCGACGACGGGGTATTCCGCATCGCCATCCTCGTCCATTCTGACATCGAGGAGCTTGGTATTGCGCTGCACACCGCGCTTGGAATACCGGAGCAAATCCGTCTCTAGGATTCTCTCGATCCGACCCTGGTGGATAGTCACTTCAAACGGATACCGCGATGGAGCAGCAACATCGGGAATGATTGATGTGCGCTCGATGATCTTTTCCTTGTCTTCTGATGGGTTCCAGAATGCGACCTGTTGCGAGACTTTAGGTGGGGTTGCATGTGTGGCCGGGGGATGTGTCACATACCTGCCACATCTGACATCCTTCGCACAATATCTCGTCTGCCAATCCCAGTGATTTCAGTGTCTCTAGTGTGCGAGGCTGTACTCCATCTGCCTGTCCGGATTTCAAAGTGGTTGACTTCGCATCGATGCATAGTAAAGAATCGTCGCCTAATCCGTATCTTGCCAGCAAAAGCTCCATCATCAGTCCAGCGGGACCTGCGCCGACAATGAGCACTTCATATTTGTCTGTTTGTGGTGTTGTCGAGGTCAAGCGTGGTAATGGTGGGGCGAATGAGGGGAGAACGCGTAGCTCGCGCGACTCGGCGGCGTGTTCTGTGAATACGGGCATGGCTGGACTGTGAATAGATTGAAACAGAGTGAAGAAGAAGCTTGTCTTTATATCGACGTCGTGCACATCATGCCCCAGGTCGTGTTAGTCTAATTTGTCGGCTGTGATTCGCGGTTGTCAATGTTGGTCATCCTGGGGTAAGCAATTACTTAGGCCCCGCGCCCCGGGAGGGCCCCGCCCCGGGGCCTTGGCACCCGTGAATGCTGAACTTATATCCGCTATTCCGCTGTTTCGGCTTTTCGGCCCTTTCATACATGACTATTACTACTGGAAGTCATAGATCAGCGCTCTCGCAATGAGTGTAATTTGATTGTTGAGTGTATTTTCTCATATCCGAGCTGCGGGGTAACAATGTTCAATGCAACGTTGGAATGCATCCTGTCAGGGGCTTTTACCAATTTGCTGCACGCTTCATGAGGTCTCTAACATCCGAGGCATGGGATTCGAGAGCTCCAGCACAAATATCAAGCCTGCCCTGCCGCTGAATTGCCATTGACTGCCACGAAGCTCCATAAGGCACTAGTCCTTCCGCATCGTGATTATTCTTTGTAGAGTTTTGGACCGAGTGGTGTGAATGTGCTTTGGGGATGTGATCTGTCCGTCCTACTCATACTCCCCTGGGGGCAGTATACCGAAGCCACCCTGTTCTACAGGGGCTGCGATTACCTCAGGACTGATCGTGATTTTGCTAGACCGGATGATACCGCGCGGTGTTTGACGCGGCACGCGGATGCGTGAATAGTATGCAGCTGCATCGTCATACAGTCTTCTTGCGAGGGTCATTAGACCACCGCGGCGGGCATACAAGTCGAGGCCCTTTGAAAGGGAACGTAGCTGGTCCATGTTGTATACCTCAGCACCGATGACTTTGTCAGTGTGATCTGTCGCCGCCGCGTGAGTGGCGCGGACGGGAAAAGCACTCATAGAGCTGTTTGCATAGGGATTGCGCGGGTGTGCCGTGGATTGGCCTTGAGTGACCTGGTTATCGTGATTTGCTTCGTGTTCCTGTCGTAACATGGTGGCCACAGCGGCCTCCGCCCTTTTCATCGAGGAGAAAACCTCTGCCACATCGTCCGCACAGTTGCACACAAACATAGAGGTTCGATGACCGACATCCGCACTTCGTGGTATGAGTTGGTTTTCCGGGACCATAAGACGTGCAGTGCTGTCAATAGTGTTATCAGACAGGGTAGACATGCGAGCCGATTGCTGATTGTTAAGATGCTGCACAGAAACAGCGAATGATCCGGTATGATCTGCGAGGCGCTCCGCTCGACCGCCAGACGCCTTGATCATCTCGTCGACTTGCAGGCCGTATTTCTCATCGGCAAAGGCCTGCGAACGGAGGATAAGCCTGTCGGTCTCCGCCTTGAGCGAGACGATCTCTTGCAGAATATCATAGCAGATAGTCTCCTGGATATAGCGCTCAGTAAGCTTCTTCATGGCATCGAGAACCAGCCGCCGCTCAACACAGTGGACATAGTAATCCCAAGCACGCCAGTCCCAGCACATCATCGTCTCCCGGTCACCCTGGTCGCGCGCGGGTCCCTCAGAATCTGCTAAAAGGTTGAGATGACTGTCCATGGCCTGACTGGGACTCTCTCCAATGTCAAGCCCGAGGATGGGAAACCTGTTGTTGATAGGCCCAAAAGCTATTTGCTCAGCTAGCTGATCACACATGTCGGTGGCAGATACCAACTTACTAGCCCCACATTTGTTGCCCTTCGAAGAGGTCTCCTGCTCAAGCTTCTCTCTGGCGCGCCGTCCGGAGATACATCCTGCACCCAAGGCACGATACTCCTTGGAGCCGTGATCCTTGCTTGATGTGACCTTTTCGGAAAACTGCTGGTAGATGGGCTCAAGCAGGGTCTCGGCGGCCCTGCTAAATTGCTCAAGATAGGAGATGAACGTTTGGTCTTCCGGCACTGAAGAGGCATAGTCATACTCGTCGAGGGCATAGCTCAGAATATCGAGAGAAAAGGCACCGGTGTTTGGATTCGCGCTTGGAAATCCGACCAAATCCTCCGCGTTCAGGAAGTAGGCAGCGACCATCGACTGATGGTTGGTGTTGGGAATAAACCAGCTCCGCTTGATCTGTGCGGTTGCTTCCTCAAATGCGAGGCGCCATTGAGTATCGGGTAGATAGAGAAGGCGCTTTACGAGTAAAACACGGCTTATGTCTGCCCAATACGGCGAGCAGCATACCCAGAATAGCGTAAGATAAGTACGCTCATAATTCATGCGCGATTCACAACAGGCGTTCAGAAGGTCCATTGCAGTTCGGGTGAATAGAGGGCCGTGCCCGTGAGATGTCCATTCGCGGGTGGTTGCTATCAGCAGTGAGGCTATGTCGAAATAGTGCCTACGCTTATGATCTTTCTCCCTGTGCCAAAGTGGTGGAGACCTCCCTCCATTTGCGTCGGAAGTGGCGCCGATGTCGCCAACGGAAAGAGCTTCATTGTTGCGGCCAAGGGAGATCAGCCTCCAAAAGACACGCCAGGTCAAAGGGTCGACAGGAGTGGGCTCGACAAGATCCGTTACCAAGGCATCAAAGTCGTGCCAAATGTTGGGTCCGAGTACACCCATCACATCCTCGCTCACAGCTAGGGGCATCGTGACATATCTCGCATATGCATCTGCGTGTATGTCGCCGATAGTGTAGGGCTGAACTAGCCACTGTGTGAAATTGGTATGCAGCCTGACGTCGCTGAAATACGTAAACCCGGTATGTTCCTGCCCGTAGAGGACCTTCACCGAATCAAACAAACCCGACAGGGCCTCATCGCTAGTGCTGCTGATGGAAGCCCTAACATTGTGTTGTTCTAGGTAGTCGAGCCAGCCCTGAGCGGTTTCTCGGTGGCTAACCACCACGAGTGGGAACCCCAAAGCAACGCGACGAGGTATCCAGAAGGACTCCGGTCGCCACTGTTGGTCTGAGCCAGACACGCTCGTGTGGTTCTCTGAAATGAAGTCCATATCAGGGCCCATCCAGCTGCCGATCTTGGACTCCGTAGCAGGGGCCACAGTACGTGCAAGCTGGGCCGCATTCTTCAGAGCGAATGTAATTGCGGACATATTTACTGGACGCTCCAAACGCAGAGGGACTCTCTGGAAAGAGCTTATTAGCCAGTGAGGGGAGTGAAGAAAGGTTCTGCAAAACGGCCCTAGTTTCTGGATTAGCAGAGGTAGATAAAAGACCGATCAATTTATCCTTGGGGTCGCCGTACGTAGATGTGACGAGGAAGGTGGGATAGATAGAAGGAGTATCTGGGCGTGTCTGCGAGAGAGAAGGAGGGAAGGGAGGGAGTAATAGACCACGGATGCGAGAGAGTGAGAGTGAGTGACCTCGGGAGTGAATGAGAGTTACTAGGCAGTGGATGAGAGAGTAAGAAGTGAGAGGAGAGTAAGTGAAAGGAGAGTAAGTGAGAGGAGAGTAAGTATGAGAGGAAAGAAGAACACAAGAAGAGATCAATCAAATGATGATCTCTAATTGAAACCTTGGAAGTGCAATGACTGGGGATGAGCAGACATCCACTCTATGCTCATTGATCTCTGGTCTATAGGCCAGCATGGCGTGGAACACAGGCTACTATACCATTCCCATTATCAATAAATATTTAAATACAAACGGTAGGTATAAATGATTGGGTCTTCCGAAGTGGAAGATCCTCGCGGATCGCGAACAGGGTATCTACATAGGTACCTAGGTAGGTATACATTGCCCTGATAGCTCCTTCATGTACCTCTCGCTTACACTCCCTCATTCTCCATACCTAGGTACATATGCCTCTGCGTTGAGACAGAGGAACGATCTTCTCCAGTTCCTGCAGCCTCTTCAAGCATCCAATGAGAGTGTGTTATTGTATCCACTTCAGCCCCATTGCCAGCGCATCGTCCACGGGGGCGGGGAACGATCGACCGCGAACTCTCATCTTTCATGTCTGAAATATATCACGAATCTAGTCGGAAGGCAACTGTTGCAGCATGTCTTGCCCGCCCAAGAATGAGTTCCAAATCGGCTGGATCTGCGCTCTAGCAGTCGAAGTCGCCGCGGCTAAAGAGATGCTCGATGAGAAGTTTGATCAACTGGAGGATCAAGATGCCTGAGACTCCAACGCCTATACCCTGGGCAGAATTGGCAAACATAACATTGTGATTGTCGGCCTGCCCACAGGCCAGTACGGTACCACTTCGGCCACAACAGTTGCAAACCACATGGCACGCACGTTCTCCAAGTCGCTGAGGGTTGGTTTGATGGTAGGAATCGGGGGCGGTATCCCAACCCCGGAAAATGACGTGCGCCTGGGCGACGTTGTAATCAGTTGCCCGGTTGGCACGTATGGGGGTGTTGTTCAATATGATATGGGGAAGCATGTCGCTGATGCATTCACCCGGACCGGGTCGCTGAACAGTCCGCCTCGGTCGCTGTTGACAGCAATCAGCCGTCTCAGAGCCGATGAGCTGGCGGATGATCCTCAATACTACGATTATATTCAATCTGCGACCGATCGAACAGTTCGCACAAAGAAGTTGTTTCGGAACCCTGGTCCTGAGGGCGATCGACTTTTCAAAGTCGAGAATGACCATCCCACCGATGAAAGCTCTTGCGACGCTTGTCCCTCTGAGTGGGAAGTGGTACGCGAAGCCCGAGAAGATGATCTTCCACGCGCGCATTATGGGCTCATCGCATCTGGCAATTCAGTGATCAAGGATGCGAGATCCCGTCAGAAGTTGGGCGAAGAGATCGGCGCTCTGTGCTTTGAGATGGAGGCTGCAGGGTTGATGTTGGATTTTCCGTGTATCGTCATTCGGGGAATCTGCGACTACTCGGATTCCCACAAGAACAAGCAGTGGCAAGGATATGCTGCGCTGGTGGCAGCGTCCTATGCCAAGGAACTGTTGGGAAATTTGCCTCACAGCCAAGTGACCCAAGAGTGGCTAGCGGTCGATATTTGTCGTGAGTATTAGAATTTAAGAAGACGTTCGATTCGCTCACTTCCATGGAAAGACTCAATAGAAAATTTGAATGATTCGGTTCGCGGTACCAACGAGCGACTAGACAAGGCTTTCGATCAACAGGCATCACAGTTTTATCAGCAAAGAGAGACAGAATTCGTCGGGGAGCACCAGAAATGCCACAAGGCCCTGAAAACATCGAACTACGAGAGTTTCAAGGATATCAACCCATCGCGGGCCTCAGGGACTTGTCGATGGGTTTTAGAGAACCCGACATATCTCAATTGGCGTGATAGTTTATCAAACAGTCTTCTTTGGGTATCTGCCGACCCGGGCTGCGGCAAATCGGTCCTGTCCAAATCACTGATCGACATCAATTCCAACGACCTGGAGCCAAGGACAATCATTGCGCAATTTTTCTTCAAGGACAACGAGGTACAGAATCGGCTGAACGTTGCTCTATGTGCCGTTCTTCACCAAATCTTTGCCCAGGAGCCAGCTCTGATTTCTCATGCAATGGATTTATACAACAAGACCGGATACAGCATTAAGTATGAGACTTCCGCGCTGTGGGACATATTGTTGAAAGCCGTCGCAGGATCTAAGGCGTCTCAGATCATTTGTGTTCTTGATGCCCTTGACGAATGCCATACCAAAGACGTGGAGGTTCTCATCCAGAAATTGCGCGAGGTCTTTGGAGAGAGAAAAGTAAGGAGTGATTCTGAAATGAAGGCACGTCTTAAATTCTTCGTCACAAGTCGCCCCTATCTTGAGATCCAAGCCTTGTTCTCTTCTCTCACAGACTCATGGCCACAGATCCGATTGAGAGGAGAAGAAGAAAGTGATCAAATCAAGAAAGAAATCGACATTGTAATTCGGATCAAAATGCAGCAGGTGGCCCGAGAAGCAGGTCTTTCACCCGAAGAGCAGAAGAAGTTTGAGACTGAACTTCTGCAAATGGAGAATCGAACATATCTCTGGCTGCATCTGGCAATTGAAGACATACGTACTACTCTGAGCAACAGTGTTCAACCGGATTCCGAGTCAATCAGGCACATTCCCCCGACGGTGGATGCCGCATACGCAAATATTCTGGCCAGAGTACAAGCAAGCCAATTGTCAACCGTGAAAACAATTCTTTTGATAATCTGCGGTGCACGCCGGCCATTGACGATCCAGGAAATGGCCATAGCCCTGGGAATCGCCCTGAAGCCGGAATCATCGAACATCCACAGTGTTCAGTTAGATCCATCCCGGCTGAGTGCTCGAATCCGAAGCCTGTGCGGTCTTTTCGTTATCATTACCAATTCACGAATCCACTTGCTGCATCAGACAGCGAAGGAATTTCTCGTCAGGGATGATATTTCTGTGGAAGGTGAAGATTTGACTACACTGTACCCACTCGGAATCGCAGAGACCGAATCAACACTGGCAGAAATATGCGTGCGCTTCCTACTCATGGAAGACTTCTGCGGCTCCCACTATCGTTTTAAACTGTGGTGTTATTCTGATTCAAAATTCAAGGACTGTCCCGAACATCCGGCTCACGGTGTCTATACTTTCTTGCAATATGCAGCCGAGCAGTGGGCTCGCCATGTGCGGCATATGTCTTCTCATCGATACAACCACAATGAAAAGCTCATCAGTCAGCTGTATGATACCTCCAGTCAGACCTTTCTGGTATGGTTTGAACTATTCTGGCAGACTTCAGGCTTTGGATCGTTTTGGTCTCTGCGTGTCGCCTTCAATCCTCAAATTGATCCACTGTGTCTAGCGGCCTTGAACGGGCATGAAAATCTGTTGAGGAAATTTCTCCTGGGAAAAAGGAAAGAAGACTCGCATCACTGGACTGCACGAAATGAGCGCAATCCCATATATGAAAACGAGACATGTGCATTTATATGGGCAGCATGGGCAGGCTACTACGATATTTGTTGCATCCTTCTAAACCAAGGGGCTCGTCTTCATTCTTTCGCCGCGCAAGCTGCATTATTCCAAGGAAACACTAATATCTTCCAGCTCTTTTCTGAAAGAGGTGGAGATTCCTCGTTGGACCTTGAAGACGCTCTTAGAAAGGCATCTTGGGACAAAGATCTCGGTGCTGTACGTTCTATCCTCGAAGCAGGATCCTCTTTAAACGACGGAAGTGGAGTAAGACGCGTTCAAGCGGTTGAGGACGCCTGCTTCACTGGATCTATCGACATGGCTCGTTTCCTCCTGGACAGAGGAGCCGGCATTGATACCCGAGGATCCGGCGATGACGTCAAAAGCGATGCGCTGTACTTTACTTGTTTTAAAGGCAATCTTGATCTTGCCGAATTAATTCTGGAGAGAGGAGCTCAGGTCGACGGACCCAAACCGTCCTCACCCCCGCCTCTCGTGGCTGCTTGCAATAGCGGTAACGTCGATATTGTGAGGCTACTCATCGCAAAAGGCGCCAGTCTTACCAAAGTCACATGTCTCATTCCGACGCCGCTGGAGGTCGTGTGTAGGACTGGCTCCATCAAGATCGCCAGAACGCTCATTGAAGGTGGGGCTGACGTTAACGCACCATCCTCGGATCAATCCAGTTGTCTCTCGGTTGCTCTTAGAAATCGTCACATGGATATTGCTTTATTGCTACTGGACCATGGTGCTCACCCCGATATGCCGGAAGACGAAATGGCAGGCTGTCGTAGGTCTCATAACACCGCTCTCCAAGCTGCCTGTCGGCAAGAAATTGAGGCTCAAAAACTCATTCTCGATCGAGGCGCCTGTATCAACGCAAGAATTGAATTCAAGGATACCGCTTTAGCAACTGCCTGCAAATTTTGCGATGTGGATATTATCGAACTTCTTCTGCAGACGGGAGCTGATGCTGACCCTGGTGCCTTCGTAGCAGCAGCTCACCGGGTTGAGGTAATGAAATTGCTTCGCCATCTGAGATCGAATTTGAACGGACTTTCCGAGAATAATAGCGGTACCACAGCTCTTGAAGCGGCCTGTTCTCCTAAATTCAGCAAGGAAGGACTTGAGTACTTGCTGAAAGTTGGAGCAGGTAGTCAAACGCTAAAATTCCAGAGAACACTTGACCGCGCCTTGCTGAGCGTCAGTGGAGCCGGACAGCCGCGGGGTGTCGAAATGTTATTGGATGCAGGAGCAAATGTCCGTTTTCATGACGAAAGTACTCCTAGTGCTCTTGAATGTGCTGCAAAGTCTGGTTGCACTGAGTCTATGAGGCTAATTATAAAGAGAGGAGCTGAGATCGGCCTGAAACTTTCCTCTTTGAACGAAAGACCATCTCCGCTGGAGCTTGCTTGTTGGAATTCTCACTATGCGGCTGTGGAGCTCCTGCTGACTGAAGCTGACAACGATGGTACATGTATAGAAATATCGGATGTGGCGTACGGTCGTGCTCTGCAAATTGCCTGCTTGATCACACCCTCCATGATGAAGCTTCTACTAAGGGGGGGAGCAAACGTCAATTTTCACGATGATGAGATGAAAGCCGCACTTCACGTTGCCTCCCGATTTTTCGACCTCGATATAATGCAGGTTCTCTTAGAGAGTGGTGCCGACCCTGACCTTCCAAGCCTTGACGAAGGATATCCCCTTCGTATCATATGTACTCAAGATATCGACCCTTCATCAGCTGATCGTTCCAAATCCCCTCACAAAGGAAATCCTCTTGACGCTATACAAATGCTTTTACGACACGGTGCGAACATCAATGGCCACAGTGGATTGGACAATACAACTGCTCTCATAGAGGCCTGCCGGGTCGGTCGCATTGAGATTGTGATGCTTTTGCTGCGAGAAGGAGCCGACGTCAATGCCGTCGATAAGCACCAACTCAGTGCTCTCATTCTAGCTGCGGCGAAGGGCCATGTTCATATCGTGCGTGAGCTACTCCGACATGGAGCTGATGTTAATTATCGACGCGCGGTTGCAAATTTTGATAATGATGATGAACACCAGTTTGCACTCACTGATGGTACAAGGCATTTCGGTAGGGATATCAATTCGAATGGGCCCTGGGAAACCGCACTACAGGCAGCGTCAGCCTGTGCAAGGGATCCCAATGATGACCCGATGATAGATTTGCTATTGGAAAATGGTGCCATGCTTTGAATTAAGCTTCCGCACGAGACCGGGAAGTCTAGTAATTGGCCGGTCCTCGGGCCCAGTAGTGGGATCCGGGCCCATACTGGGTTGGGCTTGCGGCCGGGATATTGGGCCAAACCGGCCCATTGCAAAAGTCTACTTTGGATCAGTGCTTCAAGGTTTATGCATGCTGTGGCATACCTACCTAGGTAGGTACCTAGTATAAGCTTGTCTTGTATTGGCTTGGATCCACAAACTCCCGAGTCTGCCCTTCTGTCTGACCTTGCAGATAGCTCTGTTAATCTGCAAAGTGGGGAAATACCTCTTTCGCGACGTCGCCGTGGACAAGGAGTGCTCTAAGGGAGCCTCGACTACATATGCCCACGGGCCAACCCACTTCCCACTCTCAGGCTTATAGCCTATCATTCTCGCGCGCAAGCCTCACAGGTCGGAGGCGAACCGCCTCTACGGGCACCCTAAGGTGCCAGCTTCCTTCTTCTACACTGCCTTCTGAGGCTTTACTGTACATAACCTACCGTATTCCATAGCTTGGCACGTCCCTATACCCCCTGGGAGGTCACAGGGAGAGGGGCTATCGCCCCTCCTCCCGCCGGACGTTAATTACATACACACACACACACACACACACACACACGCGCGCCGTGGACAAGGATTTCTTTTGGCTCTTGAAAATTGAACCTTGATAGTAAGTACTAGGTATAACTTGTAAGAGTAAGATGTCAATACCTAGTAGGTACCTAGGTACCACCTTGTGACCGTCTGCCCCGAATCAAAGGATCGATCTCGCCATCACCGAGTGCTTGATTACACCTGGGCACCTGGGCAGTCCATATGCGGGCGATCAGATGCCTGTAGTCTCAATCAACATTCCAAGTTTCGGGACAGACCTGGCGAACATTGGAACCTACCGATGTTGGAACTCACTGCCCACTTTCATATATTCCGATAAACACCAAGGTTTTAAGGCTGGAATGCGACCCTCGAGTCCCAACCTAGGTAGGTACATTTGTCCATCATGAATGTTTTGGAAGATATGCGGGTAACGTAGTTATCAAATCAGTCTTGCAAGATTTGGGATATATTTCTCAAGGAGATATGTTTTGAAGTCATGCCAGGTGGTATGAGATGTAACAAGATATGCCTCAATCTTGCATTGTCTTTTGAGAGGCTGGGTTTGTCTCAGGTCTACCTGCCATGCCTCCCTCACTTGAAGTAAACGATACCATGGATTGCCAGGCAAGATTGTGTGAACTAGAAAGACATGGCGAAGCCCGCAATGCAATCTGAGATGAGTTTTGACCATGGTTGTTTGTGGCAAGACTAAATCTATGATCTTTGTTTTCTGCATGAGTAGCAGGTGAGAAACTTAAACAGCCAATTTCCTCATATACTTTGTCTTTTGTAGTTAAAAGAAAGAGAAAGGAAGAACATTTCGCCGACCTAGCACGTTGGTCTAGGGGTTAAGAGCTGGCTCTGAGCCCCTAGCGGCCCATTGAGGGCATCAAGCACTCTGGGCTCCCCTCGGGGGACAAGACCATCTGTGGTGTTTACTACGCCAGACTCTTCATCTACGCTGGCGTAGATGAAGGGTGGACAAGCATTTTTTGCTCGCTCGAGGTTCACGGATCGTTTCCCCCTTTCGCTTTTTTTATTTTTATTTTTATTTTCTATCTTTCTTTGTTACATTCACGCTTCTTGTTTGTCTCTTTGGCTCCCTTCTCTTCATGCCCAGGTGCACTAATAGAACTGCTCACAGGCCATGACAGTGGACCGTCCATGATATGTAATGGGATTTTGTTGCGAATAATTTGGACAGAAGCCATTTCAATACAGGTGATTTGGCTACTGAATCAAATTACCTCTTGGGTTTGTTTTTTGAGAATGGGACCTTTGGATACTTCCAGCTCTTCGTCATTCCATTTAACATGAGGCTCCACCAAGCCATCTCCGCGTGTGAAACCACATATGAGATACTAGGAAGGTTGGTTGGGATAGCCAGGCGCCGAGTCATTTCCGAGTCCGAGGTTTGATTCAGGACTGACATACAGAGTACTCCGTTGACATTTGGCTTATCAGTGCCAAGGTGAGCGGTAGGGTTGACCATAGGTATTCATACACCTGGCATGGTTGTGGAATGATGCTTGTGCTAAGATTTTAAGGCTGCATACCTAGTATGCAAGTAGAAATCCAAATCTCGGCGCTTAAATCGAGTACCTAGTATTTTCTAGGGGAATATATTTAGGTGCGGTTCCTCGGAGCTGTTCAGATGTCACCAACGCTATGCTCGGAACATAGTGCTACCTATCCGTACGAAGTTCGGGTTTCAAGCCAACAGTGTCATGGAGTATTCTTTTTGCCATCTAGTCCAATTCCTGAGGTAGCTTGTGTTTGCCGAGCAAACACCAACAGCGCGAAGATGTATCACTATACCCTCAAACACTAGTTTCAAAATCAAATAGTGCAGTGGGCCCGTTGGTGGCTGAGATTTGGCTGAATCCAGTTTAGTCAACCAATAGAAGCAGACAATTCCATTTTTCCAAGAGCTGTTTACTCGTCCAAAGACTCTTCAGGGGTCTCAGGGTCTTACACGTACTTAAAAATAGGTTAATCGGCTAGGGGAGGATCCAGCTACTGCGTACAGAAAAAAAAAATCTACGCTGTACATATACTATGCTCTGCAAGATCCCAACTTGGAATCTCATGACAGTTCCACGAACACCGGAATAGCATTTCAAAATGGGCACATTCAACAAAAGCTCAACAACATGGATCGTACTCCTCACAACAATCCTCTTCATCCTGTACAACTACAACCGCGAAATCCCCAAGACCATCACACCAATCCCCCCAAAGCTCTGGTACAAGACGGGCCCAAAAGGACTAAACGACCAATCCGAAAGCTGGCTGCGCGAATGTCTCCACAAAAACCCGTTCCACGACACGCAGATCCTGACCGACGAAACGGGCGACGAGTACGTCTCTCTTCACTACGCCCACCGCCCAGACATCGTCTACACATACCTGGGCCTGCAGATCCCGATTCTGAAAGCCGATTTCCTGCGCTACCTGCTTTTGTTCGCGGAGGGGGGCGTGTGGTCTGATTTGGATGTTTCGTGCGAGGTGCCGATCGCGGAGTATGTGTCTAGGGAGTTTCGGGGGGCGGATGTAGGGTTGGTGGTTGGGTGGGAGTTTGATGTTGGTTGGGGGGATAATTTCATTCGGCAGTTTGCTAGCTGGACGATTATGGCTAGGGCTGGATGTGTGCATCTTGGTGTTGTTATTGATGAGATTGTTGCTGCTGTGAGGGCTATGGCGCTTATGTGGGGGGTTGGTGTGGAGGGGTTGACGATTGAGATGGTGGGGGATATTATTGATTTGACGGGGCCGAGGAGGTTGACGGGGGGTGTGTTGAGGAGTCTGGAGACGATTAGGAATGAGCCTGTTGATATGCAGTCGATATCGAGTTTGATGGAGCCGGTGCTCGTGGAGGATGTGTTGATTCTGCCTGGGTTTGCGTTCGCGGCGTCGAGTAACAACTATATGAATGAGAGTGGGGTGGCTTTGGTGACGCATCACTATGCGGGGAGTTGGAAGAATCACCGTGGAGGTGAGATGTGAGCTTTGGAAAGATGCCTTGAAGAGATGTCAACTTGTATATATTCCCATTTCTGAAAGCTAGCACGGTGGTAGTACATGAGCATGTATGCCACACTCAAACATATCATCAATCATAAGGTATCAGGGAACTTTTGGGTAAATTGAAAAGAATGAGAGGAAATCCCAACGCCACGCTGAAGTAACAAAAATGCAGTGAGAAAAGAGAGTTCACTCCTCGTCGGTTTCAGTGACATCCTCGCCGTCCTCGTCATCAGACTCGTCGACCCCACTGTCCGAATCGTCGGCATCATCCAGGCCAGGAATACCACGCCATTCGACATAATCCCCTTCCAACCAACGTCTGCTGCGAGGGAGCTGGTATGGATCAAAGGGGAAGTATGCGTCTAATTGGTAACCGCTGTTATCACCAGCACGGATTTCACGACCGACGTGGCTGAAGCGGGGATCTGCGAGGGTGGAGATGCTTCGGAATGCAGTGATACGCATTCGTTTGTTGGTCTCCAGCAGTGGATAGACATAGAGGAATTGGAAGTGGTGGGCAATACGGGCGAACTCCGCAACGATGGCCGGTGAGCACACCTTGAGCGGATTGAGCCGTGAGTAGATGCACTTTTGGAGGAACTCTTTGATGTTGGGAGGGAATGTGATTTGACTGGGCTCCAGTTCATCCACCTGGTCGTAAGTATCGCCTTCGGCAACGGCGGTGGTCAAGTCGCGCCAGCGGAAGCAGAAGATGTAGAGCAGGGCCTGGGCAGTTGAGTAGAAGGGACCATAGCGACGGAGGTCGGGACCACGGCAGGCGCCTTCGTAGTCCAATCGCAGACTGTTTAGGTGGGTGAGAAGAAGGTCGAAGACATCGCGGACAACTTCGCCGGGGATATGAGCACCGCGTGCAACGAAGCTGGCTAAGTATGCGGCTGCGGACTGGCGCACGATGCCGGGTTGCAACTTGTTGAAGATAAGCTGCACAAATGTTGAGGCGAAACGATCAATAAGCACCGGGGATGCTTGCGAGAAGTGGAACAGGAGGAATTGGGTGTGGCGAGATCGGTAGGTGGGGAGAATAATGGTCTGGAAGTGACTGAGAAGAAGGTCCAAGGCGTTCTCTTGATCGTTCAGGCTACCAGAGTTGAACGGAGGAGCAAAGTACTCAAACAACAGATCAATCATGCCATCGACTTTGCTGATGTTCTCTTTGATCTTTTTGCCAGATTTTCCGTCCTCGTCATCCGAGTCATCGCTTGCCACTGAGGCATCGTCATCGTCCTCTTCCTCTTCCTCGGCCGCGTGCACAAGGTTGTCGCCAATCTCATCTTCGAAATCTTCCATATCAACTTGAATTTGCACATCGATTTTGACAAGCTTCTCAGTGACAAGAGCCAGGATGTCGGACTGGAGCTCGGGGGCATATTGGATCATTTGAATTAGGTTGCGGGTGTAGGCAATGTTGGTGTTGGCAGGATCCGAGTCGAACGGGAACTGAGTAGTAAGGATCGGAGACAAGGAGCCACTAGCAGCGGGGATGAGTTTCAGGATGTGGCGCAACGCCGTGTGCACACGGGTGTGAACCGTGGCAGCTGGCACGACTGCGTAGCCAGGAAGTCGACCGATGGCTCGAGGGACAGTAGTCAGGTTGGAAGTCAGCATCTTTAGCACAGGGGCAAGATAAGAACCTTGCGCAGCGGCGAGGTTGCCCAGGAATCGGATGAAAAGCTTGACGTAGGCATCATCACGGCCTAGCCATTCGCTGTTGATGACCGCATTGACCAGGCCGCTGCAGGACCGGTCCAAGGACGCGACATGCGACAGGAGGCCAAGGAGGTGGTTCTTCAAACATGTGTGTGTGGGCATATCATATGCTAACAAGCCATCGTCACCCTGCTTCTTGGGGTCGGCGGTGAAGATCCCCTTGATGCGGTCATAGCCTTCACTCTCGGACATCGTGACATGTTGGTGGATTGCACCGCGGACCTCTTCCCGGACGACAGCCAGGCTCTTCTCCGACGAACCCGAAGAGGTATCCTCGTGTGTCTTGACGTCGTTATCGAACTGCACGCGGGGCTTTTTCTTGGTACGCGGCTCTTCGTCATCTTGGGAGGCGGACGGCGAGAGCTCAAGGTCCATATCACTCATCTTTCGTTTCGAGCCGATCGAGGGACCCGGCTTGGAGGCCTTCGAGGACTTGAGGATCGGAACGGGGGACGGTGTCGGAAGCATCTTGGATCGTTGTGAAGGAGTGGCCGGTAGCGCCGAGGTTCGTGAAGCGGTGGCAAGGGATACCATGGCCAAGCGAGGGAGGAAATCAAATGCGTTCTAGGTAAACAGCACAATTGACATTTGCTGAATATGGCAGTCGACTCTCAATGTCGAGCTTATCGAAGCGTGGTCCAAGCACACGACACCTCACGTCGAAGCTTTGGGACTTATGCTACAGGGTGGAAATAGGGGTAAACGGGCAACATCTGTCTGCATCCGTGGGCAGTTCAGTCCGATGGTCACAGGTCAAATCGGATGCAGACAGCGTAGTCGAGACGTTGATCAAGACGTTGAAGCACAGTAAGGTGAAATTTTTCCCTCCATTTTGCTGTGGAGCCTGCGGAGCCCGTGACCGTGTCGGTGAGCCCTAGCGTCTGATTGGCTGTGAGGATTATGTCATCGGTCAATTATTTTGTAGTTATTCTATTGATCTATGAGAGGTATTGTGCAAGATCTATTGATTTGATATTTGCTGAGAATCACTCTATACAATTGGCCATTTTGCACGAAAACAATAATTATCTACAGAAAAGCAATGAATCAAATAACCGTGAATTTCAAAGGAATGAGCGCGGGAAATGGAAACTCCCTGGTATCGTGTCGAAAACAGTCGTAAATAGAGAAAGAATAATAGTTGGTCGTCGTGGCGGAGAAAGATCCAGTCCTGGTGTCCGCAAAGTCGTGAGCCCGGATCAACCGGTGGCTTGTGGCTTGTGGGTTTAGAACCAAGATGTGTACAAGGATCCACGGTTATCGTCATCAAAAATGCTGCCGTAGAGCTCCTCTACCTCCAAGAGGTAGTCTTCCACAGAGAATTTCCTCAACCCCTTATCGTGCAGTACACGCTCCTCTTCATCCAAGAGATTTAATCCACCGAACTCTTCCGCAACCTCATTGACCTGCTCCAACTCCTTGCTGAATGGGTGCGGCTCCGGCTGGAAGAATTCCTGCGAAGCCCGGATAGTTGGAGTGCTGCGTGGGGCGTTCAATGGGGGTGGCGACATCCGGGACACTGAACGCTTGCGCGCGAGTTCCTGGTGGGAGCGCTTGGTGTGGGAGAGCGCGCGCTTAGGCACGAGGGGGGCCTCGGTCGACGAGGTCGAAGAGCGCGGGTGACTGGTCACGGTCGCCGAGCGCTTGGGAAAATAAGAGGTCAAAGGATTGGCCTCCACGGGGAGATCCTCGTGGGGAGAGACATCGGGAGAAGTCATTGAAGAAGCGTAGCTTTGGGGAGACATCGCGTCGTCTGAGCGAAGAGATGAGGCAGAAGATGAGGCGGAGTTAATATCGGGCGCGTTGTAGGCCAGCATGTTGGTGGTGGACAGCAGCTGGACGGGGCCTGATATATTGCCCCGCTTGATGCTCGCCGAATTCAGTCGCACATGCCCCTCGCCGCGGTATGGCATGGGTGCGGACACTTCTGGGCGCTTGTTGCGCCGGGTGAACGCGCGAGAAAGGTTAGACATGGTGCGCGTGTATGCTTGGGTCTTCTTCTGTCGCTGGGTGCGAACGATGCGAGCGGTTTCAATCACGTTGGAAGTGAAATTTGGATTTGGAAGTCCGGTTGCGATCGCAAATGCGGGATGAATTGACGATTGCGGGAAGGAATGTCAGATACCAGATCTCGAGTTGGATATTGAGATATTGTGATATTGCGATATTGCGATATTGCAAAATTTGTCCAAAATGTCTAGCACCTGGAGATTTAAGAATGAATGTCGAGTCCTGGGGGTTTTGCACAGCAAAACGGGAGGGGGATCGTGCAAAAGGAATGCAGTGCGCGAGAGTACCTCGAGAGGAGTCCAGGATCACAGATCACAGATCAGATCAAAGGAGAGAATGAAGGAACTAAAAATGCAGAGGTTGGAGGAGAAGAAAAAGAGTAGGGGGCGGTCCCTTACGCTTAACAATTCTAAGTGCGAACCTTGGGACGGGGACCGTCCCAAAGGATTGGCTGCGAACGGGTGCGTTTTACTCGTCAGTCTGCGTCCCCTCCCATGGCTCATCCACTCTTTTACTCTCTTTAACCGTGGAACTCGAGAATAGCCTCCAATCAATTCTCCGCAGGGTTCTTCTCGGAATGGTTCGTCCAGACTTTGTTTGTCGCCTCTTCGCCTCTTCGCCTCCTGTTGGAGAAGTATACACCCTTGGCAGGGGTCTAGTTATCAGGTTAAGGTACGCAATGTGTACCTGACGGTATGGAGGGGCCCCGACGTGTTCTATCTAACGTGTCTCATGCATCCATCTGCTAGTCCCATCAGGCACATCTGCTCGCATTATCTCTACTAGTACTTCGTACCTACATACTCTTCGTATCTACTGTACATACTCCCCCTTTTCGAACCTGAATACCTTGATGCCATCGAGGAATTTGAATGAAACACTCGAATGCAGGGCCGAGCTTTTACTTCGACGGGCGTTTCACCACCCATCTGGAGTCCGTTCCACGCTTAAAGTAGTCGGTGCTCCGTGTTCCGTCTGTAGACCCACCAATCAGCCGCAGATAGTTCAGCCATATTGGGCTGCCGCATAGACGCTCAGCTTATGGCTGAATCCCGGGTGATGGAATTAACCTGGATTTTCTGGTCTGTGGACTGTCCGGAGTATGTACGGAGCAAGGTGTATCGTGTATCCTGTGGAGATGTGTGCCCCAACCCTCTGGCTCCACCGTTTCCGCCAATCTGTGTGGGACTTCGGCCTTAATCCGATGCACCTATTCTTGCAGCATGCGTCCAGATCGGTCTGGTCTGTTCGAATGGACAACCAGCACACAACCTCTGAAAAAACAGCAGTCGAAAGAAAAAATAAGATCAAACAGGGGACGAACCGAGGCAGGTACCCGGAGGATTTGAGCCGGCGTTACAGATAAAATGACCGGTACGGAGCACTGGAGGTGTCGACTACGAAACTTTCCGCACGATTTTTGACTCAAAAATAAAGACTCGGATTTTGATGTGATAGCTCTTCCGCTCGAGTCGATCCCGACTCCAAAACCCCGACTGCGTCAACAGCCCCGATCTGCCGAGAATTGTCAGACGGCATGACCTCATCCATCTGAAAATAAGGCGATGCCAACACCGGGTCATGTGCCTCATAAGATGTCCCCGTTCGCCCGTCGATCCCACCCTCCTGCCATCCATAGGGCGGAGGATGCGATTCCTGTGTCTCTGAAATCGCATCATTCTCAGACGTCGCTCTCGGCTGTCCTGAAAATTGATCGGACATGACTGTCATCCAGCGTTCCAGCTCGTTCCAATCCCGAATGGGAAGCTGAGACCATTCTTCCATTCGAGCTGGCTTTAGCTTGAGGGCTTCGGACTTGGTCACCGGTGTTGTGCTTTGTCCCATTGAGCGGAGCGTCGTGAGAGCCCCGTATAGTGCGGACTCGGTTTCGGCGAGTCTCTGCTCTAGTTGGTTAAGGTAGCCCAGTGGCAAACCTCTGGATGCGTTAGAGGTTGGTCCCGAGTCGGGTATCTGCGTTGTGTGTCTTACCGCTTCCCGCTCTCTGGGTAGATGCATTTCGATGGCTCAGCTGCGCATTGAGAGCACACTGGACTTCGGTTTGTTAGATGTTGAACTGACATGATTGACATAGATCCCGATCTTACAGTTTGCGGTCGCACTATCCTTGGTCAATTTCGTCACCTGGCTTGGTTGGCGCAGAACTCACTTTGCATTTCCGTTGTCTGCAAACCTCACAGGAAATAGGATTTAGATTCTCTGGGTATCCCATGTCAATCAATTCATGCTTTCATGTGGGGCATTGAAGCCTCACCTGGCATGGCGGCAGTGGCAGTGGCAGGTGCCTTGCGCTTGGATCGAGGTTCACCCATATTCCAGTCTAGGTTTCCTTTCCAAGTTGGTATTGGGGAATTGCACAATGGACTAATCTCTAGTCCAGCGCTTTTGGATCAACCTGGTCGAGATGTATGATGCCGGGTGAAAGTTTCGGACAAAGAAACCTCCGCCTGATGGCACGCACGTGACACCCAAGTATAGATCCCAGACTTGGAAGTTTCGAGGATTCAGAATGGAGATATTGATCTGATCTGACCGCCTGTTGGAGAAATAAGCCAGAGAAGATAAGGAAAACTGAGTGTTGGAGAGAAGAGAGAGAGACACCTAGCTACCATCACTACCCAGCAGCCCTGGAGCCCTGGAGGGAGACTCCAGTCACCTGACTGTGGCTTCACAACACCTGGGCAGATATGTTCATTTTTGAGCCATGTCCACTTTTCTCAATGACCAAATCAGCATTGCGCAGTACTTCTGGCAGCCTGCAGTACTTTTAACTTGAAAATAGCGGCAATGCGATTGACAGTTGCGGTCGAAATTTAGCCGAGATCCCCGACAGCAATGATCACGCCTGCCTACATTGTTTGAGAACCTGTGCAGTAAGACTCTATTTCAAGAGCAATCACCTACTTTTCTAGTTGGGGTGGTCATTGCGGTTTCCATCAACAAAATACAAACTTCTACTTTGTACGGAGTAGATATGCCGTGCTGTACTTGAAGATCGACACACCAGTTTCCACATTCATCATCCCTCATTTACTCCAGGCCCCGGGGGCTGTCTTGGCAAGCCTGGCTCAATTACGAATTAAGGATCATCTAACATCAAAACCCTTGCAAGCTCCAAGTATGAAGGGCCCTCGGAACCTGATCAGATACGCTTCTGTGCTCGCAACGGGGATCCCCCTCGCCTGGAGCCAACGATGCCTCGACAACCCCGAAAACAACATTGGTGCCTCTGTCCACACTAGCAGTGGCTTGATTGAGGGCCATGCCGCACCCCGCAGAGCTGAAGTCTCTGAGTATTTAGGTATCCCCTATGCCTCGCCACCAATCGGAGACCTTCGGTTCGCGGCTCCTGTGGCTTATCATTCCAAGGAACGCGTTCATGCAAATGCATATGTGAGTGATCTGTTCCTGGTCGCAGGATTACATGGCTGATTGGTTATTGTGAACAGAGTCCGTGCGTATTCTTGACATGTCGCCAAATTGTCGTGCCGATGACTGACCAAATATCAGTGATTGCCCTGCAAATCCAGGGTCGGTTCCAGATTACCCTGGCTTCACTTCTCAAGCCCCAAGAATCATCAAATCATTCACACAGCAGCTACGCACTTCTCAAAGCGAAGATTGCTTATATCTCAATGTGTGGACACGACCCACTGTGTCTGAGCTAAAGCCAGTGCTTCTTTGGATTCATGGCGGTCGTATGTTCTATCTTGCCAATCCAGCTTCAAGTAACTGACACTTCAAAGGGTTCACGGGCGGCGGCGCAAATAACCCATACTATGATGGGCAGGCACTAGCAGCTGATCATGATATCGTTGTTATTACCATCAAGTTCGTGCTCAATTGAAATCCCAAGGTTCTGATCGCGATTGCTAACCAAGCCCAGTTATCGTCTGAACATTTTCGGATTCTCCGGCGCGCCCAATCTCCCCCAGAACGTTGGACTGCTAGACCAGCGTATGGCAGTTGAATGGGCCCATCAAAACATTGCTGGATTTGGTGGTGACCCAGATCGAATCACCATTTTCGGCCAATCTGCTGGTGGAGCTTCTGTTGACTATTATTCTCACGCCTATATTGACAATCCGCTCGTTGCGGGTCTGATCTCCCATTCCGGAACATCACTTAGCTTTGAGCCCAACACCGCTGAGCAGTCTGCTGGGTACTTCTTCACGGCTTCCAAGATTCTTGGCTGTGGTGATAGCCGTGACAATCATGAGCAAGTCGTCAAATGCGTCCGTCAGAAGTCATATCGAGAAGTTGTCAAGGCCAGCGCCAAGGTCCCTGCTGCACCGTCGCCGGCTATTCCACAAGCCGTCTTCCACCCGACTGTCGATGGGATCACCGTATTCGATGACTACGCAAAGCGATCCTCATCAGGCAATTTTGCACATTTGGTAAGTGTCCAATATCTCATTGAGTCTCATCTCCAGCAGCTACTGATGCATCACAGCCATACCTTATCACAAGCAATGACTACGAGCCGGGTTATTATCGTGTGAGCGCATACAGTGCAAACATTTCACTTAGCGACGAAGCCTGGAACAACTACAACGACGCAGCATTCACCTGTCCGAGCGGTGCGTCTGCAAGATACCGATTTGCCAATGATGTTCCCGTGTGGCAATCGCACTATTTTGGCGACTGGGAGAATCTGCGGCTGTATCCCACCAGCGGAAGTTACCATGGAGCTGATCTCCCGATGGTGTTTGGGACTTCCGAACAGGTCAGTGGAATACCAAATAGCGATAGGGAGAACGAATTCTCCAGGTTTATAAGTTCTGCTTGGGTTGCATTTGCAACCGATCCCAATCACGGCTTGACTAAGTTTGGTTGGCCTCGATACAACCCCGAGGGTAAGTTCCTTAATCTGTTCAATCAGACCTGAGACCTCTAACTCTTTCATAGAGAAGACACTTGTTGCCTTGGCCTATATGAAGGACGAAAACTTTCGGACCATTCAAAGTTCAGAAGTCGAGCAGCGTTGCGCTGCTTTCAAGGGAAACAGCACCCTTGGAAAGGGAGCCTTTTGAATAAAGTCGAGGAAGGACGATTGGATTCGCGAGTCGAGGTCTTCCTATCCAATGTTGATGTTCCAATCCACCTTTGGTTTGTAGATAGGTGATATGGGAATATTATATTCTTTCCGATGGTGACATTACCCGAGCGCATTGCTATCTATATCGTGATCGCAATAAATGTATCCTTGCGCGATGGAATAGAATGCAACGCTTGGGTTGTATTGACCGGAAGGAATGAGGGGCAGAGGTTGAAATGTCTCGAATCCTGCATGGAATAAAGGCTTCGACAGGACGCCGAACGCCACAAGGAATGTTCTTTCCCCATATCAGGAAGTTCTGTCAAATATTTGCCGACGAACTGGCCCTGCTAGATAGTTTTAGGTGCTGAGGATGCCCATATTGACCCCCTTTGATTGGCTGGTTGTTGGGATGGCTTCTTTTCGGCATTTCCGGCGGTGATGGCGCCATCGTCAGTTGCCCGAGCGGGCGATTCAACTGTAGCCAACGTCGACTAGACAATCTCGACATCCATGGATTTAAGCGAGATTAAGCAGAAAACCAGAAAAGGTTGCCATAGAAGTTCGCATACACCATCAATGTTACATATCGTCTCATAGGCTAGTCCCGATCCTTGCACACGATCTAAATGATGATTGGCTTTGGAGGCTAGTAGGGGTTGAGACGAAGAATCAAATGAACGATCGTGTTGTAAATGGGCTTTTGGAAATTTCCGTCACTCGGTAGTCCTACTGCACCTCTTCTTTCTTCTTTAATACTTCTTCTCTCCCTGAAAGTATCTCGGTGTTCACGCCAAAGTCCGCCAAAAGCAGTGCCAACAGACCAGTTGATTAACATTGCTCATGCATCTCGCACTGATCACAAAATGACGAGCAAAGCCACAGCTTCTGTGGTCCGGGAGAGTGACTCGAATGATTCAAGGCTGCGGAAGGGGAATGCGGCGAGTGAACCACTTGTCCTAGTGGAGGACAAAGCAGCGAATGTTTCCTCGACAACTACAGGGGATGGAGATAACCCCCCTTCGCCTTCAGATGCTGAAGATACGAAGTTCCTAAAAGGCCACCCGGTCATTGAAACAGGTGATTGGACATGAGCAAATCATCTTCATGCTGCCTACTGACCGATCTTAGGCCTCGATGTCTCAAAGTACTTGATCTCAACAAGAGATGACGGGGACGCAGCATTTACATTTCGTTGTTTTGTCCTAGGCACGGCTTTTACTGCTCTTTCCAGTGTTATCACTATGCTCTATACTTTCAAGCCAGTCCAGATGCAAGTATCGGCCACTTTCTTGCAGCGTACGTATGCCCCGTCAAGTCCTCTGAGGATATATACTGAAGCAAACCACAGTGATGATTTTCATGTTTGGAGAAGCCTGGGCCCGGTTGACACCTCGGCCCGACAAGCTCAATGTGGGTTGGCTGCAGAGTACTCTTCGCTTCCTCAACTTCGGACAGCCCTTTGGCATCAAGGAGCATGTTGTAGCGTCCCTCATCGCCTCTTCTGGTAACAATGGACTTTCTGGAGTTGAAGTCTACGCCATCGAGCGATTGTTCTACGATCGGAGCATCTCTGCCTCGACTGCAGTTCTAGCAACTTTCTCAATCTCCCTCTGTGGATTCGTTTTGGCTGGTGTTCTGCGTCCATTGATTGTCTATCCGGCTGAAATGGTCTACTGGTCAACTTTGCCTCAGGTGGTCCTCTTCCAGAATCTGCATTTCGATCGGATCGCCAATCGCGCTCGCCTCATCAAATTCAGCTGGGCTCTGGGCTTTGCCTTGGTCTGGGAGATCTTCCCATCTTACATGGTGACTTGGTTTGGAGGATTATCGATCTTCTGTCTTGCGTCGCTGAAGGCCCCGGTACCTACCCGGTCTATATTTACGAAGGTGTTTGGTGGTGCCTCATCCAATGAGGGAATGGGTCTGTTGAACTTCACCCTGGATTGGCAGTATATCCAGAGTACGTACTTGTCTTTGCCCTTCAAGCAACAAGTCAATACCTGGATCGGATACTTCATTTGGTATCCAGTCATGCTGGGGCTTTGGTATGGCAATGCATGGGGTGCAAAGAGCTTCCCGTTCATGTCGACGTCTCTCTTCTCATCGAATGGGACGAGATTTTCCACGACATCGATTCTGACTGATGATAATGTTGTTGATCAAGACAAGCTTCAAAGTGTGGGACTGCCATACTTGACTTCAAGTACGGTATGGGGCTATTTCACGCAGAATGTGGCAATTGGGGCACTTATCACGCACGTTCTCATATTCTACGGCAAGGATATGATCCTCGCATGGAAACAGGCACGAACCAGGACCCAGCCAGATCCCCACTACCAGAGAATGCTAAAGTATAAGGAAGTGCCTATGTGGTGGTATTTTGCCCTTTTCGGTTTGACCTTCATTGCCGGCATTGTTGTGACTGCCAAGGGCGAAACCACTCTGCCAGTGTGGGGCTACATTATCTCTCTCCTCCTCGGTGGATTCATCGCACCGTTTTCATGCATCTTGTACGGGCTATTCGGAACCGGAGTGGGAACTAACCAGATCTCCAAGATGGTGGCCGGTGCTGTTCACCCAGGCCGACCTTTGGCGAACCTTTACTTCGCCAGTTGGTCGCATCAGGTCATCCTTCTCGCTGTCAATCTTGCGAATTGGCTCAAGGTTGGACAGTACACCAAAATCCCACACCGTGTCATGTTCGCCACTCAGATCTATGGTACTCTTTTGGGTGCCGCTCTGAACTATGTCGTGATGACAATCATTGTCACCAACGAGAGAGAGGTCCTTCTCGACCCCGTCGGAACAAACGTCTGGAGTGGCTCCACTCTGCAGAGTATGAACACTCAGGCAATCACATGGGCCCTGGCCAAAGACATGTACAGCTTGCAAGGCCGCTACTTTATCGTTCCTATGGGAATCTTGATCGGGCTTGTACTCCCCGTCATTCATTGGGGCGTGAACCGGTTCTGTCCACGCCTTCGAAAATGGCCCATCAATACACCCATGATCGCGGTCTATACTGGCACTAACTACTACGGAAGTACATCGTGGGTGTGGTCCTCTATCGCTGTTGGTGTTTTCTCGCAATTCTGGCTCCGACGTCGCATGCCGCATATCTACAACAAGTATAACTACCTCATCGGCGCGGCGCTGGATGGAGGATCTCAGATTATCATTTTCATTCTCTCGTTCGCGGTTATGGGGGCCAGTGGGAAGGAGCACCCGTTCCCTACATGGTGGGGGAATCCTTCTGGGAACCCTGATCACTGCATGTCTTCCTAGGTTTTCCTGTCAACCTTGAAATGGTGAACGGATTATATAGCTTATAGACAATATTTTAGATCGCTTCAATCATATTAGGTACTAGGTAGAATGGGAAAACACAATTGTTATCTAAATGTTTGTCAATGTTGCGAATATACAAGGTACCTAACTTGGCAGAATGAAAACTTTGGAATGTCTATGAGAACTCCATGTCTCAGGTGCTGTCGATATATATTTTGGCGAAAATCACCTGATGTGGGGCACGTGCCTGGGGCAACGAGATTAATGACTCAGCATCCCCGGACTTCTACTGAAAACACTCCAAGACCTTTTCGAGCTTACAACTACAAGAAAATGTGATGATTGGCGAGTGACAATGGCGTCCCCTTCTTCTGTGAGTACGCGACATGAGGATAACGAGTCGGAGTGGTCCCGTCCCATCAAGCGACGCAAACGCACCTCTTTTGCTGCCACATCCGGTCCCTCGCCTCGTGAACTGGGATTTATGAGAGAATCACAAAATGAGGGATCTGCGACATTCCTGGGTAGCTCAAGTGGAATTCACTTTATCCGCCATGTCTACAATGCTTTCGCCCGTCGCTCAGCGGACTTGGATCAAACGCGAGCGCGCGACAGAACGTCGGTGCCCGGTGAAGATGACCGGTTGAGGCCAAACACAGGCAGCATTCATACTTCAGATGAGATCTGGAGAAAAGATGAATTGAACTTCGCAACCAAAGCATCCTTTTCATTCGACGATCTTGTCAAGTGGACGCGCAGCTACTTTGAAAACTGGCATCCGATCTTTCCCTGTCTCCATGCACCGACGGTCTTGAAGACCATGGAGATAGTCAGCCAGAAAGGCACCGAGTCTGTCAGTCGACTTGAACTCATGATATTACGATCCATTGTATCCATCTCGCTGGGCGACAAGCGACAAACATCATCCGAATCAGCATCGAGCCCAGTTCCCGCAGGCCTGGTTTTCCGTAGCGTCCAGCATGTGATGCAGGACGTGCAAAGTCTTCTTGAGGAACCCACCACATTGGCACTTCTGCAGGCTGCCTTTACTGCGCAGGTCGCACTGGCCTCTCTTCTGCGTTTGAATGCCGCGTCGCGTTTGGGAGGAGTCATCACCCGCACCGCGTTCCACCTCGGATTGCATCGCTGCCCAGGGCGGTTCTCGTGCTTCAGCAGCGAGGAAGTCGGAATAAGATGTCGTTTATTTTGGTCAATCTACTCGCTTGAGAGATATCTCTCGCAGGCGCTTGGCATTCCCCTCTCAATTCGAGACGATGATATCGACGTGTGCTACCCAGGCACGGAGCGCCACGTTTCTGCCACCCCCCAACCCTCCGACGATCGGAGATTGCGACTAGTCTGCCACCTAGCGAAATTCGCACGAATTCGAGGTCTGATTGTGGAACTGCGCAACAAATCCATACTCCACAGCCATGCTAGTCAGGTTGAAGCTGCGCACGTCACGGGAGAATTGTCACAATGGTGGAATGAGGTCTATGACGATGTGAATCCGATTGAAGAGTCAGGCGACGATGGCGACGATGCTCCAGCCTTGCAGCCTTATCACCGACTACTTCTGATGGTTCTCCGACACGAGGCTATCATTTCGCTCAACCGGCCCCTTCTAGCAGCCGAGAAGCCAAGCGCAGATTACAAAAATGCCTTGCAAACCTGTATCGGGTCTTCGAGGTCTATACTCACAGCACTGAAAAAACATCTGTCATCTACATCAGACTCTCCACTTTCGTGGCCGTGTTTCACTTGGTCCACGTGGATGGCTTGTCTCATCCTCATGTACGCTGCTTGGGAAGAGGAACTCGCCACATCCAGTGCCCTCAAGTATGCACGCATGGGTATTGCGATATTAGAGAATCTTTCGCTTCGCGGGAGTAGCTGGCCAGAGACCTGCATCGAAGCAATCAAAGGCATGGAATCTGCTTTCTCAACGCAGCCCACCAATACCAACCAATTCAAGATCCCCACCACAACCAACAGCGCAGAGAGACCAGAACACCATCCGCAAACAACGCCATCGACGGACCGAAGAAGGACTCAGTTTTTACCAGTACAAGACGGAACTGAGACTGGGGACTCGGGTCTTACGCCAGTTAGACCCAGATCGTCGACGATGAACGGATACCAAGAGAGCCCGATCTCCGTGGGAATCCAGCCCTTCCAACCAGCTGCACGACCACACCTCCATGGATCCAACCCGACGGAGACATATGACTCTGCTATTTTCTCACCCCCCGATAACATGGGTAACTATGCTGAAATGCTAGACCCGGCCGGGAATTTCCTTGGTGGTCAGTCCTCGGCAGGACTCATCTTCGGCAGCATGGCAGAAAGCAATGCTGCCTTCAATCCGAACTTCGCCGGTCCAGATTCTTTACCATTCTCATCCTCCATGCCGATGAATGACCTCTGGAGTGTGGCGGATGGTCCATGGATGATCCATAACAATTTTCTATAATTTCAAATTTATCCCGAGCGAAGAATATGTACAAAAGGAATATTCATTTCAATCTAAGCATACAACACGGTATCGATTACCTTTCTGTCCTGATCCAAGACCACTCGCAGATGGCCTTTTCCATCTCCAGCTGATGAATCAAAGAATCCTTGTCTCAACTGATCGAGGTATAGCTCATAGGCTGGCATATATCCTTTCACGAACCGAATCACCTCTTCATCCGTCATACTTTCATTTGTTCGCTGGCGAAGAGCGTGCTCCTGCTGAATCCTCCATTGATACACATTGGCTAGATCGGTTGTATCCAAATGAACGATGAAGTCAAAATGCTGCGGTCCCATGAAAAGATCACAATAACTCCGCAGGTTTGTGTTCGCCTCCAACAAGTGCTCAAGAGAATGGTCTCTCAACGTCTCTGTCGGATAATCTCCGGTGCACACATTCTGCGCTGCACTCTCCCACTTCTTTTGAAGATCGAATTCTTCCAAGGGCTGAAATCCAACACACCATCCTTCGAAGACCACGACGTCCACTTGAGTGCTCGATGGAATACGCTCCCACATATCGATAGGTGCCCTTCCACCTTCTCCGTTGAACTTGCTCTTGTCGAAAGAAGGAATGAGTATGTCACGGCCACTGTTCAAACTATCAAAGAATGAGCGCGCAAGAGCCATGTCGTGGGTCCCGGGCTGACCTCGTGCTTGGACGAGCTTGTTGGTTGGATTGGATGTGCGAATCCTAACCAACTCATCATGATTAAGGTATAGATCATCCAGTGAGAGGTTGATTGTGGTATGATTTTGGGCTTTGAGTGCTTTGACAAGGGCGTCGGTCCATGTGGACTTTCCGCTGCCTTGAAGACCGGTGAGGGCCAAGACAAAAGGTCTTTTGGAAGAAGAGGACTTTTGGCATTGGATATAGCGGTCAATGTAAGGCGCGATTTGATTGAGGACGTTGTCGATGGCTTCTTGGGGTATCGGCATAGTGATGGTTCTGCAGTTGGTCTTCTTGGACAGGCCCTGCAACAGTTGAAAGATGAGGGATGTCGCTCAGAAAATATGACACTATTATTGGAACAACTGATCTGCCTTAACCTAGCTTCTTTCACTTTTTCTTGGATCTAACTAACACCCAATCTTGACAATGACTCTTCGCAACTGAGGCCTGTGACTTAGGGTTACTTGACGCTCGGACAAAGACATGTCCGGGTGGGGCACTCGGGCGATGAAAACCCCGTTCGTCACACCCGGACATTTCAATATCCGGATGCACCCCGCGATCAAGATCATCCTTGGATGGGCTTGGGACGAGGGGGCGATGCGATAGGTCTTTGTGGAATTTTCAGGTGGAGACAGTCCTCTGAGACGTGAGAAGCCATTCTTCATAAAGACCCTCACACGCGCCGAGTTGCATCTTTCCCACATCCAACTCACCCTGAAGAACTTCACAAAATGTCCAAGACCTACAACATCGCCTCCATCCCCGCCGATGGAATTGGCCCAGAGGTCATCGAGGCTGGTATCACAGCTCTCAACGCCTTGACTGATACCCTCAAGACCTTCAAGCTCGAGTTCAAGAACTATGACTGGAGCTCAGAGACCTATAAGAAGACCGGCAAATACATCCCCGACGGCGGCCTTGAGGAACTCAAGAAGCACGATGCCATTTTCTTCGGTGCTGTCGGCGCCCCTGGTAAGCTATCTCGATAAATCTTGCAATCGTCAACTTACAAAAAAAAAGACGTCCCCGACCACATCTCCCTGTGGGGTCTCCGTCTGGCCATCTGCCAGCCTTTCCAGCAATACGCCAACGTGCGTCCCACCCGCGTCTTCCGCGGAACTGAGTCTCCTCTGCGCAAGTGTGGCCCCAACGACCTTGACTGGGTCATTATTCGCGAGAACAGCGAAGGCGAGTACGCCGGACAAGGCGGTCGCTCTCACGCCGGAAAGCCATGGGAAGTCGCGACAGAGGTCTCGATCTTCTCCCGCCACGGTGTCGAGCGCATCATGCGCTTTGCTTTCGAGACTGCGCAGAAGCGTCCGCGCAAGCTTTTGACTGTCGTTACCAAGAGCAATGCCCAGCGTAACGGTATGGTTCTTTGGGACGAGGTTGCCAAGGCTGTTGCTGTGGATTTCCCCGATGTCACTGTTGATAAGATGCTTGTTGATGCCATGACTACTCGTATGGTCTTGAAACCCGAGTCTTTGGATACTATTGTTGCCACGAACTTGGTAAGTGCTTTATCGGACGTGGAACTAGAGTTGAGAACTGATTATCTTTTAGCACGCTGACATTCTGTCCGATCTGGCTGCTTCTTTGGCTGGCTCTATTGGTATTGCTCCTACCTCCAACCTTGACCCCACTCGTCAGTACCCCAGTATGTTCGAGCCTATTCACGGATCTGCCTTTGATATCACTGGTATGGGTATCTCCAACCCTGTGGCCACCTTCTGGACTGCTGCGGAGATGCTTGCCTGGCTCGGCGAGGAGGAGGCTGCTAAGCAGCTCATCGATTGTGTTGAGAATGTTTGCGAGCAGGGCGTGCTCACCCGTGACTTGGGTGGTAATGCTACTACCAAGCAGGTTACCGATGCTGTTGTGGCTGAGATCAAGAAGCTTGCTGGCAGCAAGTAAATATTCCCTTTGCAAGTATATGAGAATGAGCAACGAATGTCGAATGTAACAAAATAGACACAATTTCCCTTGAGAATCATACTTTTGTAAATGCTACGTCCGAACTCCGGTCCTTGAAATAGCGTTCAGGCTAAACAAACAACCTTAAAGCTTTGCCGTATCTTTGTGCCAGTTCTAACGCCTTTAGTCTGCGCGATTACCTAGGTAGGTATTAGGGAAAAGATCAGCTGCCAGGGCAGACATTACCGAGTCCAAATGACATGTCCCCAACCCTGAAATGGACAAAGATGGACTACGCATAAGCAAAAACAAGCCTTTCGCCACATGCAGCCTGGAACACCCCGGAACATGTAAGTTCGCGCGTAAGCGAAGCAAAGAAGCAAAGGCTCGGACAATGCAACCTCCGATACGGGGTGATTTGCCCCAGCAACTGGCGATATACCTCACCTGTGGGGTCTTCCCCGGGTTTAAACGTCACCCCATTGAATCGGCTCTCTCTTTTGCGGGGATGGACATGTCCGCTTCCCCAGCTTCATGGGGTCCCCGGGCTAAGCATCAATGCCGAAGCAAAGCTGAGCTTGTCATTCTTGGAATAGCTTGGTCTGTCAGAGCGTATATATAGCTTGTGTCAGTCAGTCCTTTAGTCCTTCACTTTCGCTTTACTTCCCATGATCATATCGAGCTGGTCTCAATCTTTTTCGCGTCATGTCTTCTCCATTTATGGGCCTTACAGGGCGAGCACTGCGCCTTGCACAAGTCATGCTCGTTGTTGCCCCTGCTTTTTTCCTGTTCGGTTATAATCAAGCCGGTACTGGTCCTTTAGCAACCCTGCCCAGTTGGGTTGCAACATTTCCTCAGATCGATACCATCAACACGGAGGGTGTTGTCAAATCTCACAACTCCACTAGCAAAGGCGCCGTGATTGCTTCATTTCAGATCGGTGCTTTGATCGGCGCACTCTCTTGCACATTCCTGTCCGACCGTCTCGGTCGCCGAAAGACCATTTTCCTGGGTGCTGTTCTGTCTGTTATCGGTCAGGTCTTACAAACCTCTGCATATTCTTTGATTCAATTCACTGTGGGACGCATCATCATCGGCATGGGAGTTGGTCAAATCAGTGTTGCGGTACCAGTCTGGCAGTCCGAATGCTCTTCTGCCAAGAGCAGAGGTCAGCATGTTGTCGCTGATGGAATCTTCATGTGTCTTGGGTATTCTCTATGTAATTGGATCGACTTTGGGTTCAGCGAACTTCCTAGCACAAATACCAGACAGTGGCGAGGACCACTCGCAGTGTCGTTCTTCCCGTCGCTGATGATCCTGGCATCTGTATTCTTCTTGCCCGAGTCTCCTCGTTGGCTGGTTCGCGTCAACCGTTCTGATGAAGCTACCGCCAATCTCGCAGCTCTCAAGGGAATTCAACCAGATGATTCAGAAATTCAGGTGGAGATCTCAGGCATTCAACTATCATTCGAGGTCACTGCCGAATCAAAGGGCGTTCTTCGGGAGATTTTCTCAAAGGATGACGACGAACGTCTTCTTTATCGATTCTGTCTGTGTATCGTCCTCCAATTCTTCCAGCAGATGTGCGGTGGAAACCTGATTTCGGTTTATGCTTCGACCATCTTCGAAGAAAACCTGAATCTAGGCTCAGACCTATCGAAAATTCTCGCCGCGTGCGCCTTGACTTGGAAATTCCTGTGCTGTTTCATTGCCTTCTTTACCATTGACCGTCTAGGTCGTCGCGCCGTGTTCATGATCAGCGGCGCCGGAATGGCACTCTGCATGGCGGCCATGGCCGTTACAACCAGCTTCGGCACTGAGAACAAACACGCATCGATTGCATCTGCATTCTTCATTTTCTTGTTCAACCTATTCTACCCTATCGGCTTCCTCGGTGGCAATTTCTTATATTGTACGGAGGTTGCTCCGGTCCGGTTGCGAGTGGCTATGGCGGCTATCTCAACTGCGAACCACTGGCTTTGGAACTTTGTCGTGGTGATGGTGACCCCTGTGGCGCTCGATACAATCGGATACAGATATTATATCATGTATGCGATCTTGTCGGCCTGCATTCCTGTTCTGGTTTATTTCTTCTATCCAGAGACCATGAATCGCAATCTCGAAATGCTCAATCATGTGTTCCGGGACGCGTCTTCGCCGTGGCAGATCGTCTCTATGGCGCGGAATTTGCCTCAGGGTGAAGTGACACCCGCAGAACTCATTGCTAAAAACAAGGAGAAGGATGATGGATGTTCTTTGGAGATGAAAGAACATGTTTGAGTGCTGTTTTCAGTCACAAGAGGCACTGCGTTTAGTTCATATCTGGTCCCTTGATCGGAATATAGTTGCTCAAATATAGAAGTACAACAAAGTATCCTGATCGCTCTACGATCGCTCTACACCTTCAAGCTCAGTATATCATTTAGAATTCAGAGCCGATCTCATCCGATCAAACATGAAAAGTTGCTTTCCATACTCTCCATGAATTTTCCTACCTTCTTTTTCTTTCGTTTTTTCTCGACCGGATCCACCAGCGAATATACTGCAACCGCACTGTGATCCCTCTAAGACATCCCTCGAAGACATCTCGGACCTATTTATCAAACAACCGTATAATTTTCGCGCAAGAGAAAAGCCTGATGGATTTCCCGCGAAGAATCGGAAACACTGCTATATGAGGGCCCAACAACAGTTGCTGTTGGTCATAGTTCGGCGAAACCGGGCAGCCCCATATCGGAATGCCGATACGGAGGAAGAAAACGCCGGCGGCACCCACAAATCAAGACGAAGGAGTCTCTCAGCAAAGAATCCCCGAATCCGCGGGATTATTCTCATTGGAAGGCGAACGGCAGCCGTGAACAATTAGCCCCATCCACTTTTTCGCGGCAAGCAGCGCCAAACACAGTCCAGACAGCTCCATGGCATTCCTCCGTCTATCGGTACTTTACCCCAGAATCGACCCCCTTTCGCCAAACGGCAGTCTGCGCAGTGGGGGCCTTTGCGTAACGAACTAGGACTCCTCCGCTGCCATCGGGTCGTGGACGCGGTATTTTCGGCTCGATTCAGGGCTCTAATTGGATGCTGCGTGGGTCCATTCTGGGTATCCGATGGACGGCAGAGTCGCCGGCTTTGATTTGTTCGAGATGCCTGGTTTGCCCTGGGTTTCAGGAATTATCTCTCTCGTGAGCCGGCGGACATGTTCGATGCCGAAGCTTTATCCGTATGACAGCGGGTGACGTCGGGTTCGTCGGCGTTGAGATTGGAGACGCGGGAAAGCAGGGTTGTTGGATCTATACTTATAGATCGTAGTGTCCGTCGTAGACTCGGTAGTCATACTCCAATCAATTTGATATCCAAATCATACCGACTACCTCGTCTCCGTCGTATCCGATCTATATCATGGCCCCTTCGATTGACGACGCTCCCCATGGCCAAGTGCAGGTCACTGCGCCATGCAAAGTCGGCATCAACGGCTTTGGACGTATTGGTGAGAGATCTAAGCAACCATACCTCAAAGGCCTTCCTGGCTAATCTATTCCAGGACGCAACGTGCTTCGAGCAGCCCTAGTCCGCTCAGACATCCAAGTCGTCGCCATCAACCACACATGCATCTCAGTCGAGGACCTCATCTATCTCATCCGCTATGATTCCTCAATGGGAGATCTCGACGATCGAACTCCCATCCACATCCTCTCCGATACCCTCATCACCATCAACGGCAAGCAAATTGCCCTCACCTCCGAACGCGACTTGAAGAAGCTCAACTGGTCCACCCTGGGAGTCGACTATGTCCTCGAATGCACTGGCAAATTCACCAAGCGTGATCTCGCTCTAGACCACGTCACCCATGGCCAAGCCAAGCGTGTTCTCATCTCCGCCCCCAGCTCAGACTCCCCTACTTTCGTTTACGGTGTCAACTCAGACGACTATACACCTACCGAGGATTGTCGTGTTGTCTCCAATGCCAGCTGCACGACTAACTGCGTCACACCTGTGCTGAAAGTTCTTCAGAACTCTTTCGGCGTTGCTCAGGGCTTCTTAACAACAATCCATGCTGCTACACGGTCACAGCAAGTGTTGGATGGATACAGCAAGAAGAACAAGCGTTTGGGTAGGCATGGCTTTCTCCAATCTGAGTTTCGCATCTAACAATGAGCTGTTAGGACGTGGCGTCTTCAACAACATCATCCCTACAACCACCGGTGCCGCCAAAGCCGTCGCCGCTGTTCTACCAGAGCTCAACGGCAAAGTCACTGGTGTCTCTATTCGTGTCCCTACGTGAGTATTTGCCTGTTGCCCAAGTCCCAAGCCTTCGTCTTACACTACAATAGCCCCAATGTCTCAATGATCGACCTCACCATCAGCACTGAGAAACCGACCTCGCTGGCCGAAGTCATCGCTGCTTTCCGTCGTGCTGCCAAGCTCGATATGGCTGGTGTTCTCAAGGTTTCCGACGAGGAGCTTGTCAGCAGTGACTACAATGGTAGTCCATACAGTGCCATCATCGACGCTCCTTCGTGTATGGAGTTGAACCCTCAGGTATGACAATTGACTCTGGTGCCGAGGATGATCTTGCTAACAACCTTCTAGTTCTTCAAGATTATGGCTTGGTACGATAATGAATGGGGATACTCCAACAGACTGTTGGACTTGACTACCCATGTGCATGCCCTGGAGGCTTGAGTTTTGGTTCGATGGGATTCGGAGTTACTGTTTAGATTATAGATAATACGATTGAGGCACATAATAGGCTGTCAGGTTCAATGCAAGTCGTTTCAGAAACATAAACACTCTTTGTCGAAGACATGATGGTGTCGTAGTATAGCAGCGTCTACTCTTGTGGCCAGGCATCGATGGGTGAACCACTCTAGATCACAGATTTCGGAAAGAAGATAGTCTTTTGAATACACGAAGTTTTGTCCATATTTTCATAATTTCATAGACAGAAGGGTCGTTAACATGCAAAATTCAGATCTATTTTTTGACACAAACGGAATAATCATGGGTATCCACTTAATCCTCATCCATAGACTCCCAGCCATCACCACCGCGAGGAGCCTCCTCGCCCTCACCCTCACCCTCATCGTCAGAAGAGTCCTCGTCAACATTGATACCAATAGTGCGCTCCTGGACCTCGTTGGCGAAGTTAGGGATACGAGAGACAAAGGCACGACGAACACCAGCATTGGTGGACGAATCCCAAATCTGCACACTACCCTTGCTACCAGCGACAGCAAGACGGAAGCCAACCTCCTGATCCGGAGCGAAAGAGGTAGAGAAGACCTTTCCAACTTCCAGCTTGCGAGTGACGACCAAGCTAGGCTTGTCGTCCTCGACGTTCCAAAGCTTGACGGTCTTGTCTGTTGAGCCGGTAACGAGGAATCCGGGGATAATGCGGTTGATGTCGAAGGAGGAAACGGAGGAGTCGTGAGCCTGCAGAGACCAGACGGGCTTGGACTCGGCCGGGGTGGTGGGCACGTTGCGCATGTCGTAGCGGTAGACCATGCCGGCGTCGGTGGTGACGTAGAAGAAGTTGGTGTTGTGGGGATCCCAGCGGACGGCTTCGACGTCGGCGTCGACGCCCCAGCGGGCCTGTGCGTCGGGAGCACGCATGTCGGCTGCAACGACGGTGCGGTCGTAGCTACCGCTCAGGAGAATGGTGGACTCGACAGGGTGCCAGTCTAGTGAGCAGACCTTGTCCTTGTGGTTGGAGTAGGACTTGGCGCAGGTGGCGGTGTTCAGATCCCAGAGCTTGACGGTCTTGTCAGCGGAGCCGGAGGCGAGCAGGTTGCGGTGCTGACGGTTGGCGGCCAGCGCCAGGACGGCGTCGATGTGGTATTCGTCGTTGGCCTTGGCCTTCTTCTTTTGCTTCTTCTGCTTCTTGTCGGCATCCTGGCCGCCTTGGCCGAGGATGGCGTTGGGGTACATGGAGTCCACAACGTCGAGATCCCAGATCTCGATGTCAGGCTCCATGGTTCCGACGGCGACGAAGTTGCCCTGTGTCCGGCCTTCTGTGTTCTTGCCAACAGGGATGTCGAGCCACTCGGTGCAGAGGGGGATGCCGGGCAGCATGATGTCGTGGTGCACGTAAAGGTTATCCGCCTTGTCTTCGTAGACATATACTTCGAGGTGCGCAACCTCGTCCTCCACCTTTCCGGCCAGAAGGAGGTTGTCCTCGGGCATGATTTGAAGCTCCTCGCGCTCCTCGTCATCATCCTCGTCGTTCATGGTAAGGTAAGGATCCGCCTCGTTGGGCTGGTGGTAAGCCAAAGACTGTACGTTTCCAAACATGGTGACCTTTTCACCATCATCGTCAACCTCCTCCTTGTCGTAGTTGTCCATGTCGAATTCCTTCAAGACATCGTCATCGCTACAATTGAATTAGCATGGGTTGATCAAAATGCACTTAAGCTCACTCACGTCTTTGCCTCTGTGCTTTCTGTGGAAGGCTTCTCCTCGCTGTCATCCTCCATGGCATCATCTCCCTGCTCCTCCTCGTCAATCTTGCCATCCTGAGCAGCGCTCATGTCTTCCTTGGCATCTTCGAGCTGCATGCGCGCAAGCTTCGATATACGGCCCATTTCAGCCTCGTCGATGACATATTTAGTAGGGAATTGGGCAGCGACACCGCGCTTGACCCACGACGTAGTCGTAATCATAGAAGACATGCTGAACGTGTTGAGATCAGACTGATCAGCTTCAACTTTTTTTTTATCGGCGATAATTTTTTTTTTATCGGTGTGTCTGGCGGGGCTTTCCGCCCGGCAGAACCAGGCCGATCTTCTCGCCGCCCGGGGATTTTGCGGACAGTTGCTTCGCATTGGATTCAATCGATTAGTTGAAGACTATTGTCTGCGTTTTGCTTCTAAATCTTCGAACTGCTACCGCAATCATGCATTCTCACCTTCACACACCCTACAACGTCAGTACGTTGACCCTAAACCCTGTGCTCTGTCCCACTGATACTGATTGCATGATTAGACTGCGAGGAGATCATGACTGCCCTCGACGAATGCCACGCCCAAGGCTTCCTCATCAAGGCGATGGGAGCTTGCAACGACATTAAGCGAGATGTGAACAAATGCCTCGGCGAAGAGCGATTCAAGCGTGCGAAGCGCAATCGGGACGAGGCGCGAAACAACCGTCAGCGTGTCGAGGCTATCTGGGCCAAGGAGCGTGAGCTCAGCCAAGGACCTTCACCTGCTACTACCACAGGCACGGAATCAGCGAAACAATAGAGCAACCAACCTGTGATGCCATGTTTCTTGGCGTTTTGAATTCGGAGTTCGGAGTACTCTTTCTTTACCCCGACGGGCCGTGTGACTGTGACTCAAGCATCGTTGCCTAAGTCTATGAATCCAGCTTCTCTCTTACTCGGGCTGAAGCTCAACTCAGGTCCGTCGATGTGGCTCAATGGTTCGCAAGCAGATCCGGATCGTCCGGTATCTTGTCCTCTCCTCTCATCGCATGTGGGAACAAGGAATTTGTACTATACCAGTGTAAATATATGTTACCAACACTACAACCTTGGAACAACCTTACTGGGATGAAACCCTCCAGGGCACTTCACCTATCTTACGTGATTGAACACTCGACTATGATTACCGTGAAAGCCAGAGTTATTGAGTGACCTTGAATGTACATTACTATTCTGTACACCAACTAAACTTTTATATAAACCCATATGATATAAGAACGCCAACCTGGGATGGTAAAAAGAATGCATGCAATGATAACCAGCATCAGTCGCCGAGGCCATACGGACACAATCAAGCGTCAACCTCCGCAGGCTGCGACTCGGCGGCATCTTCAACCTCCCAATGGACACCCTTATTGTGACGGCGTTTCCGCTTAGGCTTGGGCGCAGCATCATCACCCTCAGCCTCTACAGTAGCAGCCTTCTTCTTCGGAGCCGGGGCATCAGGGCGCTTCTTGGCCTTCTTCACACTGAGAGGGTTGGGCCCCTTCACTTTAGGTCCGCGCTTCTTCTTGGGCTCCTCGTCGGATTCTGCCTCGTCCTCCTCGCCATCACGCTTGCGCTTGCCCAGTGGAGGCTCGACGTCTAGTCCGGCGCGGAACTTGCCTCGCTCGTGACCTTCGCGAATCATCTCGGATGGGTTGCTCATTGGCTCGAGAACCATGACTGAGCGCTTAACGTAGATGATTGGGACACCGGGAATGCTGCGAGCGGACGTGCGCAGGGTCTTGGAACGGCGCATGGCCTCTTCTTCCTTGCGGTCATCCTCGGTCTTCCATTTCCGCTTGGGTTCGTTGGGGTTGGTCTTTCGCAAGATCGGTTCCGCAGTAGCGAGGATGTAATGCTCCTTGTTCTTCTTGACGTCTGAGCTGGGCGAAAGAAGTGAGAGTAGACATTCAATCTCGTCGATTGGCGTTGAGTCTGCGTTGTGCGAGCAGTGGCGGAGAGGAAGTTCAGTGGGGGGAGGGAGGAAGAGAGGACGGTAAGGCTTTTCGGTCTTGGGGTTGATGGGTTGCGCAGCCATGATTGCGGCGAGCGAGCACTTTGTCAATACTGCGAAGTCATTAGCATGGGACGCATTCCTTGGTTAGATTTGGGACTCACGGGGCTTGACTTTGCCCTGGACGGTTCTCTCGAGGGCAGGAATCAGCTCCATCTTGAACTGATCAGTGGCGCGCAGGAAGTTCGAGTCAACTGTTCGCATTAGCATGTTGCGTCTGAGCGGGTTGAGCCATGTCTTACCCAGGACCTGGTAGGCCTCTCGGAAACCGAAAGTCAGCTCATACTGGTGCATAAGCTTGCGATACTTCTTTGAACGTTTGGCCCTCATTGTGAATGGATGTCGATTCGAGGATCTGGTGACCTGCAGCTTCGACCGAAACTTTTTTCATTCTGCCGGGCGGCAACGGGGGCGGTGATATGGTCTGTGCTGATGCCCTTTAAGTGGGGCTGATCTTCATACTTCGTCTTCAAAAGGACAAAATGGACATAATATCTGGGACTGAAGAGCTCGAAAATCAGGTTGCTGTGCATGAAGATACATGAATTTTATTACTAGCAGGTAGGTGACAGTGTATCGTTATTGAAATAGGAGTTCTAAGTACTCATGAGATAGTCAGAGCTACCGTGTCAAATTGAATAGAATGCGCTTCAAGGTTGCTATGGTGTGGTATCAAATAGGCTATATGGATCGAGAGCATGGGTATCTTCGTCGTAACAGGGGCCTCAAGTCCCGTGAAGTAGTGAGTTGCCGGTTGCCGGTATGTCCCTGGGTATCTAGGTAGGCACTGGTGTCGAGGAAGAAATGTCGATTCCTGTCGTCTCTGAGGGACTCTCAAGTGTACCAATGGGGATTGAAATTTACACCGGTGGGAAATTCATCCGGGTGGAAGATGTCTTTGCACACTCGGGAGTCGGGACGTTGCCGAGACTGGTTTTGGCAACCAAATCAGACGAGGGCCCCCTCAAACCGAGGCACGATGCACTCGGTGGATGTGAACTGGGACCGGAAGACGATAGCACGAAGAGAGGATTGGATGTACGTCACGCCGCACAACTTCCCCAGCTTGAGCTGGGTCGACCGGAGCGGGCAGTATCCTGGTAGGTGGCTTTGGCCACACAACACACGGAATCGCCAGAAGACATCGGCGCAAAGAACGTAGATTTGAATATCCAATTCCGAATTGCGCACCGGAGACCTTAGTCGGACTCGTGTGCGGTGATCAGTTCCCGAGAGCTAGACCGGAGGTGATTGGATGTGGGGCTGTCCTCTACAGAGTTCGCGTGTCTGTACGGAGTAGCGCACGCACATTGCAGTGTTGAGTAGTCAAATGCGCAGTGGTCTCTCAACCGGCGCGCCTCTTGCAGGACGCAACCACGACAGAGATATCGTCCATCTTGCCACCTTCGATAGCGAGACCCTCATCAATGGCCTTCTCCATGAATGGACTCTCAGCGAATGGATCTTGGGCAATTGTGAGAGCGGAATTCAACAGCTCGCGAGCAATGAAGACATTGCGTTCGTCAGATAGACGGGAATTCGGAACATCCTCATGTGAGACACGCCCCTCCTCCCATTTGTTGATGCTGTCCATGATGATTTTCAAGACTTCGTGCTCCCAAAGATTGTCCATAACACCGTCCGAGAGAGCCAAGATGATGTCGTCTTCATGTAAAGCGACCTTGGACAGAACCGCATCTTTTCTTGGCGTGTCGATACTGTTCGTTCCAAGCTGCATCGGGCAATCGAACCAGTGCCACTGCTCTGCGGTGCGGAAAAGGACCTTCTCTTCGCTAGGCCGGATGACCATTATCTTGCAATCGCCCAGATTCGTCACGTAAAGAAGTGGTTTCTGCCTGCCGTCTTGTTCGACGTGGTGTAATATCGCAGTCGCGGAGGTGGTCGTCCCTAACCATTCGGTCGGAGACTTGGTTGCTCGCAGCGTCTCCTCGTACGCCGATTGTAGGTACCCGACCGGATCGAGAGTAGGGTCATGGCCATGTCGCTCGACCTCGAGGGCCCAGAAATGTAACAGAAGTCTAGACCACAGGCTAGAGTTTCAGGAAGACAGGGTCAGCAAGGGCCAGGATCGGGGTAATGGGGCCAACTCACGCAGCATGGCCGTGCGGTTTCGTAGCCCAGGCTCCTACGCCATCGTCAACGCCTATCAAGTTCTCCGCGACGATTATGGCATCGTCTCCATTGTTCAAGCCCCGGACTAGCTCGCCCTTGACGGATAATCTCTTATCCTGGCTGAGGCCGTGCGTCGTCAAGGGATCCGAGAAGGAAGTCGACGGTGGAGACAAAAAGGGCGGGGGAAAAGGGCGCGACGGCCGCTTCGCGCATAGAGCGTATCCGGTCTCGAACCGAAAGGGTGACTGTGGGCGCACCGGTAGCTGAGGCACGGGGGTGGTGATGCCGTAGGAAGGCCAAACTGCCGCGTGATATGGCCGTGCCGTGTGTGGGCGTCGAGGGTGGGCACCGGCCAGGGTCGGCGTTATGCTTATGTTCGCGATCCACTTGCTAAGAGACTTCCATGGTGAATTTGACACGGAGGCTGCTTTGGTCACCATCCCTGACTTCCAAGGTCTGCAAAGTGGTCAAGACATGAGAAAAAAATGAAGGGGAAGCCTTGAGGTTCACCGGTGAACAGACAAGATATCACTGGTCTGAGCCGCCGACGTGATTGGCACTACGGAGTATGTCTGAGCATACGAGAACACTGTTCTGACATTTCCCCATATACTTGGGCACTGCATCATTTTACTGCTTGGGGTATTTACGAGTCATATTTTGACTCGAATGTACTATTACTGCACTACAGGCTTAGCAGTCGATGAGAGGGTGGATCATGTCGAAAATCCACCCCTAAGCCCCTTTAGGTTGGCGTTCATAGATCCTTCGTCAGATCGTCAATATGAGTGTTACAAGATACGCATGGGGTTACTGCAATATGACATTAGCTATGAAATTAAACCCTTTACTCCGTACAAATAGCAGCCGCTAACATTGGGCAATCATTGATCGTGGCATTTCACACATCAGTAAATCCGAGCCTAAATGGGCTGCAAAGTCTCTTAGGTATGAAACCTCGAGTTCAACAAGCTCAGGATCAGGCCATGGCAACAGGAAGACCTCTCTAAGGGGTCTTACACACTTCCCTTGGAGTTCTGTCGGCGTGGGTTCTTCTTCTCCCGTTCATTAGTGATCAATGCGTCCATAGACTCGAAGGCGCGCTGCAGCTCTGCCGAAATCTGGTGGTCGGTCACACCACGTCGCAGGGATGCCAGGCCATGGAAGTACATGCGCGCCATGGTGCCAGCAGTGGTGACAAAGTTAAGACCAGGGCATGGGGAATGGAGGTCACGTTTCATCTTCAAGATGCGAATTTGGCGTTCAGCGCAGGGGCAGCAATAAACGACAAGTCGAGTACATTCGCTCGCACAACGACACAATCCGCGGCAGACGCACTTCCGCTGCTTGGCCAGGTAGTAGATGCGAGACTTGGGATCCTTCAGACGCTCGTCTCCGATAGTGGTTCCTTCCAGCTTCGCCAGAGTTGCTGCGTAGTGATCTTTCTTGGTTTCGGCATCCCGAAGGTCGTCTGCGATCTGGTCGGGGTTGATGAAGGGGAGCTGGTCAAATGGGATATCGTCTGGCACGACGACCACTGGCGCCACCGTGAGGTAATGCTCGGACAGCATGGCCATGACCCGGTCCGGAATCACGTTGAAAAATGGGATCAATGATAGCCACTTCGTACAGAAGGCTCCGTTCCTGTCCGTTACGATACGTGCCACATAGGCCCGGTACCCTGTGGCATCCTGGAGGGGATATTCCAAGTCCTTGGCCTTGTCCACGACCTGGGAGATGTAGTCTTGCTGGAAGTGGAGTGCAACATCCTTGTGGAAGTTGGCACAGATGTTGGGGGTATCCAGTACATCCTTGAATGCAATGACGATGCGGTAGAGATGGTCGGCCTCGGGAAGAAGGAATGGGCGGTGGGATGGGAGAGATCGAGAGGCGGATTGGAAGGTGCCGCACAGCTCGATGTTGGCCAGTTCAATAACCACTCGTGCATAGAGGGCATAGAACAAGTTCTCGGCAATGGTGATCAATATCTTCAGGTCCGTGCTCTTCACATTCTCTTCATACTGATGGATCCAGTGCCACAATCCGAGGCGTGAATTATCAATCTAACGGTAAGCCATAGACGTTAGTATGGACCCCATGAGATGGGATTGTAGTTGAGCATACCTCTGTCCCGTAGCTGAGGAGGATGATCTGCATGAGCTTCGCCATGGAGTACAATTTGTTCAGAATGCCCATCACCACACTGAGATGGATAGACTCATCCACCAGAGACATACCCTCAGGTAGCATGACCTCGAAATCGGCCAGGCAAACAGAATCAGACGGGTAAACGATCCAGTCATCGCTGCTGACCGCAAAGAGACGCAGTCGCTGTCTACTGGACACAAGCTACCACAAATCAATTAGCGAAGCCCAGGGAAGCCAAGGCCTAGCAGAGCAGACGAGGCAATGCTCATCGACTCACCACGTAACTCTCCCCGGATGCATTTGAAGCAGGCATGCTGAGTGATGGGGATGGGTTCGAATCACCCGAAGGGCTAGGAAGAGTGGGCGAGTGATTCGCCTGAGTGGGCGAGATCTTGAGGGAGTTCAACGAAGTCTTCGAACTCTTTCCCAAGAGGTGACGAGTTAAATCCACTGAGGACTTCGCGGGACGGTCCAGCTCCTCAGGCGCCAAATTCATCTCTGCCTCCCCCACAAGTGATTGACAGTAATTGAAAAGGCCATCCTTCAGGACATCATATTCACCTTTCCAGTCAACATTCTCCCCAGCGCTGACCCGCTGGCCCAGAGTCTCTATCATAGCTTTGGTTGCTTGGGCATGGGCATCAATGCAATCCTTAGTGAGCGCGATAAATGCATCGGGGTCACCGTCTGGCAATGAGGCAGCTGCCTCTAGGCGAGAACGTGCAAGAGTTGACGCCAAAGTCAGTGGCAAGTGATCGGGGGTTGGAGGATCCATGGAGACTGCGATTGACGGTGCAAAGGCTAAGAGCCAAATATTTTAGAAGAGGTTACGATGAGATCTGTGTGGGAAGCGTGAGGGAATGCCCAGGTGCCTTCCCGTTGAAGTTTAGGGCGTGAGGGCTATCGTGAGACCTAACAGGCAAACGGAGAAAGCACGCATGGAGGTATCACCTGGAATTATTCTTTCCCTACGCCCGTGAGTACTTTTTGCAAAGTATTGCGTGCGTCCTGGGCACCATGTTTCCTCCTGAGTCATGTACAGGGCAAAACAGTTAAGAGGCCATCACAAGAGACCTAGGACTCATTGAAACGTCAAGTCAGCCCCTCGTTCACCGACCTACGTGAGCAGCGTGTGTATCAGAAGAATATCAATGAAAAGGTTAACTCAAATTGGCTCATGGAAACAAAGCACTGAACAGTATAGACAAACAAAGACAAAGAATTAACCCTGCACCCGGAACGTACGACCACTGGCGGTCTTGCGCTCACGCTCCTCATTCTCGGGTCGAGCACGGTTAAGCACTGCTGGGCGTTAGACGAGAGTAATCTTGTTTGCTTCGAGTGCAGGTACTTACCTTGCAAGAAGTCTGCTGTTCTCTTTCTCATTCGAGTGTGAATGTAGGCCTATACCGAGGGGTTAGTAATCCACTAAATTAGGACAAAGTTGGTGCTCGTACCTTTGAGGCTTTAATGTGGTAGTGGAAGTAGTCACGGAAGGTCTGGATATGAGAGATGTTCTCATAACGACGCTGGGCAGTCAAGTGTCGGGGGAACAGAACTGCATGAGTCAGTACGCACACCCATATGCCCAAAAGAATTGCGAGACTTACCAAAAGTGACGTAGCTAACTTCACCCTCCTTTGGGCTGAGGCCAGGCACACCGGCCAGCTCAAGGGGAGGGTCGTTACGGAAAAGGACCTGAGGGGCGTTCTGTAGTGTCAACACACGACGGCGGGCGTCAACGAATTCCTATCAGAAATCAGCATACTGTCTCCACCACAAGCCGGGTCATATTGATGGTAACGAACCTGCAAGAAGACCTTGCCGAAGATCCGATCAGTCTCCTCCCGGAAGACGGTGCTGAAGATGACAGTGACTCGATCCCAGTTGGCCTTGATGTAGATAGCCTCCTCCTCGCGGTAGTGAATAGCCATAACCTCGCCGCCCTCCTTGACACCTTGAGGCGCGGACTCCGATGTGTATTGCGAAGCCTCCTCGGCAAGCTTGTTGAATTCATCGAACGCTCTCTCAAACGGAGCGGCCATCGCGTTGCGCTTCAGGAGAGCAAGCTTCATAATAAGTTCACTGCGAGCCTCCTCCTCGGCGGGCAAGTTCTCCAGATCGATCTGTACCGAGAAGTCATACCCTGGCTCGGGAGAAACAATGTAGGGACCGTATTCTCTTTCCAGCACCTCCTGGGCGCCGTACTGAACCAGTTCCTTGAAGCATTTCACGTTGATCGAGATGAGGATCTTGGACTTGGACTCGGGGGTCGAGAGGTGGAAGGTCACTCCATCGAAGTCGGAAACCACCTGGTCAATGGAGACCGGGGCCGCTCTGGAGCTTGTTAGCCGGGTGCCTGGGTGCATACACAATGCGGGCTGGCAGTGCGGGGGGAGGGAAGGCGTACCCAGAGAAGCGCTCGGTCAGGAGTGACTCAATTAAAACGTTCTGGTAATCTAAGAGAAGCATGACGGGCAATGCAATGGCTTAATGTGCAGTGTAAAGGTGGCTGTTGTGAGGTTGCCAATGATCGTCATGGGCGGTGGGGGAGCCGGAGAGGTCGCTGCCGCCGCCCGTATTAATTTTATCCTATCGATAGCAATCGGAGGCTCCTAAAATTTTCCCATCCACTTCCAACGATGGTGAAATCATACTTGTATGTTGATTCTTCGCCGGTTCAGACTTACTTGATCGAGTCGCTAATATCTGCACAGTAAATTCGAGCACTCGAATACGTTCGGGCTCGTCGCCTCGGCGTCCTCGAATGCGATCTGGGCCAAAGACGACCAGGGCGGTGTCGCACGCCAGACGGGCGCCGGTCGAGCCATTGTTGGTGCTAGTGAAGAAGTTCTCTGCTGGGATGTGAAAAAGGGAGAATTGCTGGGAAGATGGCGCGATTCTGGCTGCAGGGCGCAGGTCAGTGTGGTTGCGCAGAGCCAAACAGATGAAGATATTTTTGCGGTTGGGTAAGTAGTCCGCATTGCGGCTCTTGATTGAAGCATCTCTTTAATACTAATTTTTCTAGTTACGAAGACGGAAGTATTCGTCTGTGGGATTCGCGAACCGGCACCGTCATTATCTCTTTCAACGGCCACAAGTCCGCCGTCACTAAGCTGGCCTTCGACAATGCCGGCGTGCGCCTTGCCAGTGGCTCCAAGGATACAGATATCATTGTTTGGGATCTGATCACTGAAGTTGGTCTCTTCAAACTGCGTGGACATACCGACCAGATCACATCGCTGCATTTCCTGTTCCCATCGCAGGAACTGCTCGCCGCCACCGGATTGAACGAACACGCAGGATTCTTGTTGACCACTGGAAAGGATGCCTTGATCAAGGTTTGGGATCTCGCTTCGCAACACTGCATCGAAACGCACGTGGCTCAATCCAACGGCGAGTGCTGGAGCTTGGGTCTATCACCCGACCAGGGTGGATGTATCACAGCTGGTAATGACGGAGAACTCCGGGTCTGGTCGATCGACGAGGCGGCTATGATGGATATCTCCAGAGAAAAGCTTAGCGCGGACGGCCGCAAAGTTCTCACCGACCGAGGAACGTTCTATCGCCATGGCAAGGACCGTACGCTCGGCATCCGTTTCCACCCCCGCTCAGACTACGTTGGATTCCATGGCTCCGACAAGTCCGTTGAGATCTGGCGTATCCGCTCCCAGACCGAGGTTCAGAAGAGCATGGCGCGCAAGAACAAGAGAAGAAAGGAGAAGGCAGCGCAAAAGTCCGAAGACGGTGCGCCAAAGGAGGAAGACAAGGTCGATGATGCCGCTGCTGCGCCTGTTTCGGAGGTTTTCGTCCAACATGTGATTGTTCGCACTGGTGGAAAGGTTCGCTCCTTCGATTGGATGATGAACAAATCAACTGGCCTGAACCTCCTGGCCGCAACAACAAACAACCAGTTGGAGGCATACACAGTTGTACCAGCCAACAAGAAGAACGCCGACAGCGAAGAATCCGACTACACCCGCAGCCTGGCAGTTGACATCCCTGGTCACCGAACCGATATCCGATCTATTGCCCTCAGCTCCGACGACCGCATGCTTGCATCCGCGTCCAACGGCACCTTGAAGATTTGGAATGTTCTCACCGAGAGCTGCCTTCGAACACTCGACTGCGGTTATTCTCTGTGCTCCGCCTTCCTTCCTGGTGACAAGATCGTAGTCGTCGGTAATAAGAACGGAGAGCTCGAAGTATTCGACATCGCCTCCTCGACATTGCTCGATACTATCAAGGCCCATGACGGACCTGTGTGGTCATTGCAAGTGCACCCTGATGGCAAGTCCATGGTCAGTGGAAGCGCGGACAAGACGGCCAAGTTCTGGGATTTTAAGGTCGTGCAGGAAGAGATTCCTGGAACCAAGCGCACCACTCCACGCCTCAAGTTGGCACACACAAGGACTCTCAAGGTCAATGATGATATTCTCAACCTCCGATTCTCGCCAGACGCTCGCCTCTTGGCTGTGTCTCTCCTCGACAACACCGTGAAGGTCTTCTTTGTTGACTCTTTGAAGCTTTTCCTCAACCTCTACGGACACAAGCTCCCCGTGCTGAGCATGGACATTTCCCACGACAGCAAGCTTATTGTGACTTGCTCAGCCGACAAGACTGTTCGTCTCTGGGGATTGGACTTCGGTGATTGCCACAAAGCCTTCCTCGCCCACGAGGACAGCATCATGGCAGTGGCTTTCGTCCCCCACAACAAGGACGGAAACGGCCATAACTTCTTCAGTGCCAGTAAGGATCGTATGATCAAGTACTGGGACGGTGACAAGTTCGAGCAAATCCAACGTCTCGTCGGCCACCACGGCGAGATCTGGGCGCTTGCTATGAGCCGTTCCGGTGATTTCCTCGTTAGTGCCAGTCACGACAAGAGCATCCGTATTTGGCAACAAACAGATGAGCCTCTCTTCCTCGAGGAAGAACGCGAAAAGGAAGAGGAAGAGGCCTACGACAGCACACTTACCGCCTCTCTGGAACAGGACGAGGATGGTGATGGTGAAAAGGCCGAGGCCGTCGACGCCGGAAAGCAAACGACCGGCACTCTCATGGCCGGAGAAAAGATCATCGAAGCTCTCGAGCTCGGCATGGAGGATCTCGAGGTCGTCCGCGACTGGCGCAAGGTCAAAGCTGCCAACCCCAACGCTGCCCAGCCCGATCGTAACCCAGTCTACCTTGCCCTGAACAACATCTCCGCCGAGCAGCACGTTCTGAACACTGTCCAGAAGATCCCCGCTGCCGCCCTGCAAGACGCCCTCCTCGTCCTGCCCTTCTCCAAGCTATCCGCCCTCTTCACCTTCCTCAACATCTGGGCCGACCGTGAATGGAACGTGCCCCTTACCTGCCGCGTGCTCTTCTTCATTCTGAAGACCCACCACCGCCAAATCGTGGCCAGCAAGATGATGCGCCCCATGCTTGACAGCATTCGCGCGTCACTGCGTCGCGTGCTTGCTCGCCAGAAGGACGAGATGGGATTCAATCTCTCTGCATTGCAGTTCATTGGCAACCAGATCCAAGAACAAAGTACTGCAGACTACATTGATGAGGAGACTTGGGAGGAGAAGCAGGCTTCCAAGGGCACGGGCAAGAAGCGCCAGTTCGTCAGTGTTGCCTGAGTTAGGATAATGGTGTACAAGCATGTCAATGGGCGTTTTTGATCATTTCGACCTTGTTACGGGTCTTCTCTTCTGTTTTACATACAAAAGTTCTATATCCTTGGGAGTTGACGAGAATATCAATGGATGTACCATAGATTTATTTCAATAGACTTGTTTCCAACGTTCCAAGGTTCCATATTGCCTACGCGACTATGCCTTAAAAGGAGGTAAAGATTGAAACATAATGTATTGATTCAAAACTGTGAATGTATTCATCTATTTGGGCTCGGCGAAGCTGAACTGTAGCAAGGTATCGTTAGCAAATTGCTTCCATGCGACATCGAGGTATCCCGCCAGCCAAGAGAAAAGCAAGCATCATAGGACTCATGTCAGCAGAACCGTTATAAGCACCGACGACAGGGATTTTTCATATATTGAACAATCCACTGCCATCCTTTTCCGGCTCTTCCTAATTGTATGGTTCAATGCGATTCTCATCATGTAGAGTCCGACGCGGTGCTTTTCTCTTGCTGTGTCAGGAAAGCTAGGAGCTGAGTTGAACTTACCATTAGTATTCTACTCAATGGCCACGAAGTCTTGCATTGAAACCAGTGGCCAATTGAGGAGCTTGGTGTAAGCTGGAGGTGGGAGAAGAGGTTGGGCCGGGTTTTGTGAGAAAAAAAAAGGTCGAGTGGAGCTGCTTACTCATTCGGTCACGTGGATTTACATTCGCGCTTCATACAATCGAGTCGAACTAGATGGAATGTTGATATGAAAAATATCATTATATCTGCTGTATTGTTCAACTATCGATGTCATGAACTCGTAAAACACATTCAGGGGTATTATTTGAATCAAGTATGAGTACATAGGTCATGAGGAAGGCTTCATTGTGCCACAACAAGAGCAAGTCCACCATTGGCTCTCCATGAAGCTACCACAAGATATGCACAGCCATCCGAGGGGCTTCTTTTCAGCTCCCTGATCCAACGCTTTGATGCTATCCAACGGCCGGGTACGGTTCTTGAAAGCAAACGCATTCTTGGCGTTTGGTTCATTCTCCTTTTGATCGATGGGCAAGGGCCGTTTCTTTGGGTTGAGAGAATCGGAAGTCTTACGTTGAGTGGGAGTGCTTTTAGATGTAGGAGCTGGTGTAGGCTTCGTATTCGTTGGAGGAGGTCGTTCTCCTGCACAGGCATCACAGCAAAGGAAGGTAGACTGGTTTTCCAGGGTGCACGTTGGGCAGATCCAAGGTCTATCGTATGAGCTGTTATCGGCTGTCAAATCGACAGGCTTCGGCGCATCAGATGGCTTGGCCGCCTTCATTGCCTTTGGGTGTGAAGGCAGCGCTTTGGGTTTGGCCGGTGGAGCATTTGAGGGTCCGGGGGGTGGTGATGATTCTGTTCTCGGGCCTGCTGGATGCTCCTGGCTCGGTGGGACATATGAAGAATCGTACTTTTCGCGCTCTTCTGCCTGAATCAACTCAATGAATGCTTCCATGATAGCCCGTTCATTTGCATCGTCCTCTTCGGCCTGGGTTCTGAACCCATTCCGCGAAGCCTCTTCCGCAAGTTTGTCGCTGTCATTCGTGCCAGAAGCGCAACCTTGGGTAACTTCAAGACGCCTCTGGGCAGCGTCGGCACGAAGCTTACGGATATCGGTTCCGCGAAGATGGCGCGTCCCACCGAGCTTTTGGCCGGAGTTCTTGGTCAGAGTCCTTCGTTGCTCTGCCGCAGCACGCGCTTGACGTCGAGCTTCATCGACTGGCATTCTTTGCCCACCAAGGCGCTTGCCTTGAGATAAGAAGCCCTCTCCGGTGTAGCCTTTTCGGGCTAGCTCCTCATGCTCGTCGCGCAGTTGATTCCACAACGCATGAAACTGCTGGTTGTGAGGGCCGATGACATTATGACACAGCCTGCCAATGATCAGCTTGAGCAATAGGACTTGCGAAGGTAACAGCACTCACTCATGTAACATCGTGTCCACGACATCTTCTATAGGCAGAAACTGTCGCTGGTCAGAAGGATACCGTAATCTCAGGCAAATCTTCTGTCCCGAATTCACATTCAGCCCCAGCAGATTACGTTGCTGCGGATAGAACTCGCATAAGGCACCCACTCTCCAAGCGCGCTGTCGCATGATCGGCTTGACCAAGGACGCAACTTTGCGCAGGATCAACAGTGCCTCATCCTCCCGCGGCCGCTTCTTTTCATGGCGATATTCAGAAATCAAGGGATCCAGTTCCCGCATGATGTCCCGCTCTCAGTGATGCTAGCTGAGACCGGTTTGATGAAGTGGTAGTATCGAAGTATCTTTCTTTTGTCCTGGGCCAAGAGTCTACCCTGCCCAGGTGCCCCAGGGTCTGGATGAAGTTTTCACATCAAAACATGGCACCTTGAAGATCGAAAATGTCAGATGCAGCAATGTCACTTCCGCCCTGGAGATGTGGAATACACAGGATGCTTCCAGATGCCCCGGCCAGGATTTTGATGATCAAGCAAGGCACGATCTTTGGCCTGATATCTGAGGCGCCAATATCACGTGCAATCATCAACTGCAGTAAATGGGTCCGTGTACGACATCTCTACACCCCAGGGATCATTTCTCATTTGAAAATTTTGTCACATTGATATTTGCTGAACGAAGCTATGCATGTAATTGGAATCTTAACCTAAATTTACTTCGTTTTAATGCCAGGTGGTTTGACTCGGGAACCTTAAAGATTATGGCTTCAATTTGTTGATATATATTTCCAAGGTTCTACTAGGTAATCCCACGGCTTAAGAGGGATAGGCTTGTTGTAAGCAAAAACCAGGTTGGGATCCCAGATCCGTTTCAAGGAGGAGAGCGAAGCTAAGTTCCTCGACGAATACCAAGATCCAGCTCCTTCATTTCCTCGTGCATAACCAGCGTATGTAGCAAGGTAATCGTATCCACTAGAGCCTGCGATTCGAGACCTGAGCGATTGTTGAAAGTCATTAGCGATCTCATGTATGGATGAGTCGTTCATATATCCTTCGATACTTCTATCAAGATAATAGCCAATTAGCAAGGAACCCTTGAAGACTTGCAAAAGATGAAAGTGACAGAGAAGCAAGAAATGCTTCGACTCACATGTGTGCGATAGCCTTTCGCCACGGGAAGGATGTTTCATTATGAGGCACATTTGCAGCAGCGTCATTTGCTAAGCGAGGTATAAGGAGACGGCCTTGATATCCGGGATGCTGTCGCCAAAAGCGGTTCATGTCGGCGAAAACAGACTGCAGAGTTTCTGGATCCGTGCGCCGGACTGCAACACTGTGTATGTTGACTACTTGACCTGGTGTACAGGATCCGAGCACAGGAGGGAAAAGCGTATTTTGAGGTATCATCCGCACAGTATCGTTGAGAGGCCCTAGCTTTCTGAATCGCTCCAGGTATGGTTCACCAGCCTCTCTGGGACCGAAGTAAATGGCGTTCAGAACGATATACGGCTAGCGCAGTGACTCAGATACGGGATCGTCGTCTCAAGGGGTGGAAATTACCTGATTTGTTTGACGATCGAAGAAAGCCATATTCGTTAAAGCGAGTTGGGGCGGCATATCGGTGTCGAATGTTTGTAAAACTCGCCAGTAACTAGCATTCACGGAGGCGGGAAACACTAGTCCAGCGGACATAGCTAGACCATTGTTTGTGATACCCCAAACTCGGAATGTTGCAGAAGTGACGATGCCGAAGTTGCTTCCTGCACCACGTATGCCCCAGAAGAGATCGGGATTCTCTTCATGAGAGGCTGTGACGAGGTTTCCATCCGCTGTGACAAGTCTGACAGACTCAAGTGCATCGATCATTAATCCGCGGAGGCCCATCAGGGGGCCTATCCCGGCGCCGAGCGTAGCACCCACCACGCCGGGACAAGCACATGAAGCCAACGCTGCGATTACATCAGATGTGAGAGGTCATTGAGAAGAGTGGTACATACGGAGCTCTTTGGAAGCATTGTACAACAGATCAGTCAACTGGTTGTATTTCACCGCGCCACCTATAGTCAGGAGCGTGTGGGTGTCGTCGAACTTGGCAGTATTGAAGTTACCGAGATCAATCGATATGCCTTCGAAGGTCCTATAATCGGAGAACGATTGCCCACCGCCAGTTGCTAGAAACCGGATATTGTGAAGCTGGGCTATGCGAACCTAACCAAAGGCAAGCAGATCAGTCTCAGTTACGGCCTAGAATTTGAAGGGATGCACACAGTGTGTTGGATATCAGACTCTGTCATAGGCTTGATGACTCCAATGAATGTGGGACATGCATAGTCAGACCATCGTGCTTGCACCTTTGTCCCCCAGTCGACATCGCCGGGTAATATTATCTCTGCTCCAGGAGAAAGTGAGGGTGCAAAGATAGCCGTTAGATTCAGCAAGCCTGCAACTCGGGAGAAAAGTGTAAAACCGAGAAGAAATGCTAATGTGGGCTTCATTGGGTTCGCGGCGCAAACTCTCTCGAGAACTCTGCGTTGATGTTGGTGGGGTGAAATTCAGAACTGGATTAAGTTGCCTTAGTAGATGACATCAGTCGAGATGGACTTATCTACCGTTAGAAAATATGTCGCTTTTCGTGCCACATTCAAATGCAACAGGAGGTCCGAGAGGTTCAGATAGGGAGCGCACAATGAGCCCCAAGATGATAGATCAACTCTCGTAGTCACCGAGAGATAGGCAAATGCAAAGGCTTGGGCATTTGAGTGGCTACTAGCTCTCACCCGAGGACAAAATAAGCAAGATCGGGGCATCGACATGAGGGATATGCTGTGCCCTCGGTCAGGCCGGTGCATATGAGACCACTAAGCATGTTACCCTCAGTGAAACATGAGTACTCTGTACCTTGCGAGGCCGGAGACTTGACGATTTCCAGGAAACTCGTCGCCACGTGGATCTAAAACAAAAAGGCAAGTCAGTTCACTATGATTTTCAAGACTCAGAATGGCGCAATTCGATGACTTGTTCAAAGCTCTCCCCGAGGCAGAGATCTTCCTCCCGGGCTACTTCGGCTACGAGGACAGAACCAAAAGATGGAGTGCCTCATGCAAAAGGCCAGCCGCAGTAATTGTTTGTCCGAGAAATGCGTACGAAGTGAGCGTAGCCCTGCGCTACGCCACTAACCACAAGATCCTGCCCCTGGCAGTCTGCGGCGGTGGACATGGTACAAGTGGCGACAATTGCTCCGAGGGAGGTATGGTGATTGATTTGCGTCAGATCAGGTCCACGGTAGTTGATACCGAGTCACAAACAATCACATTTGGAGGTGGATGTACGTGGGAGGACGTGAATGGTGCTTTGTGGGATCACGGGCTGGCAACGGTTAGTGGAACAGTTGGCGATACAGGGGTTGGGGGATTGATACTGTGTGGTGGCTATGGATTCTTGACAGGTAGTTGTGGGTTGGCTTTGGATTGTCTCATTGCCTGTGAAGTTGTGTTGGCGAATGGAGACATTGTCAAAGCCAGCAAAGAGGAAAACGCAGATCTATTCTGGGCTCTGCGTGGTGCCGGACCTAACTTCGGTATTGTAACTCATTTCACCTCGCAGGCCTTTCCTCAAGGGGAGAGTTGGGCGGGCTTCTTGGGATTTGACCCGGAAGTGTTACCGGCGATAATCGAGTTTGGCAATCATTTCAGTGAGTATATGTCGAAGAAACAGCCTGGAATGAAGATGATAGCTAACAGTCACCTAGTTGAGAATGATGATGGCAAATCCATGATGAACGTGATAGTTGGCAATTTCATACCCCCCAACAAGGCCAGTGGTGTATTGGCTGTCGTTTTTTACAACGGATCTGAGGAGGATGGAAAGCAGAGATTCAGACCACTTCTTGATCTCAATCCCCTTGGTGACACTACAAGCATGCTGTCATATCCAGATCTCAACATGATGTTCAATAAGTATCCTCGAGGTCCGAACGACAGACATATGTTTGGTGGCGCAAACTTCACACATCCACTAGACAAAGTCGCCGCGAAGGAGATTTGCGACCAATTCTGGGATGCCACCAATGCGCCGGAGAATGAGAATCTTCGCGGCAGCACCATGGCGTTCGAATTCTTTCCTACCAATAAGATACGTGAGATCCCACTGCCTGACACGGCGTTCGGAAACAGAGGCCAGTTCGCGTCGATTTGCATCTCAATGAATTGGACAGAGACATCCAAGGACGTTGATGCACGATTGCTTTCGAAGAAATTCACCCAGACTTGCGCCGATAGCACTGGTTGGAAGGGAGACCAGTACCGCGATGCATCAAGTACTTATGCAAACTATTTCAGTGAGCCCATAGTCCGGAGACGTGTGAGACCATAGAAGTAATTGACTAACTCGACAATGAATAGGCATTACTACTAAAGCAGAGAAAATCTATGGACCAAATACCGCGAAGCTCCGAAGGCTCAAGACTCAATATGACCCGGACAATGTGTTCATAAAGGTACAGGATTTGTCGTCTAAAAGCTGAAGAGCCCGGCAGACAAGACCAATGTGTGATATCCGGTAGTTTGAATTCTTAGCTGAAAAACAGTATGCTTTATCCGAAGCAAGTGGTATCAATCACGAAAAGCATAACGTAAAAGATGGGAAGGTAACGGTGCATCAGGAGACAGATCCTAGGATGTTGTCTCACAACTAGAACCACCACAATTCTCGACCCCCATTCCGAGATTTCAATGCCTTCGCACCAATGCGGACAAGATCGGCGTTTCGAAGGGTCTCCTTCTCGATTCCATGCACAGCCTGGTCGAGAACCGCGGCCGCGGCATCAACTAGATAGATATTCGGGAAGGGAACGCCAATGAGATTCGTCGCACTGAAGACGCTCGCCACAACACCTCGCGTAAAACTAGTCCAGTTCGTGATGACCCCGGGCTGGGCGATGCAGATCTCCACTCCTTCGTTCTCGGTGGGAAATTTGAGGACCATCAGTTCGGTATTACACTAGAGAGTTAGAATCGCGAGATTGTGAAAAAGCCTCATGGGCTCTCAGACTGGAAAAGCTCACCCGCATGACTTGATACTCAGCCCAGAGGAAAGCCTTCTTCTCCGGGTCTCGGGGGGTCCCATCAGCGCTGAGATAGATGAAACGAAATGGGCGCGCAGGTCCCGCATTGTTCATGGCGTCGAATCCTATCTTCGTGCAATCCTGACAGACTCGCTTCACCTCGGCAGAGTCGAATTCGCCAGATCGGAAAGGAGTGATAGCGACGGTCCTGTATTCACGATCAAGATGGTAAGTATAGAATTCCACATGCGGGGAAGTATGACAAGCACACCAGATACACGCATCTGCGCCGGCAAACTCGGCCTTCACCTCATCGGGGTACTCTCCGTAGTCGCTGATGATGACGTTTTTGATCTTGGAAGAATCAAGCCCTTCATCGAGACGAAGTGGCTTACGGGACAACGCAACAACCTGGGTGATTTCGGGGATGTGCAGGGTCTGGCGGATGATCTCGGAGCCCAACAAGCCGGTTGAACCGGCGACGACGAGCTTCATGACTTAAATGATGAGTTGACTCGGTGTGGTCGGGGGTGAAAGAAGAAAGGTGAAGAGAGAGAAGTGTTTGGGTTGAGGGGTGCTACACGTTGCAACCCTGGTTGCCCACACTGAACTCCAATTGAAAGTCTACATTTCCTTAAACACTGCATTTCATGCTTTCCTCTTTTATTCGCATTTTGATGTTCACAGACAGGCTTGGAGGCTTGGAGTGCCGACCTTACAACACGTTCATCGCTATTGCTGAAATACACATTGTATAAACAGTTGGAATCGCGGTATGAAAACTCCGAAGCGATGCACAAGCCAACGAAGGAGACGATGATTGGCTTGGTTTCATTGGAGTCACCTCCAGTTTCTTCCTATTTCCTCCATTTGGCCAGGACTGTATACCCAGACGGGTCAATCCTCTTTGTTCACGAGCTGCTCTTGAGCTGCTCATTGATTTCTCTGGCCGGTTCATCCCTGTGAACACAGACAATCCTACCGAAAATTCGATATCCAGGATTTGCGAGTATCGAACCGGCTCACATTACAACTGACGTGACAGCAGATCAATCCAACGACCGAAATGGCCGCATCAAAGGCCGGCTCTTTGATCTGGAGAATCCTACTGGCGGCCGTCTTGTGTCTGTCCATTCCAGCCACCGGCAATATTCTTGATCCCGCGAGCTATGCCCCTGAAGATGTCATTGTCACTGACGTTGCAATCATTGGGGGTGGCGCTGCGGGAACGTATGCTGCGATCAACCTCCAACAAATGGGCCAGAAGGTGGTAGTCGTCGAGGAGAGAAAGCATCTGGGCGGGCATACAAACACTCACACTGATCGCTCTACCAATATCACTATTGACTACGGAGTGCAGGCATATTTGAACAACTCTGTCACTATTGACTTCTTCGCGCATTTTGATGTCCCCCTAATCGACTATGGTGACCCGAGCATCGCCTTTCGACCGGCTGATTTCAAAACAGGTCAGCCTAGTGACTTCAAACCAAGTCGAGACCTCAGTCGATGGGCGGCACATCTTGCTAAATATCCTTGGCTGGATTCGAGCTGGAAAATTCCGCTGCCCGTGGATCCCGACCTGCTGTTACCATTGAAGGACTTCCTCGCGAAATACAACATGACTGATATTACATTCTCCTTATATTACAGTGCCCAGGGGCTATCAAACCCTGTCCACCAACCTACAGTCAACGTGATGAAGATGATATCTCCATCGTTTCTGCGCGAGCAGAGAGGCGGAGCGGTGGTGACTGCACGCCACAGTAACAAGGAGATATACAGGAAAGCCGAAGTCAAGTTAGGCTCTAGTCTTTTCACTAAATCAAAAGTCACCGCAGTTACAAGACCCCAAAATGGACCAGTGTCACTAGCAGTCAAGACACGCACTGGGTCCAAACTGATCAAGGCGACTAAACTTCTGATCACGATGCCTCCGACCTTGCATAACCTCGAACCATTCGACTTGAACATGGAGGAGCTCAGAATTTTCACGCAGTGGAAACACTTCGGATATTACACAATACTATTCAACAACACCAGTCTACCTCCAAATGTTCAGTGGATCAACGTCGACAGTTCAACAGCGTACCACATCCCGGAACTGCCTGCTCCGTCCATGATCAGCAGTACTCGAATCCCAGGCACAGTCTTTGTTTACTTCCGAAGTCCATTCGATCTGAAGCGTGCAGAAATACAGAACGCCGCTATCAAGGCCATTCGGAATATTCAACGAGCACAGAATTTGACACAAACCACTCCAAATGTTCTCAAGTTCAAATCTCACGCACCGTTTCAGTTGAATGTTCCCGCCGATTGTATTGCGAGTGGATTCTACAGTGATCTCGTTGCGTTGCAAGGAAAACGCAATACATGGTATTCGGGCGCGGCCTTCGTTGGCCACAACAGTGGCCTGATCTGGGAATACACCCGCAATCTGTTGCCACAAATTGTCTCTCATTGATCGCAGCTTGGCTATCGCTTTACGCGGAATCTTTCAAGCAAATACCCGGAAGAATATACACACTCCTGGTGGCTGAATGATGGAAAAGGAAAACCACTGAGATTGAGGATTATTGCGAGACTATTGGCTTGTATTTTCATCTTCCTGGTTACTTGGTGCGTTTGGAGAGAATAACACTATCATTCAACATGCTGGCATTTATCCAAGATTTTTCTAGCTGTCTGAAATATTGGAATTTATAAAATTGACCCAACAGAGATATACTTCAACAAAGTCCTTGATATTCCAAGATTGGATCAGTGCTTTCAGAATCAACATAAGACCCAAGAAAGAGTCTCTCTTTCTCCCATCCCGAGCAAGGGATTCATCAACTTCCAAGGTTCTGGGGCTCTGTCTAATTCCCACCTGGCAGAAGAGGGCTATTTTGCATTTACAAACTTACTGGTAGAAGCGACAGTCTGAGCTAAAGCCGTAAGTGAAGGACTTTGCATGATGTCGAAAATTGAAATCTCCGCCCCAGCCTGCACGGCGAGCATGTTCCGAAGCTCAACGGCAACGAGAGAGTCAACGCCAAAGTCAGCCATGGACTTAGAGTGAATAACCTCGTCAATGGGGATCATGAAGATATCCATCAGCCTCTTCACGAGTACATGCAAAACAACAGCAGAAGCCTCTTTCACCGAAGAGACACTGGAAAGTTGATGTGACAGGACTTCAGAAACTGGACCAGATCCTTTGGCGTTGCTGTTGGTATTCGCTGGTTTTATGTATCTCAGAGCGTCGAATCGCGCATCTCCCCCTAGGATCGTGTCGTGAGGCTCGGGCGTATCTCTAGTGTTAATACCAATGGCGATCTGATGACACGGATATAGAATGGCCGACTCGATCGCCGACAGGATCTCGCGCGTCTCCAGCATTCTATATCCTTGTCTTTCCAGTCGGTCAGAAACCGACTTGTTTGATGCCACATAGCCCACATTCTTGACGGCGCCGATGTCCAGAGACACCCCTGGCAACCCCTTGCCTACCCTGTACCTGGCAAGAGAGTCTTGGAATGCGCCACCGGCCGTATAATTGGACTGACTGGGGTTGCCAATGACCCCAGCCAAGGAGGAGAGCATGATGAAGAAATCCAGGTCTCTGCTAAGGTATTGATGCAGGTTCCACGATCCCTGAACTTTCGGAAGCAAAGCAGCGTGATAATCTTCAAGGCTCATGTTCTCAATGATAGAATCACGAAGAACCATCGCGGCCTGGATTACGCCACGTATTGGTGGATAACTCGAACCGAATTTTGCTGTGGCGAGAGCAAGGTCAGAAGACTTTGAAATGTCGCATCCCACTAGATGGACCCTTGACCCAGGGTGCTTATCCTCGAGCTTTTTGGCAAACAAGGTTGCTTCGGCGGTTATGGTCCGAGACATCAGCACCAGAGATCCCGCACCATGCGCTAGAAGCCAGGCAGCGACTTCTTTTCCAATACCACCAACACCTCCAGTTATGAGATACGAAGCATCGGATCGAAGCTTCATTGTAGGTTTGAGAGGGCGATACTGCATTTCGTTAGTGTTTGCCCAGAACTCAACAACCTGGAAGTATGATAATTACCTTGACAATGCAATCGATCGCCGACAGGACAATCTTCCCCATGTGCTTTCCCGTCTGCATCTGGCGGAATGCCTTTTCAATATCACTGATAGGATAAGTGGTGATAGGCTTGACTGGATAAATCAACCCTTGCTCAAGAAGCCTGACGATGGCACACAATGCGTGATGAATGACAGGGCTGCCAAGCCTGACTAGCGCCAGAAGGTCGATTGAGGAGAAAGTTGCGACTCGAGTAAATGGAGCCATCTCAAGGTAGTGATTGTGCTCCAGATCGACTTTCCCAATCTCGACAAAGTGGCCAAACGGAGCTAGGCAGTTGAAACTTTGCTGAAGAAGTTCACCCGACAAACAATTCAGGATCACGTCCACCCCCTTCCCTCCCGTGAGTGACATTAACTCGGAAGCAAACGTTGGATCACGACTTGAGAAGACATGATCGTCCGGGATACCGTATTTGGATGTGATGAAATTCCGCTTTTCCACAGAACCGACAGTTGCAAAGATCTCTGCTCCAATGTGCCGAGAGAGGATGATTGCTGCTTGTCCGACGCCACCACTCGCTGCATGAATGAGGATGGATTGACCTTTACAGAGCTTCGCAGTAATGAACAACGAGATATAAGCGGTGGCAAACACCATTGGAATTGACGCGGCCGTGTTGAAGTCGAACTGGGATATGGGACAAGCAACAGTCCATGGCACACGAATGCAGTTTTGGTATTGACCACCAATAAGTGTGATCACACGGCATCCAACAGAAAAGCCATGAGATGCGGCATTTGCTCCCATGCGAGTCACAATACCAGAGCATTCTAACCCCATGACTGTTTCATTCAGCTGGCCCATGGCGGCCATGACATCACGGAAGTTGAGACCGAATGCTTTCGGTTCGATCTCGATTTCATCTGGGGATATTTCGGTGTCATTTTGGGCCACTTGTTGAAAGGCCAATGTTTCCAAGAGACCAGGCGAGGCGATTTGCAGCTTGATAGTCGTGTCACTGCTTGAACCGAGATGGTCAAATTGCCCGGAATGCATTTTTGTCGCAAGTGTAGTAGAATTCGTGGATATGAACCTGTTTCGATCATAGTCCTTGACTAGTCTTGGGACAAAAATGGTGCCATCGCGCTCCGACAATTCGAAGTCGCGGGCGGATTTCGGCTCGCCATCTAACATTTTCGCGAGTACTGTTGTGATAACTGAAGCTTGCCGAGCACTCGGTGCTGGGTCCTTCGCATCCATATCAAGAGATACATAGATCTTGGCCAAGTTTTCACGACGAAGGGTACGAAGAAGTCCCAAGCTGAGTGCGCTTTCCGGCTTCTGGCACTCAACGGTACCCCCTCTAGTAACCCACAGAAGCGATCTGCAACCTAGGGCGAGACGAACAATTGGCTTGAAGTCAGTGTCGGTGAGGTTCGAAAGACAGAAATCACCGAGGTCACCGAGAAAAACGCAGACTTTGTCAGAGGCATCAACTGACGTAAGGGACTCGATGTTGACTGCGCCTACTGTTTTGATAGAAGCGACAGACTGCTGAAGGGATCTTATCCAACCCTCATCACAAGCAGAGAGATTCGAGCCGTGAGCGAGTACTATCGACGAGGCACTTGGCGAATCCTTACTTGTGGGGAGGGCTGTTGACATGATGACGCTCATTGTATACATACCCTCAAGATCACAGTCATGAATGTCTAAATCACGCCCACTGAAGCCGGTTTCGGTGAGCACCTTGTCCCAGTCTGGCGACGAAAGAATTGGACTAAGCTTTCGTTCATCCGAGCCTGCTCACTTGGTTAATACTCTTGTTCATACGAGAAAGGAAAATGACACTGACTTAACCACCAGCCAGGCAAAAGGCCGAAGACGAATTGCATATCCATTTGGTCTTTCGTGTTCTCCATGAGCAACAGCTTTCCACCGGGCTTCAACAAGCTCCGCACATTCTTCATTGTAGACACAACGGACTTTGTAGCATGAAGAACTTGATTGGCAACGACAATGTCATAGCTACCGCACTCGAAACCCTGCTGGGCAGGGTCGACCTCAATGTCCAACTTGCGGTAGCTGATGATGCCGTTCCAATCCTGGAATTGGAGTTGGGCTTCTTCAAAGAACCCGGAAGAGATATCAGTGAAATGGTACTCGGAGGCGAATGGTCCCCAGCCCGATTTTTCACCGTTTCCAATGACATTTAATAGTGAAAGGGTGGTTCCACCAGTCCCGGCGCCAATCTCAATGATGTTCATGCGGGGGCTTTTGTGAACGAGATGTTCGGCGAGCTTGGCCAGGTGGATGTTGCATCGATCAAATTTGAGAGCCCCCCGATAGTATCTGTAAAGCAGTTTCTCTTCCATTAAAAGCTCCAATGGAGATATTTGCTGTGTGAGGATAGGGATTAAGCGAGTCCCTAAACGACAAACGGCTTCGCCATTCACACTCGATGAGCTGATGGTGCTGATGAGTTTTCGTTTTTCGTCATCGCTATCTTTGATCCATTCGGAGCTAGAAGGAGCTATCTCGCCCCTGGAAGCACGCCCAACTTGGTCTTTCATCCAATTGTAAAACTTCTTGTGGTGCCACTCCAAATTTTGAATATTCGTCGAACTCAAGGATGCTAACGCATCCTGGATAAAATGGAAGCAAGCCCGCCTCAAGTTCAAGATCACCTCTTCCTCTTCCGCGCTCGCGGCGGAACTAATTTGCTCATTCAGAAGACGGGGTTCCATGAAGGAAACGTCCGGGGCCCATTTCACAGTACTGCATATATCAGTATCTTCCGAGTCCGAAGCACCGGATGAGATCGATCCCAGCGATTGGCAAACAAACCCATCCATGACCAGAACGGGTGCCTTGGTGGGATCACGGTTGGATTGATCATATAGCGAGATACTTGACCCGAATCGCTTCGCGTCAGAATGGAGGACATCAACATATGATTCAAACATATGCCCGGGTGTGGAAGCAATCTCATGAGATACCCAGAGACTCTTGATCGTCTTGGGAACCATGGAAACACTGTTACTGAGGTTCGCGCCAAGCAGCGCACCGTAAGCGGAGACAAAGACAGAATCCAATGTGGTCGGATGAAGAACGTGCCTCTTTTGATATTGCGACGGCATAGTTGATGCAACATCCGCGATGGACAATTTGGCAACTGCCCGATCCTGCCCCGCTTGCAGGGATTGAATATTTTGGAATATGCCGCCATGATAAATCGCATTGGACCTCAGGGCTGCGTAAATTGCCTGTGGTTCAACAAGCCGAGGATAGCGTTTGGAGTGAAGACTAAAATGAGTCGGTGCGGTCCGCCTATGACAGACAGAGGAGTCCCCAGCGGTCTCGATATCGACGTGTATGAGACCTTTGCAATTCTCGGTCCATTTTTCCTCTTTTCCGACTGAGAATATTCGGAACTCTTTCCACCCTTTGACTCCAATAGCCTTCTCATTCACGGGCTTAAGATGGAGCTGAACCTCAACTCCACCGGAGCCCTCAGGGACAATGAGGGCTTGTAAGATATCTAAATCTCGAAGTCGATACCCTGAGACGGGCTGATGAGCTGCATGTGATATTTGACTTGCTGCTTCGATTGCCATGCAAACATATCCTGCCCCTGGATATATCACATTCGACTGCACAGTGTGCTCACGCACCCATGGTACATCTGAGAGTCTGATAATATGCCTCCATATCGGAGCCAGAGGATTGACACCGGTGAGAGGAGATCCCAGAAGATCATGGTAGCCATATTGCTTCGATCGATGGGAAACATTCGCCCGAGGCTCATCCCAATGACGAACTTGGTGGTTCCAAGGGTAAGGTGGAAGGTCAGTGAGGACGCGCAGGTCTTCTCTTCCAGTTGGGAAATTGACGGCATTGACGTCGACTGGATAGGCCCGCAGAAGTAATTCACTAGCGAGTGTCTGCATGGTAGAGACCGCGTTCCTTTTTCGAATCAAACACGAGAGGTAGACTATATTGGTATCTTGAAATTCAGGGGTAAGGAGGATGTCCCCGACTGGACCCGAAAGAGCTGCGTGTGGACCGACTTCAATCGCAATATCGATACCTCTTTCGCCGCTGATTGGATCGAAGACCATTTGACGAAAGGAATCCTGGAACAGGACTGGCCTAACCATACTCTCAGCCCAGTGCTTCGGATCCGAGAGTTGGGCTGCATCTGTTATGCGCGTGCCGGTTGTAGGCGATGCGTAGATAATCGGGCGTAGGGTTCGAACCTCATGATCCATAATCTCATGCATGCTCTTCAAGTATGGATCGTAGAGTGGTTGCATATGGTGGGAATGGAACGCTGTCCGGACGCGGAGACGTCGAGCAAAGACGTTTCGGCCTTTCAGGATAGCCTCAAGCTCATCGATAGCCCCGACATCCCCAGACAACGTGACACTGGAGGGACTATTGATACATGCTATCCTAGCTATGCCTGCGTGAATGTCACGCAGTAACTCCTCTACTTCCGAGGCGCCCAGGCCGACGGCCATCATGGCTCCATGGGACTCCTGAAGCCCCGAGGCAATCTCGCAGCGACTAAAGCATGCAGCCATGGCTGATCTGTAACTAAGCGCCCCGACGGTATATGCTGCAGCAATCTCGCCACTCGAGTGACTGGAAACGGCAGCCGGGGTGATTCCCCATGCCTCGAGAAGTCGCACCAAGGATATCTGAATGGCAGCGCATAGTGGCATACCGAAAGAAGTCTCCGTCACCATTGAAGTCTCTTCGTCACGCAGAAGCTCTTCCGTAAGAGACCACTTGCATCCGAACTCTTTCAAGTAGGCTTCTGCTTCAAGTATCGAGGCCTTGAAGAGCGGGTATGCCGTGAGAAGCTCCCGTCCCATAGCATACCATTGGGCACCCTGGCCAGTAAAGATAAACCCAAGCCTCGGTCTATTACTAGATCGTGCGAGATTCAGTTTATCGTTGCCGAGTTGCACGACAAGTTCCGAAAATGAAGAAGCGACATGGGTGGAGACCCAAGGAAAGCGACTGCGACGATCCCCGAGTGTAAAGGCCAGATTGTTGAATAGCTCAAATTCCGTGCCAATTTGTGATATTTGATCCTGGATGTGAGCCTTCAAGTTCGATGCAACCACCCTGCAGCAGTACTCATCTTTTGCACTGAGTATAAATAACTTTGACTCGAGTGCTGGGACGTGAGTCCCGTTGAGACTCTGTTTTTCAAGTCTGGTGGAAATGTATAATGGGTTGTTCTCATGCCAATCTTCCATGATGACATGTGCGTTGGCTCCACCATACCCGAAATTGTTCACAGAAGCTCTCCGAGTCCCATCGCAATTGGTTGGCCAGACTTCGCATTTAAGGGGGACCCTTAAATTCCACTCATCAAGTGCGAGCCTCTCGTTGGGTGTTTCGAAATTTATACTTGGGGGGATGATTCTTCGCTGTAACGCGAGTGAGACCTTGATCACACTGGCAAGTCCGCTTGTAGGCTCTGTGTGGCCAAGATTTGCTTTCACAGACCCAATATATAATGGTTCCTGATGTGATTTGGACTTCTGGAAAACGCTTGCGATTGCGCTGGCCTCGATGGGATCTCCAGTTGGGGTTCCAGTGCCATGCGCCTCGAAATACTGGACTGATGAAGGGTTGATTCCAGCCTTGTCGTAACATGAGCGAATGAGGTATTCCTGAGCTTGGCAGCTAGGTGATGTAATCGTTTCTGTTTTGCCGTCCTGGTTGAGATGCGTCTCTCGAATGAGCGATTGAACTGGGTCACCAGCCATCACTGCATCGTCTAATCTTTTCAAAATGATCGCAGCAACACCTTCGCCTCGCCCATAGCCATTTGCTCTATTGTCGAAAGAATATCTGCAGAGAGCGCGAGCGTTAAAAAGACACAGCAGGTAAAATAAACAGCTGTACTTACGACCTGCCGTCCTTTGAGAGCATTCTAATTTTGTTCTGTCAGCAAGCGAGCAAGTGAAAAAAAGTGAAAAAGAACATGAAAAACATACCCCAACGTGGATATTGTGACAAAAAAGTCCGGATTCATCAGCAAATTTGATCCTCCAACAATAGACATATCAGCATCGCCAGACCGAAGACCTTGACATGCTTGGTGTAATGCTGTAAGTGTGGTGCTGCATCCTGTGTCGATAGTCATGCTTGGACCACGGAGATCAAAAAAGTGCGAAATACGATTTGAGGCCATAGCTGCGCCATTTCCCGTCATTAAGAAACGAGGCAGGTTTTCTGCATCTCGCATGTGCCCGTCTTGATAATCGTGAAAAAATGCGCCCGAGAAGACAGATGTGTTCGATCCAGCGACCTGCTCTAAAGGAAGACCAGCTGTTGAAAAGTCTTCAGTCAGTGACCTTATGCCTGGAAATATGTGTTGCGTTTACTTGCCATTTTCCAGTGCCTCATACACAGTCTCAAGCAATAACCGATATTGGGGATCCATTGTCTACCTGGGTTAGCCTCACTTTGCAATGTGGACGTAAGAACACTTACAGCCGCTGTCTCGGCAGAGACACCGAAGAACTGTGCATCGAAGAAGCCCAGATCCTCCTTCAGAAAATGACCTCCTCTGACATTTGTCTAATATACCCGAAACGAGTTAGACAATCTGAAATGAGAGAACACCGCAAGGGCACAATGGCTACTGTCACTTACTGTGCTGATATTTTCGTGATTGGGATGATACCACCCGTCGATGTTGAAGCGGTTTGCTGGGATCTCACTCCAAGCACTGTTTCCACTCTCCAGCATTGCCCAGAGCTTCCAAGGATCGGCAGCATCGCCTGCAAATCTGCAGCCGATGCCAATGATAGCAATTGGCACAGGATTTGATTGGATTTCAGACATGACCAATGCTTTTCGGTGAGGTTTCAAGAGAATGATCGATCCGTTCAAAAATCAGTTAACTGAGTATTTCAGTTATAAGTTGACTCGCCCATGTGAGCAATGGTGGGCTCATTGGTAGCTTATCAAGCATCCATATAGGTCTTTTTGCCAACTTCCAAAGCCACAGGGTCACCTCAGCCGCCATGAACGAGCGATGTAGCGTAATCCGTCCTTTTGTTCGATCCCAGCTGGCCATGGTATTCGGTCGGAGACGCATGACTGTGGAAACGTATTAGAAACTCCGGTTGTGATACCTTCCATGTGACTGACAAGGTTCATGGATGGCCAAAGGTTGACTTTCCGAAAGAAATAAGCAACCCTTGAGTTGGAAGACAAATGTCAGCAATGGAGTGAAACGGAAACTCCGGATATGCTCCCGCGGAGTATATGAAAAAGCTTCCGGTTTCGACCCTGGCGGGCGCATGGCATATCGCGACAATTCCAAATACCATTTTCACCCGCGACGAGTAATTGCGAGCATGGGGATTGGCCCCCCACCCCTGGGGGCGAAACCTTGCGATATCAGAAACTCCCCGCCTCAAAGTACTCATAGTAACTATGCAGGGTGAGCTCGCATCCGACAGAAGCTCCGGCCGCACTCGAGAGATAGCGTTCGGGACAAATGAGGGCAACGCCTTCTTATTCAGGACTCTGGCCACCTGTTTGCTATTTGTAACAACCAAATGGGACTCGGATTATATTGCCAACTCGAAACCCGATAGACACGATGCATCACCAACAAAACGCAGAAAATGTCGTTCTAGTCTTCGGGCCACAGGCCATTCCATCACAGAATATTTCATTTCGAGGCCTCGGGGCGAATGGCGTGGGTTCCTCGGCACTTCAATGGGTCGAAGATGTTATTGCTGAACTCCCCGACCGATTCGACGAGATCAGCGAGGAAATTCCCGAGCTTGGTGTTGTGCCAGGTGCTTCGTTGCTAAGATCGCTGTATCAACAAATGAAGACAGGGCCCTTGGAAAGCATAAAAAAGAAGTCACATCAGCCAAATATTGTGCTGACGCCTCTTGCTGTTATTGTACACCTGGCAGCGTACACAGGAGGAGTCGAACAGAGACATCATGGATCGGGATTCGGGTCGTGGGAAAGGAACGAAGAGAAATCTTTGAAAGCTTCCAATGTTGTGGGCCTCTGTACTGGTCTGCTGGCTGCACTGGTGGTATCCCTCAGTCGGAGTTCAGAGGACATCCAAAAATATGGGGCTACTGCTGTTCGGCTCGCCATGGTCATTGGAGCTGCTGTCGATGCTGAAGATGCTCGGAACGCTCAATCAAGCTCTTTTTCGGCGACTTGGAGATCCCCCGATGGCCTCACAATCTTTGAGGAAATAATGGCACGATATCACGGTGTAAGGGCAAGGTGCTGTACTTGATTGAACACGGGGCTTTCGCTAACAATGACCAAGGCATACATATCGGTTCACTCCGACGAGAACAGAGCCACTATAACAGCTTCAAGGGAGAATGTCAATGAGATGATGAAGCTCATGACCGCTGTCGGGATATCAGTGGTAAAGATTCGGCTCTCAGGCCGGTTCCACTCCCAATGCCACCAGCTAGTTGCATCCCAACTGCGTAAATATTGCGAATCGAATCCAGACTTTCGGTTCCCGGAGGCATCCGATTTCCAGATACCCTGTTGGACAGACGTCGATCCCACAAGGCGGGAGATTCGTGGGGGCAACCTAACATCCATCGCTTTGGATGCGATCTTAGTTCAGAGATCGGACTGGTTGACAACATTCATGCAGTTGACCACGCTTCCAGGAAAGAAGAAAATTATCGTTCTCAGTCCGGAGAATTGTGTACCACCCTCAGTGGGGAACAATCTACCCGCAGACTGCCGGATCGTCTATGAAAGAACATCGTTCAATACAGACGATAGTTCATCGCAGGCATCACCCACAAATGAAAACGAGGTTGCAGTGGTCGGGATGGCCTGCAAAGTGGCTGGGGCCGACGATATTGGCGAGTTTTGGGATATTCTGTGTAAAGGGCAGTCACAGCATATCGAGGTTCCGCAGTCTCGTTTGAGATTCGAGACGGCATATCGAGATTTCGACCAGAACAGGAAGTGGTATGGCAATTTTATGAAGGACCATGATTGTTTCGATCACAAATTCTTCAAAAAGACACCTCGAGAGGCAGCATCGATGGATCCACAGCAGAGGGTGCTTTTGGAGATCGCGTACCAGAGTGTTGCACAGTCAGGCTACTTCCAGAAGCCTACACCCCCGGAAAGTGTCGGTTGCTTTATTGGTACATGCGCCGTCGATTATGAGTGCAACGTGGCCTGCCACGCCCCAAACGCATTTTCATCCACGGGCAATCTTCGTGGTTTCATAGCAGGCAAAGTGAGCCACTATTTCGGCTGGACTGGCCCTGCGCTCACACTAGACACTGCTTGTTCGGGTGCTGCCGTGGCCGTGCACCAGGCATGCAAAGCCATTCTTTCTGGGGAATGCGATTATGCATTGGCAGGTGGCGTTAATATGATCACCCAGCCGTTGGCGTATCAAAACCTGGCTGCCGCGTCATTTTTGAGTCAGACTGGTCAATGCAAACCATTCTGCGTCGAAGCAGATGGATACTGCCGCGGAGAGGGTGTTGCGGCTGTGTTTCTTAAAAAGAAATCAGCCGCTCTCGCTGACGGTGATCAAATATTTGGTGTGGTTTCCGGTACAGCAGTATCTCAAAACCAGAACTGCACGCCGATATTTGTCCCCAATGCCCCATCTTTAGCTGGGCTGTTTCAAGGTGTTCTAGGAAAAGCTGGCGTGCAATCAGGCGAAATCTCATATGTCGAAGCACACGGAACGGGTACTCCGGTGGGAGATCCTGCAGAGTATGAGAGCGTAAGTCAGGTTTTTGCTGCTGCTAAACGGTCACAGCCTGTTCAATTGGGCTCGGTGAAGGGACTCATCGGGCACACCGAAAGTTCTTCTGGTCTTGTGTCGCTGATCAAGGTACTTCTGATGATGCACCATAGCAGGATTGTCCCACAACCAAGCTATCAGCGTCTGAGCCCACAAATCAAGGCGCACCGTTTGTTGGAGATTTCGAAGTCCTGGAAGCCCTGGCCAAACCGCTGCAAGGCTGCGCTTATCAACAATTATGGCGCCTCGGGTTCTAATGCGTCCATGATCGTGAAGAGTTTTGCACTCAATGAAGACCCAATTCCCACATTTCAAGAGGGCCAGAAATACCCATTATGGATTTCAGCGTCTGGCGATAAAGCCCTGGGGGCCTACATCGACAAGCTTGGAGAGTATTTGGAGCGACTGGCTTTAGAGACCAGCACCAATTTTATCAGGGACATGTCATTCAATCTTTGTCGGCAATCGAATCCGAAACTACCCAAAGCCATGTTGCTAAGTTGCTCGACCGTTGAAGAGTTGCAGAGCAAACTAAGAGAGGAGTCACCGTTGACTGAAATAAAATCTTCGAGGCCGTTGATACTTTGTTTTGGCGGGCAAATCTCCACTTTTGTTGGCTTGAATCACAGCATTGTCGCAACAACGACCATTCTGCGCACTTATTTGGATATTTGCGACAGAACATCGAAAGCGTTGGGACTCGATGGCATATACCCAGACATATTTCAAAAGACGCCAATCCTGGATGTTGTCAAGCTTCAGCTCTGTCTCTTCTCTTCGCAGTATGCGTCGGCAATGAGCTGGATTGACTGTGGCATTCAACCTACAGCTCTAATTGGCCATAGCTTTGGCGAGCTGACTGCATTGTGTATTTCAGGTATTTTGAGTCTCCGTGACACAATTCGTATGGTAACAGGCCGTGCCCGCATCGTGAGGGAAAATTGGGGACCGGAGAAGGGTGCTATGCTAGCAGTCAAGGCTGACCCAGATCAGCTCGAGAATATTTTATCGGCAAATGCCTTGACTGAGCATCCAGTAACGGTGGCCTGTTACAATGGACCGAGAAGCTTCACGCTCGCAGGGAAATCCGAGGCAATTGAAGCGACAGTTGCGCACATCGAAAAAGAAGAATTATCTTCCTCTATACGGTCAAAGAGACTAAACGTCACGAATGCGTTTCACTCTGCCCTTGTTGACGGTCTGGCGTCGGATATAGCGCGCTTGGCCTGCGATCTGAAATTCAACAAGCCAAACATCCCGATAGAATTTGCGACAAAGGATAGATATAGCCAGAGTATAGGTCCAGGGTTCATCTTCCATCACATGAGAAACCCAGTGTATTTTCACCATGCCGTCCAGAGGATCTCGAAAAGTCATGGTTCTTGCGTCTGGCTCGAGGCTGGCTGCAGCTCAACCATCACTCAAATGGCCAGCCAAGCCCTCGGAGGACCTGGGGCGAATTTGCATTCCTTCGTGCCAATGGACATGTTGACTGGCGAATCCTTGACGAACCTGACCCATGCAACCATCAACCTCTGGGAAGCTGGAATCGTCTCAACCTTCTGGCAACATCATTCATCACAGACTAGGGAATATCCCCCCATGATATTGCCGCCGTATCAATTCGAAAAGTCACGACATTGGTTAGAATTGAAAGTTCCGTCGCCGGCTGCTGCAGACATCGTCGAGACGGCAAAGAAAGAAGGTCTTTGGTCATTCGAGGGACACTTGGACAATGACAAGCGTTCAATCCGTTTCCGGGTCCTATGTGAGTCGGAACAATACAAAGCGATTGTCTCCGGTCATGTAATTGCCCAAACTGCTGCAATTTGCCCAGCCACACTGGAAGTGGATATGGCAATCGATGCTCTCATGAGTGTGCAACCCAAGCTGAAAGCAGATGGTCTGCAGCCACAGATTTTGAAAGTTGAGAATCAAGCACCTCTCTGCTTTGACTCATCGCGAGCTGTATGGCTAGATGTGACCGCAAATGATGCCGGTTCAGAGCCAAGTCGAGAGTGGTCTTGGAGACTCTCAAGTGAAAAGATCGACAAGAACTCGACGGCGACAACGCATGTGACTGGCGAAATAGTGTTCATCCATGCGAATGATGTGCAACTCCAAGCCGAATTCGCTCGCTACGAGCGTTTGGTGACCCATCAGCGCTGTGGTGAGCTCCTCTATGGAAACGATCCTGGTGATGACGTTGTACAAGGCTCCAATATTTACAGGCTATTTGATGAGGTTGTTGAGTACGGCCCACGATTCCAAGGCCTGAATAGGCTGGTGGGAAGGAAATCGACAAATCAATCAGCTGGACGAGTGACCAAAAGATATGCCGCTGGCACCTGGCTTGATGCTGAACTTTCCGACTGCTTCAGTCAAGTGGGCGGAATATGGGTCAACTGTATGACTGGGAAGGCCACCGGGGAAATGTATATTGCCAATGGCTTTGAGAAATGGGTGCGCTCCCCAAAGCTGCTTCGTGGCACACCCCGGCCTGAAACATGGGACATTCTGGCATGCCACGAGAGACGCGGAAACAATGCTTTCTTGACCGATATATTCATCTTTGATCCCAGACAAGGGATTTTGGTCGAAATGATACTAGGCATCAACTTCGCCAAGATATCGAAGTTATCAATGAGCAAGCTACTAAGCCGACTCTCAGTCGATACCAAAGCAACATGTTTGAGCGAACCAGCAGATGTTGTTTCGATGGCGCAGAGGGCGAAAGATAATGCGTCCGCTAACAAGGTAGCTCCGACGGAATTCTCTGCAACCAGTGTGGTATCAAAAGTCAGACTAATCCTTGCGGATCTGTCTGGTCTGGATGCGACCGACATAAAGGAAGAAGCCCATCTAGCAGACATTGGGATTGACTCGCTCATGGGTATGGAGCTCGCACGCGAGCTAGAAGGGGCATTCAGTTGCACTTTGTCAACAGATGCCTTGATGGATGTCTTCAGCTTCGAGGGTCTCGTCCAATGTATTCAGCAGACACTTGGCTTATCGGAAATCAGTGACAGCTCCGACGCAAATCCGACTTCGCTAGATGTAGTCGACACTCCGCAGACTTCAACGGGAGATGCCGCATGTGACTTGGAAGAATCAACCAAGACTAAAATAGTGCAGCCAACGACGACAGAACCAAACACGCTTCTCTTGAATGCCACCCACCAAGGGCATCTTGAATGCTCTGCGTCGGTGGTACTTGAAGCTTTCGCTGAATGCAAAGCCCTCACGGATCGATTCATAGAAGAGGAACACTGCCAAAACTACCTAGAATTGGTCATGCCGAGACAAACAGAGCTTTGTGTCGTTCTTGCTTTGGAGGCCTTCGCCGAATTGGGTTGTGACCTGCGTTTAGCGAGGGCCGGACAAGAGCTGAAGCGAATCAAACATATTCCGTCCCTGCAAGGGCTCGTTGACTATCTGTACGAAATGCTCGAGAAGGAATCCGCTATCATCGAAAGTCACGGATCTATCATCTTGCGCACTTCGATAGCAGCGCCCAGGGAGTCAAGTGCCGCCATACTGCAAGACCTTCTCGATTCGTTTCCAGAGCACAAGTATCCCCATATGCTGACGCATTTCGCTGGTTCCAGGCTTGCCGACGTCTTGTCGGGCCGATCGGATGGCATCAAGGTCATATTTGGAACAGAGGAAGGAAGAAAACTTGCTTCCGGCCTCTATGCCGATTCACCCTTGAACAAGCTCTCGTATATGCATATGCGAGACTTTGTATCACGGCTTGTCTCAAGGCTGGGGAGCCAGAATGGCCCTTTGAAAATCCTTGAGTTAGGGGCTGGAACTGGGGGGACCACCAAGTGGATAGTCCCACTTTTAGCGGAGCTCGAGATCCCCGTCGAGTATGTCTTCACCGATCTCTCGCCGTCGTTTGTCGCAGCGGGGAGAAAGAGATTTTCGAAGACATTCCCATTCATGAGCTTCAGAGCATTGGATGTTGAAAAGGAGCCCGATCAAGAGCTCCTCGGGAGCTACCATATGGTGCTGGCAAGTAACGCCATACACGCCACTCACAGTTTGAAGAAATCACTCGGCAATATCAGAAAAACCCTTCGTGCTGATGGATTCGTTATGCTCCTTGAGATGACGAGGACAATTTATTGGGTAGATATGATCTTTGGACTCCTGGAGGGCTGGTGGCTGTTCGATGACGGACGCCAGCATGCAATTGCTCCCCAGTCTCGATGGCAAGAAGACTTTCTGGCGGCTGGGTTCAGCCATGTTGATTGGTCAGATGGCAGTCACGCAGAGGCGACAATCCAGCGTGTCTTTTTAGCCTTGAATGGCGAAGCCGACATCAAGAAAGGGACCATTACGGATGTCCAAGCACGACAAAAGATGATCGACGACTATGTGCAGCAGTATACTGAGGACTTTTCGATGCCAGTTTCGCCTCTAGGATGTTCTGTCGCGAAGCAAAACCTTTGCATCTTGGTGACTGGAGCGAGCGGGAGCCTGGGCTCGCATATAGTTGCACATCTTTCGCAGCTCCCGCAAGTGAAGACCGTAATATGTCTGAATCGGAAAGGTAGGGTGGATCCACGCAAGCGGCAGGTTGAGGCCATGGAATCTCGAGGAATCGAAGGAACAGACATTGCTAATATTGAAGTAATTGAAACCGACACTGCTGATGCGGAGCTTGGACTAAGTCAGAATCATTACAACCAACTCAAAGCAACGATTACGCACATTGTCCACAACGCATGGCCAATGAGTGGGAAGCGGCCCTTGAAGGACTTTGAAAGCCAGTTCAAAGTCATGCGAAATCTCTTAGATCTCGCTAGCTCGGCAGGCTCCACGCAGAGACGGATGATCGGCTTTCAATTTATATCGTCCATCGCAGTTGTTGGACACCGACCCACAATGACTGGTGCTGCACTTGTTCCAGAGGAGCGAATCGAAACAGCCGCGGCAGTGCTTCCCACTGGATATGGCGATGCGAAGTGGGTGTGTGAGCGTATGCTCGATGAGACGTTGCATAAGCATCCGGATAGCTTCCGAGTGATGACAGTTCGCCCGGGGCAGATTGCTGGCTCGAGGACGAGCGGCTATTGGAACCACATGGAGCACGTTAGCTTCATTATTCAATCCTCGCAAACCATCATGGCTTTCCCCAAGTTCGACGGTACCGTGTCCTGGACTCCAGTCAACGATGTAGCCGCTGCAGCTTGCGATCTTCTCGTCCATCATGACAGTCCATCCTATCCGATATACCACATTGACAATCCTGTGAGACAGCCATGGGGTGACATGGTACCGATTTTGGCCGAGGCCATTGGTGTTGAGCTCGTTTCCTTCGAGGAATGGCTGAGGAGGGTTCGCTGCTGTCCATCTGCGGTCGCATCTGAGAATCCTGCAGCCAAGCTCATCGAGTTTTTCGACCAAGACTTTGCACGCATGTCATGCGGAGGATTGCTGCTCGATACGGCCCGAGCATGTGAGCACTCTGAATCACTCAGAGCGGTCGGGCCTGTCACTCCAAACCTGGTCCGGAAATACATTGAAGCATGGAAGTTGGCTGGCGTTTTGAAGTGATAGTTTTGCAAGCTCCCGCAGATCTGGCAAGGGCCACATCAGCACTTCAGCAAATCATGAGTTTGAAAATGAATTCGATTCCTATTTGGATATATTGAGGTGCCAGAATCGCATCCATGGATACTGTATGTAGTGGCAAGAACCGCGTAGTTGAATCTGCACCGGACGCGTTTGGAGTGGGACGCGATTCTTACTAGCGCCTCCTAATTAGGGCTAGCGGTAAACATCACTGGTTTTCACTTTACGGCTGTATTTTTGCTCTGTTTACTCTGTAGACTTCAAATTGCACTCTACTTCATCCGGATTGAAGCATCCATAGATGTCACTCAGATGCAATGCGGTTAGTATACTGACAACGGAGACTCCATACTGGCTGGCTAACACTAGTTCTTCCCCAGGGCCCGGTCCCGATAACCCTAACCCGGGCGGACTACGGTGAATTGCTCCAACGCTGCAGATCTACATCAAAGTCTCAGACCGTCTCCCCCACAGATTCAGATACCTTGGCAACAAATGATTCACGAATCTCCTTGATCAAATTTTCAACATCATAGTCCCAAATCTTGTGGGATCGCCACTCTACCTCGCTGTGGCATTTGTCCGGATCGCGTTCGAAACCAGCCGCTTGCCATTCAAACAGCTCTCCCATGAATCGACTGCTCTCGATTATCCATTGGGTGCGATCATATCGTGTGCATTCATATGCAGCAAATGCTGCTGAGATGGTCTTTCTTTTGCTGATTGATTCTAGACCAGCTGTTAGGATCTTGACAGCCTCTTCCAGCCCTACTGCCAACGCCAGGGCATCTTCAATTGCAGAACCGGCCCCAGCTCCATGATGTGGAGCTGCAGCATGAGCAGCATCACCAACCAAACAGACACATCCACGCGGAGAAACATAACTTGCGACCGGTCTTTCCTGTAAGTCAAAAATTCCCCACTTGTCCAATCTCTGGTCCAGTAAGTTCATGATTGCAGTCACAACAGGACCAAAATTCTTGAAAGATTCAAGCACTTCCTCTCTGGTTGCAGGCAATGTGGTTTGATCGAGGCTTGGCCATTCATTTGGATCCGTGACAAATGCAACTACGTTCAACATGGTGGACATGGAGACAGGAAAGGTCAGTACATGGCACTCCGGTCCAAGATGCATATATCTTGTCAGGGCCTTTTCTTCGCCAATGGCTTGAATTGCGTCCTTCATTGGGATTACGCCGCGGTAGGCGAACTTATGTGTGTAAGATGGCTCAACGGCCGGATGATCGACGCCCAAAATGTATTCCCGAACGCGAGATCGAAGCCCGTCGCAACCTAGCACCGCATCCGCATATGCCATGGAGCCATCGGCGAAGTAAAGAGCAACCGGACTGGCCTCATCTCCAGGCTCCGTGATGTCGACTATTTCTTTGCGAAACTCCACACAGCCTGTCGGTAGAAGGCTCACTAGTTCGTTGAGAAAGTCGGTTCTGCGGCATCCTTCGAAGCCTCTTTCCCCGAGATATACTTTGAACAACAGGTCTTCGCCATCTCCCTCCTGCGATCTGTTGAAACCATCCACATACTGAAACCAGTCCTCTGTGTTCGGTGTCGCGAGCCTTTTAAAGACAGCATGGATATCCGGATTCAGGAGAAGCATTGCCCGTTCGGCATTCGGTGAGAGTCCAATTCCTGCTCCGATTTCGCGAAACCCACTGGCGCGCTCGTATACCTTGACAGATATACCTCGGTTGAGAAGGCCGAGTGCTGCAGTCACACCAGCAATGCCTCCGCCAATGATGGCTACTTCAACTTGAGAATTTGAAAGCATTCTCGTTCGCTTCTCTTGAGAAAATTCCGGTATCTGTTCAAAGTTATAGATCACCAGTTCATATCCAAACTGACATGTCTCGGACTTTTACCAGAATGCTGGATGTCCGTCTACGTCCCCCACCGTCCCTCCGCACTCCTATCGCAAATGCAACCCCCCGGAGTTTTTATTTGCCCGGTTGCGCAATCACAATCGACTAAATTCGATCGGATGGTACGGCGAAAGCCGTAGTGAAACCATCTTTTTAACTCATTGCCGGCCTGCGTCCCATATTGACTTCGCTCTCGCGCATAACAAGCTCGGTGTATTTGGAGGACGTCGCCTTATTGCTACAAGGACCTTTGTTTCTCAGCAGAGCCCTTCCAAGGCGTTTTATCACCGGAAAGATGATTTCGGCTTATCAAGACGTGATTGGGCAGTTTCCAATATTGACAACATATAATCACGGCACCTTGGGGTTTGAGCTTGATGATAACGTCTATCGATCAGTGATACTTAACACCTTGCAATCTGCCGTAGCAAAGCTTGTCGCCGGATTTCCTTGGCTTGCAGGTGCAGTCATCAACGAAGGGAGTGGACCGGGAAATTCTGGGGTCTTCAAACTCGTCGATTGGCCAGCAAATGCACCCTCGCCGAACCACATTCTGCTTGTGAGAGATTATACAGAGTCGCTGCCCTCATTCGCAGATTTGTAAAGCAGAAGGCTCCATGCTCCATGCTCGATGGTAAGCTTGTGGCTTCATACCCAGGCTTCCCAGAAAGTTATGATGATTCTGAACGGCCCGCGCCGATACTTGCGATTCAAGCCAACTTCATCAAGGGTGGACTTCTTCTAAATTTCTCTACTCAACACAACGCCATTGATGCCAGCGGCATGATGCAAGTGATCAATCTTTTTTCTGTGGCGATGCAGGGCGGAGATTTTAGCTCGACCGCTATAAATGAAGGCAATCGCGATCGCCGCATGGTGATACCTCTCATTGCACCTGGAGAGCCAATCCGAGATCACAGCCATCTCCAAATTCCGCCAAACTTTGCCTTTCCCCCGGCATCAAGTCTGGATGGGGTACCTCGATGGGGATATTTCCTGATGAGTGCCTCGTCAGTACCCAAGATCAAGGCAGCCGCCTCACAGTTCCAAGGAGGCAACCAGTCCGTCCCCTTCATCTCCAGCAACGACGCCTTGAGTGCGTTTTATTGGAAATCTATCGCCGATGTTCGTATGCGCAATGGAAGACCACCCCAGATGGTCTCCAAATTTCTGCGAGCAATTGACGCTCGCAAAGCAATGGGAATTTCATACGAGTATATGGGCCACATGGTCTACCATGCAACCACATGGATGACATTTGCCGAGATCCAGGAAGCGCCGATCTCGACAATCGCTTGCAAGCTGCGCAGGGACCTCAACGATGTCAACAACGGGTTCTCGGTCAGAAGCTACGCGACTTATATTGCTAACACACCTGACAAATCTCGCATCTTGTATGGAGGACTATTCAATCGGAACACGGATATCGGGGCATCAGCTGTTGCTAATGCAGACTTCTTGCATTCATTTGGTGTCATTGGTAAGCCGCAGTTTGCAAGGAGGCCTAACTTGGCCCCTATCCCAGGTTGTGTGTACTTCATGCCTTCCGAGGGTCAGCATTTGCCCATTCTGGTCTGTTTGCGGCATGACGATATGGAAGGTCTGAAGAATCATCCGGAATGGAAAAGAGTGACCGAGTTCATCGGGTAGAGGCTAGCTGACCATGAGCGGCCTTTGGGCTTGGTCTACCTAGGTAGCAGCCTGGCCATATCTATCTTCCACTGTTACAGAAACATGATATTAAACCCATGAGGGTTGATTGCGGTTTTTCTCGGGGTAAACAGCGACACACGTTCAATTTGGTACCCATAATAATTGTTGTCCCTCCCCGGGGCCCTTTGTACTGGATTCTGCACATCTAAGGCCATTTGCCTCAATACAAACACGTAGCGTTTGACTTTGGTTACCCAAACTAGCAATCAGCAGACAAACAACGCCACCTTGCTCCTATAAAGCCAGCCCCAGGGCCGCCCTTTACAACAAGCCCTAGGTGATGTTTTGCCTTGTTGCGAACACATGCCACCGATCCTAGCCTGTCTATGGGACCTCCTTTCCCAACTACAGGACAAGCACCGAATCAGCCCTCAGGGGACATTTACAAGGCACCTGTGACCAACTGGCGACATGAAAACCCACGCTCGCTGCCGCATGTCACCATCGGTCATTCCTTCGTCCCCCGAAACTACAGCCGTCGGAAACTTGCGAAAGAAATGTGACAGTCCCAGCCTGAGCTCGGTATGTGCCAGATTTATACCGACACATGCTAATAATCGAATTGTTGTTAGAAAATCCGCCATCGAACGTTTTGATTGAGGATTTCTCACATCGTGTACCGGCCCCAAATCCCATATACGCCTCCTCCATGTCCTTCGTCGGAGATATCCATCGATCTGGATCGAACCTACATTCTTGATCAGCGAGCGAGAACATAAGCACCAATCTGGGGGAGGCAACTGGATCCAGACTTTAATGGGTCATTGAAGTATTCCTTGACTCGATGCAGACTATAACACTGCGTTGAAACAACCGAACCGCCAGGTATGAAGAATCCCAGGAACTGTGCACCCTCACTGGGAACCGCGCGTGGTAAAACTGATGGCACTGCAGCATACAGACGTACAGATTCTCGGATGACACGGTTCAAGTAGGGCAAGGCACGCACATCATTGTGCTTGAAGCCCTCTGGCAGTGTTGATACCTCGGCAGCCAGCTTGTCCCTGACTTCTGGATGCTTGCAGATAGCCCATACCGCATACGTCATGACAGTGGCAGTGGTATGGCTCCCAGCCGTGATGTTTGAGCCGGCCAGGTTCGCAATCTGGTCATCCTTGAATCCTTTGTCCCCTTTATTGAACAACGGCGTGAACAGTGTAGGCTTGGGGTCCTTCTCCGATAGCAACAACTTATATGCCTCGATGGTCTCTTGCGCCCATATCGCCGCTCGAGGGCCCGCGTTGAGCAGTTTGTTGAAGATCGGCAGCCGCAGCCGGGATGCAATCATGATGACGGAGGGGATGGTGGTTCGGATCGCGTGCACGGGACCGAGTCCTTCCAGATACTCGATGATATAGTACCTCTTCTCTTCCTCACGCAGAATGTCCACGCTGGTCCCGTAACTGATCTCGGTGACAATATCGAGGGCCATGTAGATCCACCATTTCAACACATCGATGCATCCACGCGTTTGCAGTTCTTGTTCCATCTTCCCCAAAGCAAGATCCATCTTCTTCCATATTACGGGCTCTAACTTTTGCAGGTAGCTGTCTTGGAAGGGTCCCCCAAGCAAACGTCGCCATGTGGTGTGCATCTTTGGGTCGGTGATATTCATGAGGGTCCATACACCGGGCGGCGCCAGCGATAGGTACCAATTCGCCTTCAGGTAGCCCTTCTCAAGCCTGTGGATCACATTCACGGCCCCGATATCCGAAATATCGACGTGTCCGGGGGAGTACCGCACGATTGGACCTAATAAAACCTCGTGTTAGACGAATTCATGGGAAGCTTGGCCAAGGGTGGCCCTGGAACGCCAACCATATTTCAAATGAAGACTGTGCACATATTCGTGTCGATAGCCTCGGACATAGTAGAATGTGTCAAGTATCCCTGTCCACCTCGAGATCCAGGGACCCGGGACTCGAGACAATGGGTCATTCCAGGCACGGTAAAGCACTGCCAGGGAGGTCACTAAGAGACACCAAATCACAAGAAAACGAATGTCTATGAGGGTCACAATGTCTTCGAGTATTCTGAAGAGTTGGACTGCCATTTTGGAGTGAATTAAGTAGACTTCACGATCAATACCGCTATCTATACTCGGAGAGAGGTATGTAATCCTACCTTTATAATGCCCAATTTCGCCGTAGCATCATATTACACCGAGGGATGTTCCACAATCGTGGCCGGTGAGTGCAGAAATGTACCTAGGTACGTACATCTCACAAAATCCGCGGATGTTAATCCCATACATACCTAGGTATCGGCTTTCGGAATTCTCAACCCCGTTCCAACACCGATTTACACAGTAACTTGGTGTCAGTCCGTCAGCTCCTGGGCATGTTTCGGCATGGGTGTGTGCTCAATAGACTTGGCAAACAATCGACATCCCATGAATCGAGACATGGATGTTCACAATTGACAAGAGGATTTCTATTGAACAATGTTAGCTGCAGCGTATCCTCGAGGCCGATCAATCAACTCCATTCACTCATAATTAGCCGTGGGGACCCCTTGCAGTGTTGAATGGCGTCGACACAGATCCCATTTGTAGCCCGACAACATGCACCTGCCCTACAGTGAACAATCTACGCGTGGCAGAATTGGTTCGAGTCGTCCCTTCCCAAATCGGCTTCGGCGGCTTAACTCCGGGATTCGACTACTAATCCCGGGCTTGCTCCCCCCCCCCGAGTCCTACACTCGATCGCCTCTCTTCCTTTCTCTTTCTCTTTCTCTCTTTCTCTTTCTCTCTTCTCTCCTCCAGCTTCGAAAAACTCATTCCATCGAATACTCGAGCTACCCCTAACGTTTTATCAAAATGGAGCCTCCTCGGGTGGAGCCCAAGGACGACGTGGTCGAAATCCCGTTTCCGAAAGGTTTGAAGCTGGCAGCTATTCTGCTTGCCATTGCCCTGGCCACTTTTATTGTTATGTTGGATGCGTCTATCCTGGCTACTGTAAGAGATCCTTCGGCTTCTCAACTTCGAGTCCATGCTAACTGTCCCCTCATCACAGGCTGTTCCTTACATCACTAACGAATACCATGCTCTTCTCGACGTGGGTTGGTATGGAAGTGCTTATCAGCTCGCCAGGTAAGTTTCGATTTTTCTTTATCCCATAATCATTGTAGGGCTTGCTAATATTGATCTCATCAGCGCTGCGTTCCAGCCATTTACCGGAAAGCTCTACGCCAACCTGCCTTTGAAGGTAATGTTCCTCCCCACTAAGTATATCAACTGTGCGCCGTGCAGGCAACTGACCTCATTCTCAGTGGACTTACATCTGTTTCTTCTTGGTTTTTGAGCTTGGATCTCTGCTCTGTGCTCTGTCCAAATCTTCCAAGATGTTTATTGTGTCGCGCGCGGTTGCCGGTCTGGGATCTTCGGGCCTTCTCAACGGAGGTCTCACCATGATTTCCGAGTTCCTGCCCAAGTCCAAGGCCCCCGGTGTCATTGGCGGTTTGATGTCAGGTGGGTTGATCGAGTCAATCTACCCTTCTTTATCCAAGCTAACTTTGTGATATCCAGTTACGCAACTCGGTCTCGCGTGTGGTCCCATCGTCGGTGGAGCATTCACCCAGTTTGTCACATGGAGATGGTATGTAACCCAGCTCAGCTTCTCTACAGCGTATTAACATCATTAACCCAGGTGCTTCTGGCTGAATCTCCCAGTCGGTGGCGTGGTTTTAATCCTCATGCTCTTGACTCCCATGCAAGATCGAACTGAGAAGCCCAAGGGCAGCGCACTTCGAAAGAACTTGCGAGAGGCCCTCGATGTCTTGGGACTAGTCCTGTTCGCTCCGGCCTTAATCATGTTCTTCCTCGCCCTTCAATATGGTGGCAACCAGTACCCATGGAAGAGCGCCACTGTCATCGGCCTCTTTTGCGGATTCGGTGGAATGTTTATTGTGTGTGTGCTATGGGAATACCGTCGTGGTGACCGGGCTATGCTCCCGCTGCCCATCATTCGTCAACGCATTGTCTGGTCCAGCTGCCTAAGTTCATTCTTTATGACAGGGGCTGCAGTTTCCGGAAACTACTACCTGCCGATCTACTTCCAAGCTGTAATGGGAAACTCGCCCATTCGCAGCGGTGTCTACTTCTTGCCGAACATTCTACCCCAGGTGGCTTTCGCGCTTGTTACTGGTGGACTCGGTAAGAGCCCCCCTTTTCTTCTCATTTCACACATTCTAACTCTCGTATAGTTCAGGGCACCGGATACTACCTGCCTTCGGTCCTTTTCGGCAGCGCCCTGGCTTGTATCGGATATGGCCTTCTGTCGATGCTTACCCCAACATACTCCATTGCCAAGCGTATTGGCTTCCAGATCCTCGTGGGTGTTGGCCTTGGTTCATGCAACTCTGTGGTAAGTTTTCCAATGTTTGAGATCTCACCGTGTCTTATTGAACCTACGCGCTAATTTTGCGAGATATAGCCCATGATGGCAGTTCAGAACCTTATGGCTCCCGCGCAGATGTCTGTTGCCATGGCGAATCTTGTGTTCTGTCTGAACATGGGTGCCTCGCTCTTCTTGCAACTCAGTACTGTGATCTTCTCACAGAGTCTGCTTAAGGCCCTTCCGAAGTATGCCCCTGGTGTCGACCCAAAGACCATCGTTCAAGCCGGTGCTACGCACTACCGACAGGTCATCTCCAAGGAGGCACTTCCCGGCGTCATTATGGCTTACTCGAAGAGCATCATTAACGTCTACTACTTCCTTGCCGGTCTTGGCGTTGCCGGTTTCGCCGCTTCCTGCTTTATGGGCTGGAAGCCTTTTAAGAAGGATAAGCCTCAGACGGAGGAGTCGGGTATCCCTCTTCAAACCACAGAGGACGCCCCCAAGGCCTTGTAGTTCGGCTTAAAACGACTACACGGATTGTTACGATTGATGGGAGAACTTTCTACCAACATGATTCTCAATCCTTTTGGGGAGATGGCTCCATGCCTGAAAAGCTCCTCAAATCTCCTCTCTTGCCTGGCGTCAATGCTCTTTCGTTTGCTATTGCTATGAGGTGGTGAGACCTCCTGGTCATACTATGATCAAGTCAACGCCCATGAATTATGAAATCTGACACTGACAGAGGAAAATCTTAATGTTTAATGTGAACACCAAAAAAAATGTACTTGAGCTCTCCTAGCTTTCACTAATGCGATACCTGTCAGTTGTTTAATCTGCCGTCTCAAGTAAGATATTTTGATTGCACATGTGCGTTTGTATTGTCATTTGCCATCCGGCAATGCATACTCAAACGATGGGCCTCGCTACTCAAGTCTCACAACCACCTTCCTGGCACTAACACCACGTTTATGTATATCAAGTGCTTCCTGGACATGTTGAAGCCCCTGTCCAATCACCTGTGGCTCCGGCGCAGCAACGTACCCGCCTCCAGCCAAAGCACCAGGCAAAAAGCCTCCATAGATTACCTTACCAAGCTCATTACGGCCAAGCTCTGCGCCCTCCACAAATCGCGTCGTGATACCATGCTTCCCTTCCAGCGCGCTGATCTTGTCGTTCCATCCATCGACCCATTTCATATACGCCCAATACTCATCGTCGTCGACAGGGTCTTCCTTGGGCCATGGGAAGCTCGCTTTGGCAATGATCTTCTTACAAGAATCCCCAAGCTGACTCATGACATCAATCGATAGTTCAACAGATCCCGGCCCAATAGCGAAAGCCCCAACCACCTCAACCTCCTTCAGAACGGCGACGATATCTTCTTGCAAGCTAGGGCTGGCATAATCAAATGCATACAGCGCACCCAACTTCTTGACAAGAGGAAAATTCCGCTCCGAGCACGTCGTGACAACCTTATATCCACTCGCTCGCGCAAGCTGGATCGCATTACACCCCACAGAAGTGGCCCCACCCGTGATAAGAATATATTGCCCATTCAACGGGGCCGGCGGGAAAGTAGGGTACGGCAATTCCAGGTACGTCTTCTGATACAAGGCGCAACAAGCCGCCGAGCAAGCCAGTGGAATGACGCATGCCTTCTCATAGGAAAGCGAATCAGGAATCGGAGCCGTCATGTTCTCGCGGACGATCGTGTACAGCTGGAAAGTACCTTCTTCAGGCCGATTACCGAAGACATAGAAGCCGACTGCGTGGGAGATGACCCTATCTCCGACTTTGAAGCGAGTGATGCCTTCGCCTATCTCGACGACTTCGCCGGCGACATCTTCGCCCAGAATCCACGGGAAAGTCATCCATTTCCACTTCTTTTCGCCGCAGAATTGCTTCGCCCAGTCAATTGGGTTGACGGCGATAGCGCCATTCTTCAGAACCATCTGCCCAGCATCGGGCCTTGTGTACGGTGCTGGTTTGACCTCGAGTGGGCCCTTGTCTGGGGCCATCAGCCATGCCGCTTGGTTGATTGGAGCCATTCTTGATACTTGTGAGTTCAGGTGGGAAATGAATCAATATAATGATCAGCTGATGACCTAGGTGTCTATATAATATATACAGTATCATCGGGGTTGCTTTCAAGTCCGTTCCGCTTTGGGTAACCACTCCTTATACTTCGGGACGACCCGGCACTAGTGGTAACCTACCGTGGGTACTCGGAGGTTATTCTGATCCGCAAAATCCCAACTATCGAATTCCGAACAAAGACAAAGGGAGAGCGATGGAATTTCCATATAAAAATATTATCTCCCATCTCAAACCCCACAAACAGTCCTCGAGCCCAGCTAACATGTGATAATCGACCATGCAGGCAACGTGGAAGTTCGCCACTACGAAGTCCTCCGCCTCCGTACGCCGTACAATATCCGCATTCGGCCTCGGACGAACCAGGTGTGGTACTGATGGTATCCGTGGACCCTTGACCGCAGCCCGGACCCAGTCGCGTGGGTGGACAACTTGCCAACGGGATTTCCTCGAAAGTCCTGATCTGGGCATTCGAGATAAAGAAAAAATCTGTTCCCGAGGTCGTCGACTCCTTTCTGGCCGCGGATGCTATCGGTCATCTGCTTTTGAACACCGAAACCTTACCAATTCCAAATACTTTTCTGCGACCATTCGGACCTGGGGCTATCTGTGGCCTCTCAAGTTACCCAGAATTGGTACGGAATCGGTGGAGTTACCATGTGCTCTGCCCAGCGGCATGGGTGGAATGCGTCATGCGAGGCCGATCTCGAGAGGCTAAACGCTTAAATGGCTGAGATCGCCAAGGCCCACCTTGGCGTGGAAGGCTTGTTTTCATGGTTTGTGTAGAGCATATCTGTCAAGGGAAGGTTATCTGCAGATGCAGTTGGTTATGACAGGATTGAAGCGTCTTCGCGTGGCCTTGCGGGGAAAACAGGACGGTTGAGTCGGGTTGGATCTATAGCGTGGGCTGGATGCCCTGGCTTGTTGCAACTCCACGGCAGCTACGACCTTCTGTCCAGGTCCAGAGATCGTTTCGCAATCTAGTCCTTCAATTTGTACGAAAGCGGTGCCCCTGGCATGGTCACGCCTAGAACCTCCTCGGTTCGATTGGAAGATAGAGAAAACCATCTCGTGCGGATTCTCAAGGGCCTGGGGCCTGGGGCCTCGGGGAGGAAATGCAGGTCTTTCATCCACGATGGCTTCCAAGGTTCCCATACACAGTTAGACCTCGGGACTCAGCTGTGTCCGAGTGGTACGTTATACGGAGTCATCTTTCTTACTGGATTATGGCTACTGGTAGGTCCAAGTCAATATATTAATGGCAATATATATTTTGAATCAACACCAGTTTCCAAGTTTGGGAAGAAGCGGTAACCGGTCACTGATGAAAGCAATGTATATACTAGCTTGGTGGAGTTGAATGAGGCATGGAATCATACAGATAACCTCGGAAGACACACGGTGACAAGGTACCCCCACGCCGGAGGTTGGAAACCCACACGTTCAAAGTTCCCCAACACCACCCGGGGACCTGGACACTCACCAAAACCCCATGTTCGAGTCAGATTGCTCCGTCACCACTGAGCAATGTGTGACAGTGCCTCTCCGCCTGGCCGAGGAGACCATCACACTGGACAGCCTGTCTCAATTGTCTGATCCCTTTGAGACATTCCAAATCACGTTACGCGTGCGGATCTGGCGCCGGCCAATGGCGACGCGAATTCAATCGGCATACGGCATTCTGGCGACACCCCACGACTGACGGTAAGCTTCTGTGGGAGTACCTTCTCCATTCAGCAGCTAACAAATGCGGCTATTCATCTACACAGACTCGATAGATCACATCTGCAACCAAGATACAGCCTTTAGGTGGTCGTTTGGTACCTTTCCGAGTACCTTCTCATTTCCAGCGGGCCCTTCCATGCCACCCAGGTCTTGTGATTAAGACTGAAGGAGCAAGAGCCCGATTTCAGAAACAAGGCAACTTGTTTACATTCTAAGGTGATGAGGATCGGGCTTGACAGAAGACTGCAAGGTCGACTTGAATTGGGCGGAGTCAATACCTATGGAAGTCTTGAGGCTCTACTGCGCCCTTAGAAAGTGAATATGAGTGGCGCTGGTCTGCTTCAAACCCAATTGCCTACTGGGTAGGCCTAGACAGCGTCTAATTTGAGTAGCCTCGTGGAGAAGACAGAAACAGGCTTTTCAGCCGAAACGGTCGAGCGTTCCTCAACGAACTATAACTGCCGATGGTCACAACCTCTGGCTTCATGTCAAGGGTCATAGCCAAAGTTTATAAATAGGGATGGCAGCTTATTCCTGCCGGGACTCTATTCTTTGCGAGGTGAGCTTCGCAGTCCACATCTGGTGCAGTCCCCACAATGTCGGCCTCACGGCAACAACCAGGCTTGGTGAGAATACCTTGTAGTTCCTGATCTATATTCACTGACGGTCTAGGCTTGCGAGGAATGTCGCAAGAAGAAGCTTCGATGTGATAGGCGACGCCCTCAGTGTAATCAATGCGAAGACTCGGGCACAGCGTGCTATGTGAACCAAGTTCGCTCGCCACGGGGGCCCAAAAAAGGGCATTTGAAAGCGCTGCGTAATCGTATTGGTAAGTCGTGGTCAAATGCTCAATTTCATTTCTGACATTGTTAGCAACCCTTGAGAGTATCATCAACTGCGATCAGTCGAAGCCCGAAGACACGAGCAAAGGCGAAGGATGTGTCCAAATAGAAGAGATATCACATATCCTGAGTCCATCACAGGAATATCTCTTCAGCACTACGATGTCAGAAGCAGCGGCCCTCTCAAGCTCCTACGAGGAATCCTCCATCACAATGGATTCCTTGCCTGATCCAGATGACCTATCAGATATGATCGAAGCAGATCTGTGAGAATCACTTCCCGTCCAAAGCTGCATGAGGACTCATCAAACTAACACTGCTCAGCGACCAATTATACTTCGACAGAGTCCATCCCATCGCGCCCATGCTTCACCAGGCTCGCTACTTCTACTGGTCACGCAGGTGCAACAAGCCTGACTCCCACGCCTGTCTCCAGCTAGCAATGTGGGCAATGGCAGCAGCAGCCTCGGCCCATCTGCAACACATGCGCGAATCTCTCTACAGACGTGCACGGTCTAAACTTGAAGCTCTCGACAATGACATCGAGGCCGCAAGTGCGGCTACCCTTCAAGCTGCTCAGGCTTGGCTTCTGATTACGCATTATGAGTTCCGGTATATGGGATACCGGCGGGCGTGGCTGACTGCAGGACGAGCATTTCGGATTATCCAATTGGCCAAACTGCATGAGATTGATCGGCTCAATGAGGTTGGAGTGGCAATTTCTCTTCCTGACATTTGGGTTGAGGCGGAAGAGAAAAGACGCACCTATTGGCTGGCGTACTGTCTGGATCGATTCCTCAATATCACAGATGAGTGGCCCTTAAGTCTGCACGAGGAGGCAGTAAGTGGACACCATGTCTTACTTTGACACAATGAACGTATACTAACCAACACAGCTCTGCACATACCTTCCAGCCAGCGAGGGAGACTTCCAACACGGCAGACCATCAGTGACCACGTTCCTGTATGATGCCATCGAGGACTCGGGCAACAAAATCCTGCCCACATTCGCAGAAACCATCGTCCTGACAACCCTGTGCTGGCACAGTGTCACCTTCCACCGCATAACACCCGATACCGACCCCTCCTCAACACTGTCATCTATTTTCTGGAAGCGGCACGCCCGTCTATACCAAATGGTCCAACAGCGATTGATGCTCCTATCCCTACCCGCCTCCTCGCCCGAACTCCACGACCCAATGCGCCTATTCACAAACATGCTCGCCAACTCCGCCGTCCTCTGGTTCTACAATATCATGGAAGCACTGAATGCAGAAATCGACGACCAGATGTTACTGGTGCCACTCTACTCCGCGTATGAGGTAGTTTCCCTTGCGAAACCACTTGTACGATCCAGCTTCTTCAAGGTATTGCTTACCCACCCCCTTTCATCTCGCGCCGAGTGTCTCACAAGGAATAGGCACATCCGTTCTCTCCAATGCTGTTGTATCTGTCTGCAAAGTTTCTCAAGTCTCATCCCGATAGTGCCTCAACGGAGGATAAGCTGCAACGAGTAGAGGAACTCAAAAAGGCTTTGCGGGTTCTACAGGGGGGAAATAACTTGGCTTTGAATTATTTGGACTTGTTGGAATCGGAACATTCGCACAAATGGTGCAATTTGTCGCCGCTTGGGGGTTCGGTCGTGTCTGATGCTGAGCAGTCGGAGGCGTCTTTCTTTTTTGATATTATGAATCTCTTTTGAAATTGAAGGTTTTGATAAGAGTTCGCGAGTTCTATTCAGTGTTTCAGGCTTGGGGTTGTAGTTGTGTCCTTTAGTTCGAGGGTGAGGCAGGGGGACGCCGTCGAGTAGAGATCTGCCACGCGCTACCACGGGTCGTCCATACTGGCGGTAGATTGAGGTTTACTTGTAGTGATGGAACAGGGGGAATCTTTGGGGATGGAATTGGGGTTTTCACACTAAAATATCTTCCTTTTCGAGTCCACTCATTAACACGCGATAAGGCATTGTCGATCCCAAGGAGAAACCACTGCGGCCCACCCAATTGCGACAGATATGAGCATATGATGCGATCTGCCAATGTAGCTCTGAGACGACGGTCAAATCGAGACCACATACTTCGCAGCAGATGCACCTCTGTTCATGTGTCGGTTCAGAGCCTCCTGGATACTCTCCAAGCCACTTCCCACTATGATCGGCTTGGGCGCAGCTTGATACTCCTTCTCCTCCAAAGCACCAGGTAAGAAGTCACGGTAGACCAAGTTGCCCACTTCATTGTGAGCCAGGGTACTTCCGAATACCATCTTGGTGCCCACGCCGGTGATCTTCGACTTGAGAAAGATGGTAATATTGGACCACAATAAGCCCGCGATCGCGAAGACAAACTCAAGGCCGGTGGATGGGATCTTGGTCGGGAATTTGAAACTGACTTGAACGACGAATTTCTTGCCACGGGTGCGGGCCAGGATATCCATGCAGGCTTCGACTGATCCGTTTCCAATGGCAATGGCGCCAGCCACCTTCTTGTCGCCCAAGGCTTCGATGATATCCTTCACGACGGTCTGGCTTCGGTAGTTGAATGCCTCATTCGCACCCAGCTCGTGGATGTACTCGAAGTTCTTGGGAGAGGCAGTGGCGATGACCTCGTATCCAGCCGCTTTGGCAAGTTGGATCGCATTGCTTCCCACACTTGAGGATCCTCCCCAGACAATGACGACTTCGCGAGGGCGATCCGGCGCAGCCAGTGTACTGAGATTGTAGACATCCGGCTTGTCGAGGGCGAGGAAGTCCTGCTGGAAGAGAGCACAGGCTGCGGTTGAGAGGCCAAGAGGGAGCACGCAAGCCTCCTCAAAGGACATCCACTCTGGAATCACCGAGGCCATGTTATCGCAGATGACAGTGAACTTCTGAAAGGCCCCTTCGGCTGACTTGTTGACATTTGGGTCCATTCCGATGGCGTGGGCGAGGACGCGATCGCCGATTTTGAAGCGACTGACTTCATCGCCGACTTGCGCAACGGTCCCGGCGCAGTCATTGCCGAGGATGAATGGGTATTTGATGAAACTGAAGAGGATATCTCCCATCAGTTGCTTGCACCACTCGACCGGGTTGACGGCGACGGCGGCATTCTTGACGACGATCTGGTGTGCGGATGGGGCAGTGAATGACGCTTGCTCGACTCGGAGAGGCGCACATTTGGCAGGTAGCCAGGCGGCTTCGTTGAGATCCATGGCGAATGTTGCGAAAGTGAAGAGGAGATGAGTGGATAGGAGGGGCAATGTGAAGTCCCAAGTCGGAAGGAACGCAGTGTCGCACACGGGCGATTTCTCTTGTCTCTCTTCTTTTTTCCGACTCGTGAGGATTCAGAAATCAATCACCTCGACACTTCGTTGACCTGTGGACCCTGTGAATGCCCAGGTAATCATGACGCTACTCACAGTACCTGGTGCCTGAAGCCACTTGACTGCTGACGGCGTCCTTCCAGGGTCATCCATGGACGATATTGGACTCCCTCGCCATCGAATCCTGCGTTGGAGGTCGAAGTCGCGATCATGGGGAGTATGCGAAACGGAGCCCACATAGTCTCGGCAAGACGACGGGACTCAAAAACAAGAAAACCAAGATCCGCCGATCCACCTGTCACTTGGCAGACCCATTTGACATACATCAAGGATTAAAACATGAGATCTGGCATTTCATCGCAGGATTTCAGGAGTTCACGATCTACGATCAGTCCAGGTACACGTGCTCGGGTGCAGAGGCCTCAATGGCTGACGCTAATGGCGGCCCACTAGCCCTGACATTTGACTTTTTTTCTTTCTTTCGATGCAAAAGTCCCGTTCAAAATGTTGAAAATGTTGAAATCAAGGTTCGCGGACACTGCTGAATTCAAGTTATTCAAGGGGCTGGTGGAGGACGAAGTCGCCGTCGAAGATGCCGTGCAATGGGTCATCGGAGCCACCATGGACCGACTGGAAGGGAACGGACCAGGAGGGACGATCGACAAAGCCGATGAAGTTACATTTATGGCTCTCTTGGAATTGGCCATGCAGATCGACCAGGCGCAGCATGGTCCGTTGGTGGCTTTCTTGAAGGAGTTGAAAATGTACAACGCCGTTGACTCAACAACGGGGCTGGTCCTCAAGACACAGAATGGGAGCTGGGTTTGGTCACATCTCCCTTCCCTGACTACTTGCGCCCGGAGGATCCTGGCGGACTTCGAGCGGGATGCGGATTGTGCGTGACTCCCTTCATCGAACGTGGTTCAAAGCTAATGCCGATCGATTCATAGATCTATGCGATCCGCACATGGACCCCGAACAACAAATCCGGTGGGCGAAGTTGAATATCTTCCTCGCCAAATCGACACAAGCCGCCACTGTAAGATACACATCCGCGTCGCAGGTGTGCATCAGTGATGGGATGGACGAGTCCCATATCGGACTATGTGCACTTCGACAGATATTCGAGGAGGGCATCCCGTCTGAGCAACTCCCCGCCGGAGTTGGCTTACTCGGCGTCTGCTACTGGTTCATCTGCGCCGGAGACCGTCTCTGGGAGAACGTCGTCAACGGTCGCCAATACAACAAATACGATGGGCGACCAGGCGACATGTTCTGGACTCGGAACTGGAGAGGCTTTGAGCGCGAACGATGGGATGTTTGGGAGCAGGGTCTGCGCGATGCGCAGGCTGCTTGTCTTCCTGGGCAAGAGGATGTCAAGGATCTGATCGGTCGCGCCTTGTCCAAGATGGAGAGTCTCACCCGCGACTCGTGCCAATGACCTTCTTCCCCTTCATGAGCCCAATGACATTTTACGCATTAGATTTCCAGCATGAGTTTTGCAATTTATCGCATATTTTGATTTTCCTTCCTTCCATTTACTCTTGAGCCTACATTTTGACCAGGTCTAGTGTTCGCGGCAGGCCACGGAGGCTCGCGGGGGCTTGCAGGGGATGCCCGTTTGCATGCAGCCGAATGATGCAAAGCACCAATGGCAATCAAGTTTGATTCTCCTTGCATGCCTAGCAGCCGGAAGTGAAATCGTCTTTTCTGATGTATACAGTGCTTCCAAGTTGTACTCCGTACACAGCAGGGCTTTGGGAATCTAACTGAATGGCCCGCACGGAGTACCGTGAAGTGACTCCGACATCCACGATACTCATCGCTGTTCGGATTTTTGGAATAGTGAAAATGACCTCCGGATGCCCTGGGGATCATCTCAGGCATCTATGGATTCCTGGCCCCCAGAAAACACCCGTGGACAATTTCAACCCGATCGCCCCGTGAGAATCTTGAACAATTCTCCAGTCTCTACCTGATGGGAGGTACTCTGCGTTGGCCATATTCTAAGTATAACACTTCAAGGTAAGTTGTAACTAGGTATTTCCCATAAAATTCCAACGCCAATTCACAGACAGTGATTCACGATAGCATCCCGACATGGACGAAGAGCGGGGAGCCCCTCCCCCCAAACGCCCCAGTCTGTGGAGAGTCTTTGCCAAGGGCTATGTGATCGGTGTTGTGTCTATATTGCTCACCAACTACGTGGTAGAGTTCCTCGGAGCCGACCACTTTCTCCTTCGGTGTGGAATTCTGGCTTTGTTTATGATGTTCTTCGATTTCCTCTACCAGAGGTACCTATCTTCAACCACGAACGTCGATCAACACACGGGGGAAAAGGGGAAATCCAGCGGAGATGTGTAATTGTGATTGCAATCGACATGGAAATTTGATATTATGAATTGATTGTTTTCTGTTTCAATACAGACCTGGTTGCCGGACTGCGGCGATATCGAGCTGCACTCAATCATCCACCGGTCGCACTATGGACTGGCAAGTGGGCCATGACAGAAATGGTCTATTAGACCTGTGCTGTTCAACATCCCAGCCGCCCTCAGGGCTCTTGTCAAAGCCCTACCAAAGAAGCTTCAAATAACAATCCCCTTAACCTGTTTCCTGTCGACATTGTAGTTCTTCCACACGGCGACAGCAGGGAATGCAAGAATGACAATAGCGCAAGCGGCGATGCATTCATACTTCTGGCTATATGACCACGCATGGTTGATGGCATCTCTAGTCGCAGATCCAGGAGGATAAGCAAGTTGAGCCGCAGCACCACCGAGATATAATGTAGCGTATTCGGCCTTTGTCTCGTCGGGGAGTGCACTCAACAAAGCCTCAGGAAAAGTATTCGAGTAGATGGCGACGGCAACAGCGTATCCAATAGAGCCCCCCACACTGCCAGCAAGGCTAATCAAGGCAATCATCATTGGGATTCCCTCACGATCGGCGGCAGCCATGACGGCCATCTCGTCGCCGATGACGAGAGTCCCACCCCCAAATGCAATGAAGATCTGGCACATTATCAGATACCCGATGTTGCTGTCGGCACCTCTGAAGTGGATCATGAGACCTGCACCCAGCATGAACAGGGGAGCCCCGAAGAAAAGGCAAATGTGTTTGAAATGTTTCGTCTGCCGGATCCAAATGCCAAAGACGACGCCCCAGATGGTAGACCCAACACCGTAGATTTGAGTCATGTATCCAGTCTTTGCTGTATCGAGGTTATAGACAACCTGGAGATAGTAATAGTAGTATTGGTTCCACGTGAAGTAGTTGAAGAAGATCACCGCGGAAACAACACAGGCACCGACGACGGTACGATTCTTGAACAACTCCCACTTGATGAAAGGCGTTCTTGCAAAGCGTTTCTCCCATATCGCGAATACAGGGAATAAAAGGACACCAATCACGACCATGCTGATAAAGGTGGGCGATGAGTACCCACCGTAGCCATAAATCTCCAAGCTGAAGGGCAACAAAACGAGAATGAAGGCAGCTATGAGCAGGAAGCCTCCAACGCAGTCGAATTCATGGAAGTAGTGCACAATTGACTGCAGGACCGTTAATTCGCTTTTGGTCTTGACGAAAATCCCCATTTTTCCAGCCTTGCGCTCATAGAATTTGAGCACGAGTGCAAGGGGCACGAATACAACGAAGATGATGATAGCAAAACATCCATATGCCCATCTCCACGTCGAGTGAGTATAAAAAGCCTGTGCAGCCAATGGACCCGCGAAAGCGGTACACAAAGTCGGAGTGCCGATGAATGCTGTAGCGAATGCTCGATTCCGTAGGCCTGTCGCGTCGGCGACGAATATCCCCAATATAAAGGTAACGGAGTTATTCCCAATTGTATAGAGCGTATACCCGGCCGCAAAGCTATTTGGGCCATCACATGAGGCTATCACGATGAATCCTATGAGGAAAAGGCCCAAGAACAAAAGAAAGCCTTCAGCGCGACCCCACAAATTGAGGATTTTGGCGATAGGAAGTGCGATGATCCCTGCAATGATAGTCGATAGGATAAATGCCTGGGATATCTGAGGGGCTGATTCAAAATCGGCATAGGCGTAGTATATCATGTTGGCGCTGATGGAGGATTGCATAGAGAGGATGAAGTAACACATCCAGATCCTAGCGTTCCGCAGAACCGGAGAACATGTTAATAATTCCATCCGTTCTATTGATGGGAGTTTGTAGGAGTAGTACTAACCATGCATAAATAGCATAAACCGCCTTCTTTGACCAAACGAGGGCTGTCGCCTCTGCCTTTTGCACTCCGTTTTGGGCATTCCGGGTGATTTCGCTTGGATGCGCCGCGATTTCCCTCTCATTTCGTTGCTCTAGGCTGACCTTAGATGAAGGAATCTCTGATTCATTGCTCGTGCGCGAGGGTTTGCCTTCTTCGATGGTTTCATTGGCCGGAGTAGGCGTGTTTGCCTCGAGGACGTGTGCAGTAGTAGGACCGAGTCCATTCCCACCCATTGCGTAGAATGAAGACCTTGAAAAGATCGGAGAAGGGGAAAAGGCAAGGACAAAGAGAAAGAAGAATTTCAGATCGTCAGATTACTTTCCAACGTGAGGACGCGAGTGGAAAGTCAAAAAGACTTGAACTACCCACGAACAAGGCAATATTAACAAGATCAGGACCAAGTGCAGCACGGGCCCATCAATCTGACAATATCAATAACCCTTCCATACTGACAAAATATCCTCGATGGCTGAATATCCGGGCTAGCCCCTTCACGGTTTACAAAACGCGATACCACGCCATAGGATAGATAGGAAATCGCTTAACCAATTACTCCAGCATAAATAGGATGTAAATTTGGAAAACGTGAGCACTAGAGAGCCCAAGCGCCTTGGTGTAGAGGAATGGACTGTTGATATCTCTTATAAGACATACATTTTGGGTAGTTAACTTGCTCAAACGTGCGCAAGAGGGTAAAAGGATGACAGGCCTGTCAATCCTCCCACTGAAATGCCACGCAGTGGAGACATCGATTCACCATAAATCAAGTCACCTGGGCACGTGTATAGCCTCGCTCTGCTCTACCCTTTGGACAGCTACTTCGCTTAATTCGCGGAAGGCTTCCTTCATTAGCCAGTCCCGGTGGGAAATGACATGGTCTCTACTATGTGCACCCATCTGGATATTGATCAGTAATGTGGCGTATTAAGACATTCGTTTCATACTCACAAGGTAGCCTCCGCGTTGATCATGTTCACAGGCTATACACGTTGCAGTTCTTGGGAAGATCTCTTTCCAGTAGTGCCGTGTGGTGTATTTGAGGAGTTCCGTGCAACCGTAGCATATATAGACCTGCTCTTCTTCAGAAGCTGTATCGGCGGACCTAGATGCATAGTGCCCGCCGTTTATGGGTGTTGTTGTGGACTGTGTCGACATTGTCGGGTTGTGTTTCGTGTCTTGATTGCATGGCGGGGTTGGAAGTTGTGGCTGTTTGGATAGAGGTTTCATCTTTCCACATCCCTCCAGCCTCCTACCACGCCTCTCTAACCCGATTAGGAATCTTGATCCCTGAATTACGAGGCGCCGAATCGTGATACACAGCGGGATAACCACTGATCATTTTGAAGGCCTGGACCCTGTAACCTATACTGCTACTAAGATCTGTCCTCTGATTTTATTTAGAACATTTCAAGGCCATTTAGATTAAGCAATTGGTAGTAGTAGTCCCTCGGAGATTGGAAAGACACGAAGGTACCTGCATCGGCCCACCTTTTCCTGATGGAGGCCCTCATTCCAAGTTTGACATCACCAAGCTCCTGGGACGTTAATTTCCAGATCTTAGATCTAACATGCATCTGAGAGTCCTCCAGCCTCAAACCATACGAGGCTCACAAGTTGGTAGACAACAGTCACGCAGTCGTTCCAAAATTCGAGTCTTGCAGAGGCTTAAGGGGAAACAATATAAATTCACGATCATGTTCGGGGCTTATATCACATTGCCCAGACGCCGGGCGTGAGTGGATTTGAGGGCTTATATCCTAGCTTGCTGCCTCAGGCAGCACTTCCCCTGGGGTTGCGACTCTCAAAATGTCAATGCTGCCGTGATTTACAGACAACTTGAGACATTCTAGGTAACTTGTTGCCTTTCCGCCCCGTTGAACTTGTGCTCAATGCAAACATTTCACCACTTCAAGATAGGATGGGTTCGACGTTGATTTGGAACGATCGCATATTTGCTCAAGACTGCTTCGTGCACAGACACGGAAGGATGAGGCCCTAGCGTCCTAATATAATTCGCCTTGCATTGCACATCTCACACTCAAACCTGTAGCTATAATGCCATCCGGGCGCCATATCACTCACACCGCGACCCGACAACCCAGATCACTGATGCTGTAAACAACATCGGGATGCGGGCATCTCCACCATTGAGAAATTCATTTCTCTGTCGAGTATACGAATCCTGAAACTCCCCCGAGCGTACCTTGGGCAAAGGAAAGTGAAAATGATGGATAGAGCAGGAACCTGCTTCCAGAGGGCAACATTCGTGGTTGAGCTCAGCATCAAGCTCCTCATTTTCGCCCTCTTTCTCAGTGCCTATCCCGATCGATATCGAAGTCTACTTTGGGCAACAGGCGGCACTGAGGGGTGGAATTCCGACCCAGAGCAGCGGATATACTTCTATGCCAATCACCAGGAACCGCCTGAGATTCCCTGGATCTGGACACAACGGTTCGAACCCCGACGGAAGAACGGAAATGCACCGCTGACCTTTACACATTAGATCAACGGACGCCAATCTTGCGACTGCGATTCTTGCGATTGCGATATGCTTAGCGAGAGGGGTGCTCTTTTATTTAAATCACAAGATGGAGCTCATCATGATGTTCTATGATTTTCTGCTCGCAGTCTTGTGGTATTTGTCTGTCTTGAATCAGCTGTCTAGTGACTACTCCGACTCGGACCATTTGAGCCCTCATCCTTGGTATTTGAGGAAGTCATGCAGGGTCGTTGAAGCTCCGGCAAGGACAGCTTGTGTAGTCTCGCAATTATCGTTTGTCATTTCTATTTTCTTACTGTGAGTCTCAAGTCCAAGAATCCTTCTATTTTGGTTCTGTTACTGGATCTGATCATAAACAATCGTTGACACTGACCTCGGACCAGGTTGTTACACACATTCCGATGGATTGTCAGTATAGCGCGATTCTCATATCGACTTGGAGAAAACCATGCGAGGAAGCGAATCTCCGAGAGATTTCCATATGATGCGCAGGACCTTCAGGCAAATTGCGAAGAAAGTGGGGAGAGTTGCAGCCTACTTGCAGAGCATAAATCGGTTGCGGACTCGAGCGATAGCCATTGCATTTCGGAGTGTCAACTTGAATAAAATATGCAACTGCTTTTCAACGACAGATACAAAGTCACAGGGAAAAGCATAGTGATGGCTTTTGTTATGATATTCTCCCCTTCTCAGGGAAAACAGTGAACTGAGCAAAGAGGCACGCAACAGCGCACTGGGAGCACGAAAATAGGTTCTGTCTATCAGCATCCATGGCGAAGCCTCAAAACTCTTTTCGTCCTGGGTTCTGCGTATTGCTCGCCGCAGGGTCGCCTCGAAACTAGCCGACCAATCACATATCCTCAACACCATGAGCCGAGTTGGCTCTAACGATTGAATCAAGCTGGTAGATCATTGTTCGAAAGTGCCCGTCAATTTCCGATTAATAATTCCACCTTTGTCCCGAGGTCATGAACGCTTGCCAGACCTTCTCGGCCTCGTTTCTCCCTTGTTGCTTTGATAAATCAATGAAAATTGCGCTTCATCCTGACTCTCGCATTCATTGTCTAGCACGGAGTGATGAAAAGGGGATAAAAAGCCAGCTTTTCAGTTGTTCTGGATATCGCAGGTCGGGGTATAAGGCATGCTTGATCGGCGGGCACGTCTTCTCATCGGTGAGCCCCCCCCCCCCCCCAGGGCTAAAGGCGTTTCGTAGGGAAGTCGTTTCGCAGTCAAGCCGTTTCGGTTGTTGATAATATTGAAGTTGTGCATCAGTCCGTCAGACGTCTGATCAGGTGTGGATGCTCATCCCAAATTACCTATATGTAGTGTTATTGTAGTCGCGAAAAGCAGCCTCGGTGAGTCTCCAGTGGCCACTGGGGCATCCTGCTTCTTGGTGTCAGATCGCTCGGGCCATTAGTTACGCCGGAGATGGGTAGGTAATGAGGATGCTGGTCGATATTGCAGTTGCGTAAGTCAGAGAAATACCGGGCGTGGGCGACTCAAGTGGTGTGCCAGGTGCGTCAAGGTGGTTCTGGACGACGGGTTACTTCGATACCTGGAATTTTGCTAGCTCCCTCCCTCTTTCCTACTCTATCTCTTCTCCTCTCATTCACTTTCACTTCTCTCCTACTCTCACTCTCTCCCACAATATTATGCCAAGGGTATATCACTCTTTCTCAAAAGGTTGAAACTGCTAGTGAGTGATACCGGAATTTGATGAATTGCCTCCCTTCTTCTGACCGTCAACAGTCATCGAGGCTATCACTTCTCACCATCCGGTCTACATACTGTCTTCTACGGCACATCAGATTTATCTCTCCAACTGAAGCCATCCAAACACCCCATACGGGATCCGTCCAAGAATGGCCGACACATCCTCCGGCTATCCCAGCTCTGCCCCTGCTCCCCCTGCTCAGAATGGCGAGCTACTTACCATCACTTTGATCGACGAACTGGAAGATGGCAGGGCTGGGTCCCCAACTTCCAGTCAGCATGTGGGATGGTCGACATTGCCCATCCTTAATCTCCATCCAATTGTACCTCCCCTTCGCGAAGGCGATGATAACTGTGAGGCTGGCATCAAGCCATCCTCACCGCCCTTCAGGATCTTGTCCTGCAGGACTTGGTAGAAACGGAGTCACCACGTCTTGGGTGAGGCTCTACCACCCGGGGAGACTGGGTCCCACTATCGGCACGGGTGCGGCTCTGGTTGGAGAGTTCCATCGAACCCAGTCTTGTCGAGCGCATAATCCAGCGAGGGGATGACACAGATCGCTACTTCGCCGACGTGCTCATGAGTGAGCTCAGGATGGAATTCCGTCCCTATGGCCAACATGCTCTGATGGGTTTAATCAATACACTCATGGAACTACAGCGGGCTGATTTCAACACAACCCGTGATCATATCCAAATTATCCGCGAATACTACGCAGAGATCTAGTTCCATGGGATTGAAATCAGCCCATGCCTTGTGCTAGGAAGAATAATGGCTCAATTAGACACTATTCCCAATCTTCAAAACACAATGCGGCATATCAGGAGTTCTCGCTTTACCAACCAAACAGACGGTACTTGCACCGAATTTACAGAGAATGAATTCCACGAGCTATGCTCAACCCTGTTGGAATTCATTGACCCCATGGAGGTCTGAAATCCAGACCATCTCGCACACGCATCTCGGCCCGCATGCTAGCCGCTTCCTTCCTTTCTTCTTTCCCGCCAAAAGCCTCTCTATTACAACACAATCTGCAAGTAAATCCACAATGTCCGCGAAATTTACGCAGAGATCTCGTGTTATGCGATTGATGTCAGTCCATGCCTTGTCCTGGGAAGAATCATAGCTCAATTGGATACCATCCCCAGCCTGCAAAGCACTATGCAGCTCATCCGGGGTTCTCACTTCACTAACGAAACGGACGGCATTTGCACCACTTTCACGGAGGATGAATTCCATGCGCTATGTGCAACCTTGTTAGAACTCATTGACCCGATGGAGATCTAAGATCCAGACAATCGTGGCGCAATGAACAGATCTCGCAAAGTGCTTCTCAGCCAACCCAGAGCTGCAGAATTACCCTTTCATACATAGATTGCGCTTTCTGTCTGTCAGACTGGCGATTCTGTTAATGACCTCAGGGGCACGTTCCCAGTCCTCTCTCTCTCGCCCTCGGCCTAGAGCTCTCTCTCTCTCTTCCTTCTTGCTCCAGATGCCAAGGGACCCTGCGTGCAGTCTTCTTTCTTCCTTCTTTGCATCCAGTGGCCTGCACTGCCACTGCCTGTCGTTGCCATCTCAATCCAAAGCAATGCGGGTCATAGCTCCATCAAACCATTGAGTATGCCATGGTTCGGGGAAATTGGCGAGTATGGCGGCCCCGCGGGCATCCCACTCTTTGGCAATTTGCGGATATGAGACACATATTGAAAGGATGTTCCAAATCAGGGACTGGGCCAGGGTCTGCTCCAATTCAACAATGCTGGACCTGGAGTTTGGCCCACAAATGCCGAACGTGACAGTCTTTGAGTCGTCGGATCCAGGTAGTGAATTGAACCCTTCCCCCTCTGCCCCTTGAGTCAATCTCTGTATCTTGCAGCCCAAGTCCACCATTGGATAGTCCCCGAGAATTCCTTTTTTTTTTTTTTTTTTTTTTTTTTTTTGCTATGATGAATTCTTCTACAGTAGAGCTTTCATACGTATTTTGTAAGCGATTTTCAGATGGTCCAGATACTCGATGATATTACCAACACACCAGAATCCTCTAACTATCTAAGAGACAGGCAAAAAAATATCTTGCACCTCTCATCCTCCGGCCCCACATTCTGCGGTGACCCACAATCCCCGGGGACTCTCCATGCACTTCGGCGACTTCATATTGTTCGCCGACTCCGCATTCTTCGGGCCTATCTTCTGGGAAAGCGACGGCTCGAGCTCTGTGCGCGAGAGACTCAAATCCCAACCTGCCGTATCAGCCTATCACGGATGTTTTGGCATAGGCCCAAATCCAGTCAACATACTAGTACACGGTTGAGTATGTGAAGAAGAGCGCCCTGTGTGTTCTTTTCCCTCGCCATGAGACCCACTGCCAGTGTCAATTCGATGGGTAGATACTTAATGTGCTCAATTTCACTCACTCCGGTTTCAGCTTTCCTTCGATGACTTGGTTACAGGGTATCACCTCCCCATTTGGAGAGGACTCTAGGTCGGTGGAGTATGTTTTCAGTAATTCTGGCTAGAATTCTGAACAGCTCGAAGATATTTAATCACCAACGCCAGTCTTCACTCGATGCGATGATCGTTCGGGCCTCCCGCATTCACCGTCAACTGCTTCGAATACCACTTTTCTTCGGCATAGGATTCGGCGCAAAAGGCCACCTTGAGCACCCTGGCTCAGAAGAATCTACCTCCAATCCAGAATGCAGCGCAGGACTCTTGCAGCTGTGACCTTCATGTTGGGACTCGCTCCTGGGGTCTCATCAGAGGGGGCAATAGGAAGGCCGGCCGATGGGAGACCAGGCCATGGGCTCGTCGGCTACGGGATCTCTATGTACCAGCCGACCTGTGCTTTCGCTTGTCGGTCATCAATCACAAATTCTTTAAATTGTTCAATCAGCTCATCCGATGTTGGACACGAGATGGCTCGCATTGACAGCTCCGAAGAGATTCAAACCATTCCCGATGCCAAATGCTACGCCGAAAATGATGCATTTCTGCAAACCCTGGCTTATTGCATCTATATTCATTGTCATCAAGAGAAGAATTCTACTTTACAAAGATACTGGGAACTGAATGCTGTTGGTAGCGACCCTGTTCAGCCATCGCCGAAGGAATCATACCAAGAAGCGCTTGGGAGCATTGGGTTCACCCCGAATATCACAATAAATTCGACCGAGCTTTTGAAAACGACATCCCTTGTATCCGAGATCGTGTACAAGCTGGAATACAACACTATGGAAACTTTCGAGCATGTTGAGAAATCACACGCAACATTCGGGTAAGCCTTCCACATTCCCTTTTTCATTGCAAACCGATTGACCTGGAGCACAGGGTGGTCCTCATCCTGAGTAGTACATTGATCCCCATTCTTCTCTCGATGGGAAGGTTTCTCCCATTTCCCGCCAGATGGAATGCCCGATTCCATGCACTTGTCATTGACCCTCTACTCATTGGCAACCGACACAATGTGCCATTCTTCAACAGTTTCATCATGCCCACCAGAGGGCAAGCATTATTTATTGCATACTTGATCATGATAAATGTCATTCTATGTGCTGTTGGGTATAAGTCTGCTCATCCTAGCGCCTGGTACGCCTCCGAATCCATCGAGATCGCTTCCTATTTGAGCAACCGTGCTGCAATTCTCTCCTTCGCCAACGTCCCGATCTTGTTCCTATACTCGGGTCGCAACAATTTGCTGCTCTGGTTGACCGACTGGTCTCACTCTACTTTCCTTCTGCTCCACCGATGGGTTGCTGCCATCTGCACAATTGAGGCAGGTCTCCATGCATCTATATATCTGCATATTTGCAGAGCAGACGGTACATTCTCAGTCAAGAGCAAATTATCATTTTGGTACTGGGGCATCATTGCAGTTCTCTCCTTGGTTATTCTGCTCCCCACATCGGCACTCCACATTCGAAGACGATCCTATGAGCTATTTTTGGCTTGGCATATATCTCTCTCTATTCTCGTTTTGATCGCATGCTTCATGCACAGCTTTTACAGATTCAACTATCAGTGGGGCTACCTGACGTGGATATATATTGCCATTGCAATCTGGGCCTTTGAGCGTGTGTTTCGAATTTTTCGAATTTTTCGGAACGGTATTCTACGGGCTCATGTTTCTGTCGTCGACGATGATTATATCAAGCTGGAGATTCCACATACGACAGCCGTGGGACATGTTTACTTGTACTTCCCAACTCTGACTTGGCGCTTTTGGGAGAATCACCCTTTCTCTGTCATGACTGATTTTCAGCAAGATACTGATATTACCGGCGTGACAGATTCACAGGATTGCTTGGTTGAAGAGAAGGATCAAAATAACAGAGTCAACGTCACTGCAACCGGGGAAACTTCGGAATCAAAAGCAGGTCGTGTCCAGAAACAGGACATGTCACATGTTCGCTCGAGGTTGCTCATCTACATTCGAACCGAAGCCGGCATTACTCGACATCTCCGAGAAAGGGCAAATCTGCCCGTCCTCGTCGAGTCCGCGTACCATCCAACTTCGATTCCAGAAAAGGAATCCGCCCATGCACCAAATATCCTGGCAATCGCCGGCGGGGTTGGTGTTTCTGCCCTGACGCCCATGTTGCTGGGTCACAGGGGATATCACAAACTACTGTGGGCGGTTCGGAGTACCGCACTTGTCCATTCAGTCCAAGAGTCACTTGGGAACTCTGGGTTCGAGCGGTTGAATGTCGAAGTCTTTCATAGCCAACGCATGAACATTCCCCAGTTGCTGGAAGAGGAGGTGGCGACCTTCACCGGGCGCGAGCTTAGTGTTGTTGTGAGCGGCCCTCCTAGAATGGCGGATGAAGTGCGTGTTCTTGTTGCGAAACTAAACAAGAGCTACCCATCTGTAACGTTGACATTTGTTGAAGAGTCATTTAGTTGGTAGATTTGCTGAATTCACTGGGGTTCCTCTCGCTTCGTCGAGATCTCGGAACCTGCATACGCTCTCTCATCTGCGACATGGGTTTTGTTCTTGTAGTCGAACTGTTCATAGTTCGCGAAAAATCCATGGATGGTACGCTATTCCCGATCGGGCCTGGCACACACACTAATCCCAAATAGGTAAGGTCTTATATTCTAAACTCATTGCTCCGTCAACTGGTCCAGCACCAAGTAACTCACTTCCGAATCATCCGATATTCTTTGTTTTCTCTTTTTTGCCTTGTTGATCTCCGTCGGTGATCATAGCCTGTTAGAGAAGGCTAGCATATGTTTTAAGCATCTGAAATTGTGGGAAATATAAAAAAAACGCTTCAAGACACGATCCAATTCGACCAGTTGACCAAGGAGCAGCTTATCTGATCTGAGCAAACTTCAACGAGACAAAATTCTCGGACTCTTCGCTCAAGAGTTCGAGTTATCGGTGCACGACCACGCTGACGATCCGCCGGATGCCGCATAACTCTCCTTGATGCTGACCGCAGAGCCATAGGTACCGGCAACCATCAGGAATGTTCCAGACAAAACCACAAAACAACTGAACCCAACCATAAGCATCCACTTGATTGACTTCTCAGTTTTGCCCTTAGCCCAGTTGTCATAAAGCCACATACAGCCCATGGGTTGGAATGACATGAGAGTACCCAGCAAAGCCCCGACGAGCGAGACCAAATCATTGAAGACCGGGATACTGCTAGCGATAATATACGCAATGGCAGTGATTGCTGCAGTGCAACCAAGCCATGTAGCCCAGTGGATCAGAGTATTCGTAGTCAGGTGCCTGGATCCATGGAGGATGCGAACGAAAACATACTTAGCCGAGATCTATCATTTGATTAGCAGAGTCCCGCCGTTATTGATGTAGGTGAATACACGTACGTGGATGACCAGTAGAGTAGTCACCATTAGTCCCGGAAGAGCGAAGCCATAGCTCACTTTCTTCACGAGCGGACCAGCAGATCCCAAGGCCGGTGAGGCAACATATGATCCACAGTAAATGTAAACCACGATGCCAACAATGAGATACGTCACGGTGACTATGGTCTGGCAGCAGAGCAGCGCTCGGGTGTATTTGGTGGGGTCGCGCATTTCAGAGACGATAGGGAAGAAACCCGGTGTTCCAGCATATGCCATGACGAGAGTCGATACCGCGGTAATGGCTTTCGTGAACGAGGGATTACCTACTATCTTGTAGTCGGGGACCCAGACAGCGTCTTGTGGCGCGGAGGACGGTCGGTCTTGGACAGCAACGGCGATAGTGACCATGAAAACTAACAGCGAGTGTCGTTAATTTCTGGAAAGGGGAAAGTCGAGTATCACTTACTTGCAGTGAGCATTCCAATTAGCCCAACCCAGGCTATCGCACTGATCTTCGCTAATGTTTGGATGCTTCCAAGTGAGAAGCCAATGATAGCGGCAACAGCAACGAAGACTGCTGTGCAGGCACCGTGGCTGGACATGGCATTGAAAGAGATTGATATGCCCAGCATACCAGATCCAGCGACGAAGATCCAATCTTCCCGTTTGTTAGTCTTGAATGGGAAGATCCTGCAACTCAGCGTGGGACTTACAGAGAACAAATGCGCCTCCAAATATGATTCGGCCTGGACGGCCAAACATCAGATATCCTGCATCGTCGATACTATAGACCTCGGGGTGTCGCAGCTTGAATACGCCAACAATATAGTCTGACCAGGTTGTGATAGTAGCCATGGTGATTAGGATGATGACTCCGGGCACGATGCCCAGGGTATCAAAGGAGATTGGAATAGACAGCACTCCGATACCGATCATACTCTTCGTCATCAGAGCAACTGTGCCAATCCATCCAACCTGTGAACATGTCAGTCAACGATAATACCGATGATACTCAAAGGCAGACATTGCGATAGTTAGGACCATCTTCTGATATTTCACCGAAGACCGCATCATGGGTGATTTGAAGTCCTTCAACTGGACCTTCCTGCGAATTCACAGGTGTCAATTTGTTTGACTCCTTCTTCTCCGCTGTCATATTTACGGGGTAATTGGTTTGTTATAATGGATGAGACTCGGTGTGTTGGGCAACTTGGCCCCTTTTAAACTAATTCACCGTTCTACTGATAGTACTCGGGCGGTAGGCCGATCAAGTGTCATACTTCCCCTCTACAAGCCACAGGAAGATAAGCCATTGGAGCAGCAAGAGGCGGGGAAAGCCTTTGACTGGAGGATCTGGGGTAGCCGTTCTGTTGTCATTGGGTAGGGTGGCCACCTTATCGACTGAACCTTCCCCCGCTTGGCCAGTTTCATCGGTACAGACTTCCAGAATACTCGGTGCATTCGTATGTATATCACTCCTGCAGGTGAACGGAATCCAGGCGGGAGTGCTGCGTCAAGCAATGGCCGCAAACCCATCACTCGAACCTCGCGATGCTCAACAGACACACCAGATATATGTATACATTCTGTCCAGCTCCATCTCGCTTGCCCTTCCGATATACATCGGTTGAATTCGCGAGCTAGACCAAAGGGGTCGCTATTGGGGTCTGGGAGTTGGTCTAAATGCTCGACCTGGCCCAGTCACCAATCAAGTGAAGCAAAGGTGACGGTAAACCTCCCGAAATAAAAGCCCGAGCGCCCTGGTGTTAGACATTTGTACGCCTCTTCAAGGTGCCTGATCGGGGGCGGTTCCATGTCAGGCCATGCGAGATATACTGCGCGCGATTTACTCGAGTACTCTGAAACATGGGGCGATGACAGTGCACAGGTTGCTGGGTCATTCCACTCAATCCAACATATGAGACTACGCATAGATATCGGGAACATGCCCGAGGCATATAGGTATGTAAGGCACTGGGCAGGTCTGGGTTGAACCTTCAAATGATACACGTGAGGCTCAGTATAGAGCGCTAGATACACTTTACAAATTCGAGTTTAAGAAAAGTGAATCAATTATTCTTCAAGCCCTTCAATTTATAGATCTGTATCAGGAGATCCCATTTTCTAATATAATCCCTTGAATCGTGCAGTGTGGCAGTATGGTAGACTTTGGGAAACCGGACAGGAGAATCTCAATCCCCATCAACACCTGGACCTGGACAAACTCTGATTTCAGAGCAAAGAACAAAACAGTTTATCAATTCGATAGATCAAATCTCGTAAAAAACCCAAGTTATCTTATATCAGATACCAGGCACTTTTCCTATCTCTCAAGTCATATACCCCACAGACTGGCCATAGTGACCGCCACACCCGGTTTGAAGTATCGAATTTAGCGTGCTGGACCGTAATACCCCATGTTTTAGCTGCACTAGTGCTCGGGTCCCGATCTCATTGGCATTTCCCATCAGGCCATCGATAGTGCGGCTGTCGTCCCGGTTGTTCCTTGGATCGGGTTCGAAGCCGACAGGTGCCCTCTCGATTTCGCATATCAAAGGAAACGGGCCCATCACCGGGGCAGCATATCTCTCTGAGGCCCCCTGAAATACCTAGTGAGCATTCGTGAAAACTAGGCAGTGCTGCTAGCTTCGTGTCCACCGTGGACCTGCGCAGGTGGCTCCTTCAAGTGGCAAATATGTTAAATGTTTAATTGCCTCACGGATGATATTTGTTCGGCCTTGTAATGTTAGGGCTATTCAAAAGTTTATGATAGAAAAGAAAACGCCTGAATCATCAAGCCTAATTACAAAAATAATATGAAGTATTCACCACGAGAACGCCTCCTCAAATAAATCAACAGTCTTCTCGCCTTGCGTGTTCCGCACGGCATCCCGCACACTGTCGCCCAGGCCACCAGGACCACAGACGCTCACCGCCATCGCACCTATTTGCTCCGCCTTCTCCTTTTCGAGTAAAGACTGAATGCAAGGTTTGCCATGGTGGATATTCACGGGCACGCTGGGTGGGGCACAGTCCATCCACGGGGTATCCGGTTGGGGGATGTACTCCTCCACAGTGTCTTTGTGGGCGGTAACGTGCACGCTGATGGACAGAAGAAGCCGTGGGAATTGGAAATATGAATGACCGTTGGAATTGATGGGGCTGGTCAGTGAGTCGTGGCCTAGGATTTCAGTCATGAACTTCTGGATCCAAGTGAGATGATCTATCGGTTGTGTTAGTTTTCATCCGGGGTAAGATAATCGGTGGGAAATACCTAGATTGCGAACAATCCAAACAAGATGGATTTTGCGAGTGGCTGTTTTTGACTCGGTGAAAGTACTGACGGCTTCGTTCAGGTATGACATCGGGTGAGTGATGCCAATACCACCGGCAATCAGCAGCAATGTACCGTATGAATCGAGTGAGTGGATACCGCCTTTCTGGTGTTAGTTAATGGATTTTGGAGGAGGAAAGACATCCATACCAAACGGCCCCTCTGCTAATGCCAGTGCTTTGATCTGTCCTTCGGCGGAATCTTCCACTTTCTGGATCAGCTTCTTGGTGAAGCCATCTTGGCCTTTAACCAGTATCGACATGGTGGTAGTTTCTGATCCCCCGATGAGTGCTTTCAGGGACTCACTTGACCCACGCTTTTCACTTGGAGCTAGTGCCCCGGGCTTTGATGTCCAGGCCACCGTAAATGGATGTGATGTCCACAGGCCCAAGCAGGGCATGTAGAGATACATGTGTTGCCCAGGGCGGAATCGCCATGCCCGAGAAACTGCCACATCGACCCGGGCGACTGATCCCGGTAAAGCTTCGATGGTAGCAGTTGTGGGTTTTCTTCCGATATTTCTCCAGAGGAGAATGGCAACTCGGCCTGCCCGGTCCAGTCCCCATAAGATCAGAGTCCCTGTAAGGACGTGCTGCTGGGGTAGATTCTTGAGGTGATACCAGAGAGCGATGAAAGCCATCAATGCCAAAGCTATGTGTAAGTGAAGGAATAGTTCGTAGAACGCATGTCGGGCCGGCGACAAAGACTGAACAACGATGAACAGGAATCCTAGAATGGCCTGCGATGAGCATTGTTAGTCTTGTCACTCTGCACAGGTTGGGTGGATCACATACTATAAGACCGCACAGGTATAATCTCTGTTGCCATAGAGCATAAAGCACATACTCTGTCCCATCTGCAATCATTGTTAGGTTTTGCCCCTGAAGGCATTGTTGAGTTACTTACTCGTATAAGCCACACTGGCTAGCACAGCGCTCATGTGAACAACTGCATTGGCCGCGATGACTCGTCCAACCCATCGGTGCATGAAGTTAAAGGTGTCAAATGAAATACCCAAAAGCTGCACCAAAGGGTTGTTGCGCCCAGCGGCCAGAACCAAGCCGGGTGTGTTCATCACAGCCAAGTGTCCCGCGGAATACTTCAGTTGGAACATCTTCTTCGGGTAGTCGTCGATCCACCAGTCAACCGTCACGATGATGAAAACAAGATTGAGGGCAAGATATAGCAACAGACAGATGATCTCCAATCTCAGCGGGATGGAGCCCATGTGAAGTCTGAAGCATCGAAACTCCCGATTGTGACGGGTCCCCCAAATGGGGGCATAGAGTATGTGCTTTTTGAAGGCAGCATCTATGCGACTTGTTCTTGACAGCTGACTCTGGTCAACCCCCTTTATCGCTTGCTTCGACCTTTGGCGGTTCTGGATCCGAATGAAGGTTTGCCAGGCAAACAAGAAAACGACGAGCCCTCCGACGGCGTATAAGGGGACCCCAATGGTGGGATTCATGGGAGGTTGCCCTGTACCATCTCCTTTGAGTTGAACACCCATTTTTCCATCCGAATGGGGTAGAACTTGAGCTGCGGATCGGGTGTATAAAGACGGTCGACCACACGAGCATGGAGTATCCTACCACTCCTGCAAGACTGGGGACCACAGACACAGACCTATGGCGAGAAAGATGGGAGGAACGCAGAAAAAGGGAAAGCTTGTATATCTGGCGCAGAATCAGGTCGATCAGGCAGAAGAAACAAAAATGCCGTCATTGACCCCTGGGGGGGGCATGTGGGTTTGATCACGCCCGAGGCGAATGAAAGCATCGTCACGTTTTAGACAGCACGATGTCCCACATGAGTGTAACGCCGAATCGGGTGACCCAGAGATCATTGCGGATCCTCCAGAGGCAAAGCCACGAACAAGATGATGCGCACGGCAAGTGGGTGTCAACCCTAATATCCGGGACCTGTCCTGTAATGGCCCAATAAGGGAGGATCTGACCCAATCGAGGAGAGCTGGGGGTATTTCCATAGCCAACTACGACCATTTCGGACGTGGGGAAAGATGGGGCAGCGAGAAGCAAGGGGCCTAGACGCCGTTGTTGTCGGCAGTCCGAAAACGGAAGGCTTTGGAATGTTGACAGCCGCCTCCGGAAAAAGTACCCATTGTCCAACAAGGGGTAAGAAAGGCACATGAGATCATCAACAGACAGAAAATATTATTGCTTGGCTTACCCTTTGACTTCATGGAGTTCAAGGTTCAGATCTGAAGATCGAAACTCTGTCGTTCTGACGATGTCATATCAAAGGCCTAACGTGGCCTTGCCGACTGGGACGCAACTGCAACGTTGTGAACAATGGACTTCAAAGTGGATCCAGCGTAGTAGACGTGACGCAACAGCATCCGAAAGGAAATCCCTGAATAATTTGTCATTTTATCGTGCTCTCGTGATTTGATGAAAGAAGACTGCGTAGTTGATATCTCCACTTTCTGTTAGAACTGCCGGCGCCGATGAGATCACATAGAATAGCTATTCCTGTTTTGCGCAAGAATGGATTGATGGACTGGCGTAGGTGTGAACCGTTCATCTGGGCATCAAGGATCTTCACGACCTTCTTTCTGGTCATGCTATGGCGATTCTTGTGGACGCACCCCGCGCACGCGCCACCTGAAGGAATTCCTAAAACAGCAGGCAAGTCGCAACGGAGCCAATCCCCTTCACTAGAGCGGTCTGAAAATTGAGGGCCGGGTGAGTCGAGATCTTTGCTCGAACGAAGAGGGTATGTTGCAATCTGATCAGGACGCGTTTCACGGTATAGTACAGAGCCATCCGCTCCATAAGACTCTGAATGCCGAGCCAGTCTAGATCATGTCAAGCGTCGCGAAGCCCGAGTGCACAGGTATTTTACTATTTCCAGAAGCAGAATGGGTGGTCGAGACTTCATGGCAGCCTAGAGACACGGCAAGATCCTCCACCGGACTGCCGGGAGCTTGCAGTAGTATGAGCGATGCTGTGTAGTATGAACGATGTTGTCGCTTCGCCCGGCTCCCTAGGTAGCAGATGAGGGCAAACGCGGGCCATTGTCAAGAGTTGAATGAAAACGACGGGTCTGGTGAATGTCCCATTTTGTAAGATTGGCCAGGGTAAGGAGATAAGGCCTGGGGGGAAAACCCAAAGTAGCTCGAGCAAGATCAAGCAAAGAAATAGATTAAAAGAGCCACTGTAATCGACGCCGCTATTCCAGTCACGATTGAATAATTGAATAACACTGATGGCTCTTTTTGTGCATCAACGCCGACAGGAACAGTTCCACTCCGTGAAGGGGGAGGCAATCGTTTGAGAAGTGAACCAGTATTCACAGCCGTCAACAGCTTGTTCCTCACATATTTGAGCGGCAAGTATCTCATCACATGCAATTGGAAAAACCTGAGAAACGGGGTTTCCAGGGCCTCCATTCGCTGTATGAAGTGGGCATTCTCGGACAATATCTTGCTGATGGGCCCTCGATTTTGCCGGTAGTCACCAAACAACTTTTCGAGACTCGCGTCAGTGGGCTTACGCTCGCGGTCGAGGAGGTCCTTCAGCCCATCTGTGAGATATGCAGCACCAGCAATCGCAGTATTACCACCCTGTCCGGTGATAGGGTTGATCTGGTAATGTTAGCTGAGTCCCGAGGTCCAGTCCGAGAGCAGGGTAATATCAACCTTGTGCCATGAATCCCCAAGAAGAACGATGCGCTTGTAAAAACATCTTGATAATACACCTTGTTCTAAAGGTACCAACGTAACCTTGATCGCATCCCGATATATATCACCAAGGCGAACCCCTGGCTGGATAATGTCATTGGCATAGCGGGAGGCCAGCCGGTCGCGATCGTCAGGTGTATAGCGAGGAATCTGCGCCCCCTCGGTCTTCTCGTCGTTCTTGAACATCGCGATCCAGTGAAACTGTCCGTTTTTTACCGAACCGCACAAATAGCTACGATTGGACTTGAACCCTTTGAAAGCCTGGTTCTCGATTAGCCCCTCGGGCGCCACTGATGTTCCAAATATAGCACTGTAGCAGCACTCGAAGTCTGTCGCGGAGTCAACAAAGGTATCGCGCGAAAATTGATTCCGTAGGGGATCGTGATGCTGACCTTTTTGCCCGTCATGGAGGCTGTCGTCGCCATCCGCGGATGCCAAGCCTTCCATCTCACGACGGACATGGCTATGGACACCATCTGCGCCAACAACAATATCACCTTCAAAGACACCGGCATTCGTCTCGACCTGAACCCCTTCTTTCGTCAAGTGAATTCTCGTAACACCACAAGAATTGCGGGTCTTCGATTTGTTGCGCAAGTTGTCAAAAAGACCCCTCACAACTTGTTGTCGCTCCAAGAACCCCATCTTGTACCCCAGACTGTAAGAGAGTTAGAGCCAACAGAAGTTATGTTTGCTAATGCTGTAACAAAATATCTGACCTTTCTTCCAAAAACGTCCCGATATTAGAAACCCGGGTAGCCCTCTCCGCGTTCTCATCATAACCAACCATGGTGTCGACAGGTGCGCTCAACTTCTCCAGTGCATCGTAACAACCCAGCTGATCGAGGATCCGAGCACCATGAGGCAACATGGCGTACCCTGCACCGAGTTGAGGAGCGATACTTTCATGTTTCTCCAAGACGATGAAATCGATGTCGTATTGCTCCAGCATGTTCGCCAGTGCTAGGCCTGAGACGCTGCCGCCGACGATGATCACCCTGAACGGAGCCATAGTTCGAGATCCACGGCGATATACTAGTAGAATGTTGTGTCGAGACTGGGAGATGGAAAAGTAATCGGCGGCTCGTGTCTTTCGGCACGCGCCCGGTGGCCCCCTGAGGCAGCGCCATTGAGACAGGTCAGCTGTCTGTGCGCTACTGCATGCTAGCCGGTATGATCCGGACCTGGATGAGTGGACAAGGTGTTGTTGGTTGAAAGGTGAAAATCGACATTGCGATGGGAGTGCAAGAGAGATGCACCCGAGGACGAGGTTTGGGTCGCTACGTTTTAAGGTTGGCCCAAACGGGACTACGGGATCACTTCTTTCGCTTGATTCATGTTTGATTCTCTTTGTAACATCCAGTTATTCCAAGGTTCTATTTGAAAATCCCGTGTAAATGCGCCAGTAATACCTTTTGCCCCCTCTTCCAGCAGGATAACCTGTGAGTTCTGGCCATAGAAATACAAAACCCCATAAACGCCGGTTTCATTATTAAACTGCGTGAAAGTGATTGTTCTTCATCACAGTACTTTAAATCGCAATTTCGGGCACATTGACAGGGGCACGGGTAAACGCCTTGCTATCCTCTTCGAGGGAAAGACTGCCATAGCCCGTGTCGTTGCTAGCAGACCGCTCGCGGCGAAGCTGCGGTTGGTAGACAGGCGAGTCGACCATATCTTGATCGGCGTCGCTTTGGGAAGATTGAGACTCTCCTCTGCGCCGACGAGAGCGGCGCTTCTTAGAGAGAGCCTTATCGGATGTGGCGTGCAAAAAGTCATCGATGTTGAGACCAGCATTCTGGCAGATTGCTGTGCAGGAATCGACTATGACGGTGACAAGGGTGGATGAGAAGCCGTAGAACGCAGGGTTGTAGGCATGACGGGCCCAGTAGACTAGCTCTGCGGATACTCGGCCGATGTTGGGGATGTCACGTGGACAAACGGAGAGTTTGCGGGCTGGGCGAGGCTTTTCCTCGGCTTCATCGTCTGCGGAGGAGGTGGCGTCAGATGCGCCAGCGGAGGGGGAGGAAGAATCGGAGGACGCGATATAGTCTGCGTCAGAGGCAAGGAGGTGGAGGAGGTGGTAGACGGAGGAAAAACCCAACAGTGATAGCTCGACGGGATCGATCGGAAGCTGATTGAACCAGGCAATCGCCTTTTGAACTGTGAATGATTCTGGCAGGGAAGTTGCGTCGCCGCCGGGGGATCGCGCGGTAACAATTGCAGCAATCATAGCACAGCGCACGGCGATGGAAATCTCATCGCGCACAGAAACGGGAAGGGAGGAGTCAATGAAGTTGAAACCATGGCTTTGGCTTCCTTTCCTCTTCTCGTTCGGGAGGGCAGCAAGGACCGCGCTGACATTTTCGATGCGATTCTGCTCGAAGAATACCGCTTTCATGACAAGGGCGCGAGTGTACGCGGCAGAGAGACGAGGGGCGACATCAAGAGACATGCGGATCTTCTCCTTGAACGCGTCGCGAGATGCCTTAGATACCGGTCCCTTGTCGCTGGCTTCGAAGTAGTTCAGCAGAGCAATCTGCAGCAAGTGGCTCGACCACCAGGCTGCAAGGGCATCCTCGGAGCACTGGATCGCTGGGTCTTCATCCACGACATCAAGGAGCACCTCGTCATCACCAGTGCCTTCCTGGGTTGGTCGGTTCCAGGTCAGATTGACGGCACGCTGGATGATGTTGTCGATCATGACATCATCACAGTCTAGCTGAACAAGGGCAGCAAGGTGGGGAGGAAGCTGATCCGGATGGCCGTCGGGAAGTGAGTCATTGATCTCACGAGCCACGCTCCACTGGTAACTGGCGAGGGCTCGGGCTATATCGTTCGACATATGGAAAGACCAAGAGCCCGCTTCCCCAACGTTCCACAGGAGAATCCGAACATGTAAGGCCTTGATGATCATGCGAGTAGGGGTAGAGGGAAGGGTACCGGCGGCGAAGATTGTAAGAACAAGTCGACTTTTACTGATCTCAGCATCTCCGCCCGTGAGCTGGGCATCAATAGCGATATCCCAAGTCTTGACTCGTCCTTTCTCATCTTCTTCGGTGATCCCAGTGGCCCACGAGTAAATCTTCCAACCCATCAAGCAACGCAGAACGTACTCGAAGCATCGCGAAGTAACCACGTACCACTCCCGGAAGAACCTGTGGCGTGGGACACCCGCCCGTTGCATGCTCGTCAACCAAGCCTGCCGGCGGAAGTCACTTGACGTAAGAAGCGCAGCTGGGCACCCAGAGGCCGGCTTTGCGGGACCGCGACGCGCCATCGGCTGGGCATTGAACAGGTAAAGGAAAACAACGAAAGCACAGCCAACGACCAGCGTGGCTAGACCAAGGAAGTGAGAGAAGGCGCGTGCTTGCCATGAGTACCAAAAGTTCTTGAGGTAGAATTCCCAGTGTGCCATGGTGGGTGTCTGCAGGCGACCAAGGAGACGGAAAGGAAGTGCAAACAAGCCCTTGGACTCGGTCTCGGAGTCATCAGAGCCCATGCCCTCAAGAACCATCAGACCAGCCAGAGCACCTAGCATATACTTGTTAGGCATCTTTGACCGCCGAGTGGACTTCTCTTCCCGGCCAAATTGTGGTTGGTTGCTAGAGGAGGAGGATGGATATTTGATGTAGGATTCGGCGAACACTCCCTGCTGCGCGGTCTGGGCACGCATGCGCTTCCAAGCATCTGGGACAGGGAGCAATCCTTCGGGGGGATTGTTGGAGGTAGGAGAGCCCTCGCTTGTGTGTTCTTCGGCTTGCGAGAATACACTTGGTGAGGTGCCAGAGTCTGGATCCGTCGACGCATAATTGCTGGGCGATGAAACCGAGGCGGATGATGTGACGGCCTGATCTGCCGCCTTATCGGCCTGGCGAAGACGGTTCTTCAACGCGGTGTTTTCGTCTTCCAGACGCTTGTTGCGAGTTTCCAGGTGCTTAATGTACTCCGTGGCTTTGGACAAGATCGAAGCCTTGTTCAGCTTGCTCGCGTTGGTGGCTCCTTCCGCTTCCTCGTCCTCGTCAGGCGATCCTCCATTCGAGCCCTTGGTCGTCCGAAGGCTGGGCACACTGTCACGTAGTTCGGCGATTTTATCGTTCAAGTTGGCCCGGTATCGCTTCTCGATGACGTTGTGAGCGCGTTTCTTAGCGGGCATCTTCTTGCCGGGTTGCACGGGGCCGGTCACGGTCGTTGCATCGTCGTCGCTGCCGGTCTTGCGCTTCCGGTTGGTTCCAACGCTCGAGATAGGCGAGATCAATCCCGAGTGCTGCGGTTGGTTGTTGAGCCAGTTTGGATCTGGGAATCCGTTCTGGTATCCACCCATGCTACTTCGTCCATGGGAGCCAGGTGGAATCTCCATCATGCCAAGAGGCAGATTGGGCGAAAAGTCCTTGTTGTTTAAATGAGTCGGGGAGCTCATGTCCGTATGGGGAGAAATGGATGGCAAATCTACGGATGAGCCCATAGTTTTCTGATCTCCCTCAGAGAACATAGGCTCATCCCATCGCATCCACTGAGTCCAGTCTTGGCTTGGGTTCTCTCCGGCGGGATGCGTAAACATTTGACTGTTTCCACGCGCCTCATCTCCATCTGTGTTGCGCGGAGAGAATAGTTGGAAATCATTATCCATATTGGGGCCAGACATGTTGGTTGGTATCCTGCGGCTGGATCCTGGGCCTGTGCCCGTAACGATCTATGTCCGGTTGGTTCAATGGGGACTTCGAATGGTTCTCACTTTTTGCATTGTCAGTCTTGTACTTGGGAATGGGCCTCTCCCATATAAACGAGAGAAATGAGCTGCCTATAGCATAGCCTCGCTCCAGCGCTGCATCGAGCCAACCCAATGCAGGCTAGCGGCGGAAGCCAGATTGTGATAACAGAGATACCACTCACTGGATTCAACGTTGAGGATAATGCTCAAGTTCACATATGCGATACTTCACAGGCGTAGACGTGTATTTCACAGAGAGATGAAGGAGCTGAGATGCGAGGAGGGGGAGAGTAGAGTCACAGTCACGGGTGGTGGTAGGCGATTGGAGGAGAGCAAAAAGCAGGGATGTGGACGATATCCACACCCAAGAGACGTAGCGCAAACAGTTCGGCCCAAGGAACCAAGTGGGTTTTAGTGTATATTGGTTTTGCGACGAGATGATCGTCTCGGAGCGTTACAGGGTGGATCGAGGGTATGCACAGAAGCAGTTGCTTTCGTAGGATGCCGTGTGGAAACGAAGCTATCCGTTTAAGCTGTGATCGAGCTTCCAGGTGCCCCCATGCATGAAGATCAGGGGAAGGGCCTATGGACAGGCAGCCAGACTGTGAGGTTTCTGGTCGTATGATCGCGGCTGGCCGCACTTCCGGCTCCCCGGCTGTCACCCCTGATGAAACCCCGAGGTTAATTACAATGACTCAGCAGCTTTTGTATGTGTAATGTGGTATTCAATGTTTCAATACAGTAAGTTTATAAGAGTTTTCATTGGTTCCTGGCCTACCCCACTCAACCTTGATGATTCAGCTGTCCCCTGGGCATGTGATCGCAGTCAACAACGGTCCTTTGCACCCTCTTACCTTCTCTCTGTCGCCTTCAGAAGCGCAAAATTCCATCCAGCAGCTGTCTCGCAATCTCAATTCATCCGTCTTACTGTTTTCTGATCATCTGGACACGTCAGCGCGTGGGTTCTTGGCGCCCCGCAGGAAGGCAACACGGGAAAAAATTTGGGCGCGTTATGATCTTATCTGATCGTGCCAGTCTCCACTCTGCCCTCTGTGCCGGCAGCACCGGAATCCATCACGGCGCAGCAGGCGAATGAAATCAATGGGGGCAAACTGAAAACAGCGGTGGATCTTCAATCCGGTGTCGGCGAGTCCATGAAAGGAAGAACACGGTCCTAACTACTCTTTTTCCAGCCCCAGTACTGTACACCTCTTATTTTGCTGCTGGGGATAATGCGTCATGGGTGGCCCACTCGACTTAGCTCAAAACCCATTCCACCTGCAGTCTTTCGGCGGATGCTCGGCCTCGGTGTGACTCAATGAAACACCTGGCCATTGTTTCATTGCATGCATGGGCGTATTCATTAGCTCGATGCACGCTGAGCGCCTCAAATCAATCTCCAACAGTCACAAAAACTACTGTACCTGGAATTCTTGACCGACTCCTTGACTGCATCGTCGGTCTGCCCTATGGAGCAGGAAGCTTTGGCTGCTCTAGCGCATTCTCCACCATGGATCAAACTAGTGTACAGGGCCACCGCTAATTTGGTCGCCGTACTCGGTACTCTACCTACTCGAAGTAGAGTACTGTACTCTGTTTCACTACCCCCGAAGACCGCTACAATACGGTTATATCGCCTGGTCTAGCGTCTTGGGACTCGGACAATTATTCATAACTTGCCCTCTTGGGTAATTTGCTCACGCAGCCCACCCTCCACTCGTTGGGCTGACTGTCGGCCCGACTCAGGAGTCTGAGTGAGCGCCGAAAAGAGCAATTTCGCCCGTGTCCCAAGTTGTCGGATAGTGGACTGCCAGTACTCCACCGAGCCTCATGCTAATTTCACTTAAAAGAGCACGGCCGCTCGTTGACATCACAGGTGTAGATCTCGCGTTCAGAAATATATCTGACTCGGCATCATAGATGTGGCTATTCAGGACACATTTTGATATGTGTACTCGAAGGCGATAGTGATTTTTGCTAGCTCAACAGATCCTAATAAGTGTGAATTACCTACCTAGGTAGTACTTGATCACAGCTACCTGGATCATCCATGATCTATAGGCAATGTACAATATGACCCCGGGACCCGTGGACTGGGTAAGGACCTGGGCAGGTACCTAGGTAGGTCTTTTGATCAATGCTCGGAGGTCTGCACACTGTACATCATGGATATACTATCTAGGTACCTACTAGGTAGTACCTACCTAGGTACCTAGGTAGGTATAGCCCTGGCGGTTGTCTTCCCAGGTCATCGGCTCTCATCCATGGATACCTCGGAGGTGCTCCGAGTGCTGAGGACCTTGAGGTGCCCCCCCTCAGCTTGGTGTTATTCTACATCTACTTGGACCTGAACTGAACTACTCTTTGGTGCTCGCCGACCTTATTTATGCAATTTATTTGGTTATGGGAATATCTGCCAGGAAGAAGACGGATACAGATAATCCGTACGCAAGACGAGGAAATAAACTGCTCAGTGCTGCCAGGGGTCAGAAACAACGTTTGAAAAGCAGAGTGTTTCCACTTACCGCAATGTCCTCCCATTTCTCCCAGCCACGGCCCTTCACTTGGGTCAACTCTTCATCTGTGAGTTTCTTTCCGGTGGTGAAGTATCCCGATTGGATCTTGGCATCGATTTCGACACGAGAGTCGCTGGGAATCATCTCATCCGGAATGGGAATGCGCTCGAGGATCTTAATGCCAGTATCAACAATGGCATCATGCTTCATATTCGACATTGACAACATGCGGTCAATCTTCTTTATGCCGAGCCAGTGCAGGATGTCGGGCATGAGGGCTTGGAATCGCATCTGTCAAAGGTCAGCTTTGTGGACAAGGTGCACATGAGCGAAATCTTACATCGCGGACTCCAGCAATGTTCTCTGTTCGGGTAAAGTATTTATCGGCGGTGTCGCCGCCTCTCTTTCGCGCATTGTACACCAGATACTTGATGACTTCTCCTAGGGCTCGGCCTTCCTTGCGGAAGTAGATCACCACACCGCTGCCGCCGTTTTGGGCCTCTCGCACGGCTTCGCGGATACCAAAGGCCAAATACGGTCGACAGGTGCAGATATCTGACTGAAAGACATCACTTCCGTTACACTCATCGTGAACGCGCAATGCCAACTTGACATTCTCGTCGGCGATCCGCTCCGGTGGACCAAAGATATACACAGTCAGACCGCCGATGGGTGGCAGGAACGTCTTGAGATCCGGTCGGGTGATGAGCTCCGGGTAGCTTCCACCAGTGTGTTCGAATAAAGTACGACGCAAAGTACCCTCGTCGACTCCGAAACGCTCCGCAACCCCGGGGAGATACCACACCGGCTCGGCGGCGACCTTGGTCACGCGCACCTCACCCGAAGAGTCCACCAGAATCGATCCATCAACCTCGAGGAGGCCGTTCTTCACATCCTCCGCGATCTCCGCCAGCTTCATGTTAGCACGGGTCACTGCCATGGTGGGACGGATATCCCAGCCCGCCTCCAGCTCTTGCTTGAACTGGTTGACGATATCATGGCCATATGGGTCCAAAGATACGATCTTGGTCTTATCCGCCCACGCTGGCTGCCACGGGAAGTTAAAGGTCGGCTCAGAGTTGCGGAGATCAGGTCGGAAGTCCGCATCCAAGTCACCGGCTGCAATTGCAAGGGCATTATAGATGCTATAACTACCGCCGTGGGCACCGATGGCGTTGCGGCGCTTCAGGAGGTTCCCGCTGCGTGAAACCACGATCGGACCTCGGGATTTGGCATCCGCCGCACCCCATTCGAGAGGAACTGGCTCAATGCCACTCTGACCTGGGTATGTGGTCAACTGTTCTTGTTAGCTGGGGGCTACCCGCCCAAGCTGGATATCCTTACGATGATGTGCTTGCTGTAACGGGTGGAGGTTCCCGGGGAGTCTGAGGACTGCTCAACCCCTTCAATAGGATCTGTAGACATCGTCATGATAGAATGTATAAGTGAATGAAAGAGAAGTGAAAGCGACTGAGGGGGCCCTGGGGGAAGAGGGGGTCCATGTGACTTATCTCTCCGCACGTTATCGGAGGGGCTTATCTGCAGTGAAACCCCTTGGCCTTCCAGGTTTGACCATTGCAGTGCTACTTGTTCTGAAATAGCGGTCACTGTGCCAACAATCTACTGTATACACTCGGACTCCGGGCGTTTTCTATACTTGCCCCGTCTGAGATCCGGCTCCACTCCCCACTCTTCGGAGTTCGGCGTTCATTGGCTCTCCCTCGGAGTTGTGAACGCCGAACATCCTCACCTTTCCACACCCTTGAGCCAGGCACCAGGTTTTCATGGTGTAAGTCATTAGGATTCACTTGAATATTTTTCTAATCACGAGCAGTACCTCGCGCCGTCGTAACGGCAAGCCAGCGTCCTGCGAGCCGTGTCGCCGAGACAAAGTCCGCTGCGACCATGCATTGCCAGTGTGTACCCGCTGCAGGGATCGTGGGGTCTCTCAGCGATGTTTCTATCACCCAGCACCTCTCACACGGCCAAAAGGCCGTCGAATCTTTCCGCTAACAGAGGGTGTGCCTTTTGATCGAGCACCGTCCACCCGGTATGTCAAATATATTCATCGCGATCCAAGGCCATCGTGCAACGGTCTGTCGATCAGTGGATGCCCAACGTTCGATTTGAATGCCTCCCCGCCCAATGTTCTCCCCCAATATGCAAACAGACCATCCACTCATGGCCATTGACACAGGAACCACCACTCGAATGAAGCATCTTTTCATTCGTATGTCGCAAACGGGGCGCAAGAAGCCTCATCCAGGCCCGCCGCCCGTACCCAACCACTTCTGCCGGGCTATTTTGGCCCGACGAGTTTCGTGTCTCCTCTAACAGAGGATGTCAATCTATCCGATCGACAAAGTCTGAATCTTAATGTGGAGTCCCCACAAAGAGTACTCCCGCCGTATTGGGTTCATAAAATCTCCGAAGTTCTGTTGACTCTGGGCGATTTTACCACCGTGGAAGCTCTGCTTCGCGAATATTATGCCTTGAGTCAGAGCGCTGTAATCGCAGCGCCCTTTATCTTAAACAGCATCGAACCGATGAAACTGACGTGCAAGGACAGTATATCAAACCAAAACCTGGATGATCTGGCGTCCTCTATAACTGTGCGCATTATCCAAAACACATCGGAGATCTTTGAGATTCCACAATCGATCAAGGGTCGGGACTTTCATACCCTTTTCACTGGCCCTTCCATCCGCCTTGAAATCGTTGGGATATTGTGCGGCCTTGCGGGTCGAGCGAGATACCTTGGCCTTGCCCGTGACAAGTTCGATGATAACCAGACTTCAAGGTCCCAATATGCACGCAAAATGCTGGCAGCGTGTGATGCCGCACTATACATATGCAAGATTCTGACGCCACTAAACGACCTCACCATTTGGCTAGTGCATGAGAATCTCTTGTTGTCAGATTTGGTCAACGGCGACTCGAGTACGTTCGTCCTGTCAAATATTTTCATGGCCCACACTGACCGTATACAGGCCCCTCTTGTTGGAATCGCCTCGGCGAGCTTTCAACCGATATATTCGCGCTCGGTCTCCACCGCGATATGAAGAACACAAGCGATGTACCAGAGTTCTTACTCGAAACCCGTCGACGGCAATTTGCGGCCGCTTACCAACTGGATAAAAGCATCGCTACATTCCTAGGAAGACCACCGCGGATGCCATGGCGGTATGCGGACTGTCGCATGCCTCTCGACATCAGTGACGAGGCACTGGCCACTGATAATATGGTACTCGACTACGCCCACGATTACATCGATGAAAATGGCTGGAGTCTTCACGGGGTCGTTCAAAGATCATCATGGATGCGAGTCCGTTTCATTGTGAGCACATTCCGAGACGAAATTCTCGAAGTGTCACTCCGGAAATTGACGCCTGATATGGAGGACATGCTCGAGTAAGTTTATGCTCCCTATTACTTTTGGAATTCAGCTACTGACTCGTACAGGGACATTTCTCGACGCTGCCATCTGGCATGGGAAGCCCTGCCTAATCATCTACGATACACCCCGCAATGCTGGGATGGCGCCCCTGCGGCCGTGTGCTTGATGATGATTATCTCCCACCTTGCGTATCTGTACAACGACTTCCTCATCCAGAGACTGATAGCCGGGAAGGCCAATCCCAGAGGAAACACTGCACTATTGGCCGTGAGCGCTGAAATCCTGTCAACGGTACTGACCTTAGGGACGCAGCGTGAGCAGATGGTCGACCTGCGGCCCGACTTTACATGGACGGTATGAACAACTGTCGCGCATTGAAGGTTTATCAATTCTAATCATTGCTGCAGGTCCTTCTCTACGGATTCCCAAGCGCCAGTTTGCTCATCAAAGCCCTTCAGCACCAAAAGCGCACCGGCGAGCCATTCCTCTACGAGTCCTCCCGATCAGCACTTATTCGGAACTTGAGTGTGTTCATTTCACATCTTGAGTCGATTGCTGGTCCCGATAACGCTAATTACGCCCTGTTTCAACATGCGAGTAAGGTTTTCTCGAAGATCATCGATGAGATCTTGGAGCCGCAGTCTGTACTTCCTGATGCGAATCTTGGTGACTCTTCTATGATCAATTTTGATTCCTTGATTGAAGTTGATGGGCTGGATCTTTTCAACAGCATGGATTTTGGTGTTGCTTTTAATCAATGGCTGTTCTAAATGTATTTTATATTTCCAAGGTTTCAAGGTTTACCTCCACAACTTATCAGACTTGAAGCCAGACCACCGGTCTATATATACAACCTGGAATCTTGAATACTCAAGAAGAACTGGTTTCAGACGCACCAGGTGGTACCCCTGTAGTTCTGGGATGCAGCATCACGTGCTTGAAATGATTGCTCTCCCCCCTGCTTCTTTCTTCAACCTCTCTCCGTGATGGCGACCCGTAACCTGCTCTCTGGGCCGATCACCCTCTCTGAAGCAAAAGCGAAGGGGTTCAACGTAATTCACCAGCTTGAATACCCGCACCTCCAACGAGCCTTCTTTCAGCGCCTTGAAAGCCAAAGTCACCTTATTCGCAACCTTATAGCCCACCACTTAGGCGTTGACGCTGCGAATTGCGATGTCTCTCCTCCAGATTACTGGCGCCATGGATCTTTCAACGTCTGCGTACCGGCCTGTGTCGATGCTCCTGACCCAGAGCATCCCAAATTCGTCATGATCCGATTCCCACTACCCTACCGTGTCGGAGAGGCAACGCGTCCAGGAAACGCGGACGAAAAGCTTAGATGTGAAGCCGCTACCTATGCATGGCTTCAAGAAAACTGTCCTTCGGTCCCTATACCACATTTATACGGCGTAGGACTTTCCACGGGCCAGCAGGTACGGCCAGTGGTATACTATACTACACTTCAGAGCTCGCTAATCCTTGCGTCTGCCAGTGGACCCACGTAAGCCACCTACCATGGTGGTCACGCTTGCTCCATGGAATTCAGCGACGCTTTTGGACCCTGCTCGGCTATCCAGGTCCGACCTCCTACATCCCACATCCCTCGAGTGCCCCGACTTCGCTCGGATTGGGCTACTTGGTGATTGAGACCATAGCTGACACCGAAGGACGAATGTTTTCGAGTTCCTGGGACGAGAAGCGAGAGGATGACCGCTTGCAGAGAAATCTCCAGCGAGGTCTCGCGCGAATACTGCTCTCGTTCGCAGCCGTTCCCCTTCCCCGCATTGGTGCGTTCCGACTTGATGATGCCGGGTACATCCATCTAGACAATCGCCCACTCAGCACCGAACTCATTATGCAAGAGAATGAAGACCTTCCCCTGAATTTCTCACTTGACCAGACCTACGACCGTGTAGACGACTTCGTTCTTGCACAACTAGACACATTTAGCAACAGAATACTACACCAGCCCAATACCGTGCCAAACGATCTCGACGGACGATTCGAAATGGCAGGTCTTCTCGCAGCGCGAGCCATCTTCCCGCAGATGTTACGGAGAGATCTCCGTTCCGGCCCCTTTGTCTACACTCTGACAGATCTTCACAGAAGTAATATCATTGTCGACGATGACTGGAACATCGTCCGCATTATTGACCTCGAGTTTGCCTGTTCGTGGCCTCTCGAATTCCAGCAGCCACCCTACTGGCTTGGAGGGCAATGCGCCGATGAAATTGATCGCACTTCATTTAGCCCTTGTTTGAATCTCTTTATCCAGATTCTGGAGGAGCAGGAGGAGCTCCTTGATACAAGGGCTCCTGAAAAGCTTTCGTCTATCATGCGAAACGCATGGGCTAATGAGACTTTCTGGCTCAGTCTCGCAATGGGGGATCCAATGGTCTTTTCAACGATCTTTTGGTATCGCATTTTGCCTTATCGGCTACAACTCACAATAGATCACACGACGGACTTTACGCTTTTGGCGAATCTTTGGGGGAGTCCTGACATTTTACAGAAAAAGTTGCAGGATCACGATCAATACCTGCAGGAGCTTGATAGTATTTTTGAGGACGACGTGGATGTATCGAAATCAAATATGTAAATCTACTAGTATCTACGACGATTGAACTCTTTGCCATATTCAAAGTGTAGTCCACCTGGGCAAGTTGTTCGACTCAACACACCTGGGCAGGCAATTTTGAGAGATCATGTGTTTAGTATTTATTGCATTAAGAAGCATCCATGGATATCATAACAGGCCCTGCCCTGTCGGCTTTCATCATCCGTCATATCATTTCCGAGACCAGAGAAGAGAGTAATGAACTCAACCTTATTGCCTCCTTTCTGCCTCGTTCACTTCTATGGTCTTCGCTTGGCCATTCTGAGGCACAGACTGAGACTGAGACTGAGGCTGAGGCTGTCCATCGCCACTCTCGCTCATCTCACTCACAGCAGGCGGGGAAGGGTATCCTTGTGGGGGAGGATACCCATGAGGCGGATACCCTTGCTGCGGAGGATAGCCAGCAACAGGTGCCCCATCAGGCCCATGCATAGGAGGCGGGTACCATGCGCCACCGTGCGGCGGGTATGGCTGAGGGTACATAACCGGTGCAGGCCCAGATGGCGGGCGACCAAGAGCAACAGCAGCAGGGTCTTTGCGACGGAAGAGGTATTTGAGCCACCAGCCAATTTTAGAACCTGCAGACATTTCCTTCCATTTCGCGACGAGGAATGCCTGTTCGTCGGGTGACTTGGCTGGGTACTTCTTGACGGTGATGAGGAATAGGCACGATAGGATCGGACACAAGCAGGCGAATCCGTATGGTAGACCACGGCGAGCTTTCTGGCCTTGCATGGCTCGACGGAATATGACCCAACTTTCAATCAAACCGATGATCAAAAAGAGCCCAAACCATCCGAAGAAGATGGCGAGACCCAAGCCCCACGGCGGGATTCCCCATGTGTAATGACATCCGTCTGAGCAGCAGTATCCGCCTGAAAATTCCGAGCCGCCGATGTACCAGATGAACTTGCTGCAGCCAGAGTAGCGGTTTGAACCTGAACCCGAGCCGCCACCGCTGACATATGTGGTGCGTCCTGTTCTGTAATAGCTGTCGCAGGTCTTGTACATGGCTGGTTTGTAATATGAGCTGGCGGAAGAAAAGACGCTTTCAGGGATGTCGGTGACATCGACCATTGCCCTTGTTCGCGTGTAATCGGCCGTGATATAGCGGTATGTTATGGTTGTAGTGACGAGGGTGGCATCAACGAATCCTTCGGCGGCCCTGGGAACATTGATCGGGATGACCGTCGTGAGTGACTGGCTCGTTGTGTAAGAGCAGGAAGATGGCGCCGTATATGTCACCGCGGCATAGTGATTCAGATATTGATAGCCCGTGTTGATGACTCCAGCCGTGGGCTCCACGACAAGCTGAACTGCTGTCACTCCATTGTAGTATTCCACATCTGTGATAGTTGCGGTAGCAGTTGGATTGGGCACAGTGGGAATGATGACTTTAGTATAGGTCACGACCACCGGGTCATTCGTGATGTATTGCCCTGTGTAGCCCGTCCCAATAGTTGATTCGACGAGGGCGACATACTCTGTGCCGAACCATGGCGAAGCTTGTACGCCCAATATATAGACGTGCGCCCAGAGGATGGTGAACGCCAGTAGACGCATTGTATTCTGCCAGGGTTGGTGTGCAACCAAAAGCCTCGGGAAAAACAAGGTGACTATGGCGTCGGGTCCGACTTGAGATCTATAGTTATACTCGGGGAAAGCCCCCCCCGCGTGGGCATCACAGGAGGCTCATCCACCTGGCTATGCCTTTTAGAGCCAAATTTGACGAGGTAAAAAGCCTCTTCGTCTCACCAAAGGAGCCGAGAGTCCAAACCGCATGGTGCCAAGATGAAGGTGTTCCGACAACAGCGATTTAGAGTCATTTCCAGCCCAGGGATTGGTACTAAATCTCTTGGCGGGAAGCGAGACTAACGATGTATGCCGTTCGAGCTCGTATTGAACGGGACCGATGCCCTGAACATGGGTGAATACGAAGAGCCAAGCATTGGGTCCACATTTGGTCTCATTGGCTCAGGGAGTTGGGGGCCAGGGTCCTGGTGGAGATCATGTGAATCAGATCGTTTCATCACAGTTCCGATCGATCTGACGGGCTTCTCGGCCACATCTGAAGCCAAAGTAAACCAAAAACGATGTCGTATGGTCCAAATGTTGGGACGGAAGACCACTCCAACGGGTCATATTTTACAAGGCGCACGGAGCGAAAGAGTGAGGTACAGAACATGAATTGGCAACTGATATGCAGCACATGAGGCCGTCGGTTCGAAGTTAGTGGCGTCGAGGGGGTAACATAGTCGGAGAGTGAATTGGGCTGCAGGGGCAGCAATGCGCAAATTGGTATCTAATTTCCTCCCTTGCCCCCCGCCGACTCGTAGAAAAAAGAAGAGATGTCATCACTCTTGTGAACGTGAAACATAAGGTTGTTCGGCAGACGCCGATGGTTGATTAAATTTTGAGAAAGGAAGCAGTGTTGATGGGTAAAAATCATTCCGGCTCGCAAGAAATCACTGGTTGAATCCGGCTTGGGCGCGAGTGTTTTTGATCGTCTTTTTGATGATATCCTCCACTTCATCCCAGTCGCTAGTGTCGATACGATCAATGGTGCACTGGAAGTGTGCTTGAATCTTGCGGAGCATCTCCCACTCGTCGCGGTTGGAAACGAACGAGATGGCAACTCCGATACGGCCAAAGCGACCGGTACGACCAATACGGTGAAGGTAGGTCTGGAAGTCGGGGGTGTGTGTACGTTGGCCGGAGGTGTACTCTTCGGGAATATCCTGGGCAGAAAATTAGCTTTGCGCGTTTCATGTGAGCTGTTAGAACCTACGTAGTTGACCACGAGGGAGACAGTGGAAACATCAATTCCACGAGCAAGAACGTTGGTCGTGATGAGAACCTTGGCCTCTCCGCTACGGAAAGAATCAATGATGGCATCACGCTGAGATCCCTCGACACCACCGGTCAGCGATGCAACGGTGTGGCCTTCTGCGACCATGCGACGCTCGATTTCGGCGGCAGAGTGACGGGTCTGGAGACTGTTAGCAACGTTGCAGCTGTGATATCAAATAGCACATACCCGGACGAAGATGATAGAAGATCCAACGGTGAGCAATCCGTAGAGCTGAACAAGGTTCTGGTACTTTTCTTCCTCGCTAGAGCAGTCCATGTAGAGCTGCTTAATGCCCTCAACGGTCAATTCCTCGTGTTGGAGTGTGATTTCGTTGGCGTTGGGAGCGAACTTGCCCGCATAACGGTAAACGTGCGCAGGGAAGGTGGCAGAGAACAGAACAATCTGGACATCACGGGGAATCATGCTTTTGCGGGATAAGTTAGTACGGGCAATTATTTGCGGAGGTGAAGACTTACGCCTTGGCTCGGATGCACTGATCTCCAAGACCTTGCTGATCAAGCATGTTGTCTGCCTCATCCAGGACAAGAACCTTCAATGTGCTGGGGTTCATGATGCGCTTCTTGATCATGTCCTGAACTGTACCGGGTGTACCCACAACGACTGCAGCTTCCATCTTCGATGGGCGGGCGTTGGAATCGGCGGGGACAGCAGTCCCAATGGTGAGACCATCCAGGAATTGTCCCATAATTTGGACAACACCAACAATTTGACGGGCCAATTCACGAGTAGGCGCGAGAATGAGGGCCTGCGGCGACAGGCGCATTTGGTCCGAAAGATCAAGACGGCTCAGGACATTGAGGACGAAGGCAGCTGTCTTTCCAGTTCCGGATTGCGACTGTCCAACCAGGTTCTTGGGTGGGTTGCTCATCAAGAGAGGCAGAGCGCGCTCTTGCACCTTTGAGGGCTTTCGGAAGTTCATGGTGGACAGGCCCTTCAGAATGCGTTCGTCCCTAGCCATAAAGTCAGCGATCAAATTTCCAAGAACTGTGATCAAGCTGATACACTCACAATCCAAGATCCTCAAAGGTCTTAATTGAGAACAGAGGGTTGTTGGGGTCTGCCTGCAAATCACTCAACTTCACCTCGACGGAGTAATCCGGCTCTTCAAGGTTTGCTGAGCCCTGCGCGGGACCAGAAGCTCCATCTTGATTGTTATCAGTGGCAGTCTCTATTTAATCAAAATCCATCGATTAGCTATCAGCCGAGGTATCGCGGGGTACCTCAGTCGTGGACTAGAGGAATCAGTGAGGGCGAGGGCGTGGGTGCGTTCGTACCGGCGGGCTTCGTGTCTTCAGCCTTCGTGATGCGGTCAGCCAAAGAACCACCCACAGCGGGGGTCTCGGGAGTTTCGGCAGACATTGTCAAAGTCGAGGCGATGACGCGAAAAAGGCGAAGGGGAGGCGGGGTTGGCGTGGGGTCAAGAAAAGTTCCGGATGGATGATGCCCGCGAAGCAGATATACGCGCAGCTCCCTTTGAGACAAAGGAGAGTCAGATCAAAGCAGAGGTGGGATGAATACGGAGCGAAGCCGTCGAAAACAATGATCTCAGGTTCGAAGGACGCTAATGACTTCATTGCCTTAGGCGCCAGCGCTAGGCTCGATTGGGCCAGAAAGGCATCGGTGGTCTCCCCGCCTGCCATGCCTCGTTACCTTTAGATTGAATACCATTGAGGTAGTTGATGGTTGTTTGAATCGCCCCAGGACACCTCACCTGACTGAGAAAGCCTATTGAGACCACTATTTGCCTCACTCTGTCGTCTGGTCTCTCCATTTCGCCCGCGTTTCATGCGCGTCTGCCTTGCCTCAAGTCATGGCTGACGTTGCTCCGCAGTTCGGAGCAGAGCTCAAGGTAACGATCCCACTCCTGCTGTCGCACGCAGATGGCTAACCATATCGATCATATAGGACTCCTTCAAGCCCGTCAACAATTGGGTATCGTCCCCTCAACATCCTTTCCCCGCAACCAACTCCTCACATCCCTCGTGCGCTGGAGCGGAGCTAATGCAGATACGTCGCACAGGTCTCGAATGGTATATCCTGGGTGGAAGAAGTCAATCAATTTTATCGCGAGCGCAGTGTGATCGAAAAGGAATATGCCGCCAAATTAACCGCCCTTTGTAAGAAGTACTATGACCGCAAGGCGAAGAAGATCAGCCCCTTGAGTGTCGGAGACACACCCACTCTGACACCGGGATCCCTCGAAAGTGCATCCTTGACGACATGGACGACACAGTTGAATGCCGTGGAATCCCACGCTGCCGAGCGAGACAAGTTCGGATCCGAGTTAATAGTCCAAGTCGCGGACCCTCTCAAACAAGCCGCCGCTCAATATGAGGAAATTCGCAAATCCCATTTCGACTACCATACCAAGCTGGAAAAGGAGCGGGAGGCAGCTTATGGTGACTTGAAAAAGGCCAAGGGCAAATATGACGGTGCGTGCCAGGAAGTTGAGTCCCGCCGAAAGAAGATGGAGTCTTCTTTCGACCACGGCAAGAGCAAGGCAACGGCGGCATATCAACAACAAATACTGGAAATGAATAACTACAAGGTACGCTGTTGAACAGACAGATTACTTCGTCCGACGAACGCTAACTCAATGACAGAACCTCTATCTTATCAGCATTAACGTGACAAACAAACTCAAGGAGAAGTTCTATCATGAATATGTCCCTGAAGTGATCGACGTATGACTCCCCTCTCTTTCCGTGGTCGATGTGCTGATGTTTCTAATCAGGGTCTACAAAACCTCAATGAGACCCGGGTTGCGAGAATGAACATCATGTGGACTCTCGCTGCCCAGTTGGAGAAGTCCTCCCTCCAAAGTAGCACGGACCATGTTTCAAACCTGTTGGTTGAGATTCCTCGCAACAACCCGCGACTCGACTCTTTGATGTTCCTCCAACATAACGTCACACAATCACAAGAGCCGCCAAGCCTCGGATTTGAACCTAGTCCCGTATGGCACGATGATGCTTCAATTATCACCGATGAAACAGCCAAGATCTTCCTACGCAATGTGCTAGGGAAGAGTAAGCTTCAAGTTCGTGAGTTACGCGTTGAGGCAGACCGCAAAAAGCGAGAGGTGGAATCGGCCAAGAAGGTTCGAGAAAGCATTCTCAGCGGCAAGGACAATAGGAATGAAGTGGATGTTGTTCGGTCCATATTCTACATGACAGAATCCTTACATGACGTGGACCGCAAATGGGTCACAGCCGAGGTAGAAACAGCCACTATCATGGCCGTGGCTGGTGATCTCTCATTTGGAGTCCAAAACCACAACTTCCGCTCTCAAACATTCAAGATCCCGACCAACTGCGATCTTTGCGGAGAGCGCATTTGGGGATTGTCTGCCAAGGGCTTTGATTGCAGGGATTGTGGATACACCTGTCATAGCAAATGTCAGATGAAGGTTCCGGCAGAATGTCCCGGCGAGCAAAGCAAGGAAGACAAGAAGAAGCTGAAGGCTTCACGACAAGAGCAAGCTGGTGCTATGCCTGCCGTGGATCTTGATTCCCCTGCTCCCTCCACTGCTGCTCCTTCGCTCACTCGCCAAAACACAATGAATTCGCTCAGTTCTGGATATGCGGCCAGCACAGCCCGGTCCGTGTCGAACGTTGCAACCCAGCCCACCCCAGAGCTACCAGGGGACGAGCCTCCAGCCCCGGTGGCTGAGACAAAGCCAGTCGCCGCGAAGAGAGCGCACAGGGTGCTCGCTCCTCCTCCGGCGGCTTATGTGGCTGCGCCCCCGCCAAGCGAATCCAAACCTAAAGAACCCCGAGGCAAGATGCTCTACGCGTATCAAGCCACCAGCTCAGATGAGGTCACTGTGGAAGACGGGGATGACGTAGCCATCCTAGAAACTGACGGTATGTCCTCACCCGCGATGATTGAATCAATCTGCTAACACGATCATAGATGGTGGCTGGATGCGCATCCGCGCAGGTTCCAAAGAAGGCCTCGTCCCAACAGCATATGTTGAGGCCATCGCCACACCTTCCCCAGTGCCCTCTGCCAGCCCGGCGATGCCTGAGCGCCCTGGGTCGACTTACTCCAGTTCCTCTGCTTCTCTAGCCGGCAGTGCTGCAGCGAAACGGGTAGGACCCGCCGTTGCACCGCGAAGAGGTGCAAAGAAAGTGCAGTATGTCGAGGCCCTGTACGAGTACGAAGCTCGCAGCGACATGGAGTGGAACATGGCAGAGGGCGATCGATTCGTGCTGATCACTCGCGACGGCGGTGATGGCTGGGCCGATGTCGAGCGCGGCGGTGTCACCAAGAGCGTTCCCGCGAACTACATCCAGGAGGTGTAAATGGACTTATTGGCGAGGATCCGCCCCTCATTGTACATTTCCTAGGACGGTTGACCTTGCTTCGAGTCTGTTGCCTTCGTTTCTCTTTTTGTATAGTCGGCGTTTATCAGTGCCGTTGCCTTCATGGTTTTGCATCAGCAAGGAGCATTGGGGGCATTCGTGGCATTCGCGTTCGGATATAGCATAGGATGCGTTGTGTGCATGCACTTCCCCATTGAATTTGAAATGTTTCTGTTATTCCAGTCCAAATTGTACAAATTATATGCGTATTGCTTTGACTTTGCAACATCGATCATCATCATCAATCATCATTTGCTTTCATCGGGCCTCCAACCCGCACCCCTGCTGTTATTGCGACAGAGGAAATCCAGTATCCAAATGCTCGAACCCAGTCTCGGCCGTCCACAGATACCTCGACCAGTCTTCCACATGAAACGCTCCTTCCACAGCAGGCAATCCCAGGTCCACACTCATATCCTCTAACTCCCGCAGCTCGCCGAAACCAAGCGCCAGCGCAGGGTCCAGCGGGAAGTCAAAGGGACTTACTTCGTCTTGGCTGATCATCGGCGCCGTCTGGGCGGGTAGAGACGAGGCCGTCGAGGGCAAAAGAGAGTATGTCGAATCGAACAATGCACTCGCGGCACTCTCACCCGCGAACATGTTAAAGTCGCACAAGGAACCAGGCGCAGACTTCGGAAGCGCAGGACCCAACGCAGCATGCGAACCAGGTCCCGAGAACGACATTCGACCAGATTCACATCCCGAAAACGACCCTTCAGACCCAGACCAATCCCCCGCACCATCATGACATCCATGCGCTTGAACATCCAAGACCGACTGACGCTCAACCTTCGAATCCCTCTTCGATCCCGATCCCTCTTCCCGTCCCAATCCCTCCTTCACCAACCCAGCCCCAGCCTTCTCATGCACAGAACCAGATCTCGAAACCGACGCCGAAGCCGGACTCGAGCTAGACCCCGGCCCAGGACGAGGCGCAATAGGAAGGAAACCGGTCGAGCTATGATGTCTCGGGTAGAGTCTTGCGGATTTCTAGAAAACAAGAGCGAGAAGCAATCAGCACCAGGGCGTTTGCAATTTATAATTTTTTCTCCCTTCTTTTCTGAAGTGGCGATCTGCTGGCTGTGTTGTGTGTTTGCGTTACTTTTGGACATTTCTCTGCGTCGCGTTTTACGCGCGCATGCTCGCCGGGTGCTGTGCACGGGGTTGCATTGCACATTGTGCATGTTGCGAAGGGTCGGCCTTTGCGTTTTATGCGGATCAACGGTCGGTCTGTTTTTGTTAGAGGCTGTTGGTATACGCCGAGGCTTGAAGCTTGAAGCTTGAAGCTTGGTATGTTGTGTGGGGAATGCAGACGCACCATGATGTTTGCAGCTTGTTACACGGTGGCCCCGTATGCAAGCTTCGCAAGCCCACTTTTTACCGTCGATCAGCATCCCTCGTTATGAGAGGAGATGGTGTGGGAGGGGGTGGGCTTTATACCCTTTCTGCCCGGGTATATAGATTCCAAGGTTGAGACAGGTGACTGAGAAGGTATGATTTCAGCCACAGGATCTACGGCTGCGTTTGGAGCACGGAGTACTCAGTGGATTCATAGTCTGTTTGATTGGACCCATGCAGTATGAGGTACTTTTGGCAGAGCAATTCTCGAACCGGTTACACTACATAGATGAGGCATTTTCGATAATTCAACATTTCAGATACTCAGACACTGCCAGATCGGTACTAGAGCTGGACAAATGCCTCATACATTCCCTTTTTTGTGCTAACTTCCGAGTACAGAATGCTCCACTCGGCAGTTGGAAGCCCGTTCCACCATGGGGCTGGTGCGATCGCAAATTCCCCGGCCAATCGTTAGGCATATATTTGTACTATAGCATTTGAGGCCTTCAATAATATTTTGAAAGTAGAGTCTGTGTTTGACAGGAATATTTAATAATTCATCCAGATCGAGTACTACCTCGCACTGGATCGAGATGAGATCACATCAGCAGGTAATTTAGGAGCTTCACCTCCGTCATGGCCCTAATGCAGAGTGGCTGTGCTCGCTTAGATCCCCCAGTCCCAGTCCTGGGGAACTTACAGGGTTTCATCGGACACCTGGGCAGGCAGCAGCAAATCCATCCTGACTGACTCCTGGCTCCCTAAAGTGCACCCCTTGAGCACCAAAAGTAGAGAAAACGGCAAAAGGCACAATTAAGGAAAATTAAGCTCCTTAACGAACCAATCATAATGCGGGCCAATGTTCATCGGGTCCACGTTCTGCGCCATTTGATATTCCCGAGGCATTTTCGGCCTCCAATGGTTTCTGAAAAACGGGTTGTCTCCTGAAAAATTCTCTTTCTCGTCACATGGAGACCTCCTTGCGCTCCCTGATGCTCCTCTTGGATTTCAGGGTCTGTTCACTTTCCAATCTCCCCTCAATCGTGTGTTCATATGCATTTTCTGGTTGAACTGGTTGGAATATGTCTGGCAGAACCAGCAACTTCATATTGATGCGATGATGAAATGAATGCTTGAAACATCATTGATCGGAAACTCCGCCCTAATTTCACTGGAATCATCTCTGGTAGGGTATATTCAGGTATCGAAAATAATCAAAACTTCGCGAGTGCAGACACCCCTATTTATACGTCGATGCCATCCTTCGATGACATCGCTGTACAAGAGTCGCAATTGAGACACCTCGCAGAATCTGTTCGCTGGGTTATATTGCTCATATCATCCATTGCACCATCCTGGTCCACAAACAGAAATGCTGTGGCGACGTTATTCCCTCTTCGGTGGTACAACATGTTTCCGACGCTGTTACTCGAAAAGCCCCTGCTGGAACTTTGATAAGGTCTATCGCGCCGGCAGTTTACGATATCCATGGATGTGTATCGACTAGAATTGCAAGATTTTCGTCGCTTTCAGGTTCTCGGAATCAATTACGATTCACATGTCCTCGTTCTCCCGAGGTCACACCCGATCCCGGGCTACCTTTCCTTTCCAAAAAGAAACAATGGCCAATTTCAAGCTTGGAAGATTATCTTGGACCTTACCGTTATCCATTCAAGATTATCTCACATAAAATCTACGAACTGAAACCAACAGGAGAATGCACCCACTGCCTCGTCAAAGGATCCAAAAAATCCCTCTCAGCCTCTCTCCACTCCCTAGCAACCAAATCCGCCCTCCCCTGCGACCTCGGCGTAATCCTCGCCCCAAACTCTTCAGGCATACAGACAAATCCCTGCGTCAGACGATCCGGATCCGGCAAAACAGGCCTCCCATCCACAATCTCAGCCTCAATCCTAAAAGCCCACAGAATGCGCGCCATGCCCAGGAACAAGCTCCGCTCTGCAACATGGATGCCGGGACATATACGTCTTCCCGCACCAAATGTGAATACATCACGCTGTGACGGGTCCGGATTCGCAGCTGCGTCTCCAAAACTCTGGCAATCATCTAGGTAGCGGGTTGGATTGAATGTGCGGGGGTTCGGATGCCGATTTGGATCCATATGGATTGCCCAGACGTTATTGAGGACGCCTGCATTTTTGGGAATGAACATCCCCCTGTACTCGTCGTCTTGTGTTACGGCGTGGGGAACGGCGCCGAGAATGGTTGTTGGCATCCATCGGACTGTTTCTTTCATACAGGCTCGGATGTACTGCAATTCGGATAAATCTTCCATAACAGGGAGTCTGGACGAGCCTATGACTCTTTCGATCTCATCTTGGGCTTTGCGCTGGACATCAGGGAAGAGGAGCATGGCCTGGATGAAGGCGTAAAGCGTGCTTGAGGTTGTGTCTGAGCCTGCTTCGAGTAGTGTGCCTGAGATATAGGCTGCTTGGTCATCGCTGAATCCGTCTTTCTGCTGGGCTTCGTACATTCCTGCGCAGAAGCATGGGTTTAGTTTGCCTTGGCGGATTTCTTCTTTTGCTCGGAGCCAGTGGCTGAGGTATAAGGCTTTTTCGCGGCGGTGGAGCTCTTTGGCTTTTTTCTGGGCTGGGATGAGAAATTCGGGTAGGTTTCGTAGCCAGGGGAAGAAGTCGATTATGGCTGCTGTGCCTGTTTGGTTGATGTCTGCGAATTTGGAGAATCCGTCGAAGAGCTGCATCATTTTGTCGTCTTCGTATGTTGGCGTGCGCCATCCAAACACCATTGTGGTTGTTAGGGCGTTGGAGTATCGCCGGATGTGCTTCAGGAACCCTTCTGGCTGTATGAGGATATCATGGAGCAGTTGTCGGTTCTCGAGCATTTGGTAAGGTATGTACTTCTTGGAAGCGGTCACATTCAAGAGATTGTGGATCATTTTCCGGAACTATATAATGGTCAGTATTGAAGGATGATATGTTTCAGCTCTCCTACCCCCCGCCAAGTTGGTCCGTAGCCCTGAGGTCAATCTCGTTAGCCTTGTTGTTCAAAATCACAGTATCACGACGCTCGTACCATCATGAGCAACCGAAGATTACCACTGCACAAAGTCTGTCCGATGTACATCTCAGGACGATGCGAGTACAAACCACTTCGTTTGTCCAGCAGCTCCTTAACGGCTTCATCACTAGACAGCACAATCAAGCACTTTGTGCCCAGAATCAAGCTGTAGATGGGCCCGTATGCACGAGCCCATTTCTCGAATTGAAGATGGGCGTCGCGAGTGGGCATCTACATGCAGGTCAGCTCATGCACCACTAAAATTCTAGCTAGTTGTACATACTTGATGAATGTTTCCTATAAGAGGTAGCGTCGGTGGTCCGGGTGGGTAGTTCTTGGGACGTTGGCCTATTCTCAATATGCGAGAGCCTACCAAGATGACGATGGCAGCCCCGAGAAAGAGAGTGATTGGAAGCATTGTATAGTTTAGTCAACAGTCAAGGCAATTTGACTGAATGTGAAGGCTCAACATTTTATTCAACTTCCTTTATATAGTTCTGTGACTTCGACATCATGTCGGACTTCAATGTGGGCAAGCGGACGATGTGGGTTAACGGAAGAGGTGGGCAATGGCGGAGAAGTGGGAACCCTGTCGATAATCCGGGGAAATTCGTAACTCATTGAAACTCTATGTACTCTATTCTCATCGTTGAATGGGGATTTTCGGATCCTTAGGCCGTCTGCAAGAACAAACAATGCATCCCAGCACCGCCAGCAGAAACGCTCCTCCAACACCAGCAGCAAGCCCAATAACCAGAGTGCGATGATCATCGAACCACGACGACAACGAACCGCCATTCGAGCCACCGCCGCTACTGTCGTTACTCCCCCTCCCCCCATCGGTACCCGTATCTCCAGTATGGGATCGACACCCATTACCCCCCGCCCACTGACAAGTCACCGAGTCACAGCATCGAGTTTCCCGCTCATCGCAAACCCCATTTCCACAATCGCATGCCTCTCCTGGCTCGACGATCCCATTCCCACACTCGCCTGTCGTCCCGTTATTTCCATCAGAGCCCACCAAACACTGCGAGTCGACCTGCCCGGATCCAAGTCGCGAACACACGTTTCCAATCGTGCATGGCGAGAAGCGCGTCATGCCCTGTCCGGAAACGGGGTTCATGATGTATTCCCCATCTGCGTCACAGGAGCTTGTAGATAGGGGACAGCATTGCGAGGCCCCTGATCCTCCACAGGCTGACGAGTCGCAGTCGTGCACTGCACCGAAGGTATGGGCCGATTCATGGCTAGATGTGAAATCAGTTTTGAATCTGGGATGGAATGGGATACGGGAATGAGACTTACGCAAAGACCTGCCATTCTGATCGTGTGCGCGCCACTACATTGGCGCTTGCTCCGCCGTTGCTGGAGCCGCTGGATCCAGAGCCGGAATTGCAGAGTGCTCCGATCCATGAGACGCCGACTTCGCCTCCGTTCACGGAGCAGCCGGTCAGCAGGGTCCAGTAGGCATTGTTGTCGTTGATTGAGCCTCTCCACGAAGAGAAGGCCTGAAGACGAGAGTTCATGTCACCATTTGAACAGGGCGTATTCCATGCCTGCGAGGTACCGCTGGGGCAGGACTCGTCGCTGACCGTCAGATTCTGGATGCTGATAGAGATATTGAAACTGTTTTCGAACACGACTGAGGCTGTGTTGACCATGTTGAGGATGTATCTGCGGGCTGAATCGGACGAATTAAAACTCGAGGTATATGTGCAGTCCGTCATGATACCAATGTTTGCGACCTGTCTCGTATTTGGACATCCGGCTGTATCGCCGATGGTATTTTCCAAATCGTCGCTCCATGCGTTGATGACTCCCAGCTGACGTCTTGTAAGGATGTCTTCTGGAGCTGTGCCACACATCGAATCCGATGTTCGATTACCGGCTATGAAGTCCGAGTCTTGTCTTTGGGCTATCATCTTCGGTAGATCGCCATCACTTCCCTCTAGTTGGATCTCATACTGCGAATGGAACAGTGTGAAGGTTCCGTCGAAGGTCACGCCTTCTTTTGCCTGGCTGATGGCCAGTCGTGCCCACCCTGCATTATCCCACTTGCTGCCGGTACCGTCTTGGACCCAGGATGTTCCCTTGGTCATATGCAGCCCGTCACTGAGCTGACTCCCATGTTCTGTCCGTCCATATCCGAGCCAATTTTGGCTTCGGGCGTCCTGTGAGATGAGGTCGTCGTTGGTTTCTAGGACGAATCTGATCGTGGAGTCGAACCCGACAATACTCGCGATGAGATCGAATTTCGGTGTCGATATTCCATCACCGAATGAAGGGGATATGCTTGCATTGACAAGATGCAACGTGTCTACCTCTATTCGCATCAGTCAGCCAATCATCCACAAAGTTTCAAAACGCAGATCAAACTCACGGGGTATAGCCGACACTGGGGTAAGCAAGACGATCGAGACTAGCGAAAAAAGAAACAAGGTTAAGCGCGTCATTCCAACCGATCAAAAATCCCTGTACAAAAGAAGTTCCAAAGACCATGCAAAACAAGATGAGATCAGGTTTATATGAATTTCACACAGCCGTCCTCGGAGCTGACCAACAAACCCTTGGCTATACGGAGTACGGTGTACCCGGGGCCATCGTACGAAAACGAGAGCCCTGCGAGATCCAGCCCTGCAATCCAATAACCAGTTGACTTGGGCAGCGCAGTCTAAGCCCCGGTACATGAGACCACGCCAAGCAGTGGGGTACGAAACCGGCGGAAACCCTCGTACAGCGTCATCCTGGCTTGGTGTTCATCTGGATTATTCTGTTGCCTTGGGATCTGGCAGGATATGCTCTAAGCCACTTTGTTTGGATCTGGATTTAGATGCAGTTGTGAATGTGGACTATGCTCCCCGGTGGTTTCAGTTGATGATAAAGCCACGGCTCCACTGGGTACTTCTTGGCTGTCAGCCACTTGCATGTTTGATGTTCGGGGGAATTTTGCTGCCTTGTCTGGGCTCCGCTGGCGGATCTTGAACTTGCCAAGATCGATCAACGGTCCGGGGAGCGGCACTCACCGATTCGACATGCCGATGATGACATTGGGCTGTTTGTCCAGGTCTATATCAATTGATCCGGTACCAGGATCTTCCGTAAGGACCTCGGAGTCTTCGGTATGGGATGTGACATTAAGGTTCACCTATTTCTGACAGACTAGCAGTTCATTCGAATCTCTGATAGAACACGATGCAGTATAGGTAAAGTGGACTGAATCAACTGTTGATGACCTCCGAACCAAAGATCCGAACGTAATCAACGCTGATAAGGCTTAACTCCGTGCCAAGCCCGCTGAGCCACGGAAACCGCGTTATCGTCCAATAAGCGCCAAGAGATGCTCCTCATGCCCTTGAACCCGGATCTACACGTCCACTCTAACTACTCTCAGTTAGCAACCGCCATGGAAGTACAGTACATTAGCTCTTCACTCCCCCTCGTGAACCTCATCCATACCTGCAATGCTTCTCCGGCTACTCACCCTCTGGGCCATCTGCGCCTCAGTCTGCATCGCGATTGCGATTCCGACTACAAACGTACGCAATGATCACATCGAGTCTTCTACGGAAATACAAGCAGATGCAAAGACAGTCCCGGTACTGGAGCACCATGCAAATGGTCAAATACTCGGCTTTCGTGGTCAAACGAATTGGAAAGACGATAAAGCTCTCAAGCTAGAAGCCGAACGCGAGGCGGGATTCGTGGCGAGCTCTGTCACTGATGAGTGAGTGGGTAGATCACATGCACCAGCCCGGCACTAACTTCTTCAGGGAAATCCCCCTACCCGACTTCTGGCCATTATTCAAAATCAGCGTGGTCTCAGCCATTGCGATTGCCATTCTGAAAGTCATACGAGACATGCGCCGATGAAGATGAAAAACGCTCATTTCATATCAACGCTTGTTGAAAAGCATAATAAAGGGAAAGCCGGATCAGATCTGAAATGTCTGGAACCCCATGATCAAATCGTTCACCTGTCGCATACTGGTTTGGTCGTATTTTTTCAAGATCGGATCCAGTGGTCCCTCTTCCAGTGGTTCCAATTCATTTACCTGCTGTGATGTCCCTAGCACCGCGAGCCGATCCGCCATCAGCTGGGCTAGGAGCCAGTACTCTGGGGCGTAGCGACAGAATCCCATCCTGGTCCATAAGTCTGCGGGTTGGATGTGAGGATCTTCGATTGTCATGTGCGGCGGTATTCCCTGGGGAAAGTTTGAGGAGAAGGATTGCCAGATATCGCGCCAATTGGTCAGAGCGTTGCGGATCGGGGTGAGGAGCTGGGAGCTGCCTACTACGCTGCGAAGCTGGAAGATCTGCGAGTGGATGGCTGGGGATGTTAGATATGCCGAGATGGTGTTGCAAGGAAACGTACCGGATGTCAATGCGAACAGGTTCAGAGGACACAATGTGGCGAGGAGGTGGTGGATATCGGTTGAAGGATCATCTTTGCATAGCGATTCGAATGCACCTCGGAATGATATCGACCAATAGAGGCTTGTGTTTGGGAGGAATAGTTGGATCTGCTCGTGACATTGATCTGCTGTTCGGGCTTGGAAACACGCTTCTGGTGTTGTCATGTGCAATCTCATCTCTTTGACGAGCATTCTCGGGGGTAGATTGTTGAAAATCACAAATGCCGAGTCTAGTAGATATATCCATGTGAAAACACTAACAGCCGTCAATGGAGGTGATCTATCGGAGCCCGGGGAATATCAGACTGACCGTATTAACTCCTCTCTGGCTGCGTATTCCTTCCATTCGAAATCGTGCCGGCCTTGCTCGCTGTAATTCAAATGTCTGGCTGACGTGATTCCAATATCCCTAGCGGTCTCGTTCAGGTCAGCGAAGCTCACGGGAAAAGGAATATACTTACAGAAACCAATGTGGCAAATCTGTACCGCCTGATACGACTCTTGCTCGCGTCAGTGCCCTCCCAATTCTGATAAAGACAGACGATATAAGCAGCCTGCAACGCTTGGATCTTGCGCCTCTGACTAGCCATACTCCCACAAGGCGGATACGTCATATCGCTGTTGAAATCATCATCTATGAAGACCATCTCCTCGACACAATTGAACCAAGTTTTCGCATCTTCATTCTCAGGCATATCAGGCGATACGCACGCCCCTGGTGAAATCGTTAAATTCATTCCAGACTCGACCCTAGGTCAGGACTAGCAACTTACCAATCAAAGCCATAGCAGCGAGGACCGTCGGCTTCGCCGCCAGTGGATCAAAAGTCGGCCTATGCACGAAATTGACATTGGGATGCCAAATCGCCCAATAGAAGCCCAGGAACCTTCTCAGATTTGAGGGCGAGAAGAATTGTAGACATGCGCATTTCAGCCCGGGGGACCAATCTAGAGTGACGGAACTATTCCGCGGTTTGATAGTCACGACTTCTTCGATGAGGAGGAGGATTTCGTGCGTTTTCAAAGATAGCGGATCATTGAACCAGTCGAGTGGGAATTCGTCGGAATTTGTATCGCTGATTGCTTCTAAAATTGTTGGGGATGGAACGTTCATGCCGAGGGCTGGTAATGACATGATTCTCTGCTGGAGTTGGAATGCGATGTGTCGGTCTAGTTCCGCGGATAGTTGTTCTCGCTGCGCATGTGTTCCGCAATCAAAGCTCGATACTAGGCCGGTGTTGCTGGTGAATTTGCCTAGGAAGCGCAGTGATTGTCGTGAGTCTTCGGTTGATATGGAGGGTTCGAAAATCGATAGTCTCTCAGATGCTAATCCAGGAGATCCTGGCCAGTCATTGAAATTTGTAGATCCTGAGCTGAATATTGTTCCTGGTGGACTCATTCCGAAATTCTGTAGCTCGTTGGCCGTGAATCCCCATGGCATCATCGGATTCGCGGGAGAGGCGAGACCCAACATCGACGACTCGATCTCTGTTCTCGGCGTTTCCTCCTCGACACTTGCTTGAGATCGCGATGACGACCCAGTATCCGTGGGATACCAGCACTGGGCCCCCTTTTTCGCACAACTGTGACATGGTTGATGTGCGCTACAGGCCTTTTTCTGACGCACGCAGCGATCACAGGCCCGTCGTCTGTTTGATGGTCTTGAATTTCCCCCATCGCAGGTTCGCATGTGACGTTTAAGCACATCTGCTCGCTGGAATGATCCATCACAGGACGTGCATTGATGTGGTCGCTGTGAGGTGTGGGAACTGATGTGGCGGAAGAGGTGTTCGCGTCGCTTGTATCTTTTCGCACATATCGAACATTCATATTTTGGTTCCAGTGTATCTGACATGCCTAAATATTCTTGTCAACATGTTCGTCTCAAAATCCGGAGATGCGGGGACAACTTAGTGTTTGGCTCGGATGTCTGACTCGGTACTTGACCTCCTCGGGCTGGAGATGCCAACTGCCGATGCTCTGCCTTTTGATCGTTCATTTTACTATTTGAAACTCGCCTTGTCAATAATATCTTCGGACTGTTCTACCTGATATCTAACTTCGGGAGAATACTGCAAGCCATTATTGGCTTTTTGGTGCGGGCGAGTATGGGTCGTCGAGTATAGGATCTTTCATCCGAATTTTCTTTCCTAATCAACCATAGTCCAAAACTATAATCTTACCAGTACTGGTATTGAGAAGCCATGTGTTGCAGTGTCTGAAATCTCGCACGACTGCAGGAACACTGCGGTGAGAGGGAATGATCTATCTGCTGCAGCCAGAGTCTGAGCGTGTTTTCCCCACAGTCAATTTCTCGCGGTTGTATTCTTTCTTTTCTTTTGCTCAAGCTCACTTGAGACCTGTCTGACTCAACTGAGTCAACGTTGTAATCAAGGAAAATTGCGCAACTGTGAACGCTGCAAATGGCATGCAGACCCCGAGGACCGCGCCACTGATTCCTCACACCGAGCACGATCTTCATACCCAACATGTGGTTGATATCACATTATTGATTAATGTCCGTGCTTCAGGGCTCCAATCTCGTGGTGATCATTAAGTGGATATCCATGATTCACTCTGTATCATATCTGGAGGCTGCAAATGGCCTGCATGCCCTCCATATCGTGCATGACAATGATGAATCCGGGGGGCATGGTGCATTTCCCAATTGCCGCGATACGCTTCGATCACCACTCCCTACTCCCTACTCCGTACACTGAGGCTTTTATCTTGTACCCCGGTTCAAACGGTATCACATTTACTTTTTACCCCTGCAGCAAAACGACATCCAAGACCCTAGGCCCGTTGATCTTCCAAGTTCCAAACCAGACGGGGTGGTACACCATATACTCCGTACTAGTACTAGTAGGTTCAATACTCTAGCGTCGAGCCCAACAAGATCGCACGCAACAGCCCGATGATCCGCAAACACCGGATCCGCAATTGCGATTCCAAATGAACGGGAACACGGACCAGAGATCGTCACGGGTCGGCCCTTAGGCGCAAGCGCCTATCGAATTGTGATGCAGTCGATGGCCAGCGATTTAACAAACAAGGTTCAAATCCCGACCCCTGAATACCTGTGGTCTCCCGCAACCTGTCTCGTGCCTATTGCGTGCATTTCCTATTATCTACAGCCGCGAAAAGCGGTTGCGCACCTAATTATCGATCACTGGCATATTGATGTTTCACTTGCAGATGATTGGCGCATGGGATCGATGATCGCCGTTTCACACGCTGCGATGGGGGAGGGGTGATCGACGTAAGCTTGAGCCTGCTTAGGGTTGGGTTGCACTGCCCAAGGTTTACAGGGTTTGAGTGGTGTCTTTGATCCTGCTTTTGTTTTCCCCTGACCGGGGTGAGGATTGCTACCGTGGCATTGGGATCCAGCCACGAGGATTGGGGACGGAGAAAAAGCAATTCTTAATGTAATGAGGTCATGGACAAGGGTATACCCTTGGCGGTTTCTCCTGCCCATCGGGGTAGGAGGCGTCATTGATGTGAATTGTGGAGACTCTCGACCTTGTTTTCGACACTTTCATGTCTTGTCATTCGATCGTGGGGTTACGTTCGGTGTTTGGTTTTATTCGATCTGGGATGTAATAGTTTCGCAACGTAGTAATATTCCAAGGTTGAGGCCATCTGGGGTCCCTTAAAAAGTTGGTACGAAGTCTGTATGTACATGAAAGTGGATATTGGTAAATATTATGACATGAAAAAATAATGCGAAAATGCCAAAACGCCTCGCTGGTGTGTCGCTTCCCAAAAACAGTAGAAAAGAGGCCCATGGCCAGGATCGAGATCAACAAAGGAAAAGCCGGATCGGGTGATTTGATAGAAGCCTCGGTGGCAGAGTCAAAAGTCGAAACAGAATGGCCAGAAAATTGCAAGAAAACGTCGCTGAGTGGTGCGGATATAAGTCGCTGAAAATGACAAGAAAGAGATGATAATGAAGGAATGGTTTATGCAGTCGCTCGGGATCCCCGGCGCTGCTTCAGCTCATCGCGGCTGAGAAGGCGACGTAGTTTAGAGACGAAGCGGCATGGTAGAGCATCTAGTATTTGTTAGAGGCGACCATAGAAATAGACTGGAGTCGGACTTACCCGAGGTACGACGAGATGTGACTTGCTCCAGCGGCTGTGTGGTGTAGGCTGCGGCCCAATATTCCGTATCTTGGTAGCCGGTGAATGTGCTACTGCTGGAATTGTACTGAGCCTGTAAGGCAGCGACATGCGGGTAGAGCGTTGCTAACGGTGAGAGCAGCAGCTCATCTGGCGGGGGCGAGCGTCGGCTGTCAATGCTTCCGCGAGACTACCCACAGTTAGCGAGGGACTTGGTCACAGAAGAGCGATACTCACATAAGGCTCATAGTTGGTCTTGTAGCACATGGTGAAGTGTGAGAGTCAAACTTTGGAATGCTTGGAATGCTTTAAGGTTGATATGCAGAGTTGGGTTGGGATTCCGGCTGCATTTATAAAACACCAAGGCTCTCAGCCGCAGTAATTTGGAAGCGGGGGAAGATCAGAGATAGATTCGATCTTAATTGCATCCAGGATGCCGGGGCATCAGGGCAAGCGGGGTCATGTCATTGGGTGTCTGAGCGATGCGATCTATCGGAGTGCCCGATGTGGGAAAGTGTGTTTAATATCTAATACGAGTTCCTGATTCCCTGGGATCATCCCTGCAGGCGACTTGCAGCCTGCAGACCACGAACTGCATCATCTCGTTCTTCCCCCTTGCATCTTGTACACGTTTTTCGTATCGTCTTTGCAGCCCGTTTGTGATTTCAGACGGTGACGCCGTACTCCGAGAAAATGGAATTCACCGTGGGTCCTTAATATGATATGAGGTCCACACCTGGGGGCCCCGAACCGATCCGTCATCCCCCACTAGGGCTAGGGTCACACTATGGGTAGAATCATGATTCACGCAAGTGGGACTGTCAAGTGTCGGACAGGTCAATTCATCTGTACGCGAATCTATACTATAAAAGTGGGAACCCAAAGAAAAAAGGAAGAAAAAAAAAAGGAACCAACCCTGATTAGAGGGAATTAGAATGCGAGGTGTCTCTTCCAAATCCGAAGGAAATAGCCCCCGAACTATTGATTGCGCTAAGGAAAAAGAATGTTCGATCGACAATGGAGGTTGCCCGGTGTGGCCTAGCGGACAAGGGCATTGTATCACAGCCACAGCCTGACTAAGGGCATCGGTCTGTCCGTGGCGCATAGATGTGGCTCAAGCTTCGATAGCTTCCCAGATCCACGCCTTGCTCCCTCAGACCCGAACTAGTCCGTCGTGATCTTCCAAGGTTATCGATTTTGACATGGCTCGGTCTTCTCCGTCTCGCTCCCAGTGCGGAGCTATAAGGCTGTCGTCTCCCCCATCTTCGAATCTGCAAGTCCCGAGTCCCGAGTCTTCTGTCTGAATACACTGTCAAATCTTATGTCGAATATTGATCATGTCGCTAAGCATGGGTTCCGGAAGAGAATGCTGGGAAAGCTCTCGTATGGATCTGCGCGATCCTTTTTCGCGCGACTGTCCTCGTAAGTCCCTCGTGCCGCACCGGCGACATGATATGCTGAGATATCTCAGGATCCGATCGAGTCGCTGAACGCAACTCGGATAGGCGTGAGCGTCCCGACGAGCGCACCATCCCGGACGTTCAGTCCATGAATGAGGGCGAGTTTGGCCGGATTGACCCTACTGGCTGGTACCCGCACTACAAGGAGTCGGTGCAACACTTTGTCGACCACGGCCAGTATACGCCGGCCGTGCAATCCATTGCCGCCTTCATCAACATCCGACTCCCCTGTCAGCGGCCCTCGGAATCTCCGTCGGCGTCCGGGTCGCTGCCGTTTGTGTCACTCAGGCTGTACATTCGGCGATTGATTGTGACAGCGCAAGATTCCCCATCTGTCATGCAGGGCTTCTTTGGGCCTAATTGGGAAGCGGGTGTGGGGTGCATCTATAAACAGGAGCGCGCCAACTACCTCTTTACGGCTAAGAGCAGCGGTTGGGCATCAACCAAGGAGGCCTACGATATCTCCCCAGACGAGCAAACGCCCTTCCTGCGGCCCTTGCGCGACCCCTCCGAGGATGAATTACGCGTGGCTGAGTCGCGCTGGAGTGAATGGCTGGCGATGGAGGACTGGATGGTTGGCGCGCGGACTCCCTGGTAGGAGATGGCGATCATGAGATACGAGTTCCTTTCTGGCGTTGTTTTTCGATTATTTCCTATGTTCAAAAATTGTGATGGGACGTCAATTCCCAGATGGTATCACAGTGGAGTATAATGACCATGCGTCCCTGCATTAGGAGTGAAGATTGGGATTTTAGTCTGTCCACTAGCAGTAGCAAATGCGCAATCCTTCCAATAGCAAACGACTTCCCTGCCCACGCGGATTTGACAGAGATCGCCTGCAGATCGTCGGAATCAATAGCGTCGCACCGCCACAAGTGACAAATACTGAAATCCTTAATTGCTTACTGTTTAGCGTAGATGCTAAGCTCGGTTTTACTCGGAGCACGCGATCCACTCTGACTCAGGTCAATCTGTCAATCTTGTCCATATAGTTTCGGCAATCGATCGACTCGTAGAACTTCCTCTTTTCGTCTCCCAGCATCCAGGTACTTGGGTACAATGCCGGACATCTACCAGCACGATGCAGCCACACTGATACCGGCGCTCGTATCTCAATTGCCGCACAGCCTGACCCTTCTCCGACGAATCCAGCATGGCCTCGCATTCCCATCTGAAACCGCCCAATTGCTAGCGACTTTCCCGCCAGGCACTAATCCCGCGACGCCATGGCTGGCTGCGCGGGTGGATCTGTTTCGCGGCCGCGAGACCCAGATGTTCATTTACTCCAGCCTCGAAGCGGAGCACACGTCAATTCAGCCGATCGACGCTGTCACCGCGAAATTAAGTGTGGATTCCTCGCAATCTACTAATAATAACAGCGACAATTCCAGAAGTTTCACGGTCGCCTCCTTTTCCGCGCCCCAATCGACCCTGGACGCGGGCCGCGCCCAACTCTTGGCCTTGCTGTCATATGTGAAAATCCACTTGCTGCCAGTTTACCTGTCATCTTTGCATCGGGAACAGTCAGCCACAGCTACGGCTGAGGGTCAGATCTCCTCGGTCGCCAGCTCCAAGACAATCCCTGTGAATCATGGCGTGCCCCTGATCCCCGCGCCTGATCCCCGAGCCTTTCTCATTGGCGGCTTTCACACGGGTTTGTTGATGCTCCTGCAGCGATCAGGAACCTACACCATCGCAGATCCCCTTCCCAATATCCGGGTCCATCGCTTCGACAATCCACCTTACTACAAGTACTTTTTCCGCAGATCGGATTTCGGCCCCGAGTCTAGAAGCTCTGGATCTGCCTCGCTTCCGGTCGGGTATAGGTTCCATGATCGTGAGGGCAGGGAGGGTGTTCACTCAAGACATTTAGATCTGGTGCAGAGTCGCACCAGTATTCCCAGGCCAAGGGGCCAGCTTGCTACAATGCCTGGAGTTGCTATTTATCGTGATGAATCGACTGGTACAGATGCTGATGAAGAACCGATTGCTTGGGGGTTCTTGGGGGTGGATGGGTCAGTTGCGACATTGCATGTTGAACCAGACCATCGGGGTCGCGGGCTTGCAGTCCCCTTGTCCAGGGAGATCATTTGTCGTGGAATGGTGCCCGACGGTCTGTTCGGACCCGGGACTTTCGAGTTCGATAGTCAAATTCAAGATCTTGCTGCGGCCTGGGGTCATTCGGACGTGTCTGCTGGGAACAGCGCCAGTCGCAGGGTTATGGAAAAGCTTGGAGGGCAGGTTTTGACAACTATAACCTGGACTGTGGTGGAGTTGTGTGACTGATTCTTCCAAGGTTGTATGTCCACGGGTTGTCTTCTAAGGTCGGTCATAGCATCAACTCTAGAAATAAGATCTTGATCTTGAATACTACAACCCATCCATGAATATCAAGGTTCACTTGGTCCTTGTAAACCTTGGAGAAAACAATGAAACTTTTGAAAGCGCAAAATCATGCTGTCGGCTTCAATTGCCCGGCATGTGAAGGTTCTTCGAAGGTTTCTGATGTTCATCTTGTATTGACGCCCGAACTATATATTTTGGCGCAATCAATTGACGCAGCCCCATGTAGTGAAACCTGCACTACCTACTAGGTAGTAGCTACCACATATCAATTGGTTGAAATTGAATGCAATATTCCACATTGAAAGTGCATCTCTTCATCACCAGTACGCAGACTCAAAATCGTAGAATTGAGTCATAGGCCGAATGTCCCCAGATATGCCTATTCGGGCTTAGCGTGCCGATGATCGGTGGTGATTCCACGACGCAGGGGGGCCCTCACCACTTCTTCCTCTTTTTTTTTTCTCTTCCATACTCATATCGAACAATCACACATCCAAAATGAGCAATTCCAAAGGCGTCGCTGAAAACATGCTCTGGGGAGGCCGCTTCACCCGTGAGTACCGCAACCCCTCCATCCCACCTTGAGGTCCACTGACTCATAGCGATTGTCAACAGAGGGCCTTGATCCTTTGATGGTCCAGTACAACATGTCCCTGCCCTATGACCGTGTGTTCTGGAAGCAGGACATTGCCGGCTCAATTGCCTTCGCCCGCGCCAACACCAACTCGGGCCTCCTCACCACACAAGAGTTCGCCGAGATCGAGCGCGGCTTCAAGCAGATCGCCCAGGAATGGGAAACCAACACCTTCGTCGCCAAGGAGAACGACGAGGACATCCACACCGCCAACGAGCGCCGTCTCGGTGAGATCATTGGCAAGGAAATCGGCGGCAAGCTGCACACCGGCCGGTCGCGCAACGAGCAGATCGCCACCGACATGCGTCTGTGGCTCCGTGATGAGCTCCGTCTGATTGATAACCACCTGTGCGACCTGATCAAGGTCTCCATTGCCCGTGCCGAGAACGATATCGACTACCTCATGCCCGGCTACACCCACTTGCAGAAGGCCCAGCCCGTTCGCTGGTCCCACTGGATCCTGTCCCACGCGACCGCTTTCGCCAGCGAGCTGCAGCGTCTGCGTGAGGTCATTGCCCGTGTCAACAAGAGTCCCCTCGGTACCGGTGCGCTGGCTGGTAACTGCTTCAACATCGACCGTGAGGCCATGGCCAAGGAGCTCGGCTTCGACGGTCTGCTGTACAACTCCATGAATGCGGTCGCGGACCGTGACTTTGCCATGGAGACTATGCAGTGGGGCAGCTCGTTCATGCTCAAGATTTCTCGCTGGGCCGAAGATCTGATCATCTACAGCAGTCTTGAGTTCGGCTTCGTGCGTCTTTCCGACGCCTACTCCACCGGTTCGTCTCTCATGCCTCAGAAGAAGAACGCAGACAGCTTGGAGCTGCTCCGCGGTAAGGCTGGTCGTGCCTTCGGCCAAATGGCCGGTTTGATGTGCACCATCAAGGGCCTGCCCACCACCTACAACAAGGATCTGCAAGAGAGTGTCGAGCCCATGCTCGACCACATCAAGACTGTCAGTGACAGCATCCAGATCGGAACCGGTGTCCTGTCCACCCTCACCGTCATCCCCGAGAAGATGATCGCCGCTCTGGCCCCTGAGATGCTGGCCACCGAGATCGCCGACTACCTCGTCCGCAAGGGCGTTCCCTTCCGTGAGGGACACCACATCTCTGGCCGCGTTGTCGCCGCCGCCGAGAACACCAATGTGCCCATGGACACTCTTTCCCTGGAGCAACTCCAGCAGATCGACTCGCGCTTCGATGCCGACGTCCAGGCCTGCCTCGACTACGAGCGTGCCGTCGAGCTGAAGGACGCCATCGGCGGAACCAGCAAGCGCGCAGTCTTGGAACAGACTGCCGTGTTGAAGAAGCTGCTGTAATACTTTGGGATACGATATATGACAGATAACAAAAGTTGGGGTCTCGGGTTAGACAAAAAAAAATGAATATAGGAATTGACTTATCTGGATACGTCAACTTTCAAACTGTACACTATTGACCCGAACACTTGCATAGCAAATCAATGGAATTCACATAGCTATCAGACAAAACCCCAGTGGAGGTACAGCAGTCCCTCATCCTCGCGGGCTCATCCCATCCTCCCAGAAGGCGACTTAATCTCCGGCTGCAACGAACCCTCACCCGCCTCATACGCAGGCGGAACATCTTCATCAATCTCATCCAACACCCTCTCAGCCCCAGAACCGCTCTCAATCCCTCCCAAATCAGAAGAAATCCGACCACCCCCACCAGACCTATCAAATTGCATGAAACTCATAACATGATCCCCCTCAGCCTCAACGCCCCGATCCAACCCAATCTCCAACCCATTAGAATACCGATCCAAATTCGCCCCCAGCACAACACCATCAGGAACCCTTCTCACACCCACACCACTCCCACTCCCACTCCCACTCCCACTCCCACTCTGGCCCGCATGTCCGCGTCCACCCTCCCGAACCGGACTCTCCCGCGGACTGGCCGTTATAGGCGTTAAGTTGGGCAATTCCCATGCCCGCGGACCAGTCCTCAGTGCGGCATTCCAGGCTCGCTGGGTCCTTGGGATATTAATCCATTCGCTTTGGGGACTGGATGGTAACTCTGCGCATAGGCGGGGACGGCCTGTATCCTGGAGTTCTGTTAAGAGAGGTGGGGGTTGATTCTTCTGTGGCGAGAAGGGGATGAGGGTCGTTGGTGATGGGGTTAGGACTAGGGTTGGAGTTAGATGGAGTGGATTTGTCTCTGTGCTTGGGGTTGTGCTGGTTGCTGTCAAGGATCCTGTGGTGTTGTTTAGTACATTGGGTTTTCTGGATGGAGATCGGGGTTGTGTACTAGTTGTTTCGCTGGATGGAGATGATGGGGCCTTGGATTCAGCTGGATCTTTGGGAGCACGTCTGGGATGCCATAGTCTTGATCGCTTGCCGTGCTTGATTTCCTTTCTTCTTCGGCGGATGCAGCAGAATATGAGGATGGCTATTAGTGCTATAGCTGCTAGGCCTCCGAGGACCCCGCCGATGATTGCTCCGCGGTTGGAAGATGATGTATTAGGGAGACTAGCGGTGGTAGTTGGAGAGGCCGCTCCACTCGATGTAGCTCGAACTACGGAGAAGGTAGTGGGGCTGATGGTTTCTAGAGTGGAGGTTTCACTAGTTGCAGAAGGCTCTGAGGTTGCAACTGGCGTTTTGGACAAAGATGCCGAAGTTGCAGTTGTTGTTGTTGGGTCCTCTGACATAGTGACTGCCTCAGTCAACGTGGTCATAGAAGAAGTAGTTATCGTTCTCGGCGTCACGTCAGGCAGTCGATTGATAGCAATAGCAGTCGTCAGTATCAAGTCAGAAAAAGTTGTCATAGTTCCCGTGGCATCGTTGTCGTCTGGACAGACCCCCGTCGTACATGGATCGCTCGAGCAGCATCCGCGAAAACCCCCTATCGTGCAAACATACCACTGTTTGCCTCCTGTGCAGACACTGGCATCTCGAGGGAAAAGGGCCTCCAGGGAATCCATGCTGGTTAGCTGATGGATGGCCAGCAACTATAACTCAGGACAACTCGATAGCTCGGCGAACGAGTAGAAACCAGGCGTCTTTTCGACGGCGGCTTGATAGTTGAGATCGCCCAGGTCAACAGAACGCAAACGGACACAGGCCATGGCCTCGAGGGGTATTCCAAAAAGCGGTATTCGTAAACAGCGCGGAGATCATCACCCGGGCCCTGAAAGAAGGCAGGGATTCCTTTGTCCGCCCGTCAAGGGTGACAATGACATGCCAAATATAGTAGCATCGCAAGTCTTCCTATGAATGAATCACTGAGCTGGTATGTGTAAGTTCTCTCTTTCAAGATGGGTGGACGTGTGGACTCGGTTTGATGCACGGGGTATACTCTCCCAGGACCGGTAAACGTTGCCTTGGCGTGAAGACCTTCGACGAGCATCGAGGCTGAAACGTGACTCTCTTTGTTTGCCAAACACACCATACCAAGAATCCTGGCGGGGTTGAGGTCACGGAATACACGAAGACCAGAGGCCGAGATCAGATATTAAGAAAAAAAATAAATTCAATATGAGACAACTGAGGAAAAAGCACTCAGTACACCAGATCTTCGCCCGTTGAGATAAAGGAAAAAATATGGCTATACAGGATGGTAAGTAACACAGTCAATAAAAAAAAGGTCTTTTTCATAGATGTCCCCTTGGGACTGATACCAGGCCGTGGGTCTATCTCAGCCCATCAAGCCCAAGGCATCCGCAGGGGGTCCATCTGAAACAACTCCGTGGTATCCTCCGTATGGTTTGATCGATTCCCAGCGCGCTTAGTAAGTACGCTTGAAAGGTGGGACGGGCTTGCACTCCTCAGCATCCAGAGTGTTGGCCTCAACACTGCGGTAGCCGAGCTTGACCTCGCCGTGGGGCTTCTTCTGCCAAGACAGAGTGTGCTTCATCCAGTTCTCGTCGTCACGGTCGGGGTAGTCCTCACGGGCGTGAGCACCACGGGACTCCTTACGGGCAGCGGCGGAAGCGGCGGTTTGGGTACTGTGGGAGACATGTTAGCGATTGATTCTTCAAGTTGATGGGGTCAGGGATACGTACGCGCAAGTCAGCAGGTTGCGGAGCTCAAGGGTCTCAACGAGATCGGAGTTCCAGATCATGCTGCGGTCCTTGGTGCCGACCTGGGAGTAGAGCTGGTCAACGGCGTTGACCTTCTCGACACCCTCGTCCAAGCTCTCCTGGGTACGGAAGACGCTGACATCGGTCTGCATGGTCTTCTGCATAGCGTTGCGGACTTCGTGAGTGGACTTGGGTCCCTCGGCGGTACGGGCGTAGTCGAGGTCCTTGATGGACTGGGCACCGGCGTCGGAAGCAAGCTCCTTGTGGGGCTTGCCGGGGGTGGCGATGTCACGGACACGGTGAGACACAGCGCGGCCGAAGACAATCAGATCGAGCAGGGAGTTGGCACCCAGACGGTTGGCACCGTGGACGGAGACACAGGCGGCCTCACCACAGGCGTAGAGACCGGGAACGACCTTCTCGTTACCGCTCTCATCAACGTCCAGAACCTCACCAGTGTACTTGGTGGGGATACCACCCATGTTGTAGTGGACGGTGGGCAGGACGGGAATGGGCTGCTTGGTGACATCGACACCGGCGAAAATGGAGGCGGTCTCGGAGATACCTGGCAGACGCTCGTGGAGGAGCTCGGCGGGCAAGTGGCTGAGCTGAAGGTAGATGTGGTCCTTCTCGGGACCGACACCACGGCCCTCACGGATCTCAAGGGTCATGGAACGGGAGACAACGTCACGGGAAGCCAGATCCTTGGCGGTGGGGGCGTAACGCTCCATGAAACGCTCACCCTCGGAGTTGAGCAGGTAACCACCCTCACCACGAGAACCCTCAGTGATCAGACAACCGGCACCGTAGATACCAGTGGGGTGGAACTGGACGAACTCCAGATCCTGGTTAGGAAGACCGGCACGGGCGACCATGGCCATACCGTCACCGGTACAGGTGTGGGCGGAGGTGCAGGAGAAGTAGGCACGTCCGTAACCACCGGTGGCCAGGACGGTGTGGTGGGCCTTGAAGCGGTGCAGGGTACCATCCTCCTGGTTGTAGGCGATGATACCACGGCACTCACCACCCTCCATCAGCAGATCGAGAGCGAAGTATTCGATGAAGTAGTTGGTGTTGTGGCGGAGCGACTGTCCGTAGAGAGTGTGCAGAAGGGCGTGACCGGTACGATCAGCGGCGGCGGCGCAACGGTAGGCCTGGCCACCCTTGCCGAAATCCTTGGACTGACCACCGAACGCACGCTGGTAGATACGTCCATCCTCGGTACGGGAGAAGGGGCAACCGTAACCCTCGAGCTCGCGAACACTGGCGGGCGCCTCGCGGGTCATGTAGTGAATAGCGTCCTGGTCACCAAGCCAATCGGAACCCTTCACGGTGTCGTACATGTGCCATCTCCAGTCATCCTCGTGCATGCTAAAATCCAGTTAGACACCACGTATGGGATTCGATCCATTCCAGGGCAACCTACTTTCCAAGAGCGGCGTTGATACCACCCTGGGCAGCGACAGTGTGACTTCTTGTGGGGAACAGCTTGGAGACACAAGCAGTGTTGAATCCAGCCTCGGCCAGACCGAAGGCAGCGCGCAGACCGGCACCACCGGCACCGACAACGACGGCATCGTACTCGTGATCCTGCGCTGATCAGATCCAGTCCTCAATTGCATCCTTGGTGGGTTTCTCTTACAATGATGGGGTACTTGTCGGTCAGGTAGTTCAGGGACTCCTTGCCGCGCAAAGGCTGGTTGGCGAAAATCCGGGCTGGCGCAATGGTCAGTAGGGCGAAGGTTGGCACGACGGGGAGTTTGGTACATACCCGCAGGCCTTGAAGAAGAGAAAAGACGTCTCTGATTACGCAGAGCGCGAGACACCTGTAGACAGGCTATCGTCAGTATTGTAACAGGTGGGCCGAAAATCCGGTGCTCACCTTGGATGCAGGAGCTAGGCTCCGCAGGCTCATGGAGCTCATGATGACGGATCAAAAGAGAATTGTCTTTCTCCAATGAACCAAAAAGACAACAGAGACACCGAGGATCGGTGACAGGGTTAACGGAGGGGAGATTGGTATGGCGAACTTCAAGGACACTCTCGTTCATCCGGGTTGCAGTTGGAAAAAGCTGACATAATGAGCCTGCAGTGCCGACGGGGAGGACCGGGGCCGAACCAGCCAATCAGCGTGCGTCCAATCCAAAGCAACCTCGGGCAGCCGGTCGCCCGTGATTGGTCAGATGGCATGTGTCCGATACGTTTTGCCGGCCAGCGCTGGAGGCCGGGAGGATACGGTTGACCTCCAGGGCTGCTGGAAGCCCTAACCAGGGGAGGTGGAAGTATACAGAGGCAATTTCATATGTCCAACTCTCACTTGTTGTTCACTGGCATACTAGGTATTTGGTCCATTTAGGAGATGTCTGCCAGGGGTATTCATATAGCCCGCGAATGAAGCTTCTTCCGCTGCTGGTTCAGAAGCCTGAACAGGGACAGTCACAATATATTCTACCTAGTATGGGTACCTAGTACTGGCCTTGACTGATGAGCCTGTTTATGATGAAAGATATTCTGTTTCAAAAAGGCATTGAAATTCCAAGTGAAAGACTACACAGGCTGGGATATGTAGAACACCAGGTGATTTTCCTAGCAATCAATTTTCAACATCGGTTTCATTTCCTCCATGGGGCTTCACTGGGCAATCATAGAGTCGAAGAATTGTATTCTACCTAGTAGAAGAATTGGTGCTGGGATAGTACGATCACACAACGGACTAAGAATGGCAGGTGGATCCATCCATGATCTACGCCCACCTATACTCACGCTGCACGATCCATGATGGACTCGGGAGTAAGGATCTTTGAAAGCTCAGCCAGACAATGCTCAGCCTGGAGTCCACTCGAGTATAACGCTGCCTACCTAGGTAGAAGCGGTGCCACTTGGGCAAGGTGGTAGATGTGGCTCGTACTCGACAAGCATTGATAATCGGGTACGACAGGAAGGAAAATACAGCTCAACAATACCGAGAACCAGGCCCAAAAAGGAGGAGTGATTTAGATTATAATGCATCAACCAGGATTAAACTCCCACATAACAGTTCACTGTGATCATACATCCCATGCACCATGCAAGCCGGGATCCTTCTAGTTGTATTGCATGTATGTCGCCGTCGAGTTGAACTTGAGGTTGCCCTTAATGACCTTCTCCACAGATGCCAGGAAGTCCTTCTCGGTAGCGACCTTGCGACGCGCACGGATAGCGAACATACCCGCCTCAGTCGCCACACTGCGAAGCTCAGCACCGGTAGCGTTGGGACACAGTCGCGAAATCAGCTCCCAACGGATGTCGCGCTCGACGGACATGCTCTTGGCGTGAATGCGGAGAATGTTGGCACGGCCCTCGACGTCCGGCAGGGAGAACTCGATCTTACGATCAATACGACCGGGACGCATCAGGGCAGGGTCGAGTGTGGAAGGTCGGTTAGTCGCGAACATAACCTTGATGTTACCACGGGAATCGAAACCATCCAGTTGGGTGATCAGTTCCAACATGGTTCGCTGAACTTCGTTGTCACCTCCGGCACCATCATCGAAACGGGCACCACCGACAGCATCGATTTCGTCAAAGAAAATGATGCAAGCCTTCTTGGTACGGGCCATCTCGAAGAGCTCACGGACCATTCGGGCACCTTCACCAACGTACTTCTGCACCAACTCACTTCCAATTACACGAATGAAGGTGGCGTCTGTTCGGTTGGCGACTGCACGAGCGCAAAGAGTCTTTCCGGTTCCGGGGGGTCCGTAGAGCAGAGCACCCTTGGGCGGGTCGATACCGAGGTTCACGAAACGTTCTGGCGAAAGCAATGGCATCTCAACGACTTCTCGTAGCTTCTCGATCTGTTCTTTGCAACCACCAACATCGCCGTATGTAACGTCGGGCTTATCCTCGACTGTCATCATCGTCACACTGGGGTCGATCTTGGGCGGCAAGGGCAGCATGATTTGGTACTTATTGCGGTCGACACTGCCATCCAAGTTAGGATCCGGGTTATATCCACCGGTGGCTAGATGACTTACCCAACTCTCATGCCTTCTTCAATATCTGTGGGACTGACGCGCTCGCCTAGGTTGACAACGAACTTGGCAATTTGCTTCACGTTGATGACATATTTGCTCTTGTCCGAGTCCTTCTCATCCTGAATAATCTTTGTGCATCTTGCGACCTGCAGCGGCTGCTCTTCCGCCATGCGTTGTCGATCGGCGGCGACATCCCAAAGGTGTGGAGGTGCGAGACCGGTGTCGGATTCCTGTGAAGGCGTGAGCTCCGATTGTTCAAGGGGTCGAAAGAGCTGGACGGGTAATCACCTTGACGCCGATCTTCTCATTGACGCTGTTCTGTTTGTCCTTGATGTCCTTCTCGAGCTTCTTCAGTGCGTTCGCGTAAGGTGCGGCGCCATAGGTCTTGAGTACTGCGATATCACTGTTTGAAGCGTTAGCCGGTCATTGCCATCGCGCCATACGCGGATTGAATCGGAACTCGGGCCAAACTTACGCATCTGTGAGGGGTGTGATTTTCTTTTCTTGCTCCTCCTCGTCTGCGAAAGTCTTCTGGTACTTCTCCCAGTTCTGACCCGTGGCGCTAGGCATGGTGAAAGGTATTGACAGCCAACCGCTGGCTTGCTAAGGAAAGATCCGAGAGAACAATGGTTTCAAAGCCGTGATCTCCAAATGCACAGGTTCAAGATGCTCTGATAGTGGCGAGGTGGAAAGTAGATAGATAGTGTATTGAACGGTGATGTAGCAGAGCTGTGGTGGTCGAGCTAGCCTCACTAATCAGTGCCAAGCTTCATCACCGCCCCAGAACCTCGCAGAATTTCCTGTGTCCTCCACCACAACAACCTAACTACCTCATTTCACTCATTTTTTACGGTTCATTTTGGATATAGATTTTCAAAATGGCGGCCGCAGTATCCCAGGGAAATGCCGGCAACAACTCCTTCAAGGTGCGATGCCTCGAAATAATCTTCGTGGACCGTTGATTTCTGATTGCATGCAGGACAAGGAGAAGCCGATGGCCGTGCGGGCCTCCAACATTCTTGCTGCTCGGGGTATGTATCTTCTCATGGACGTGGCGGGGTCATAACTGACATTGAACTAGCTGTCTCCGATGCCATTCGCACAGTACGATCGATCAGACCGAAAGACACATGGATGAGGGGCTAACTGGAAATATAGTCATTGGGACCCAGGGGTATGGATAAGATGGTGAGGACATACCACTTCATGATTCTGCACATATATGCTAATATCTGCTCAGATCCAAACGCCCAAGGGACAAACCATCATCGTACGCTATCCATTCCCACTCGAGCACCCCCGAGCACCAACTGACCCCCGCAGACCAACGATGGAAACACCATGTTGAAGGATATGAGCGTCATGCACCCCGCTGCCCGCATGCTGGTCGATCTGAGTGCCGCGCAAGATGTCGAAGCTGGTGACGGAACAACATCAGTGGTTGTCATTGCCGGAAGTCTCCTTGGTGCTGCCGAAAAGTTGCTGGCAAAGGGCCTTCACCCCACCGTCATCGCCGAGTCCTTCCAGAGAGCCGCCGGTGCTGCCGTCGAGATTCTTCACAACATGTCCCGCCCTATCAACCTCACCGACCGCGCCACCCTCCTTCAAGCCGCCTCCACTTCCCTCTCGTCCAAGATCGTGTCCCAGCACTCCGGACTCCTGGGCCCCATGGCTGTTGACTCCGTCTTGAAGGTCTGTGACCCCAAGACTGCGGAGAATGTTGATCTGCGCGATATCCGTATCGTGAAGAAGGTTGGAGGCACAATTGAGGACAGCGAGATGGTTGATGGTGTGGTCCTTAACCAGCCCGTGATCAAGAGCAGCGGTGGTCCCACAAGAATCGAGAAGGCGCGGATAGGTCTCATCCAATTCCAACTGAGCCCTCCCAAGCCAGACGTATGTTGTCGACATCTCGAGCCGCTCGGTGGATTCAGACTGACCTTTTGATACTAGATGGAGAACCAAATTGTCGTCAACGACTACCGCCAGATGGACAAGATCCTGAAGGAGGAGCGCCAATACCTGCTCAACATGGTCAAGAAGATTCAAAAGACCAAGTGTAACGTTCTTCTGATCCAGAAGTCCATCCTCCGTGACGCCGTCAACGAACTTTCCCTGCACTTCCTTTCTCGTCTCAAGATCCTCGCCATCAAGGAAGTTGAGCGCGATGAGGTCGAGTTCCTTTGCAAGTCTCTTGGCTGCAAGCCCGTCGCCAACGTCGATTCCTTCACCGAGGACAAGCTCGGTACCGCCGATCTCGTCGAGGAGGTCCAGGCCTCCGGTGCTCGCTACGTTAAGATTACCGGCATCAAGGCTCCTCTGGCCGCTTACAACCAGACTGTCTCCATTGTTGCCCGCGGTGCCAACAGCCTCATCCTGGACGAGGCCGAGCGCTCTTTGCACGACGCGCTGTGCGTCATTCGCTGTCTTGTCAAGAAGCGTGCTATGATTGCAGGTGGTGGTGCCCCTGAGGTTGAAGTTGCCCACTCACTCGCCAAGCGCGCGCGTGAGCTCACCGGAACCGAAGCCATCTGTTTCAAGGCCTTCGCCGACGCCATGGAGGTCATTCCCACTACTCTCGCCGAGAACGCCGGTCTCAACTCCATTAAGGTCGTTACTGACCTCCGTCACCGCCACGCCCAGGGCCAGCACAACGCTGGTGTGAGCATCCGCAGCGGTGGTGTTAAGGACGATATCACAGAGGAGAACATCCTCCAGCCTCTGTTGGTCAGCACCAGTGCTATTGAGCTGGCTGCGGAGACTGTGAAGATGATCATGAGAATTGATGACATTGCTCTGTCGCGGTAAACGCCTTCGGTGGCCGTCGACGTGGGCTGTATGATGGAAAGCGATGCAATCGCGACGAGTAATTCAAAAAAATATCCCGTTCCTACATAAATTCACTCTCGGACTTGTACAAAATCGCTGTTTTATAATGCCTAGACCAGCAACTCTATGTGTAGCATGATTCTCACCTGGGCAGCAACCTGGAGCGCCTGTCCCTTTGCATCCTCGGCTGTCAAACCTCGGAAGTTGGAAGTTCTTAAAAACAAAGATCTGATCTATAAACATATCGAAGCTCGGGTGAAGTATATCCGCAGTAGCCCTGGAGGAGAAATATACAACCATTGCACCTGCCAAATCATCTGAAGTCTCCAGAATACGACCCTCATGCCAATTGCAGCAAGCTGGAGCCGAAACCTTGAAGTATGCACACGTTCACCCAAAGCAGAAGTGAATAGCAAGGGTTGGAGCCAATCCAACTGAATAAGGCTTTGTCTACGCCAAGAGATGACCTCGGCTCGTGAGTTTCACCACATCCCTACCTTCCCCTCTCAACCAACCCTGCAAGTGCAATTAGCAGTGGAATTGAACTTCTGAACTGAACAATTAGATATATACGTTCATCTCCGCGCTCGGTCCCGGAGGGTCCAAATCGCGAGCTCGGCGATAAGAGATAGACGATCGGGACGCTTCGCTGGGAACTCCGATCCAACAACCATGGGGAAGCTCGAAGAGACCCCGGAGTCCGCACCACTGACGCGCCAGCGGTCTGAATCGCTTGCATCGCAAGCCTCGACTGACTCCGGATTATCGATTGCTTCCGCGGCGTTCATGGAAGGCCACAAGGGAGGCAACACGATGCCGGAGGGAGAGGAGCGTTATCGCGATATAGAAGACGGAGGCGAGGCAGGGTTGGATGAGCCTCTGATTCCAGGTGAAAAGAAGTCAGGCTCATCCAGTCGCCTGCGCCAAATCCTCTGGGGCCTCGTCCTGCTGTGCGTCGGAGGCTGGATGCTTGCTTTCGTGCTGTTCTTGTCGCAGAAGCGGCCTGAGGCCGCAACTTCGTCGAAACCGATGGCCAACATCGCGTCTACTGCGACGTCGAGCATCCACGAACCAGCTTCGACCGAGGCTAAGCATGGGAATCCTGTGACCCTTGAGCAAATTTTGGAGGGCGCCTGGCAGCCTAAGTCTCACGCTATCTCTTGGATCGCAGGCCCGAACGGTGAAGATGGTCTTCTCGTCGAGAGAGGCGAGGAGCAAGATGCGTATTTGCGGGTCGAGGACATCCGCAGTACCAAGGATGGAGTCGACAATCTCGAAGTGCGAGTGTTGATGAAGAAAGATTATATATGGTTTGATGATAAAATCTTCCACGCCAGCAGGACCTGGCCAAGCCCCGACATGACCAAAGTCTTGGTGATGACTGACATCCAGTCCAACTGGAGACATTCGTTCTTTGGCAAGTACTGGATCTTGGATGTGGCGACGCAGGAGGCCGAGCCACTCGACCCTGGCAACTTGAGCGACCGAGTCCAGTTGGCAGTCTGGTCACCGACCTCCGACGGAGTTGTCTTCGTTCGCGAGCAAAATCTCTTTTTGCGCAAGCTCGGCTCCTTGGATGCCACTGCCATCACCAAGGATGGCGACGAGAACCTCTTCTACGGTATCCCAGATTGGGTGTATGAGGAAGAGGTTTTCCAAGGCAACACCGGTACCTGGTGGTCTGGGGATGGCAAGTTCGTTGCATTCCTCAGAACAAACGAGTCAGCCGTTCCTGAATATCCTGTCCAGTACTTCCTTTCTCGGCCTTCAGGCAAGGAGCCACCCCCCGGGCTCGAGAATTATCCCGAGGTCAGCCAGATCAAGTATCCCAAGCCAGGCGCTCCCAACCCAATCGTCAACCTTCAATTCTATGACGTTGAAAAAGATGAGGTGTTCTCCTTTGAGATGCCAGAGGACTTTGACGACGCCGAAAGAATCATCATCGAGATCGTTTGGGCGTCCGAGGGCAAAGTCCTCATCCGAGAGACCAACCGAGAGAGCGACGTCGTCAAGATCTTTGTCATGGACACCAAGGCCCGAACAGGCAAACTTGTGCGGTCGGACGACGTTTCGGCACTCGATGGAGGCTGGGTTGAGCCTTCACAATCAACTCGGGTCATTCCTGCTGACCCCCAAAATGGCCGACCGCATGATGGGTATATTGACACTGTTATCCACGAAGGCTATGATCATTTGGCCTATTTCACACCCTTTGACAACCCCAAGCCTGTCATGCTGACAAAGGGTAACTGGGAAGTTGTAAAGGCGCCGTCGGCAGTGAATCTGGACAAGGGCTTAGTATACTTCGTTGCTACCAAGGAGGCGCCGACCCAACGTCACGTATACTCGGTGAAGCTAGACGGCTCCGACCTTCGGCCTCTGACTGATACCTCCGCGCCTGGTTACTTCGAGGTTTCGTTCTCCGACCGAGCTGGGTATGGTTTACTCAGCTACAAGGGCCCTCATGTGCCGTGGCAAGCCGTTATAAATACCCATGGCGACGAAATTGATTTCGAAACCCTCATTGAGGAGAACTCCAAACTCGCCAAGATGGTGGAAGAATTCTCTCTGCCGACAGAGGTGTACACCAATGTAACGATTGATGGTTACACGCTCCAGGTGGTTGAGCGCCGCCCTCCAAACTTCGATCCTGCCAAGAAGTACCCGGTACTTTTCCACTTGTACGGTGGACCAGGATCGCAGACGGTTGATCGCAAGTTCCAAATCGACTTCCAATCATACATTGCTTCAAGTTTGGGCTATATTGTCGTGACAGTGGACGGTCGCGGCACTGGCTTCATCGGGAGAAAGGCACGATGCATCATTCGTGGTAACATCGGACACTATGAAGCCCTGGATCAGATCGAGACCGCCAAAATCTGGGGTAAGAAGGGATACGTGGACGAATCCCGCATGGCTATCTGGGGCTGGAGCTATGGTGGCTTCATGACTTTGAAGGTCCTTGAGCAGGATGGAGGCGAGACATTCCAATACGGCATGGCTGTAGCGCCAGTGACGGACTGGAGATTCTATGGTAAGCTTATTCGGTGATTACTACTTGCGTCGCTAACCAGTCTTTTCTTTTTAGACTCCATCTACACGGAACGTTATATGCACACCCCTCTGCACAACCCGTCAGGCTATGACAATACCTCGATCAACGACGTCGAGGCTCTGGGCCGTAATGTTCGTTTCCTGGTCATGCACGGTGTTGCCGATGATAATGTTCATCTCCAAAACACACTGGTCTTGATCGACAAGCTGGACATGGCGAATATCGACAACTATGACATGCAGGTGTTCCCTGATTCTGATCATTCAATCTACTTCCACAACGCGCACACCGTTGTTTACGAACGTGAGTCCCTTCCTGATTCAAATCACTTCGGTTCATCAACCCGAAGCTTTTGCGACTATCGAGACTAATGTTGATACTAGGTCTTTCGAGCTGGCTCATTAACGCGTTCAACGGGGAATGGCATCGTATTGCGAATCCACAACCGACGCCTGTTTGAGACATGCGTGCTTTCCTGAGTATCACTCCTTAGTATATCTATTTCGGCATTTTGTATATCGAGCCCTCAACGTTCGCGTCGGTAGTGGAAATATCATTTGATCACCATTTTCACAATTCAACCTTGGAAGAAGTGAATTCGTTTTAAGTAGAACCCACAAGACGTATACAAATTCTACCCCCGAGACCTTGGGATAATCTATTTCAAAGCTACGAGCCTAGCACACTGGGAAAGGCTGCTTATTGTAATTGAATGCATTGAGCAATTAAGACTAGGAATAGGATGTGGTCGACCAGTATGTCACAATTTTTTCGACGCTTCAATCACGCTCAAAAGACCAAGCAAAACAGGTATATCGAAAAAAAGCAAAGCAAAACATATTGACAGCCGACTTTTCGAATTATTTTCAGTGGCGTATCCAAAAGCAACTTCCGACACCGAGAAATGCAAATATAAACAAAATCGCAATGAGACAAGTATACATAGATCGAGTATGTGCAAAAGGGAAAAAGAGGAGTGAAGTGAGAGTAAAGAACTTACTCCTCACCACGGGGAGTCAGCCCGCCAGCCTTCATGAAGTCTTCTCTGTTGGCAAGGCTGACATCCGAATTGCGGTATGGAGCGAAGTCCTCACGTTGTAGACCCCGCAGCTGTTCCCGACCAGCGGTCGAGACTGAGCGTGCGTAGGAATTAGCGCGGGAGTGATTGTGTGGACGGGGACTGAGGGTAGAAAGTCTCTGGTTCGAAGTCCACATGGGCGATTTGTTGCCCGGAGAGCTACTGATGGACATCATAGACTGTCTCGGGGCGAAGACAGGCAAGCGAGCGAAGGACTCGGTATCCGTAGAGATGTTGCTCATGCTCATGAAAGAAGCATCCGACATAGGACGGTGGTAGCCACCACGACCGGGCATCTGAGACGCAGAGCTGTAAAGTGTCGAGATACCGGATTGGGCAGAGGAACGCCACGAGTGCACTGCGCCACGGGGGATCGTGATAATCTCCTCGTCGACGCCGGTCTCGATAGCGGCTGCCACGTCCTCGGGCTCGATTGGATCGCCTGCTGCGCGACTGGCCATCATCTTGGCAGACTTGCCAATCCAGAGCATCTGCTCGTGCTCACGGAGGTATCGGTCGCCACTGAATGACTTTTGCACAATCTTGCGAGTCATCATGCCGAGTTTGCGACGGTGTTCGCTCTTCTCGTACATGCGACGAGTGATTGCTGCTACCTCTTCTGCAGTGGGAGCGGAAGTGAGGACTGGCGCAGGCGATGTGTCTTCGCTGTGCTTGCTCCATTCACCCAACATCGCAAGCATGCCGATTTGAGCCTTGGCAAGAGCAAGAGCATCATTGGGGGCTACGACAGCACTGAAGCGGGAGAAATCATCTGGATCACTCAGAACTCTTAGTGAGGCACCCACGTCTGTGCAGACGACCGGCGCACCAGTGAGAGCAGCTTCTCCCAGAGCGAGTGGGAGACCCTCGGACAGAGACGAGTTCAAGAAGAGCCATGTATTCTCCAGAACCTTCATGGGGTCTGCAGTTCCACAGAGTGTGACTTTGCCGCGAAGACCCTTTGATGCGATGATTTCTTGACACTCAGTTGAGTATGTAGGGGCTTTGTCAATAGCACCGTAGATGTCAAGGTGGTACTCGTCAAACTTCCACTGGTTGATGATGATATCCGCTGCCAGGAGAGCAGTCTTGATGTCCTTGGCGTACCACACATGAGACAACATAGTCACGGTGGGACGCTCAGACTTGATCTCCTTAACGGGGGCGAACTTCTGCATGTCGGTGATACCGTTGACGACAGGATCGATCTTTCGGCGGAATGTGTTGCGATGCTCAATAGCTCCCTGGCTGGTACCAATCTCGACTTCCCAACGGGGATTGAAGAAATCGGCACAAGGGAGGATAATATCGGCATGATGCAGAGTCAAGACGGAGGTGATACGCATCAATCCAAGAAGAGCGTTTCGAACGAAGGGCGAAAGCTTGCAAAGAGCAGACGACAAACACAGATTGGTCTCGCGCCAACTGATGGCGTGGTCCCAAATCTGGAGAGTACAGTTGCGCTTGATCTTGCAAACAACACCGTAAGAGGCACTGACACTGTGGTGCGAGGCTTGGAAAGTCGAAGGAATCTTCTCAGGGACCGGAATCGAGAAGATGAACAGGTATCGGTACCATAGCTCCAGAGCCACATCAAGGGCTGCCAGGGTGGGAAGCTCGGTGTCGAACCATTCGGACGAAGGGATCGTGTTGGACATCTCCTGGGTAAGCCACAGATCACGCCAACTCTGCTTCACCATATCACTGTTCCAGACTTGAGTCCAGTGACGGGATTCCTGGAAGTATGTGTTCAGGTTGACCAGGGCGCGGGTTGCTTGGTGAATATCGGACTTGGACAAATGAACCGCGCGTGCACCCTTGACAAGAGCAGTAAGAATCGGAATGAAGTTCATCTTGATGTCGAACTCGCTCGCAGAAGTAACGTTGTCAACCTCGGCATCCAGTTTGTTATGGAAGAGACCGTGAGTCGGCGTCAAGAAGTCCATACCCCACAGGGGGATGAGTTTGAGAGACTGGATGTTCTGTTCAGTTTGATGCTTAGGAACACCAAAGTCGTTGGCCGACTCGCAAATCATGTGCCACTTGATGGTCCGCAGGGAGTTGATCATATCACGACGACAGGCAGAGACACCACCACCTTCGTTAGGCCAAGTACCATTGTCGGCTGCCATGACATGGAGCGTCTTGTCAGTATCAGTACCGAAGTTCTTTGAGCGAGTGTTGACAACAGCGTCACCACCAGGTCCAAAATTGAGCAAGTCAGTAATCTTCACAGCCAAGGGAGTCCAGGAGGAAATATTGTCGTCCAAATCGGCACTGGCCATGATCGCATCAGCTCGAAGATCCATGTACTTCTTTGCAGATCCAAGATTGCCCCAGTCACGGCTGCGCCAGTAAGGAGTGAGAACCTTGTCTCTGCGCAGAATGCGATCATCCATCCAGCGAACAATAATGGCATCGAAGTCCACACGATCCTTCCATGCCTTCCACATCAACGAGCGAGCACGGGAAGTCGAGACCACGAACCGCTTCTTAGTCAATCCCAGGGTTCGGGTAAGGAGATTCGATTGGAGGCTGTCGCAGTAGAAGAAGGGATTGTCATGCACAAAGCTGGTGTACTTGGGTTTGGCCAGGACACCGAGGTAATCATGCTCAATCATAGGCGGGGTCTGGATCTTCTGTCCGTTGATAGTGGTGAAGATCGTGGGATGGAACTTGTGATCGTAAAGCCAGCGGCTCTCGTAAACATCGGCTCCTTGAACGAAACTGGCTTCCGTGACCTTGGAATGAGGAATCCAACGCTCAACCTTCTCCGGGTGACGACGTGGAGCTGCACACCAAGATACTGTGCAACTGATGTGAGACAATACGAACTCGGCACGCAACAGTTCATCACCGAAGCGAGGGTTCTTGCGATAGTGGTACTTGAAGCGAATGAGATTGCCGTCCTTCATGTACGAACCGGATTCAATGAGACCCTTGCGGTTGTACTGAACGCTTTGGAGGTGGTTTGATCCTGACACGCAACGACGTCCCAAGGGGATGCGAGAAGATGATTTCTTGCCGAGCTTGAAGCCCTTCTTGCCTGGAGAAGCATAGTCGTAGTGGTATTCGTTGGTGACCTTTCCGTCCTTGAACTCCTGCTTGACGAGAAGCAGCATTTCACCCGAGTAGGTGCTGACATACTTAAGAGACTTGACCTCCTTGGGCTCGGTCTTGTGCTCACCGGCATAGTGGTAGATCTTGAAACCACCATCAATTTCATGATGTCTAAAAGCTGTGAAGGTACCATCCAGACTCTGAACGATGACTCGGCTTTTCTTGATGTGAATCGTCATTCCTTTGGTTTCTTCCCACAGACGCTTGACGTTCTGGCGACCGTGGAACAAGAAGAACGACAAGAAGAAATCCTGCATGATCTTGGAGTAAACCCAGATCATGTTCATCACGAAGACAGTGGGCACCCGGATCGCCGATGGGAGGTCCTGAGTGACATGATTGAATTCTCGCTGGAATTCCGGATCTGCGACCAAAGCCACGACGAAGAATTTCACCATAGTTCCCAGCGTGTGATAGATGTAACTGGCTGGGGACCTGATCATCGACAAAGCAATTGGAAGCTTGCGGGGGACATAAGAGATGTACTTCGACGTCTCAGGCTCTTTAGGGAGAGCGGCTTCACCAGTTCCCCAATGAGCGTAGTCCAAAACACTAATCGCAGTAGCAGCGCCGAGGTTGCAGCGAGCGACGTGAATGTCAAGGTCATCGGTATCAAAGTTGCAAAGGTTGCGCTGAAGCCACTGTCGTTGGCTGTTCGAAAGACTGCACTGTTGTCCCAAGCAACGCTTCAGCAACACATCCCGGACTTCGCTCGGGAGCTTGTCCCAGTGAAGATCTGCCTCGAATCCGAGACACAACTGACGGAGAAGTTCTTTCTTGGCCCATCGGACGACGGTGGTGGTATTGGCTTCCTCACGAAGCTGTCGAGCCATCGTGTGGGTGACACCACCCGAGACAATCGATCCTGCGAGAGAAGCGTATTCATGAGGGACCCCCATCATCAGCTCAGTGACAGCATGAAGCAGGGTCTCAGCGATAACTTGGCAGTTTGCGCTAATATCGAGACGCTCGTCCAGAAGACCTCCCACGGTGATGGCCAACTTCAATTGGCTGCCGGTGCTGCAGCTCAGAGCACGAATCCCAGGACCCAAGGATCCAGGAGAGACAAGTTCAATGATAACATCACCCTTTTCCCAAGATGAAATGGCGGAGTTCACGATGTTCTTCGAGAATGGGAAAGCTTCTTCGATCCTGAGCTCTTCTCTGCGAGACAGCATGGCGCTCTTAATCTCAACACCAGGATGAACCGCAGGGCTCAATCTGAACCTTGAATCACTAGGGAGCAGCGAGTAGTTTTCGAAGAAAGTTTGGAGTTCTTGCTGAGACCACTCGGGGTCTGACCATGGGGTGGTGAATGCATGGAAGGTCCTCCCAAGTTCAACGGGGGAGTCTACCTTCTTTGGCATACCCATCTTGGCATTCCAGAATGACAGGATGGCAACAATCCAGGTGGCAGCTCCAAGACCAATGATCGATGAGTACGGCCATCCAGGCTGGGTGACTTTGAGTGCAATTCCGACTGGCAATCCAACGCAAATACCCGTGATGAGAGGCTTGAGAGCATGGGGACCGGTGAAGATCTTTGTATATTGATACCAGATCAAGCCGCTGTAGGCCAAAATGTAGCAGAAGAAAATGATGAAGCCATCGCGCGACTCTTGGAATGACCAGATCAGAGCAGTGGCGAGGGCCAGACTCCACACGTGCCATAAGAGGAATCTCAGGAGAACCCGCCAGTAAACCTTGCGACGAAGATGGACTTCTTTCTTCAGAGCCAGACGGATGTCCTTGGCAGACTTGACAGTGGTTGGTGTCTTACTCCCAAGAGCATCGTGCAGCTCTTGGGCCTTCGTGTCAATAAGCACAGCTCCAATCAGGTAGTAGGCGAGGGCGAAGCCCACAGCCAATCGATTGGCGTCGGTAATAGCAGCGTTCCAAATCAGATTGCGGTCACCACTCAGCAGCTGAATCCATTTGTCCAGAAGAGCGATTACAAAGTATAGAACACCACAGCCAATTTCCTTGCTTGACTGGCGCCAGTGAACAAAAGCGTTGTGTAGACGGAGACCTTTCTGGGAGTTACGCAGAGTGTCGAGGGCGACCTTTGTCTGGATGTTCCAGCCAGAGCTGAATGCAATAGGACGAGGAACATCTGCATAGCGACAATACCAATCAAGCAGGAAGTTGGTAGACTCCCAGTCTCGGGAGAGCTCGACAACCAACTTATCTTTGGATGGTTTTGAAAACATACCACGGTTGGTCTCAGCCATGACCTCTTTCGATAGGGCTTCTCTTGCAAGTTTGAGGGCAGCGGGGTCACTTAATCCAGCGAACACCTTCTCGTCATCGTTTCCATGAGCGGAAATGTACCATTTGCGAATCTCAGTATCATCGGTGCGTCGGATGTTCTGGTACCAGGTAACCCACTTGGAGGTAACGTCGCGCAGGCAAAGCAAGAGCACACCGATGAAGACGTAGATAATAGCAAGGTAGACAATCGAGTCATGTCCAGTGAAAGTGGTGAGGATAGGCGAGACGAAAAGAATGGGGATACAGTAAATGATTGGCTTGCGACCGGACAAAAAGCTTGAACCGGGATAACTGAAGCTTGCAAGAGAAGCGAATGTCGAGAAATAGATCGTCAGAGCAACCAGGTATAGGTAAAAGACGATACCAGCTTTAGGACCACGGACACCAGAGATAGCCACAAATCCAATCAAGCCACTGGCCATTGTGAAAGCAATACCGGCAAACAGGCGGATGAGAACAAACATGTTCGCGGCTGCAAAAGCCATCGAGATGAGGTAGTAGGGGCCACCGCACGCAATCCAAGTACCAATTGCACCAGAGAGAAGCAAGGAGATCATCAGCGCCATGGTGGCACTGTCCTGTTCTTCGTAAGACATCGCAGCAGAGAGATAAAGACCACGACCAATCATGGTGAGAAGAATAATATCGATCAAAGCCGGAATGGCGAAGACACTGAGGAAGGTAAAACGCTGGTAGCCACGCATGGTCTTGGGCTGTTCATCAGGGTTGACATCAATCTGCGCTCCTGCATAAGATGTAGCAAGCTGAGGAGCACCATTGGCCCAGTTGGGGGGCTGGTGGTCTCCGTAGTAAGCGCGGAATCGATCAGAGAGCAACTTTCCAAAAACACTCGGAGAGACATCAAAGTATGCTTCACAGCGCGATCCAAGGGCGAAAGACTCGGCAAAAGCGGCGGCTTGATCCGAGTGATTGTTGAACAGGGGGTTTCGATCCGTGACTTCAGCGTAGATCTCATCGAAGGCACCCTTTCTCGCAGCGCAAAATAGCGCAAGTGCCATCATATCCACATAGGCGTCAACAGAGCCGCCCTGGATAAGAGAGCAAAGGCCTCGAGTGATAGCAGCGAGATCTTCTTCCCGGCGGTATCTCAGGACATCGGAGAGAACGTGGTCGGCTTGGTGGAAGAGACTGAGAGAAACGTCGAGAGAGGGGTGCTTGCATCCTTGCTCCAAATACCATTCGATCCGTGATCGAATCAATTCCTCCGGAGAAGTGGTCTGTCCGAGATACCCAACTGTGTTCAGCGCCTTCAACTGAGAGAACGAAGGAGCATCCACGAGTTGTTTGTGAATGTATGCGCAGAGAGAGTCAGACAGATCACTGTGGACGTCAGTAAGAGACAAATGCTGCAAGAGCAACAGACGCTCCTCGGGGCTCAGGCAGTCGATATCCTGGATCAGGCGACGAGGCAGACCAGTTTCGGGGGAAACATCCTGCGACCAAGTTGCGAAGGTAGCTTCCGCATCAAAGCAAACATGGCGAGGGAATCCTTTGGCTGAGAGGAAAGTGTGGAGAATCGTTCCAGCCAGACCTTGCGCATTCTTGGAGACATAGATCTCGATGCTATCGCTCTCCATTTCGAAAACAGACCAGAAACGGACATCAGAGCTTTTACGGAGACCAGAATCGAGCGCGAGGTTCACGTGTACCATGTCGTTGGATGCCCAGTGAGCGAGCTCCCTAATTGTGCTCGACAGATGGTTTTCATCCCGAGAGAGATCCAAAGAGTCATAGAATTGTCGCAAAAGAGATCCGATGCTCTGAATCTTCGTCGTTGGAACAGGGTGAAGCAGATTGAGCGACTTGAGACGTTGCTGAGATTGGACGATTTCTGCGAAAGCCAGTGGCGTGGCGTCAGATCCGAGAGGGAAACAACCGAGGGAGTTATAGGCCAATCCGGACATCGAGATCGAGAGTGGACTGCCTTGAGATTTGACCTGTGCAACCCACTCTGGGGGATCACGGAGTCGTGCATTGGGACTATCGGGCGCCTTGGACTCGAATTCAGAGGACTCGAGTAAGGCGTCAACGGCAGGGAAGAGCGGCTTGAGAACTTCCCAGCCATCGTTGGCATCCGGAGAAGGCATGATGTTCAGGTTGGCGCGCCAAGTGTCGTGGGCTTTCATCATCTCTGCCTCCTTTAGCCAACCGAAAGCAGGAAGAGGCTCGAGAGTCGAGACATTGGCATCGGCATTGTGAAGAGCAGATTCGGGGCCAATCCATGTGATGGCGCTGTAGAAACCGCACCACTGAATAGATCGACGGACGATGGCATTGGGAATGGTTACTTCATCGTCCACAGTCTCCCAAGCCATAACCACAAAGTCCCTCATACACGATTCAGACACAAAGGCCTTGATGGTCGCCTGCAGCTCGCTCATTTGGAAATAATCACGTTTCTCGCCCTGGGCCATGATGCTGGCATTGCGAATGACCAGACCAGCCACAGCGTCGCTTTGAACGGCCTTTCGGTCTTTCAAGAAAGTTGGGCCCTCTGTCTCGAGATAAACCGCCAAGCCGAGGCTGGTGATTGCCTCGAATAGCTTTCTCCGAGCGGTCGGACGAAGTACATCCTCCCAGTTAGCAAACAAGATACCAGCGAAGGCCGTTTCGTTGAAGCAGCTTGCGAGCAGCTCTTCAACCTTCTCAACGACCCTCAATGGAGATTCTTTGGGCGACACAAGTTTCGCAAAATCCACGCGGCCCAGGAATTGGCTGGGCTGATGCCTCGAGATAGCTTTGGCAACACCGGTTTGGAGGGGATCCACAATCAAGACATCCCATTCTTGCAGAAGTCTTTCCTGCGAAGCAGTGGGTGGGTTTTCGAAGCTTCCCAGGTACACTCCAAAATTCGCGGGTTTGCCTTTGCGCAGAGGGAGGTTGACTAGATTCAGCTCACGGTTCGATAGCGTGGTAAGGCGGTTGGAGACGCTCGAAGATACAACGTCCGGTAGCGGTCTCGACTATAGATGGGGCAAGTCAACACCACATCGTTTAACCACCAATCCCCGCACAGCTTTCTCCTTACCTTGTAGTATTTGATTAATCTTCTCGTTCCAGAGTATATAATGGAGGCCGAGCCAATCGCGATGGTGAGCAATAAGACTCCAATGAAGACCTGAAGCCATAGTTAGCAACCCCATGTAGCTTCAAAAAGCGAGCACGAGCTTCAGGTCAAGTTGTTAAGATAACCAGAATGAACATACAAACTGCCACCAATGTGATTTCATGGATCCCCAGCCAAGGGGATTTGGCTTGACCGGAAGGTATCCCGCCATCTTGGAGCGAACCCTCGACAGTACGCGCGATCAGAATGACAAGGTTACCAGCTCTAGAGTGCCAAACACTCTAACACATAGCGATGTTAAACGAGTGACTTAGAAGCCAAAGAGTGAAAAAATCAAAAATCAAAAAAAAAATTGTAGAGAGCAGGGAGCTCTGTTGACAAAGTGATAAGGTCAAGAGTAGTGGGGGGAATGGCTCAAGTGAATACCCACTTCAAGCTTCAGTTCAGCAGACAAGTTCGCCTCCCGGGGTTCCCCTGCGAGATGTGTCAGGGGGGTAAGAGAAAACCCAAAACCGTTCGGTAGCTTCGCCTCTTTTCGACTGTTCGGGACAAAGGCATCGCTATAGCCGGGGATGAGTCTAGGCGTTTATGGAAACAATCTTTAAACCATGGAGCAAAAATAGCACACTAGAGTTTTCTGTAAGGTGCAGGACTGAGTACATTGTAAGCCACTAACAGATGCGGGTGGAGCCATGTTTTTTGTGCATGTTTTGCCATGTGTGGCACGGCCATGCGATTCATATCGTGGCAATTGATCCCTCGATCCAACAGCCTCCCGAGGTCAGGGCCGGGTACCTGACCCTTCCCTCTTGTCCAGATGCCTTCTTTCCCATCCATGGATGATCCTGAAGATGTATTCCCATGGGTCTCGTCTGCTTGGCGCGTAATTAAAAAAAAAAAAAAGAGACAGAAAATTGATGCATATCGTGAGGCACGGGCTAGAATCGTAGTATTCTGCGCTGGCTGGTCTTGACCGGGCAGCAGTCTTGGCAAGAAAAAAAAAGAAAAAAAGAGAAGTCGAAAACACATCGAACTAATTGGAATTCCAACAAAGAGCTAACAGGAAAAGAGAGTGCTAACCCCCAAAGTGGTAAGGTGTTGGTCGGGGTTGAAACAAAAGACGGGAACGCCGTAAAACATGAAAGTGCAAAATACCAGTACATACAGGTACCGATACGAGGTTTCCCCACGCCAAGGCCGGGACCTGACGGGTTTTCAGCCAATACGCCTCTGGGCGTCAGTACAGTATGTAGGTAACTATTCTGCGAAGAGCCCCTAAGGCCGAGCTCGGCTTTAGCTGCGGCATGCAGTGCGAGGACTCGGAGCTTTTCCCCTGTGGCCTTTGAGGTCTTGGGATCACACCCACCATCTAATGTACGGACCTTTTTCCCAGAAATTAATAATATAGGGAATAGAACGCCATGGCCTCCCCTGCAGCAGATTTGGCCCTGCCAAGATCCATTTCTGACTGTCCAATCAGATACCTGGTAGACGGGGCCAGCACTACGGATGTCTCTCGAATTTCCCCATTCACAAATCACCCGATCTGAGCCCTCCGAGAGGAGGAGCAATTAGCCTTGCACTCCCATTTCCAGAGGAGCCCGACGCCACATGGAGAAACAAGTGGACACACCGAGTGAGATTTTAGATCGGTGCGAAAGTATCCTACCTCCAATTTCGCCGTAGTATAGTGCGAGACACAACAGGCGATAGGCCTGGGGCCCGTAGCCGACCCACGAGGCCTCTATAAAAGATGTTGATCATGCACTTGATGGGGTGACACACGCAAGCTAAGTCCGTTCGTTCTGCATTCGTATCGCATTTCCCTAGCTGTCAGTCGTTAGTGCTCTCGACGTGCATATTGTGTGACCCCCCATTTGCGTCTGTGCCTGTTCCTGGTCACGATCAAGATGGTTGCCGTCCCAGTCTGGGCCTTGAAGATCGGCTGCTTCTATGGCCTTATAACCTGCGACACTGCCCCGGGTGTTTGGCCTGAGAGCACGCCGACTGTCATTGCCTATCATCCTCCTACCTCGACTCCCTCCAGCACTCCCAGTACTGGACTGAGTTCGACTGCGGTGGTCACTTCTACACCTTCGTTAACTCCCTCTCTTTCGGCTTCTGTCTCTGTCTCGGCCTCAACCTCAATTGGTGGTGGTTCGTCCAGTGGCATTCCGAACAGCACCCCCGGTGCTTCCACTTTCGTTACTTTCACCTCGTCGAGTGCCCTTCCCTCGGGTTCTGCTTCGAGCTCAGTGATTGTCACTGTCCCGTCCGTCTCAGCTAGTACCCCTGTCCAGAGTGGGTCCTCATCGATCGGTTCTGCCTCCACTCCCATTGTTTCGCCTTCTGGAAGTGTTTCTGCTAGCCCTTTGCCTTCTTCCGCTTCCAACTCGGCCTCTTCGCCTGCTTCCAGTGCTGTTTCTTCATCAGCAAACGTCCCGTCAGGAAGCTCTTCTTTGAGTATCCCTGTCTCGTCTGCCGCTAGCAGCCCGATTTCATCTGCGCCTGCTTCATCTTCTGCAGCCTCGTCTTCCGTTGCTTCGTCTTCCGTTGCTTCGTCTTCCGTTGCTTCGTCTTCCGTTGCTTCGTCTTCCGTTGCTTCGTCGTCTGTTGCTTCGTCTTCCGTTGCTTCGTCGTCGGTTGCTTCGTCTTCCGTTGCTTCGTCGTCTGTTGCTTCGTCTTCCGTTGCTTCGTCGTCGGTTGCTTCGTCTTCTGCAGCTTCGTCGCACGTCGCCTCGTCCACTGTCGTTGCGTCTTCTTCCGTTGCTTCGTCTTCCGCAGCTTCGTCTTCTGTCGTAGCCTCGTCGTCTGTTGCTTCGTCTTCCGTTGCTTCGTCCTCGGCTGTTTCTTCTCACGTGCCATCTTCGTCAGTTGCATCCTCTTCGGTTGCATCTTCGGCCCCTGTTTCTTCCTCACCCGTCTCATCTGCACCTGTGTCTTCCAGTGCCTCTGTGACTACCCCCATTATGTCTTCCTCTGCTGTTTCCATCTCGGCAAGCGCCACGGCCACGCCCCTGACCCACGCCGCTGTTGCAGCCAACATTCTCGTTATCGCCAGAGACTCTGCCTCCGCTAGCGTTGCTAGCTCTGGTCTCAACGGATACGGTATTCCCTTCACCCACCTGATTGTTCCCTCCGGTGGTGTTGCCCTCCCCGATCTTAACGGCACCGCCGGTGGTAACTTCGGTGGTATTGTCGTCGCCGCTGAAGTCAGCTACGACTATGGTGCCACAGGCTTCCAAAGTGCCCTGACCACTGACCAGTGGAACCAGCTTTATGCCTACCAGATCGAGTACGGTGTTCGCATGGTACAATATGACGTTTACCCCGGTCCCAACTATGGTGCTTCTGCCATTGGAGGCTGCTGTGACACCGGTGTTGAGCAGCTTGTTTCCTTCACTGACACCAGCGACTTCCCTACCTCTGGCCTCAAGACTGGTGCCGGTGTTAGCACTAGTGGCTTGTGGCACTACCCTGCTACTATCAGCAACACTACCTCCACCAAGCAAATTGCTGCCTTTGCTGCCACCACTGGCTTCGACAGCGAGAGCGTTGCTGCTGTCATTAACGACTTCGATGGCCGACAGCAGATGGCTTTCTTCATCGGATTCGATACCACCTGGAGTTCCACTTCCGCCTACCTGCAGCACGCATGGATCACCTGGATCACTCGTGGTCTCTACGCCGGATACCGCCGTGTCAACCTGAACACCCAGATTGATGATATGTTCCTCGAGACTGAGCTTTACTCTCCCGCCGGTGTCAACTTCCGTATTCGCCCCGAGGATCTCGCCAACGTTGCCAGCTGGACTGATTCCATCAACTCTATTATGCCTGCTGGCAGTTCTTACTTCGTTGAAGTTGGTCACAACGGTAACGGTAACATTGAGAACTCTTCCGACAGCTCTGATGCTGGCTGGTCTACCTGCGGTGCTGCCATCGAATACGACTCGCCCCCTGACACCGCACTTGAGTTCCAGAAGCCTCTCGGCACTGGTGAGGACTTGTGGCCCACCACTCCCACCACCTACGACTGGACTTCTGCCTGTAACGCCATGGATGATCTTCTCATCTGGTGGACAACCGAGAGCAACCTCAACAAGTTCGGTCACATCTCGCACACTTTCACCCACGAGGAGCAGAACAACGCCACCTACGATGATGTCTACAAGGAGATCAGCTTCAACCAGGCTTGGCTCAAGGCTGTCGGCATTGACCAGGCTACCAAGTTCACCTCCAACGGTATCATTCCTCCTGCCATTACTGGTCTGCACAACGGTGACGCTCTCCGCGCCTGGTGGGTGAACGGTATCACCAACTGTGTCGGTGACAACACCCGCCCTGCTCTGCTCAACTCCGAGAACGCCATGTGGCCTCTGTTCACTACTGTTGCCAACAACGGTTTCGATGGTATGCAGGTCAACCCCCGCTGGGCTACCCGTATCTACTACAACTGTGACACCCCCGCTTGCACCCTGCTTGAATGGATCAACACTTCCGCTGGCTCTGGCACCTTCGCCGATCTCCTCGCCACTGAGAAGGCCGACACCATGCGCCACCTCTTCGGTCTCTACCACGATGGCTACATGTTCCACCAGGCCAACCTCCGCAACGTCGATGTTGAGCCCATCACCATCAACGGTGTCTCCAAGAAGTGGTCCATCATGGAAGCGTGGGTTGAGACCGTGGTCCAGGAGTACATTCGCTTGGCTGAGTGGCCTATCGTGACTCTCACTCACCAGGAGGTAAGATACCCTATTCCGCATCCTAGTTGATATATACTGACTGATTTTCCAGATGTCCGCTTCCTTCCTGGCCCGTTACAACCGTGACAAGTGTGGCTACTCTCTGAGCTACGCCACCAGCAACAAGCAGATCACCGCTGTCACTGTCTCTGCCACTGGCAACACCTGTACTGACCCCATCCCCGTGACCTTCCCAGTTGCTCCCACCAGCACCCAGGGCTTCGCCACCGAGCAGCTCGGCAGCGACCCCTTGACTGTGTGGGTCCAGCTTGCCGGATCTCCCGTCACCTTCACTCTTTCTACTCCCATTTCCTTGTAAAAGACCTGAGATGGGATCGAAGCGCCTGAAACGGCGAGTCGATCTCTCTCACGCTTGTTGATTACCTGTCATTTTCATTTTATATTGTGGATATCTCTTCGGATGTCAATAATGGTTTCTTATATTTGCGAAGGAAAACACTAGGCTTTTCTGTTGATACGAAGATTGAACGCCCTCCCCTAATGTCCGGATCAATTCAACCTTGGAAGTATAGTTTGAATGATAATATATGCGCACCGAATTTTTCCTCTTGATTTCCTGATGCCATACCAATTCAAAAAGCAATTTCCACCTTCAAGGAAATGATTACTTGCATCTGTTGACACGTCATCTGGCGGTCTGACAACGGAACGGGGTGTCGTTCCCGCGCTGCAGGTCCAAGGCGCAAACGGTAAGCCATGACCCCGGGAAAATACCTAGGTACCGCGGGGGACTGCGCAGGAAAACATTCCAGACCATTCCCGAGGTCTCGAGGTCCGACCTCCTGAGTCATGCAGGAAAAAAAAATTTCTTTCTTTCTTCCGATGAAGCTAAGCCATCGCGAGCTAATCGAATCTTGGCGGGCAAAAATAGACAAACCCGAATTCACGGGCCTAAGAGCAAGGCCAAGAGAAATTGTCTCTGAACATCCCGCGCAACGCTACGGCCCAGCCGTACCCCGTAGCCCAAACACGCGAGGCCGTGCCAAGCGATCCGGAGTTGAATACACTATCCGGGTAGAAGCTAGCAAGTACTCCGTAGTGCATGGAACTACGCAAGGTCGGAGGCTGATACTACTGTACTTGGTCGTACCGCAATGCCTTAAAAGGGAGGGAGGTGAATCCACACTCTATGCAGGTGTACTATGGAAGCACGTCGCGGGGGAGAATGCATCGCCGGGGTACGGAGTAATCCGTCGGTTACTTGATCAGGTCGGATACGAGGAGGCTCATCGCCCAATTTGGAATGACAGCCCGTATGGTGCCATTTCGGAAAGTGATTCTCGACGGAGTAAGCAGTCAGCATGTCGGTCGGGTTAATGCACTACTGTTGACGAGCATGGGTATTTGCAGTTTGTACTTATGCCCAGGGCTGAGTGCTGCCTGGATTACCTTAGTTCGTTCTTTGGCTCGCTTTCGCTTCGGTGATGCGCTACTTTAGATGCGTCTTTCTGCGCTTGAATATTGGAAACTCGGACCCGTACTAACCGAGACGTCTAACTAGGATTTGGTTTGCATTTTCGTCTCTAAAATTAATGTGACCCAACGTTTCAATTGCGTAGACAATCATTTGCCAAAGATGGAGCAGTTGAAGGTCTTGGCGTGGCGTGAACTATTCTATCTCGGACAAGAGGCCTTATAAATCATCTCGTATTGAGTGAGAATTGTAATTGCACGTCTCAGGACGCGGGTGTGGCGTTCAACGGATTGACGGGAAGAATCAGGCGATTGGGTTATCAGGAGTAGATCCGTCTTTGTTTCCACCTCCTTAGTGTATGCTCGGCTCACTAGCCTAAAATGCGAAGTATTGGGGGGCATGGACGGGTACAGAGTACGGAGTAGCCATTTCAGAGATTGGGAACGACTCGAAATCAGTGCGAACTATAGAGTACTGGTCATTTTTCGATCACATTGGCAGAGAGCGATCATCCGCATAACCGAAGAGCGATTTGCAAGTCGACTGATCACCGATTTCAAACTCAGTGTGGTAACTAGTCTGGTTTAGGGCTAGAGCGTATTACAGTAAGTTACTGCAAATACAGACTGTGCTCGGACATCCTGTACGGAGTATTATTACCGAATTTACAGAATGTTTCGTACTCGTAACCCCACGATTTTCTAGACACCTAAGGCGCTTGCCAGCGCATGCAGCTGTCTTCACCTTGATCATTGGTAGTGTTTTAGGGAGAGAATTAGGTGGCGAGACATCCATCATGAGCGTTGGTCGGGGAATACCAATGGGTCATTCGAGATGCTAAATGACTCTCAGAATGGTGACTGGAAAAATTAATTCTGGTCTTGGCAGCGCCCTTTGTTTCCATCTATTTTAGGCGTAGCTGCATGCTAGCGACCCTTTGTCTCCGGCAAAAATCACCAGGGCCATTTGGCATTTGACTGCCCCCTGAGTGCCCAAGTGTTGTTCTGTAGCCCCTTGAAAAGTCTTGAGAGAAGAGTAAAGTGAGAATTCACTATAGCATTCCAAGCTCGTATAGTAAATCAGATAACATTTCGGCAGCCATATCTGCTGGGATCGGATCAGCGATGGTTCCACCACCTTAATTCGCCCTGTGGCTCATGCTCCAGGCTCACGCTCCAGGCTCCCTCGTTTCTTCTCTTTTGCTTTTGCTTTTTCTTTTTCTTTGTGATCACCACCACGCCCTGCCTATTTGAGGTTTTTAGGGGTCTTCTGACACATTCAAACTTCTGTTCTGAGGCTTAGCCTATTGCTTTTTCACAGTGTAACCGTCTCCCGGTCGCCATAACCGCTGATCGCCACTCAGCCCTGGTCTGGGCACTTCTCCCTTGACTTGAGCTTAAGGATTCCTATCTGCCGATCTAGTCCCTGCTGATCTTCACTTTCTTTACTCCACCCCAATTCATACATATATTCTTGGTCTGCCGATCTTGATCCTACATATTACAACCCCACTCCCGAGATCAACTTCTACACATCGTATTCCAAACCGCCCCAATGGGTGAACTCGCAAAAGGAGGCTGGTGGGCCTGGTCGACCAAGAAGAAGGTCCTGATCATCGGAAGCATCGCTCTGGTCATCGTCGCACTGGGTGTCGGTCTGGGCGCCGGACTCGGAATTGGTCTCAAAGGCGGGGATGATGACAACGACACTGACACCGGCGACGACGGAACGGACACATCCACGCCGACCAACACAACCGTCAAATGGCAACCAGCCGTCGGCACCAAGTGGCAAATTGTCCTGAAACACAAAATCAACGACACTTCGATTGATGCACCAATCTACGACATCGACCTCTTCGACAACGAGGCCAGTGTCATCTCGGATCTCCACAAGCTGGGCCGCAAGGTCATCTGCTACTTTTCTGCCGGTACCTACGAGGACTGGCGCACGGACAAGGACGAGTTTGACGACGCCGACCTGGGTGACAATCTCGATGACTGGCCAGGCGAGCGATGGGTCAACGTCAAGTCCACCAAGATCCGCAAGATCATGCAGACGCGCCTGGACCTGGCCGTGAAGAAGGGATGCGACGGCGTGGACCCGGACAATATCGATGGCTATGATAACGAGAACGGTCTTGGTCTCACGCAGGCCAATGCGGTCGATTACGTGAATTGGCTGGCGTCCCAGTCTCACAGTCGTGGACTGTCAGTTGGACTCAAGAACGGCGGTGATATCATCCCCAAGGTCATTCACAACATGCAGTGGTGTGTCAATGAGCAGTGCGCCCAGTATAATGAGTGTGATACATATGAGGCTTTCACCGATGCTGACAAGCCGGTCTTCCAAATCGAGTATCCCAAGGGGGAGACCACCAACAACGACAAGGATGTCACTGCTAAACAGGTGACAAGTGCTTGCACGGCTAATGGTGCTGGAAATTTCTCCACTGTCATCAAAAACATGAACTTGAACAACTGGGTTGAATACTGCCCTGAGTAGCATGGCAATTTGTGCTCATTTTGAGCGGATCTCTTTTTGGAAGTATCATTACATGTATAAGTAATAACAAATTTCATTTAAACCTCAATCTTCTTAACCTTCCGTATTTTGATACTTGATACTTTGATAATATGCACTACCTAGATACTCACTTGCAGTCAGGAATGACAGAACTCAGTTCAAACATGGAAACAGGCAAGTCGCTACGAAGACAGCACCCAGACTCCAACGAACCACGGCCTCTACGTGAACTTTGACATCGCCAACTTCCCAAACAAGCAAGAAGAGAAGCTTTTCGCCAACCATTCACCAACGCCTTAAACTTCTCGCCTTCGGTTGTCATTACCCCTACTAGAAAGTGACAGCCGTCCAAACCACGGCACTCCCCGCAAGCCCATGGACGCACCAGCGCCTCTGAAAACACATCACTTCGCTAACTCGAAGTCCAATATACTGAATCGCTATATGACACCCAAAACAAATCACTAGCGCCAATAGTCGCCCAACGCCTTCTCTTTGAGTCTACACATTGCCCCAGTGTAAGCCCATCCATCGCGTCATTCGCACACAGTCCTGGCACCATCTACGCCCAAATGAGGAGCTCGTCGCAAAAGAACCACCGAACAACGCCATCCTCAACGCAAAGTGCTCGTGTTCCTAGCGCTTCCCCACAGCCACAGCACCCCGTGGCTACATTCTCTGCGGCTAGTGGAATCTCGCCCACGACCAGAACTCCGGCCTTGCCGGACAGAAGACTGAGCGGCTAGTGTGCCAAGGCCGGACTTTTGGGTGTACGCCATCCGGCGATAGTTGTATTTTTTTTCTCATTCTGCGAGCGTATTCGAAGTAATCGTTCCGTTTCTTCGCTTCAATTCCTCGGATATACTCTACTCGTACGAAGTACATAGCGAAATTCCCTGCGTGGATACATCGAACCGCAAACAGGTCTCCATCCTTGCCGGGTGTCTCTGGTATATTACCCAGATAAGTATGGTATAGGATAGATCAGCGACTAAGAAAGTAAGTACCCATTCATCTCTTCGCATTGGTTTGATTCGGCTGTCTAGCGGCCGAATCGCGGAGAGGAGAAGGCCGATCAGTTAGTGAGACCTCCCATCGGGAGACTTGATCGAGTTGTTTGCTGGTCTTGGCCTTCTTGGCATTCATGCGCTGTATCTCGATGTGATTGGTGAAGTTCGAGGGTTCTTTCAGTTAGTTCGTTTTAGCAACGTGAATTGAACAACTTGGGTTTTGGGGACGCGGACCCATCTGGTATTGTTTTGGTATTTTAAGCGACCCGTGGAGTATTTTTCAATCACTCAAAATACAGCCCGTGCTTTGTTTCGATCGTATGGTGTATTTTTCTCCCGAGCTGTCACTTTCCTCAGTGTATTTTTGCCATCCCCGAGTCCTGGGGAAACTTAGCCCTTGCATGATCCGCCGGGGGGCTGAAAAGCTGCAAATGCGTTGTGCGATGTTACATGTTGAAGGTGGTCTGTCCTCTGTACGGAGTAACTCTGCTTTGCTTTCACAGACTAATTCAAGAGAATAGAGTGCATCCCTGTGGAGCATATCTCGCTAGCTTGCAGAGTAACCCACCTAAGACAAAAAAATCCGTGCAAGTCTTGTGAGATCTTATGTGAAGACCGGTGAGCATTAGTGTCCTGTCCGAATCTCTGATCGGCAATGCCGGTCGGTACTTCACTCTGAATTCATGCAGTTTTTCACTCTTAGCTCCTCTTGAGCCCACTTAACCTGACTTCGCCAAGCTGCTCGGTTCGCGTGGCCAGTGGTGAAACCAAACGAAGCGCTAAGATCGGTCGCCCGAGGGGCTCTCCCGAGCGGATCTCCCCGGTTCCTGGCGAACCTACCTGTTCAGCCGAAGCGATTGGCCGCTCGACTTTGACGGGGCCACGATATCCCCACATCGGTGTTGGAATTCTGCATCAATCCCGACAGGTGAAAATTCTGCGTTGATAGCGGGATCTATCAGTATAGCTCATCTGAAAAACAGCTCTAGTCCATGGTCTCTATCTTAGACACGGCGCCACAGTGGGCCGCTCAAAAGCAAATGCTGTACGGAGTCCTCCATACAGTCCAGAGATTGTCGCCACTCTCAAACCCTCACATGGCAGCCACCATGCGAACTCAATCTCCACCCGATGGCTCAAGTGGAAGCACAGGTAGGCAGTTCGTGAATGATTCCGATCTGGACGACTCCACGCGTATCCAAAACAGATCGCGCCCCACGCACCTAGACTCCTTCATTTGCACTGCAAACGCTGGTCTTCGGCGCTTGTACTTTTGTGCCGATGGATTCAGGAGTGATCGACTTCCTCCTGTCCCTAAAGTCGTTAGGTTGACGCCTCGAGCGCGTGACAGGCGCTCGTCGAACTGGTCCTAAAATACACTGCCGTTTAGCTCACTGCAGTAGAGGCCAGCCGAGCCAAGAGACAGATCGAAGCTGTTTCAGCCATCTGAGGTATGGACCGCGATTGCCAATGCCTTGTCCCGAAAAACCCGGATTATGCCACGAGTTGGTGGCTTCCGCCACCGGCGGTGAGATCCAGGGGTAGGTCGAAGTGTACATGGTACAGAGTGCGGATTATAGTTGATACCAGTGAGCTGAAGAACAGGGATGGGCGGAGTAGGGTGTAAGTGGCTCATCCAAGCTCATGCAGCAAGCCCCATGCAGCACGCCTTCAAGGAAAATCCTGTTCGTCTGGTGGCAGATAATGCATTTAAAATTATGGCTGGGCTGGGTATCAATACTGTCCGCGATGATCGAATTCGTATTGCATATTGCGTAGTTGAAAGAAAAAGAACAGCGCTTCTTACTAAAGTAGGATTGTTACGTCGATTCCAGCAGCTGCGAGTCATGTCTTGGTGTAACATATCTGCACGCAGGCCTGGTTCCTGGAAAATGACTCTCGTTTCTGCTGGAAGGCGACAGGTTCGATTTGCAATCCGGTCCAGGCGCACTCGGACCACGTTGTACATAAATAGTTACGAGAATCAGATGGTCCCTGTTCCAGTGCAGCGTTGTATTGTGCTATGCTACTTCTGCATCGTGATGACATACGCCAATGCTTAATGCTAATTTCCGAAGCCTCTGATCAAGGTCATGTCCTACTTTGTGGTTTCATCATTTGATCATGTTATTCTCTCTGGCGTTGGGGAGATACTTTATCTGACGATGTAGCTTAGAATTGTCGCTAGGGCCTTGTCTCAGGATGTTCCAGTTGAGAATGCTGCAATCTTGAAAACGGATGATGCCCATCGGAGAATGAAACGGTGGCGGTGGTACAATATACTCTGCCAAGCCCGCCGAGCGCCAGACATGCAGGGCTATTCTAGGAGTCATTCGCATTTTCGAGGCTGCATTGGCATTGAACATACAGCGCGCTAGCTGCAGGTCTCACGGATCGATCGGATCAACGGTAGCTCAGAGACCTCTTCAATATACTGGCCTAAATTATGATCCAGGAGAGGAAGGTGTTTTCCTTCAATGTGCTTATATTCACAAAACTATACTTCACGCAAGCCATCCATGGATGTCCAGGCCAAGCCCATAAGCTTATGGCTCGTATCGAGACCCGGATCAACAATCTATATTCTGGAGCTAAGTCATCCCACGCCATATAGACCCATCATTGATCAAATTCCGAACCAAACAGAACTTTCCAAACGCACACGCCGAATCGACAGGTTCTGCCCGAGTGGGGGGCGTAATTGTATTTGAATACAGAAACCTTGGCATCGCGGAACGGGATAGAAATGAAAAATACCACAATACCATCTCCACTCCAACCGCATAACAAGGACAGTTGTGCATTGATCTGGGTTAGCTTGAATTGTGGCTATCAACTTTTTCTGAAATCTATCGACAAAAATGAAAAGAAAACAATTTGGAGAATCGCTAAAATGTTCAAAAACATGCCCCATGGTACGAAGTACCTCATATGCGATATGCACAAGTCCGCTTGATCCAATTTCCCAGCATATCAAACTAAAGTAAAGTCATTCATCATGAGAGTGAGTAAAAGGTATCTAAGCCGCCATCAGATCGACGAACTCGGTCCACTTGTTCCCGAAGGAGGCATAGTAGTCCGTGCTGAGATGAGTGATGTACACCTCATCGGCAACCTTGCGCACTTCCTTAACAAGGCTGCGAAGCGACTTACCCTCCACCTCTTGAGGCACGGAGTGCACGATGGCGCAAAGTTGGGTACGATTGCTGTCTGCAATATCGGTGAACAGCTTAGCGCCTTGTCGTTCTTGGAAAGTATTGTAAGCAGCCTCAAAGACGACGGTCGAATCGGCTGTTGCCAAGTACCGTGAATCAGGGACAGCACCGGGATTGTGGACCACCTGAAAGGGCTTTTGTTAGCATAATGGACTTCGCCTATGAGGCCCGAAATGAGACAGGAATAGTAAGATGCAGTTCGATGTGGACAATGAGTGGTTCCAGCGAATGTTCGGACCAAAGCAGAAAAGCAGAAAAAGAAAATAGGAAAAACACAAGTTTGGTAGTATGGTGCGACACAGGGGCGTATGGGCCAGGGAAAGGTGGTAAAGTAAAATAATGAGTCTCGGAATGATTACACTCACAAATTGGTTAGGGCCAAGACCCTCCAGGTCCTTGACGAAGTCCGTCAGTCCTTGCAGGTACTTCAAGGTTTGAGGTTCGTATTGTTGAGGGGTTTCGTCGAAAAAGATTCCACGAACCGCAAGGTTGGGGTTTGACGAATTGGTCGGCCAGTCGGCGTAAGTCTGAATATCCTTGCGGATGGAAGAGACATTGCGGGTTGCGTAGGTGGTGTGAACGTAACCCAAAAGACGCACGTTCTCATACGCAGTGAGCTTAGGGATCTCGCGAGTGTAATTGGCATCAGGGAGGGCGTTAGGCCCCGGTCCATTCCCTGGGTTGATTACGACGGTAAAGTTGACATCGGGGTGGGCAGAGATCCTGCGGCGCTTAGTAGCTGTTTTTCACCAGGTCTTCTTTTTATTCTGATATGTGAGGGTCCGCATAACGTGGGATGTGGCGGGCTACCGGCCGCCTGGTATAGAATCAAATCGGGGAGAGCGAGATTGGGGCAGTGGGATGGGCAAAAAGGGTTAGACATACACATTTTCCAGCGGAGACCACGCCTCAGGAGCAGGGTACACGTAGAGTGGAACGAAGACCTTTGCTTTGGGGCCCATGCTGTTATTCTTCTTCCGTAGAGATGTGACAACAACGGCGGGAACCACGGCAGCAATTATCACAATGAGGGCAACAGCTGCCAAGAGAAAACGAGAGCGCTTCGACTTAAGACACCCGCGCTTGCTCACGTGTTTTTCGGGGGTTTCGGACATGTTGGTCTATAAAGAAGAAGTTTGGAAATGAGTAGAAAGTGGATGCTCGAACCCAAGTAAATAGCCCATCAATCTTAACAGAGGCGAACTAAAAAAAAACGGTAAAAGTATTAATTTAAAAAACGAAAAACAATAAAAACCCATGGGCAGTTCCAGGTGAACAGTTCCAAGACTTAGTGTCCATGCACCGGCCGAAATAGACCCGGGGTCTCGCCCATATGCAGAAAGGGTCTATGAGACGTCGAAAATAGGGAACAGGGTAAAATACAATAATGCCATTTACCTAGGTATTTTCATTTTGGAATAAGCTCGAGCTGAGGCCTTGACGTACGGAGCACCGGTGGAGGCACTTAAGGCATTCTGATGCACAGAATGAGATCCCAAGGCCCAGCCGCATGGCTGGCCCACCAAGGGGGATCCTGCCCGATGGTTCTGTACCAGTTTTGCTTGTGTGATGCCCCTATTACGGCCTCTTTGTTCTTTTTTTATTCCCGCTTATGCTTGTTCCGTTTCTTTTCATCGTTTCCAATTTTGCCGGCGGGGGGACTGTGCCCTGTGCTCATTCGCCCGGCTATGATGGCATAATAGATGAACTAAAACGGAGTGTCCGAGTGAGGCAACGTAGTCTCGTTCGTTTTGTATAAAACCTTGGTTGCGGGCCCTCGGAACTGCTCAGGACAAGTCCATCGTGAACGAAAGACAGCGAGCGTTCTTCTTTGTTCATAGAGGCAATATAGCAAGGCCGACGCACGTCCTATATCCACTTACCACCATGGTTGCCTCCACATCAATCTCCTCGTCAAGGTCGGACAGCCCTCAGCGGTCCAGCACCGGCAGCCCCCTTGAGTCTCCAATTGCCTTGGACACTCCGGCAACGGAGGCTGGAGACCCATTTGACAATCTCGGTGATCTGTTGCGCAGGATTCCTTCGCAAAGCCACATTCTCGTGACTGGCGGTCTTGGCTTCATTGGCAGTCACACCACCCTCGAGCTGCTGAAGGCCAATTATAACGTCATCGTGATTGACAACCTCAGCAACTCATTCGAAGTGGTCTTCGATCGTATTAGCACATTGGCGAAGAAGCATCACGAGGAAAATGGCACCAAAATGCCATCTCTGCGTTTGCACGCACACGACTACCGTGACAGCAAAGCTCTTGAGCCGCTCCTGGAGGAGTACCGGGTATCATCTCGCTGGGGAGCTCCCAAATCACGAATTGCTGGTGTGATTCACTTCGCAGCTTACAAAGCTGTTGAAGAGAGCATCCGCAAGCCACTCAAGTACTACAACAACAATGTCAGCGGTCTTGTTGACTTCGCCACGACACTCGGAGACTTCGGCATCAAAACTTTCATCTTTTCCTCCTCCGCCACCGTGTACGGCACTCTCGCAACCTCCGGTCTGCCATTGAAAGAAGAGCTCTGCGTGCACAAGGAAGAAGTGTACACCAATTCCACAGGCACACAACAAGCCGTCCAACCGGGATGCACTGGCATTACCAACCCATACGGACGCACAAAATGGATGTGTGAGACCATCCTGGCGGACCTTGCTGCCTCCGACTCCGAGTGGACCATTGTTGCACTTCGTTATTTCAACCCCGTCGGCTGTGATTCGTCCGGTCTGCTGGGCGAGGACCCCCGACAGGCACCGACAAACTTGCTCCCGGTTGTTGTCAAGGTCATGACCGGTCAATATTCGGAGCTTTCGATGTTCGGAACAGACTGGGAAACTGAGGACGGTACTGCTGTCCGTGATTTCATCCACGTCAGCGATTTGGCTCGTGGGCACATTGCCGCCCTGAGCTCCGCCAACGAAGGAAAGCTGTCTGAGAACTTCCGCACATTCAACCTCGGCACTGGAAAGGGCAACTCCGTCATGGATGTGGTCAGCACCATGGAATCTGTCATTGAGAAGCCCATTCCCCGGCGGGCTGCGCCTCGTCGGGATGGTGACGTGGGAGCCTGCGTTGCAGTCGTGGATCGGTCGACCGAGGAGCTTCAGTGGAAGACCGAAAAGAGTTTGAAGGATGCGTGCCAGGACATCTGTAACTTCTTGGATGTCAGTGGTTTGTCGTCGAAGCCGGTCAACACTGTTTGACATTAATGTTTTGTGATGTTTATTTGTCTCTTGTCCGCCTGTTCCTAATATACCTGCTCCTCGGAACAAAGGCGCTTTGGAAGCATGTGTCTCGGTCTAATGATTCTCTCTTTTCTGTTTTGCATTGGCATGTTAGAGTTGCATCGCTGAGCTTTCTCGATCAGTCCTGTGCGGTTGTATAGTCATCCATACACTTCTTTGTCCATTATCAGTGAATTGAACAAAAGTTTGCTCTCTCATTCTGGCACCACTGTCTTCGATGCTCATCTGTAGAGGCGATGGAGGGAGAACAATAGAATCCACCGATGTTGTCTGCGGAGAACCCTGTGTTGACGCCTGAGGCATCAACTTTCGAAGCAGGGTCATGTGATATCCCAGGGTGTGCTGACCTTGAGGGCTTCAGCAACATGTATGCCATCAGTGTGGAAGCTTGATACGAGCCACCTCTAGAATTGATTCCTGCCAAGGGCCATCGCTGCTTGTTCTCGCTGATGAGAGGGGACCGCAACATCAAGCTAGTCACGTGATATACTGATCTCCGCCTTGGCATCTCGAACGGCCGCAGAAAACTGCGACAGCTCTGTACGCGAGTCTTAACACGCATTCTCCGCCATCACGGTCCCGGATCATTTGGTGTCTCTGACTGGACACATTCGATTGGCTACATCTGCCAAACCACACCGATCACTTCCCAAATCCCCACTGCAATGATCTGCAGAAGTTGCCGCACCACAATGTTGTCCCGATTCAGCCAGCCCTTCACCCGGGCAGCCTCAGCAGGCACGCGCCAGCTTCCCCTGGCTCGCAGCCAGTTCCGAGCATACAGCAGTGACAACAATGCGTCTGTGGCAGCCCCTCCTTCGCCATCCGCTCCCCGCCAACCCACGGTCGGCGATCTTTCCACCCCGTCCGCCATCTCCTCCGCTACCCCCGGTGTTTCCCAGCCTCTGAGCACCCCCGAAGGCGTCCACGTCGACGTCAACCCCGCAGAATCCACAAAGCCCACCGCTGTCCGCGCGCCGAGCAGCTGCCCCGCCGGCACCAAATTGAATGGACTCAACTACTTCAAGAACAAGCCCGAGGTCTTCGCGAAGGAGGACTCCGAGTACCCGGATTGGCTCTGGGGCCTCCTCGGCTCAGCCGATAACAAGACCAAGAAGGGCGGCGTTGATCCCAGCAGTACGTTATGCCATATCGATTGAAGATTCCAGAGACTAATCCCATCACAGCTTTGAACAAGAAGCAAAGGAAGCGCTATGAGAAGAAGCTGGCCGCTCGCACCGGTCCCTTGACTGCCCAGGTCCCTGCCCACCACCACGCTCACGATATCACACCCGCATCCTACAACCGCGATGGAACTCCCGTGGACGCCATGGCCGATGCCACCGGTAGCTTCGAGCAGCGCTCGGAGATTATCAAGACTGCACGAAATGCCCGAAGAAAGACTATCAAGGAATCCAACTTCCTGCGTGGTCTGTAAGCTCGTGGCACATTTTGCTTTCGAATGGAGTGCTTGGAAGCGATTGTATTTCTCGGGGTTGTTTTGGTGTGCACCCTCTACATTGCATTGAGTATTGGATAGACCTGGTTTCACAGCATCCAGGATGTATTATTACACTGATCGGTTTTTTCTCTTGTGCTATATATCAAATGACATTTCTCAAAATCTCAGGCGTCCACCCGGGTATCAGCGTGATCCGGATCTGAAGCCTCTAACATCCAATTCCCAGCTGTGTTCACACCTATCGAGGAATGGGTCAGTTGCTCTCATCTCTATCGCTCCAGCAATGGCAGATAGACATCAGAAAGAGCCTTGAGCTCTCCACCCTCAAAGGCATTGAAACCTCATAGGTTTCCTATCGAGACGATATTAGCCAAGCCAGCGTTGCCCTTCCTTTTGATAGGTAACACAGCGTCTTCGAGTCCCTTTCCGCCGCCGTCCACTGGGGCATAGCCCATGCAATCCCCGGTGTGATACTCACCTGGGCAGGTTCCAAGGCCCGGGTGTCACGACTCCTTATATTGAGAACCATTTTGGTCTTCGGTGTGCTGGAGGCCATACCTAGCAACCTTGGGAAATTAGGGGCCTGGTGTGGTGAGCAAACTGTTCCTAGAGCGCAGCTGAAATCCATACCTGGTAACTTTGCCAGATCAAAAAAGAAATTGATTGCGTCTGGGCCATGGTGTATCTAGGTAGATTGTATGTCCTCGGTCCCAGACAGGTTTTGAGCGCAGATTCTCCATTTTTACTTGAGGGCAAGGTGAGTAGACATCCATGATTGACCCAGTAGTTATCGGTACCTAGGTATGGGATCGTGGACATGTTGGGGTGGACGACAAGATAAATATATAATCGGGCTCACCAACGGGTCGGTGACTGATCTCGGGAGGTTCTCGAGCTGTAAATAAACGCATATATTTTGGTCGATCCAGCCATTATACGAGTGAGCTATCAAAGTAGAAACAAAGCACAATAAACAATGTTGGAAGTATAAGGTTGGAGTCCACGCCAAGTGATATGCGACACGTTGGCAGTGGGGATCTTGGGTGCACGGCTCACTTGATTTCCTCAACCTTCTCTTGCATCTTGCATCTTGCACATCAAAGCACCGGGCCTACGAGTAGATCGTTGAATTCTCATCTCAACTTGACCACATAGCGGGGCACCGCCAACACAGCTTCCCCCACTATCAAAAGCCAAGGTTCTCCCACCAAACAAGACAAGTACCCCGTACTCCGTACTGACACCAGCAGATGGAGAAAGTCGAAGCCCTTGTGGATCGGGCCAAACACCTGGCTCTCCATGAGCCACCTCGCGAGGCATCACACCGTGTGGATGTATTCCACCCGTCGCTCGATAACCATATCGAGAAGATCTACAAGTCGGTTGATGCCTACGCCCCGACAACGTACTATTTCCTCAATGAAATCCAACATGATCCAAAGGATGCTTCTGTTGAGGAGACGCCTGTGGATGTCCTAGCATCTGTCGATGCTTTCCGCGACTATATGAAAGACGAAACCTCCTGTGCCATGGCGTCGGAACATGGCCTCGATACTTCGGCCCCGCTTTCGGACTACTTTATATCGTCCAGCCATAATACGTACTTGACAGGTAATCAGCTGTATAGCGATGCTGCAGCGAGCGCATACATTTCTGTGAGTGAATGTTGAATACATCCCCATCGTCGCGGCCACCCCGTCGGTCCAGTGCATTACGGCAAACTGAGACATGTCCAGGTTCTGCAAAGAGGCTGTCGATCCGTCGAGATCGACGTATGGGATGGAGAATCAGAGACGCCCAGCTCCAGCGAGGACGAAACAAGCGACAGCAGCAGCGATTCCGAAGGTGAAGATCCAAGCGGACGCACAGAGAGCGAAAAAGCCGAGTCAAAAGCTCGGCGAAAGCCCAAAGCACCGAAGGAATCGATCACATCTAGATTGGAAGCTAAGTTGGGATCGGTCCTTCGTCGCAAGTCTGCCAAGTCACCGGAACTGCCTGCAGAAGGGGACACTGCTACGAGCCATATGCCTGTCCGAGCTGAGCCTCGGGTACTGCATGGCCATACACTTACTAAAGGAGCTACATTCCGCGAGATCTGCTATGCGATTCGGGATAATGCTTTTGTTGCTAGTGATCTGCCGATTGTGATTAGTCTGGAGGTCCATGCTTGTCTGGAGCAGCAGCAAATGATGGTGGATATTATGAAGGAAGCGTGGGATGGGATGTTGGTTGACTCGCAGCCGGCTGAAGGTGTTCCCTCGCTTGCTGATCTTAAAGGGAAGATATTGATCAAGACCAAGGGTCTTCCCCTCGATGGGGATGAGGCGAAAGCGGAATCCGATGCCCTGACGCCACAAAACTCCGTGGATAAATCGCCGGGAGAGCAGCCAAAGCCATCGAAGGTGCTTAGGGCTCTGGCCGACTTGGCAGTGTACACTCGGGCGTATCATTTCAGCCACTTCGATCAACCAGGTACGTCTCACCAATATGATTGCGCACAGAGACGTATTGATTTCTCTCCACAGAGGCCAGGGTCCCTGTCCATGTATTCTCATTATCCGAGAAAGCCGCACGCGAGGCCCACATCAACTATCGCGATGCCCTGTTCGAGCACAACCGCTCCGCACTGATGCGAATCTATCCGTTCGCATTCCGCGTGAACTCGTCGAACCTCGATCCAAGCTTCTACTGGCGCCGCGGCGCCCAGCTAGTCGCATTGAACTGGCAAAATCTCGACAAGGGCATGATGCTCAATCATGGGATGTTCGTCGGATCGCACGGCTGGCGCCTCAAGCCAGCAGGGTATCGCAGCGATCGCGAAGTAAGCCAAATCGAGCGTCGCAACCTAACCCTCTCCCTAGAGATATACGCCGCCCAGGATCTGTCCTTGCCACCGGGTGATCACAACGAAAAGGGGTTCCGCCCCTATGTTACCTGTCAGCTACATGTCGAAGAGCCCGAGGGCGAAGTTACCCCTGACAGGGATGACGCAAGCTCTGACACAGAAAAAACCAGCTACAAGCGATGCACGAAGAGCTCGTCGGGCCGGAACCCTGATTTCGAAGGTCAGAAGATCGAGTTCCCGACCGTGACTGGGATTGTAGAGGAGCTGAGTTTCCTGAGGTAAGAATGCCCGCAAATTGCTGTTCAATTGAGAATACCCCTTGCCTCGCGTGATGTACCTCGTGCTTTTGGTCTGAAGCTTCGCTTGGCTTGCATTTCTACATCCAACCTCGGTTGGACTAATGCACGCATCGCCCTGCATTGTGATACCCGTTTATATGCACATATGCACGGGCCGGCATGAAGTGTCAACCATTTCGACCGGAGGGGTTTGTTTGCTTTTTTGGGTCTCTTTCGTTTAGTCCGGTGCATAATCCGGCTAGGGCGACCTGTACCCTTTGTCTCGGTTCTCTTCACTTCACTGCATTATGCTCCTGCGACCTGCAATTGTGCAGAACCGATAGTTTGGCGAGAAGCTGACGAGTTCCTCCAGGTTCAAAATCAAGGATGACGAAATCGGTCGGGATCCGCTGGCCGCATGGGCTTGCATCCGACTTGATCGATTGCGCGAGGGATATCGGCTAGTTCACCTTCATGATTGGTCGGGGGAAAAGACAGGGGGTGTTTTACTGGCGAAGATTGAGAAGCGAGTGACCTGAGGCTGACAGGTCCGCAGGGGGACTGATGTTCGTATTCGCCGGAGTAGAGACAAGTTGAATATCCAGCCGAGAGCCGAGTCAATTGAGTTCATTTCGCGTCTTTGGGCATCCAGGCATGTACATCATCCCGATTGCGATGAAGAGTATCAAGCTTGGAAGGTTGCCAATATGACAAATCCGACCTGCACATGCGCTCTCACTATATCACATAGGTGATATCGACTGCCCGAAGCAACCAGGCACAGATCATCGATCGCAATTGTGAGATGCAATCGCACCAGTCACGACGCATATCTGAAATTCAGAACGTTACACCAAAGCGTCCAACATTCGCACTGGATGCCGTTGAAATCCGAACATTTATTTGTCAAGTTTGACACAACGGGCACTAGTCCAACATTGGACGGGGGAAATTAAGCCAGACTCCTACAGAGTAGTAGAGTGCATATGTAAGTGCTAGGAGGAAGTCCGAGGTTAATGCAGCGTGGGAAAGCCATCACATTTGGCGATCCCGATTAGCGCAATCTCTTTAGATTAAGTGGCGGTGACATATAAAAGGATTGTCCGAAGTGGTGAGATCGAGCGAACGTGGATGCACGCTGCGAGCCATCAAATGATCGGTGAGCAGACCTGACACCTTGACGCACATGAACTGGATAGGCGCAGCGATCAGCATGCCAAGCAACATGCATCATATTGATCAACGCTAGTGGGACACAGCTGAGTCTCGGTAAAATTCTTGACGGCAAACGGTGCAGCGCCTGACACTCTGACGTGCAGGGCACTTTGTTTATTCCTGTTTCCTTTTGGCCCGAGTTTTCAATTCCTTTTTGAACATTCACAATAAAGTCCGTCCGTTGCTGGAGTGTCTGTAGGGGTTCATGCGTGCAATTTGCATGCATACTGGTACAACGATCGCTGGGAAAGTGACAGCAACCCAGTGTGCGATTCAGCCAATGATCAGACCCGATCGCGCATCGTCTGCGCAGGATCCAAGTTCAGTGCTTTCTGACGAATCAAAGGACTTCCCACCGAGCACGACCGAGCCCCGTAACCTGTGGGGTGCGGTTGATACGTCCATTCTTAATTTGGGGCCTCATTTCATTATCCCTTTGCTACCAGCAATAAGGAGTACTCCGTAAGCTGGACTTCGAATTCCGTACTTTGAAAGAGTATTCAAGGATCTCTTTGTCAATTCCAAATCCTCCTAGTCAACTAGAGATCAAAGACTCGCGGAGACCTCGGGAGGTACCGATGTGTAATGATTGGCGGTGGACCTGTGGCGTCGAACTGCATGACCTCTTCCTCTTTGGGCGTTGAACACATCGATCTGTTCTCTCTATGTACGCTGCTAGCTTCCCGGTTTATCTGACGGGAGCTACCGAGAGTTCCTTGCTGGTGGTTTTTCTTTTTTTTTTTCTAATTTGTTAGTCCTAATATCGTCCCGATACGATCATCGCGAGATCTAGTGCCCTTACTTTCCAGGCCTTATAAGAGCTCCCCCCAATCTACTTCTCAATTTCAAGTTCAGTTTCAGTTTCAATTCCTTCAATTCCATCTATCCAATCTATATCGAACATCGCAAACACCTCCACATCATGACTACTTCATCTCCCTGCAACGCCAAGGCCTCACCCTCCGTCAGCAAGGTTCGTCGTACTTCAGTGATACTCCTACTTCCGCTGACTCTCCCAGATGCCCGGTGTGCGATGCCCCAATTGCCAGGCGCAAGGAAAAGAAGTTTGGGTGATCCCAGGCAAAAGCTGCCACATTTGCCACACCCCGTGTGCGTGATCCCCAGGTGAACCGCGCGGATCACATCTGCATCCTTCGTGTTCGGCCATCCGATGCATCAATGCCCCGGCCACGACCAAAACAGAACACGTTCATCGGCAAAATTGACAGTTCAGGTCCCATCTCAGCACAGACCAAAGGCGCATGGGGTCTCCATATTTCAGCATGGCGTTTTGTTTCACTTTTGTTTTTTGTTTGCTTATTTCGTTTTAACGAAGACATGATCCCCCTAGTTGTAACTACCACAATTCAGATTTTTATGTTCATTTACGGGCCGACCCTCTGGCCCCCACGTTTCACTTTAAGAACTTCGTGAGATCGTCTGGTATCTAGGTGGATTGGGGAAATGAAGTACTTTTGTCCCGTCGACTTGCATATCCACGTGATGTCTAGGCTGTGACATCACATACTGCCTTCATTAGCCTACCAGTATACCATCCTCTTCCCTCACCTGCAGCTGCTTCACCCATGTCGGAAAAATACCCCATCGGAACGCGCTCGGAAAGCGAGGAGCTTGTTCGACAATGGGGATTCCAACACATCTTCACTTGGACTGATGGAGGGTATGTAAACTCCATGGACTTGCTACAGTCGCAAACAAAACATCAGCATGATCTATACCCGATTTCTCGCAATCGTATCACTGGCTTGAGCCTTGCTTGGGCACCTAGATCTAGACTGACACCTGGTAGCAATGCTCATTATTCCCCGCATACCCATTCCGGTCTCACGACACACCTGATCCGCCGAGGCACTCTAACAATCACCTACCCGGAAGATAATGCAGAATTACACAATGGGCAAGTGAAGAAAGAGACGTTTGGTGTTGGAGAGAGGATTGATGTCCCAGCTGGAAAGGTTCATGAGGTGTGGATTGGGCGTGAAGGGTGTGAGTATGTGATTGGGGAATAGTCAAGTTCAGATGGCTGCAATGTTGTGTGAAAGATTGCAATTATGGGAACATGTAAATACGAGAGCAACTTTGGAATGCTTTCATCTTTGCATTATCTCAAATGAGCCCAGCTCATTTCAATTCTCTACTGTGTATTTTGGGGGATTCTATTTCGTGAAAAGGTATCTAGTGCAAGAAACGGAAGTCGACTCTGCGCGAATGTTAGTCTTTGGTCTTATCCCACATGCACAAACTTCAGTCAACATACCTCTTGTTTCCGAGGTCTTTGTTCTCGGCAACGTATCTTGTCTTTTCCTCGCTGGACATGTTATCCCAGATAGCGGCATTTTGCCTGGTGCATAATTAGCATGTGAAGCATTGGGACACGGTATCTCCAGCTGAACTCACTTGTTGCGCCAGACATAGTATAACTTAGCAACGATGAAAAGGAAGGCGCTCCACACCGAAAGACCAATAAGGACTTTATTACCAGTGCGGTAGTACGGTTTATCTTCGGTGCGGTAAATCTGTAAAGGTCAGTCATGAATCCCAGTAGTAGAGGGCCAACCAAAACTCACGTTGCTTCCAATAATGCTACTCGCCTGGACCATCATATTGTAGACGGCACTTGCGACTGTCCTCGTTCTAACGGATCCGGCATTCCGAGACGTGATCGCGACGATAATCGCATGGACGTAGGGCATACCGATCAGCATGATCAGCAAAACCCAGCGAGCCCAGGTACTAGCGTCTGCGGGCAGAAGCTCCAAAGCGATGAGGAGAGCGAGAGCCCAGATTTCAGCACCGACGCCCAGAAGTAGTCGTTGGTTGAATCGCTCACTAAACCAGGTCCAGATCAACAAATTGATGATGAAGATCACATAGGCTGGGATGGTGAGAAGGTTCGAGTGGAAAGTACTGAAGCCAAGCGACTTCAGCTCCAAACTGATGTATGATGTCGCGGGGGTATTGGGAATCATCCAGGTCAGACCAAGGAGGTAAATGACCCACATGTCGTAGTCCTTCAAAGCTTGCCAGAGGAGCTTGGGAGTAACGGCTTGGCGATTGTGCATGCTTCCCTTGCTAGGATCGTCTCGCAGAACGCGGTTGACCATGATCTTCTCTTCGCGCTCATTGAACCAGCCGTCCTTGCCACGGAACCGACCTGCAGTTTGGGTGGGAGAAGGAGGCATCCAGACTGCTGCGACAATTCCAATCAAGCCTGTGATCAAACCTTCCAATGCGAAGAGGTACCGCCAGCCTCCGGTACCGTCGGACTGTCGGATGTGAAGGAAACCAAATGCCAGGAAAGCGCTGATGATCGAAGTCGCTTCATACGTGACCCAGAAGTAGCTGAGACGGATGGGCAGCTCCTTGGACTTGTACCAGAAGGAAAGGAAGAGAATAGTGTCTGGGATGAATCCACCCTCGATTAGACCGAGCAGAGCGCGGGTGGCGAAGAAACCACTCCTGTTCTTGATAAATGCCTGGCATGCGGCGATGAGACTCCATGTCACCATCTGGACTGGAATCCATCGGTCGGGGCCGAGCCATTTTGACAGAAGTTGCGAAGGCAGCTCGGCGAAAAGGAAAGTAAGATAGAAGATCGTTTGACCGGTGTTGTAGTCGTTAGTGGTCATTCCAAGATCGTCTAGCATATTATCCGAGGTTGCTTGGACAATGTTTCCTCGGTCAAGCTGGAGTGCGAAGAACGTAACGCAGGCGAATGTGCAGACGCGCCAATCAATCTGCGACGATTAGATTGAAATTTTTCCCAGTGTATGCTTTCTTGAAATACCTTCTTCACCACGGCTTTCTCTTCCTGCTCGGTCCATTCGAAATCAGGGTCCCAGCGATGCGCACCCTCATATTCAGGGATGGGCTTATAATACCGCGGATCCTCTGTGGTGTCGAAAGCACAGTCGGTCTTTGCCATTTGCGCGCGAGGTCCATCATATGTCGAAGAAGAAGAAGACTCTGCCGACGAGACTGTGGGCTGAAGCTTCGAATCCGTGCCCCGGGCATCGGATCCCGTATCCTTGACTTCTTCGATCGCCATAATGCACTTTCCAAGGCCGGTGCTCGAATCCAAGATGTCTGGATAAAACCGGAAATCTCCCTCTATAAAGGCTGGAATCCTGCCCTGACGTTTAGGTATCACGCCATTTGAGGCTTTTGCCTTGACCTTGGTGTATCCACGCGTGCAGGAGAAGATGCGCGAATAGGAAGGTGTCAATCCAGTCTAGTAAGATGTGCATGGGCAATTGAGGGTCCCAATTGCGATCGATTCAGGTCCACATGGTCGGCCTTTGTGGTGTTCTGGCTACAGAGGCGTAAGCTTGTTGGGGCTAAGACGCGACGAAAACGCTTGTCGAGGGTGCATGTCGGCAAGTGTCCGCAGATAAAGCATTCCGTGCAATCAGATGCTGCCATTTGAAACGATAAAGACGAGAAGTTGGAGTGCTATCCAGTTGCGAGGAGGCTTGGCTCTAGCACGCAACATGCGAGAGAGTGACGTTAGGAGTGCTAGTCGTCTCCACTACTCCCGAGGTATACGAAGACCTCTTTTCCTGGTCAATCATTTGCTTTCTTTCTACAATCAACTCCGTAGAATGGCCTTACTCGTGCAGCTTGTTTCATATCAATCTTCCTAGTTCCTGTTTCAGCCTGTTGGTAAGGCTTAGTGGGTGATAGTTAACTAGCTAGGGCTGATACTACTACTGTAGTGTTGTAGTATATTTTACAACATCGCCAATTAAAAAGTCTTGATCATGATATTATATAAGGGCGAGCCCTTGGGAATTTGACTGGACATCAGGTTCAGAAAGTGAATCCGAGAAAACCCTCCGAAATCCTGTCGACGCGGAGGATTTTCTGTACCATTTACCATCACGCCATCCGCAAGGAAATTGACACCAATTTGAGGTCCAATCACCACATTCTGGAATTCCAGGAATTCCAGACTCTGCAAATCACGACGGTTACCACTGGACGCACGCCATTTCACGGCCGATAGTCGAGCTAAGTACCTTTTGAGGGATGTTCACCTACAGGGGTACAACCCTCCTTATAGCTCCCCGCAGTCAGGCTCGTCGGCTCCGTCGCTTACGATGATCGCGAAGGTTACTTCAGTCAATCAGATATCAAGTCAACCCCGCAAACATGGCGCAATTCGTGTTCCTCGGATTGAGTGTGCCGACGGATGTATATAATAGCACAATCCCTCCGGCCGTCCAGGCCTCTTAAAAGGCGTCGCCAACCACCCCCTGCTCAATACTGAGAATCTCAACCTAATTACATCTACCGGACACATCATGGCTCCTGGTCTTACGGATAATGTTGGCCTACGGGCTCCAACAACAGTGGTCCCTCTCAAGTCGGACGCTGGTCACAACAAGGAGAATTTGATCGGCTATAAATATGAGAAAGATCACGAGCTCAAGGGTACAGACAAACTGCCTCCTGCTACCTACCCGGAATATCTTCCCGTCTGGGATAACGAAACAGAGAGGTTTGTGCTACAACATGGACCCGGGTTGGAATAGATCTGAGCTAACTGGCACGATATAGATACCCCCCTCTCGAACCATTCGAGCACTATGACCACGGCAAAGACGCGGACCCTTCATTCCCCGATCTGTTCCCCAATGGCCAAGGCGATGTCGACGAAATCACACCATTCATCGGATCTGAAGTACATGGCGTACAGCTGAGCCAGCTTTCCGACAAGGCGAAGGATCAGTTAGCCCTCTACGTTGCACAGCGTCGAGTTGTTGGTATGCATTCTCATTCTGGCAGAGCAGGCTCTGTAGCATATCACGTTAACGACAAGCAGCCTTCCGTGATCAGGACTTCGCCTCACGCCCCATCCAAGAAGTCGTCGACTATGCCGGCTACTTCGGCCGTCACCACATTCACCAAACCTCAGGAGCTCCCAAGGGCTTCCCCGAGATTCATCTAGTTCACCGCAGTGCCGACGACCGCACAGGCGCAAAGTTCCTGGAACAGCGTACCAACACCATCACCTGGCACTCGGATGTTACTTTCGAGAAGCAGCCCCCCGGCACCACCTTTCTGTATGTTCTTGATGGTCCCACAACAGGTGGTGACACTCTTTTCGGCGACATGGCGCAGGCATACAGGCGTCTGTCGCCTGATTTCCAGAAGCGTCTGCATGGTCTCAAGGCCGTGCATTCTGGCATTGAGCAGGTGAATGCCAGCTTGAATGGGGGTGGTATTGCTCGCCGTGACCCGGTTACTTCTGAACATCCCATTGTGCGAACACACCCCGTCACCGGTGAAAAGGCACTTTATGTGAACCCGCAATGTAAGTGAATGATGAATGTCGGACAGTCGCTCTTTTATTGACGTTCCATCAGTCACGCGTTACATCGTCGGATACAAAAAGGAGGAGTCAGAGTATCTGCTCAAGTTCTTGTTCGATCACATCGCTCTTTCGCAAGACACACAGGCCCGCGTTCGCTGGAGACCCGGCACTGTCGTCGTCTGGGATGTAAGTCGTTGGAAACCCAGAAACCAAACGGAACAATGTCTAACTTCTTCCAGAACCGTCTCGCCTGCCACTCGGCTGTCTTTGACTGGGAGGATGGTCAGCGCCGACACATCGCCCGTCTCACGCCTCAAGCGGAGCCGCCTTACGAGACTCCGTTCGAGTAAATGATCGAGTCCGCATCCTATTGGGCCTTGCAAGCCACCATATAACGACAAGCGATATTGATAGTTTAGAGAAAAGAATGAAGAACAGTTCCATCTCATTGGAATACCATCATAGATAGCCTGAATCATGCAGTATATCCACCTGGGCATGCTCAAGCTGATCCCCGGCTGTATCGGCTCAAAAGCCCAACTTGCCATTCATTGAATTTCCTCGCAGACGTAGGGAGGATCAGATTGCTGTCTCGAAGTGCGGTCCATGTTGCCTCGAATATCATTGTGGGAAGCTCGAGTTCTTCCACAGACAATGGTGACGGATTTCCGATCTCCGGGTGCAGTAATTCATCCACGTCGTCTGTCTCTTGGAAAAAGACTTTCATAGCCTGCTGGGCCATGACACTGTGTCCTGGGTTCGAGTTCGAGTATCGCATGTCCGGGTTGAAGACCCAGAGCTGGGGGAGATGTGTTAGTGCGTTGAATTTGAATAGATGGTATTGATGCTCACCAAGAGGCCGCTCTTTTGCCCACAGTGGACGACGAATCGTCGAGCGCTTTCGCGTTCAATTAATTCCAGTACTTGAGCTGCGACAATGACTTCGGCCGAATGGGTTTCCCAGCCTGCTTCTGTGTCGAGGTCCTGTTTGATATTCAAGGAAACATTTGCTTTCAACAATCGCCATCCCTTGGCAATGGGGTCTTCCATGCCGATGATGGATCTGCACTTGGTGCAGTGCAATGTTCTGGCTGCAAAGAATTCAGTGCTGGATTTCCGTTCTTCGTCGTTGACCTAAGACGTTGTGTTAGCATTCTAGATTGGACTTAGGTTTGAGAAACAAGGTAGATAATAAAGCATTGTAATTATTCTTGTTATATCAATATTACTCCGAGCATGCAAGACTTGCGGCTCTGGAGGTGGTATGTGCCTCTTATAATCACGCCTACTTTGCCAATCAAAAAAGCCGGCGCTGAAAGGAGAGGGTACCTTGAGCCACAAAACAGCCGAAAAGCAACCTGCACAAGTCCATCCTCGCAAACCCCAAGAGCGAAATCCATCTGGGAACAGAAGATAACTACTCTTGTGGTCTGGGATTCTGTACCCATGAAGACCACCTCCGCTGATTGCAGACACACAAAGTAGTGGTCAAGTTCATATTGGGCAATAGTATCGGAGGCCACCCCACTGAGAACTGAGTGGTCCCCTTCTAAGTTGCCCTATTTGTGGGTGTGGTAGGACAGGAAGTGATCGGAATACTGGAGTACCATGGAGGTGATCTTGGGAGAAGGAGGGTAATCCATACCTTTACAAGTCCACTGCAATCCGACTCGGCAAGCAGGAAGGTCGCAACATCAATAAGGACAGTCCCAGGTATTGCTACTACCTGACTGTCGGCGCCATATCCCTTGGTCTGTGCGGTTTGGTCCTCAATCCGGAGTGCAGATTCCTTCTCGTCTTTTCCATGTCCTTCATGCGTATCAGGCTTGTGACAATGCCAAAAGTCCATCATTTCAGCCCAGTTCCCACTGGGTAGGTCTTTCCAAGCCCAGGTCTGGACTGAATCATCGTCCCCATCACCCGTATTTTCAGATGTAGAAGAGCCTAGGAGATGCTGCTCACACTTCCGACACCGAATGCGCGTCGAAGCCGACATCTTATCCGCTGTCCAAGGCACGAAATCATCAATTAGTTCATCGCGAGGCGCCAGCGCCTCGTCATTGGCATCAACCTGCATTCGGAAGGAGAACTCGAATGGTCCACCATTTGCCTTGGGCGTTGGTTTTATTCTGGTCTGTAGGGCACGTCGAGACGCGTCGGAAACACGCGCTGGAAGCTTGATCGTCTCCGTGGTATCCTGGAAAGGGGATGGCAACGAGACCGTTACGGCTTTTCTTGATTGTGACAGTTGCACATCTGGGTGGATGTCCTTGAAAGCTGCAGTCCCGGGGAGAGAAACGTAGAGTGTTGTTTGACGGATATTGGGAAGGAACTCGGCGTGGAGACGCAATGACACTTCGGATTCCTGCATCATGAAATGTGGGTGCTTGCGAGCGCTGCGCGTGAGGTTAGTGTAGAGACACGGTGTTTGGAGTTCTCGAGGTTGAGCTGAGAAGGATGTGTTTATCACTCTCCAGTCGAGCTCACCTGCGACAAAGTTCGCGAAACAAACGGATCAAATATGTCACGTGCTCTGATTGATAACATGCAATGCGTCATATGATACAGTTTGCCTCAGGCGACGATCCCAACAATCCCATCCAACACATCAAAGACAATATTCTCCAACCACATTCAACATGCTGAACATATCATGGCCATCGTTACCCTCGCTGAGCCTCTTTTCGTCTTCGCCGCGGCAGGCGATCAAATTGCCGCCTGTCCAGGTTCATGAGACGGAGACAGCTCACGAGAAGCCGGCTCGGGCGTTGAAGCACCTATTGAAGCTGGACCATGTTGAGAATGGTCTCTTTGACCGAAGAAGATTTCCGAGTCAAATGCCCCATGTTAGTATTTCGGTTTTGTCGTTACAAGGACGATTCCCGTCGAGAATGCGGTCAGATCACGGTACTAACTCAATTATAGCTTTTGAGCTCCTCGTTCCTGCAGGGGGCTGATGCAAATGACCTGGGTCGTATCTACGAATCTCAGGTAAATGAGGTGGTGAAGTGGAAAGATTCCCCTGCAGAAATTACCACTCTAGACTGGCGCAGCCATCTAGGACGTCGAGAGTATGTAAAAGCCGCAGTCTGCTTTCTGGGCATTCAAAGGGTTTCACTAACAGCGCCAATTAAACAGGTTTGATCGAGCTTTTGTTGACTTTTTCGAAGATGAATTGGTCCGTCTCGGCTATGACTGGAAGCAGGTCGTAGATGAGTACCTGTTCAATGGACAGGAGCCAGTCTTCGGTTCTATCATGGCTGATCGTACGTGTCGTGACGCAAGAACCTGTGGTCTTCATTCTCTAACTTTTCTCTAGTTGGTCTTCCCTTGGTTCATCTCGCATATGCTTTTGAGATGAATAGCCGAGAGGTCGGCATGGAAGCCCTTGGTCTGGCCGCAACATGCTACAATGAGACATACAGCTCCCTTGCAACAGTGCACCCAAGTCACAAATCATCCTATGAATCGAAGTCAGTCTTCGACATCCTGACTCGTGTTCAGGCGGATAAAGCCTTTGATGGCCTCTTCCCTACAGCAGGCAGTGATAACCTCGAATCCCTGCTCACATCTCGCAACCCTGCGATGATGTCCCACTGGAGCGCATGGAAGATCGAGAATCCCCTAGAGCAATTCCGCGAGAGCCAACAGCTCGCGGCTGCATTGCTAGTTGGAACATCCGAGGGAGAATCAAGCGGTTACTATGATTGGTTCTTTGCCATGGCCCTTGTAACCAGCCATGCCGTCCGTGTCATGCTTCCGATCATTCCCGCTCAGTACCAGATTCACCTCGTTCAACAATGGTGGCTGAACACCATTGGGATCTACATTTCGCAGTTGCGACCTGAGATTGACATGGGTCGGATTCGCGAGTACGATCCGGAGGGAAAGGACTGGGAGTGGGTTTCTCGACAGGCGGTTACCGGGGCTTATTCTACGGATCCCTGTTTTGTTCAGACTACGCGTGCGCTGAAACAGCAGGCTGAAACCTGGGGAGATCATGATCGCCTCTTCTTGAAGGCTGCAGTGCGCTTTGTTACTGAGTTCGAAGGGTGGAGGGGCAATTTCGTTGGGTTTGAATTGTAGGCCCCGGGGGTCTTCTTCGGTTTGTAAATTCCGATCTCTACTCACTATAATATCTACGATGTAATGAGGTTTCCAACACAAAAAGAATGCATTTGGTGTTGATTGCAACGACTTTGGCACCTTAAGACATAATGAGCAAAGGCTGAAAATGTGAAATTGTATGCTATCAAGTATAAAATCTATTGTGTACACCCAACCATTAGATCTATTGCTTGTGCTGTTCCACGAAGGGTATGGGCTGTTCTGGCTGGGGGCCAGCTTCTCCAGTGAAGACCTCAACCTCGATGCGAGGGCCGACGAAGTTCTTACGTCCGTCCACGAACCATTGGATGGTAGAAATGATAAACACGATTCCGAACGCCGCAACGCAGTAGTCTTTAGCAACTGAGTTAGCCAAAGCCCTGTAGAATGTGACCTAGTCAACTTACTCATGCTGCTACCAGTGGCAGGAATAGAGGGAGGGAAGAGGAACAGAATTGTGGTCAGAGAGATATAAGCGACCGAGATCTAAGAAACGAATGTTAGCAGTTGTCTCGATCGAAACGTTTCTTGTAACAACATACCATGTTGATGGTCCAGCCAAACCATGAGGCCAGAGTGAAGGAACGCTCGGGGAGCATCCTTCTTCCTCGGAGACAGTTCACCGCAATGGGCATGGCGTATGAGATGTCAAGTAGCACCACTGATGCTGATACGATAGCGTTGAAAGCACTGGATGATCCCAGGAAAATGCAACCAAAGATGGTCACAAGGGCCAAGTTGAGGTAAAGCGAGTTCAAGGGGACGTTCAGCTTGGGGTGCACACGAGAGAAGAAGGGAGAGGCAGGAAGGCCACCGTCACTAAATCTTGTCAGTAAACTTACTCATGTTGGAATACAGAATGATTGAGTAAGCTTACCGTGCGAAGGCATAGATCATGCGACTGCTAGTTGTCATGATAGCTGTAGCGGCGAAGAGGACACAGACGAGAGGGAAGCTGGAGACAGTCAGTACATCTTCTCGTCGACAGATAAAAAGCACACGTACATCAACAAGCAGATAGCACCGGCGTTGCTCTGTGTGGCGTTCTTCAGGATGGCGAGCAGAGGTGTTGCGGCAGATTCGATGATCTTGTTGATATCGCCAGCAACGAATAGCAAGCAGATGAGGAAGATTAGACCAGTCACAGTACCGATTCCAACGCAGGCGATCATGATCTTAGGGCCTTCGATCGAGGGGTTGGGAATTTCTATCATCCGTTAGTCTTCAGTCCCAGATGGGATTCAGGAAAAAGCATACCTTCGATCATGTGTGCTACTCCATCGAAGCCGGTAACACCGAGACCTCCTTGCAAAAGCTGTGGATAGGTTAGCATTGTTGGTGAACGTTAATGCAAGAGACATACTCCAAGCAACCAGGCAACTCCGTCAGGCCCTAGAGAAAGTCAGTTTGATGAATGCACATGTCGTTCAGAAGAGACTCACATCCTGTGGTGTTGATGAAATCGGAGAACACGAATCTGCACTTGTCAGCTGAATGAATCCTCTGCTTCGCAATCATGAACGTACTCTGCGGAGTTATACTCTGGCGAGGCGCAGGACAGAATGGTGATACAAATGACAGCAAAGCCTGTCAAGGACCAGATAACTTGGAAGAGTCAGCGGCAGTGTGTATAGTGCAAATGAAAGATAACTCACAGGCGCCCTTGGTGACATAAGGCAGAATGTTGTTCATCAAGGCGTTAATGATGAAAGCAACAATGTTGTATGCGAGGTAAATCAAAAATTGATGCCAGCGCTGAGGCTCGTATGCCTATTTCGGCTGTCAGAAACATACACGTACGAACAGGCGACTGTGTACTCACAGGGTTCATCAGTGAGATAACACCGAGAATAAGCTCACTGCCCAGGAGACCACCGGTTGCGACCAGCGCAACCCAGCCGGAGCAGTTGACCCAGCCGGTGATCCACGACAGAACGGGCATCCAACTTCTCCAGGAAGTCACAGCCACCCAGTGATATTGACCACCAGCGGTTGGGTACGCGGACAGAAATTCGGCCAATGAAGTGGCCATGCACAAGTTACAGATACCGGCTGTAAGGAGACCTGTACGGAGTACCTTGTTAGCATTGACTTCTCAATGGATGACACGAAGGACGCATACCCCAGACCACACTGGCACTTCCGCCAGACGGCAAACTGAGAGACAAACTCGCCGACAGAGCGGTCCATGACTGCTCGGAATTAGTTGTGAATTTTCCACGCCGATCGAGTGACGTACGTTTAGAATCGCAAAAGCAAGACCCAGCATGGAACTGTGAGAAGACACGGTTAGCAGACAGCTCATCCCACAACATTGTCAGGCACGTACATTAAAGAGAAATTGCGCTTCAATTCAGACTTATGGCCCATCTGGGCCAGCTGAGTATCGTCATTATTGTATTCGTCCTTGTCCATGATGTGTAGGGATGACCAGCAAGGGAGAATAGAGGAGGAAAAATTCCCGGGAGGACAGCCATATTAAGTCAATTGCAACATGACGACAGGTCGAATATCACTTTCCACAAAGTCCCCCAGAGCCACTCCACGCGGGGGAAACATTGCATAGACGTGTTACCTAACGACTTGGGGTCGTCAACGAACGAATGCGATAACTGGCCGTGTCGCTGATTGGCCAGGCGGACCGAATCCGGCGATCTCGGCCACTCACAGGACACGGCATCATCGGGCCCTGCGAGTCTTGGCTCGCGGACCGATGAAAACATGGCTCGTGGCGGCAGCCCCAGAGCTTATGCCCGTCCACGTTTCTGATTGGTGGGAAGATGCCCCACATGGAGCAACACACGCGGGGAACTTGCACCTGGGGGGAAGTGGGTGGTCGTGGAGGACACCTAAAGGCGAGAATATCCCGGACAATGCTCTTCCGCCCACAGCCAAGATGTTGTAGATGAATGTTGAGGTCGTCTTGGCTCGGAATGTGCCCGTCTTGTCCCAGTTTCATGCTCTGATAGGAGATTGGGTCAATGTGGATCAGTGGGGCTGAACCTTGCTATCGCTACAAATAAGCCTATGTAAACGATTGTCGCTCTTCACCGGGCTCTCTGCCTTATCGATTTACACTTACTTCTACAGGGCTTCTAGCGGGATCTGCAGGGGCAAACCGTGTCATCTTCCCGTATTTTGACTGATTCCGTCTTGTCCGGGCCTCCAATCGGAGCATACGCCGTATCTACATACCATCTGGCATTCTCATGTTCCGAGAACGCAGGGTATCGAATCCTATCAGTACCTCAGTCTCCACCTGGTCAGATTCATCAAATAATATGTGGTCATTGAGGAGGCGACGGAGTATTCGCTGGCGACCAGAAAGACAAAGAAGAGAGAGTCGAATTGGCTGAAGGAACTGAAAGGAAAGAGAGAGCTACCCTACTACAGAAAGCCTGAGGGCACATGACCTAGCCTCCACAACACCTGTTATTTGAGCCCGCCCAGTTTGGATTAATATATGAAATATCTTCGCGATGCGCACTGGTGGAACACAATTTGATAAGTTTTTTCTTCGTCAAACATCAGCATCCCACCTCATCGCTCCGAGAAGCTAATCCACCGGTATAAAAGTAGAATTTTGCCACGCAATAAGAGAGCTGACTGGAACCCTATTTCCGGTGCACATATTGCAGAAATGTGTTTGAAAATACTCCTGCATGTCTCACGGAGGACTGGCTATTCGGTGGAGTGAAAAGGGACCTCGGGAGCATCTAGACAGGCCCGACTAATCTTGGCTTTCCCTTTCCGTTTTTGCGCTCACCCTTCAAATGTTGCCACTTTTTGCTCACTAAAGCCGAGCACCCGTCAACTGGTGGGCACCCATGACCCATGAATGTTACATTAGAGGAATGTCGAGTGCCGAATGCCCTCAGATAGTCAATGCGGGGACAAGCGAGGAATTTTCCTACTTTTAAACAGTTATTGTCTAACCGGGCCCAGAGGCCTATTGGGTGTCGAGATGACTTCTGATATCGAGAGCGTTTTCGAGTGCTCGCCCGACCAGGGAAGGATGATGGAGGTGACGAGCGTCGAGGAACTAGCTGAAGTCATCTGGGACACACTTCGCGGAGATAGTTCGGGCATGTCAACCGACTCTTCTTTCACTGACTTTGAGGACAATGGTTCGCGGACACCCTGCAGCCAGGCCTCTGTCGATGATGCCATGCCATACAACCGAGGCGATATCAAGAAGCGCCAGCATCTGGCGCAGTCCTTTGTCGACAAGTACATGGCCGAGTTTACGTGTCCTCTTCCATCCACCAATGATGCAGGCCTTGATGCACCGAAAAGTGCCGTGGTGGTAGTGACTGGCGCCACAGGTAGCTTGGGATCGCATGTCATCGCCCGACTTGCTGTGAGTCCCTCTGTTGGAACCGTCGTGTGTCTCAACCGGCCTGGAAAGCAAGATTCGGCATTGAGTCGGCAGCAAGATGCACTCTCTTCTAAGGGCATTCAAATATCCGCAGAGGCCCTTGCGAAGCTTCACGTTCTGGAAGCCACCACATCCGACTAGGCTGGGACTGTCCGATGAAGACTATGCCTGGCTAGTCACGAATGTTACTGACATTATACACTGCGCTTTCCCTCTCAGTCCTACGCAGACCGTGAAAGGATTTGAGAAGCAATTCGTGGTAATGCGCAACTTGATCGACCTCGCACGGGAGGTCGCCTGCAAGAATCCCAACCAGAACTTCCAGCGCCGCCGGTTTGGTTTCCAGGTCGTCTCGTCCGTCAGCGTGGTTGGCTTTTCCGAGCAGCATCCCGTCCCTGAGGAGCTTCGGGGAATTGAATGCGCACAACCTATTGGATACTCGGAAGTCAAGTGGGTGTGTGAACACATGCTTGAGGCAACTCTGCGCCAGCACCCAGACTTCTTCCGCGCAATGTCAGTGCGATGTGGGCAAATCGGAGGATCCAGCAAGACTGGATTTTTCAACAACAATGAACACATCCCTTTTATGATCAAGTCGGCCCAAAGTCTAGGTGCCTGGCCGGACCTTAGTGGAGACGGCTTGTGGGTTCCTGTTGATCACATTGCTTCCCTCATGACGGAGCTCATCCACGTCGAGGATGCAATCGAGGACACCTCCGTTGCGAATGCGGTCTATCACATCGAACACCCAATGGGCAGGGCCTGGAAGGACTATATACCGGTGATTACCAAGGAGCTTGGTATTCCCGCCGATGGGGTCATACCAGTCAAGGACTGGGTGACCAGGATCAAGACTTCGAAGCTTGATCGAATCTCGAACCCAGCAGCTCTCTTCGGTGATTTCTTCTCGAGTTACTATGTACCTTTGATGTGTGGACGGGCTCTGGATTCAACGCAGAGCAGAGCAGATTCGAAGACAATGGCAGAATTGGAGCCTGTCAGTGATGACACCATGAAGTTATATATTGATGGTTGGAAAAAGAGTGGATTCCTTTGAGCGGTGATTCAAGTACCGGCCCGCTTATTCTCAGACACCACAACCATAGCTCGCCGCCGAACTGATGTGCTAAGCTGACAATGAGAAATACCTTGGAAGTTAAGAGTGTGAGTCATCCTTGGAGACGACGACTTCTACGCGGTTTGGAAGCGAATTTTTGAAACGTCGGACTCATTCATTGCACTACCCATCAGCGTAGGAAAAGCTTCAAATGTACAGATAAGAAATAGGTATATCAAGTCACCATAGTAGATACAAGGGCTGCATCCATCACAGCCTGGAAAACGGTAGTGATGCAGGTAATATATGCAAAAGCTCTATTCAGCCTGCTCCCTGGCATTGGCCAAATGATCAGTCCGAACGATATAGTCATCCTCACCATCGATGTTGCCATCGGTCATTCCCTCCTCATCACCATCGGCCGATCCATCAGACTCGGCCGTGCTCTTTCCCTTTCCTTTCTTGCTACTCTTGCCCTTGCCTTTGCTGCTGGTAGATTGGCCACTGGCGCTGCGAGAAAGGCCGCCCGACAACTTGTTCAGCCCTTTGATACGGCCTCGGACGCTTCCCGTCGGGGTTCGTTCGCCGGTGGATGACGCTCCGTCATCTAGTGGAGCTGCGGCACCGCCTAGGTTAAATGCTTCCATTGCCTCTGCGATCGTCTGAGGTGCTGCGGCGCCGGGGTCTTGCTTGGACTTGTCCACTGCTTCGAATGTGTTTCGGATTCGCTCAAAGTGTTCGAGTTCCTTGGCACTGTATGGTGTTAGTATAATATTCCGAGAGAACAAGTAGTCGGTTCCATCAGAAGAAAATTACATACCTGACACTGGGGACAAGCTCTCCTTGAGCAGACAAGAAGTCTTCCTCCATAACTAGCACATTCACATCTTCTGGGGTAGCTAGGTGGTCAAAGAACCAAGCAGTGCTGACGGGGCCGTTAGGCAGGGCCTTGATCTTGTCGTCCACAGCTGTAGCTTTTCGGGTAATGGCCTTCAACATGGCATCAGAGCAGAGCGCATAGAGATCAGCACCAGTGTACGTTAACGGAAGCTGCTCGGCGACACGGTCAAGGGAGACTTCAGGGTGAAGGGCGAACTTTCGAGTCAGAGCCTCGAGGATAGTCGCCTGTTTCCTGTGGGTGTCTGAAACACCCAGGTACAGCATCTTGTCGAAACGGCCAGGGCGAAGGAGGGCTGTGTCAAGCAGATCGGGACGATTGGTTGCGCCAATGACGAACACACCACCGCTGTTCTCCTCGCCGCCGTTCATACCGTCCAGCTCTGCAAGCAGTTGACTGACGATACGATCCATCACACCACCGCTGTCTCCTTGGTTACCACGTTTGGGCGCAACGGAATCCAACTCGTCGAAGAATACAACGCAAGGACGAGCATCGCGGGCACGTTGGAATACCCGACGCACATTTGCCTCGGATTCACCAATGTACATGTTAAGCAATTCAGGACCCTTGACGGAAAAGAAGTTCAGAGAGAACTCGGTTGCAATGGCCTTCGCAAGGAGTGTCTTTCCTGTACCAGGAGGGCCATAGAACAAGATGCCACTGCGCTTCTTCATGCCCTTTGCGAAAAGCTCTGGTCGTTCGAGTGGCAACTGGATGGTCTCGACCAGAGCGTCCTTGACATTGGTCAATCCACCAACGTCGTCCCAACCGACGTTTGGAATCTTTGGTGCGCCGATCGAATCAGCGAAGTTCTTCCGAGCAGCTTCAACGGCAAAGTCGAAGTCCGCCTTGTTGACACCGCGCGCACTGTCACCTCCTGCCAACAGAACGTCTCTCACGAAGACCTCAGAACCGGATAGCTTCTTACTTGCTTCCGCTAAACCTTCGAGGCGAGTTGTTCTCGCTCCAGCAGCTCGCTCCACGACATCAACGAGGTCTCCTGCGACAAGTGCGGCTGTTTTGAGGGCAATGGTTCCCAGCTCGACATCAGCAGCAAGCTTGATGCCACGCTCAGCGACGGCGTTGTTCAAGATTCCCTCACGTTCTTTCTCCTCCGGAGCACCCATCTCGAACTCGTGGGTGATGAGGCTGCGAATACCTTCAGGAATTGATTCAACATCGGTGGTGGTTGCAATGACAACCCTAGCATCCGCCAAGATATCAGTCATTGCAGTCACAATGCGATCAGCAGTAAGCACCTCAATGTGCCTGATCAGCAGAGAGGTGCAGTTTGCTCCACAGTGGAAAGCCCGTTCGGCGCGCGCCTTGAGGTATGCCTCTGTCTTAACATCGCCGCCATTTGCACCGCCTTCAGTCAAGATATCATATGCGTCAATGGGGAATGTGTGGAGACCGATATCTGCACCAGCCCGAGTTGCGACCGTTGCCTTGCCAATATGTCTCTGTTGTGATGTGAGCAGAATGAAGACAGGCTTCATCCCCAACTGAATAGCTCTAGGGCTTGTGGCAGCGGACATCAAGTCCCGGATACGCTGCTGCAGAACTGGGGTGAATGATTGAGGTGGATCGGCAATGATGCCATGAGGTGCCGGAGCGTCATGGACGCTCTTAGGGATCGTCTTAACACCTAGCCAGTACTCCCACCCATTATCCAACACGCCAGGAACTCGGCTGACGTCGCTTCCAGCCTGAACCATGCGAGTGGTTGCTGGGTCGAGGACGGCAACTCCACCCCATTGATCTTCGCCTGTCTCCTCAAGCTCCTCCACAGCAGTCGGTGCCACCTGGCCCACACGGAACCAGGCAACGCCGATTTTGCGGGCGCCAGAGCTCCCAGAATTGGAATTCTGGCCTAATCTGATTGTTATGTCTTCTTCCTGATTGGCACTGTCACCGCCAGCAGTTCCAGAGAAGACCGCTCTGCCAAGTCCTTCATCAACACTGATGCCGACCAGGTCGCCGCTCTTGAGGATCCGTCGGCGCGACTCAAAGTACTGCTTCAGTCCTGCGAATAGCGCAGGCTGGAGAACGCGATCCATCGAAAGGGGGGTTGAAAGCTTAAGAAGTGTGACTTCTTTCGCCAATGGTGGGTTCTTGATAGCAGTGTTCTTCATGTGGTGTAGGAGACCAGGCTTGGAAGCTCCGTTTTGAGCCGCAAATGTCATGGGAGAGATTCGTAGGTATTTGGGATTATCGATGTTACCAAGAAGTAGCGGAGGGACAAAAACGGAAGGGGTCAGGCGAGTTGGTGGGCGTTGGGGGATACTAGATCGACGTTCGCCGGAGTGGTTAATTGCATATCGTGGTTTGGATGACGGAAGGCCTGACAGGCCAAAGATCTTGACTGGGCGCCAATCGCCGGAGTCTTCGGGGGAGTCATTGAAGCTTCCGAACTTGAGTGAGGCAAACATATTCATTTGAGGCTCCTCGGCGGCCTCGATCCTGACCCAGTCACCAGAGAAGCACCCGATCTTGGCCAATGTGCTGATGTCCACGAAGATGAAGGCGTCGACATCTTCATCATCACGGGGTCGTGGATGAAGCACCTCGTTGGGGACTTGTTGCAAGAGACCCTCAACTTTGAATGTCTTTCCTCCACCACGGCCGGGACGCATGGTGGCCGATGTGAAGTTTGATGCTACAGACCCGGGTGTGTGAATTCCATCCATTCGACGGCCACCGGCTCTTGGGGTCGCCGAGGTGAGAGCAGACATAGCTCCAGACGCAGGCTGGGGCAGCTCGGGCGCACTCAGGGAAATCATGTCTTCCAAAGAGTCATCCGAGGAGTCGCTCATAGAACCAACAGAGCCCTCTGTCTCTGACTCCTCGGCAGCGGATGTAGCTTCCATTTCTGTTCCACTTTCACCTGGCTTGTCTTCCGCGGCGGAGTAGAACTGTTCGTTGGATGTGTCATCGGCTTCGTCTTCGGCCACTTGTTTCAGAAGTGCTGACCTAGATGGTAGACTCTGTTGGGGCCGAAGTCCTTGAGGCCGAGCCTGAACAAGTACAATCTTTGTAGTTGGTATCAGGAGACCTTGCGAAACAGGCTCGCAGAACGAGATTCGTGCAGGCGGGGGCGGCGCGTAGGTAATAGGGTGCGGAGGCAAAGGAAGTGGTAAAACGTCTCCTGTGTGTACTATCCGCTGTGCTCCCAATGCTTCACGAACTGCGACTGTCAGGCGTTGCTCAGCATCTGCAGTGGCGCGCTTCGAATAATTCCTAGCTTCTGCGGTCTTAGCCGACTTGCCCCAGAGTCCATTTGGCCCCTGTGCATTCGTGAATCCTCCGCCGAACTTGTTCTGGATATCGTCATGGTTGCGAAGTAGGTGTCGCTCTACCGTCACGAAAATGGTATCGAGGTGGATGGGAGCAACATCCAGAATTCGGATCTCTACAGACCGATGTGCCTGGAGGGAGTTGCGCGAGCTGTCAACTTTCCCTAGAGCCTGGAGGAAAGGTTGGAGGGAATCGGCGGACTCGGGAAACAAGACGGTGGAGTGTGACAATGGAACTGGCGACCTCTCTGTTGGCTGAATTCGTACCGGGAGTATCGTCCAGGCTTGGTCCTCCACCGTTGTATAGGTCGGGGTATGCGGGGCAATCGCAACATATAGAACTCCATCGTCGGAAGTTGTGACATCTGGCGATAAGGAACACAATTGTTAGTATTCAAGCCATTGAGGTATCCCGACTGCCTTGGCGCATACCTTGGAGAGCCTGCTGCTGGAAGAGGTCGTTGGCTAGATCCTCGGATAAGATGCCGACCTTCCCACGCAGCTGGGGGTCCAATGCCAGGCGCGCTGCGATCGGAGCCTTGCTATTCAATCGACGCTTTCCAGCTCTTCTCCTTCGTTGTCTAGGCTGCTGGGAGCTCTGCCCATACTGTTCGAAGTCCATGGGTGCGGTGTATTGTCCGATTGCCGACGGCAAACGTAGCGGAGGGGTACGGAGAGAGATAGAACGAAAATGCAATCAAAGATCAACCCGGTCAATAAGCGCCCATTAGAGTCTCTCCTACAGGTTCCTGCAGCTTTAGCAGATCACTGGGGGAAGACGAGGTCGGATCCAGAATCCGGGGGAACTCAACACGCGGGCAACTCGGGCGGTGCCGTTCTGCCATCTCCGATGCCGAGGTCGAATCGGCCGGGGCTTATGAAGAGATCCGCACTCCACGGCTATGATACTTTGGCGGTATGGTCGCTTTATGAGCTACTGTGAATCTCCACAGCTTCGAAGAGTAATACTTTGGTTTTGATTCTATCTTTTGCTGAATGCGAGCTCCGAATGTTTGAGCCTTGGAAGTTACCTAGGTAGAATTACAGCAACGGCAGCCATACTCCAGCTCGCATTTCCTGGGGGTTTTACAGGTGTGTTTGAACGGATCCCAACTGGGCATGTTTCAAGTTTCGATCTGATCGAATTGTGTGGGACCGTTTTGGCCACATAGGTAGACAATATGCTCCTGTGCGTCGATCTTTAGGTCGCGGAGATGGGGATATATATCTGAGTCAATATCGTCCACGGTGGGGTAGGGGAAATCTTAGCTACGATCGATCTACCCTGGGACCATCAATTCCACTGGGCAGATTGGAATACGGAGTACAGAAGATTTGCTGGGTTGTAACCCCGTAGGCTCATTTTCATCGAGCGACAGTCATAGAAGTGATTGAGTCCGAACGGCTTTTTTGCCCAGTGGGTGTGTCACTCAATTGTTATCCGAGATGCGGAACCAAACAGCAGGCAGCTTTTTACAGACAGCCTTGAAATCAGTTTTAAATCGCAGCCTGATCTAGCCGGCCATCCATGACGAGCGAGGGGTGACGAATGCACTCTTCGCCGAGGAAGTCAATCAAAGAGAAAAGCTGTTGACTGGATAAAACAGCTTTCCCCGGGCTGCTTATGGGGATTCGCCGATCGTCCGGGCCAGATGAATCGTATGGTGTCAGCCACAACGTAATCTTGAACGTTACGAGCTGAAACAAGTGAGATGGCGACGTTCTTGCAGACAGGACTGGGTTGACATCAGGTACAAAAGCACAAAGTCAATCAGCGCTGCATGTGCGTCAATATTCCTAACCAAAGCCTGCGACTTGGAGGGCAGGTTCCTTTTGACGGAGTCGTAGGTGGGCTGTGCACCAGCAAAGTCAGAGGGGGCGGAGTCCGGAAGGATGCCACTTTGCATACGAGAAAGAGTCCAGCCTATCCGATCTGCACATAATCAGGCAGACAAGTGTTACAGGTGCATTTTTGTCCGACAAAAGCAGCATGAGCGGAGCCAAGTCAAGGGCGGCACAAGCGGCGACAAGAGGCTCAAGTGTACGTACGGAGTACCACTACGGAGTAAGGAATTTCGTATTTGAGGGTGGAGTTACCGGACTAGCCACTACTATTGGGACGAATCTTGGGCAGGGTGGGTTTGCACCCGTTTGAACCCGTTTGAACCCTTTTCTTTTTTCGACCTTTTGGGGGCCAAGACGCAACGGGCGCACTGGGGTTGCCCGGTCTATGGCATGATCCTAGCATGTGACGTGGATGTAATCCTAGAGGACTGGAATGTTTCCCCAAAAGTCCCGCAGGGGAAGAGGAAAATGTGCAGAATGTTGCTACCTTGAGGCTCCGAAATGATTCCATTTTAAGAACGTGGAGAAACCCATGGATACGATACCCGTTAGCCACGCGGGAACCACTGGACAGACCGGCCGAGGCGATTTCCAAGGTTTGGGGCGCAAAATTACCGTCCTGCAGTTACCATACACGTTTCATCCAATCAGCATGCGGCAGACTGGGCTCAGCCATTTTTCTTCTTTGGGATTAGTGTCTTCGTCTATCAGGCAGACGTGCCACGCCATGAGCCTCCGGTCCTCTGTCTTCCTTGGCTTATCCCCCCTTGGTCTTGTTCTTCATTTTCTGCCATATCGCCATTACATTACCCGTCTATCGCTCGCACGTCGAAAGAAAAAATAAAAATCATCGCGCACTTAGTGGGGCTCACCGCTTGAGATCTTCCTATCGCGAGCCTTTGATTTCCGGCCCCGTATTGCTTGTGAACGCTTCGTTCGCCTTTGGATACTGCCGTCGTCTACAAGAAGTGTCTCTCGGTGGAGATTTGGGATATTGGTGCCTGGATAGTTCTGTTGGACACTATCCGAGCTCCCCGGCTTGCTCGATAAGGAGTGCATGCGCAGACTATCAGAACGCTGATATCGTCATACATGCGCAAGGCTCTGTAAAGACCAAGGAGTACCGGCTGCAATATATCTGGCTCAACCCCCAGGAGAACCGGGGCTGTTAAATACCAAAGAACGGAGAGACTCCGCCCGATCACCGATTTGAGACTTCCATCTCTGACTCGACTGTACGTCACTTCGCGAATCATCTGGACAAGCATCCTTCGGTGAGTCATTCGAAGAGCCAATCAGCCCAACTGATTTGTTCCTCTCGGTACGAGAATGTATGCTAACGTTTGGGTGTTGCAGAACTACACCCAATAATGTCTGCTGATCAGCCTGAGCCCTCGCGGCTGCACCCGCGCCGTCGTCCGGTCTTAAACAATACTCTGCCCGCCCTGTCGACCGACTCGCCTGCTTCTAAGATGCACTTGAAGAAGGGCGAGACTTTCAACACTCCCACTTCCGCTCCCTCCAGTGACTCGGATCCTGTTCTGAACATTCGCTCCCTGCCTGCTCGCTCTCCAACTTCGTTGGAAGCCATCGCTGCCGCTGAAGAGCGCATGACATCGATCCTGGGCCGTTTGACCCTTGACCCCACCGACGACAACAACGTCGATGAAAAGAAAGACCAGTCAATGTCTGACTCGCCGGCTCTCCCAAATGCAGAGGCTCGCGGCATGCCCATCCCACTGGATGAAAAGAAGACCAGACAAGCGCATAGCCACGAGTCGGATAGTGGACTCGGAACCTCGATTAGCAGCGAAGAGGGGCTGTTTGAATCTTCTACAAAAGGTAGGCGCCGCCTCGTCCAACCCTTTCTCTTTCCTTCTCAATCCTAACAATGAACAGTCAATGACGGCGCCCACAACAAGCAATCTGCCATTACAAGCTCGATTTCAGCATTTGACAGTGGTTCCTCCCCTAAACGTCAACTTGGCCCTGCTGCCTGCAAGCAGATTGAACGATACGTGCTCGTTCCTATTCTCAAGGAGCCTCGCTTGAAGCCTTTCCATTCTTTGGTTCGTAGCGTCCCGCAACGTATCATCAATAAGCAGATTGTCTGCTTGCGTGATCTCGAGAAAACCCTATTGTGGTTGGCACCGGTAAGTCTTATTGTTCTATCAATGGGTTATTGGAGTTCGGCGAGACTTATTTGATTCTTTCTTTATCAAGAACTCCGCGACCTCACGGAATTCTTACCTCAACTTCTGCGAATTTACGATCCAGTGCTTGCATTCTTCAGCTTCGCATCTTAACGACCGCGACCAACGACTACCAGCCGATCGACCCTATACTAACGGATACTTCCTTGACCTTGTTTCACAGGTCCGACGCTACGCAGCTATGGTTCGCGATCAGCGTCAGCGGGTCGAAGCGACCCAAGGCTCCAAGTCCGACAAGGAGACCGCCCCTACTCTGTATGTTTAATGTTTCTTTGCTTTGATACTTTGAGCTAACAGCAGACAGATCCGCCAACCTTTCCCTTGAAGGCGGTCTTTCTAAGAATGGAAAAGCTGCTGAGCTTATTGTCATGCAAGATGGCAAGCCCATCTCCTTGGCCACCGGCAAGCCCTACGAGGTCGATGCCTCCGCTCCTGTCAAGCGCACTATCACGATAGATGGTGCCACTGACGAGGGCGTTGAGCGCTCTATGGCCCGTAGAAAGAAGGATGCACCCCCAATGAACATCAACCAAAAATGCTCCGACTGCGACAAAGTCTTCAAGCGCCCTTGCGACTTGACCAAGCACGAAAAGACGCACACTCGCCCCTGGAAGTGCGAAGACCCCAAGTGCAGCTACCACACCAAAGGTTGGCCCACTGAAAAGGAACGTGACCGCCACATGAACGACAGACATTCAGACAAGCCCACTCTTTTCCGATGCACCTTCCACAATTGCCCTTATGCATCCAAGCGTTCCAGCAACTGCAAGCAGCACATGGAGAAGTCGCACGGGTGGGTTTATGTTCGCTCCAAGAACAATGGCCGTGCCAGCAGTAGCAGCAAGCGCAGCTCTTCCGCTCAGGCAACCCCTATGACTCCCAGTGTGTCAACTCCCGCTTCCAAGGCCACTGACTTTGCGTCTCCGATTCCCGGGCCCAGCCCTTCGCCCAGTGATCAGACTTACGGCTGGCCCGAGAACCCTCCTTTCAACTTTGCGGAACCCCCCATGCCCGCCCAAGGCGACGACTTCCCCTTGTTTGGCGAGGCATCGCCCTACTTGATGAACGACATCAATTCGTTCCCCAACACAATGAATCTCAGTGCGTTCCAGAATCAATTCGAGTCTGGCGACCCGAATGGTCTGATCCCGGCTTTGGAGGTGCATCGCCAGTCTATGAACTCGATGTCTGTTCCCTCCACTGACTCGGTTCCTGACCTGATGGGCCCTGTCTCGTTCGATGGATCTCCTCTCACTGGTACCGAAAGTATCAACTTCGATCAAGAATGGAGCAATCTTGAGTACCCTATGAATGAAGACTACACTGCGATGCCATTCCAGCTTCCTCAGGGCCACAACCTTGACGCAATGAAGGGATATAGCAACGACTACGACCAAATGAATGTCAACCATCTATCATACGGTCCCGCAGGCACAATCTCTGGTCTCTCGCCCGGCGCGCAGGGAAATGCCATGTTGTACTCGCCCGACTCTTCCAACGTCGGCGACACTCTTTCTGAGCGCTATGAGTACGCTCAGTCTCAGGTTAGCAGCGACTTCAACCAGGCTGGCAACGACTTCACTCTATACAACCAGAATGCGCAGATGGGTCACAGTGCGCATCCCATGATGCCGACCTCCAGCGACCAATCCGCTCGTTACCGTCAGCTTCAACAAAACATGTTCCCTTCTCTGGAACAGGAGCGAGCTTTTCAGGGCATGCCCTACGGCCAACCTCAGGGCCACTATCTGCCTCGCGACATGAAGCTGGAATTTATGGAGTAACTGGCAGGCTTTTCCTTCGCGCATATTAATCTCCCCACTGCTATTCATTTCAGCGAATTTAATGACGGATCAAGGGTTTCTTTATTTTTCCACTTTTGAATTTTCCATAGCTCAAATACAATCTTGAAGTGTAAAGAGTGAAAGCGATCAGCACGATGCCCAGACATAGACAAGAACGATGACACTGCCGAGACAAAGCCCCCGTGGACCCCTCATAGGGCGCGTAAGCAGGCAACACCATAAACTGCCTTGGCAAAAGTATCTCAAGGATTACACAGTGGAGATCAGGCCGCGTCAGGATAGAGCATATGTAGCCCTATGGATGACATGTCTCCGCTATAAATTTTGGTTTCGGGGTGACGACATCGTCTTTCTCTCTCTCCGCCCCCTCTACTCCTCACTTCCCCCAACAGATATCCTCTGTGACACTCGTTACTAGGTATCCTGACAATCTTGTGTTCTTGTGTCCTCGATTCCAGCGTCAACCAGCCTGGTCAGGCAGACGCATTCCGGCTGAAGCGAGTCATCTCTCCAGGACTCTCTAGGGGCTGTCAAGTTCCTCCTAACAGCACAAAGAACCCCCGATCAACATGACAGAGATGCAATCCTCCGATCCCACATTCCCCAACGGCAAGGGAGAGGCAGAGACCCCCGCCCCGCCAGGCCAGATACTGACGGGCAAGCAAGAGCACTGTAAGTCGGAACATTTTATCGCCATGCGCCCCCCCAAAGCGTCGGTCGCTAACACTCGGTTTCCCCAGACCTCAAACGAGAGCTCATCGCCCGTCAAGTTCGCGACGAAATCTCCGAGTTGAACTCCCCCACCGCACTCCAACGATTCGGCGCCCCCTTTCGATCGGAATTCGGTGAGGTTGCGCCCGTCGACTCAGAGCTTCCCATCCTGCGCTATATCTTTGTTCATCACGTTCGAAATTTCCCGTTCCTGGATAAGGCGCGCGAAAAGGAGTTTTGGCAGGACAAGCTTCAAGTCGTAGGTGTCCCGTTGGCTGGGAATGATGCGATCTGGTGATTTTGCTAACTGTCCACTTTGCAGTTCTTGGAATCATTTGCCAATAAACATGTCTCGTCTTCGGAGGATCGATTGGAGGAAACAAAGCGTCGCAAGTTGGCGAGGAAATGTGAGAAGCTCGTCGAGCTCATGATGGTTTCTGGTGTACCCACTGCCTCGGGGTATGAGGAGCGCATTCAGTTCTCGGAGATGGAGGTCGTTGAACGTGGTGCCCAAGACTCGGGACTTTTGGTCAATATTCCCGAAGGAAACGCCATCAACGGTTGGGATGTGAATGTTGCTGCCGTTCGGACTACCTCTGTGAAGAGGACGGTGCGATACCACTCGCATGCAGTAAGTTGGACCGGCCACCATGTGTCGCCTTTGCACGTTGGAGCTTGCTGACATCCGCTATAGGAGTTCATCATACGAGTCAGCCGTAACGGGAAAGATGAACACCATGTCGGTAGGAGATATGGTGAGTTCGTTAAGCTTCAGAAGAGGCTCAGCACCGAGATGCCAGGCAAACACCTTCCTCCTCTCCCCCGCAAGAACAAGACTTCTAGCACAAGTTGGTGGGGATCTACGGCAGATGATGATGCCTCTTCACTTTCATCGTTGTCCACACAGGACACGAGTGCCATAGATGATCGCCTATCGGTGCCGTCCTCTTCAAAGAGCCTTCGGCGATCAACCTCCAAATCCTCAATGCGATCGACTAGATCCCCACGCGCATCGACCAGTGATGTATCACGGGAGACTGTTTTGTATCGGGAGGAACAGCGCTTGTCGCTGCGCGCGTTCCTGAGAACGGTCCTGCAGAATAAGCGCATCGCAGAGTCAAAGGCAATGGAAGAATTCCTGACTGCCCGACCTGTCAAATTGAACGAAGAAGAGTTGGTCGACGTTCAGAGACGGAAAGACATGGATGCCGTCAGAATTGAAGAGCAGAAGAGGTTCTACGAGATTGCTAGACAGCGAGCCGCGGAACTGGATGTGTACATGGAACGTTTCCGACGGGATATCGTGGAGAGCAGTAAGTTTGCGCGGGCCCTTTCTATGAAAGCCTGTACTAATTTCAATCCCAGATGGATTGACGAAACTCTTCGCCGAGATTCGCGAGAAGCCCTCGATTCCTGATCTCAGCCCGCAGTATCAGAAGTTTGCTGAATGGCTTCGTATTGAGTACGCTTTTTCCTTCCTGAGACAAGTGTGGAGCTTCGTTCTGACATTGACACAGGGTCGCTGCAACATTATATCACCTGTTCCTTGCCGAGGATAACTCACCGGAGTTATTCGCACAGGCCAAGAGAATCCACGGTCTTGTGCCCTACACGCTGATGAAGAACGTGATCCGTATCGCCAACCCTGCAGCAGTCATGTCCGGCGTTCTCGATTTGTTCATGGCCCAGCCCTTTGGCTCACGTTCTCTATTGCAGCGTATCTTCTCCCTGACATTGAATGAAGGTATTAAGGACTTCCAGCGATCAATTGACACCTTAGCCGCCAAGGTCGAGGATACAATTCTCACACAGAAGTTGAAGAGCTTCGCGGAAGCCGAGGAGGAGGTCAAGAATGAGATCCGAGCGGAGGCCGTCGCTGATGATGTGGATATCATCGTCGCCATTCTCCGTTCGGAACTCATCTCTCCCGAGCTTACCCCGGAACAAATAGGCAAGGTCTTCAATGGCTACGTGGCTTGGAACCACGCCGTGGAGAACGTTGACATTGAGATGCAACAAGGTGCGCAGTGGTTTGCTCACATGAAACAGCTTCTGAAGCTCTACACCCGCCAACGTGATAAGGCAATGATGCTCAGCATCGTTGAGGAGCCCGTCACTCTGCAGCTCTTCCGTGACCTCTTCACTATCTTCTACGAACCCCTGGTCCGTGTTTACAAGTCTGCGAATGTGTACAGCAGTATTACAGACTTCGCTCAGTTTGCCGACGACGCAATTGGTGTCATCGAAAGCGCCCAACGCCAGGACACATCAGCTGACCCGAACCAAACGGTTCAGGCCTTCATTGATCTTTGCGCTCGCCACGAAGCCAACTTCTATAAGTTCATTCACGAGGTGCATCAACATGACAATGGATTATTCCAGAAGTTGATGGCCTGGATCGAGGAGATCCTCGACTTCCTGCGTAATGGTCCCGCCGGCGGCAAGATGGACATCAATGCTCTGTTCCAGGGGGCCGCTGGCGCTGGCCAGATCAATAAGGACCTCGCCTTGACTGAAATCAATCAGCTTATCAAGTGGCAAGAAGACCGCAAGCGCTGGCATCTGAATAAGACACGTCAGAAGATGGCCGCTGAAGGTACTTCCGGGGACGCTATTCCCGGTGTCACCACCTTCAAGGGCAGCGACTTCGGTCTCGACGAGGCTGATCTTGAGGATCTGACTATCTCAGACGAAGCCTCTGACGCTTCCGACGAAGATAGCATGGACGAAGACAAGGATGATCCTATTGCTGTCGAGCGTCGCCGTCGTATAAAGAAACAGGATCAACTCCGGCGTACCGCCGGAGAACCTGCCAAGCCTGAGGTGACTGAGATCCTCAAGCTCGCGGATCCGTTCAACATTATGCTGCGCCATGTGCTTGCGGATTAGATATCGATTTTCGGCGCATTTTCTTGCACAATACCGCCATAGCTCTGGCTTTCTTTTTGCATTTGGGTTTGATCTTGGGATTTGCTTGATACGAGACATTGGCTTTCATACTCGTTGGCTCTTAGCTGTGTAGGGGAACGAGAACTAGATGAACATAGTGTACAACGACACGACATGTAGATAGATGGTCCATGGATAATTAATTGACTCATGATTCATTCGTCAGATGCCTTTGCAATGCCTGTACGACGCTCTGGTTCCCATTTTGCGAAGCGACCTCCAAGGGGGTCTCTCCCTCGCTGTTTCTAAGTTGTGGGTCGATCCCAGCCGCATCGAGCAACAGCTGCACGATTTCCAGATTCCCATGAAAAGCGGCATTCAGCAACGGTGTTTGGCCATTCTCGTCGCAAGCATTGGGATCCACAGGCCTTGACGCACCAAGCAACCGCCTGACAATCCCTACATGATTCTTATCCGCCGCAATTCCCAACGGGGTTGTCCCATGCATGTCAGGTATATCCAGCCCAACCCTCTCGCACTCAATCAACACCTCTACGATATCCTCTCTCCCCTCCTCCGCGGCAACAAACAACGGAGTCTGCCTTTTCCACTGCGTCTGCAGGTTCGGCTCCGTCACGCTCCAACCCAGCAATAACCTCACAACATCCACCCGCCCATTCCCCGCCGCGATTGAGAATGCCCCGCGCCCAAATTGCTGACCATTGGCATTCGGGTCCAATTTCCCCCCAAAGTATTGAACCAAGTACTGAACTATATCCACATGTCCCAGGATAGCAGCATAGAAAAAGACATGTTGACAATGATCCGCCTCATCATTCCCATCAAGGATCAACCGTAGATGCCGCGCAAGTAGCAATCCAGCCTCGGCATTCGGATCCCGCGCAGCACGACCAAGCGGCGTCCAGCCTTGCCTATTCGCGACGCGCGGATCCGCACGTCCACTAGACAGAAGTAGTTCCATCATGCGAGGCCGGGAATTCACCGCAATCATCAGCGCGGTGTCCCCCGCCTTATCTTGGAGGTTGACGTCTGTGCGATCGTCGTTCAGAAGCGCCTGCACGATCTCTGCATGGCCTTCTTTCACGGCCCAGGATAGCGGAGGCCGGATCCATTTCCGGTCTCGGAAGTTGGGGTTGGCATTCTCGTCTAGGAGGAGGATCTTGAGCACGGCGAGGCTGTTGTGGAATGATGCTAGGAGGATCGAGGTGCAGCCTCTTAGGCGCGTGTCTATGTCGGTCTTGGCGGTGATGTCAGTTCCTGCGGAGAGGGACTTGAGGATCGTGGCGGGGTTGTTGTGGATTGAGGCCCAGAAGAGGGCGATGGGGGTTGGCGAGGCTGCATCGCGCTTGTACAGGGTTGTATTCAGGAGGGTGTAGGCTGTTGTATGGGAGCGGCTGAAGGAGTTCAGGTCGGCGTTGTCCAGAAAGTCGGAGATGATGATGTAGAGCTCTTTAGGCAGAGTAGCGAAGGGCCCCTCTGGTTGGATGCATGTATGCATCTGGCTTGAGATGGCTGGCTCATGGAGGCTTCAAGGTGCAATAAGTACTGCAGTATCAGAGTTGATATGAGGTCATTGAAGATCTGTCTCAGTGGTAAATATAGATGGCTCGATGTCTCAGGTAAAAACAGAATGCCAAGAGTCCGGGGCGATAAGCGATGGTTCCCATGGCGACGTCAATCTCGACAACACACCTGCGTAGAATCACCTTTCACTGACCATGGCGTCGCCGTTTATACCTAGTTCCCCATCAGCTGCGCCTTTGAAAAAGGGCCTCTTCACGAATGGAATATGGTGTTGCAACTGCCCGGATCGCCCGCCAGCAGCCCGCCGCCAGACCAAGAAGGAGGGGCCAAATCTGGGGAAGTGGTGTACGTTCACCTTGAAAGCAGGATCATGAGGTGTGAAAGCCAGGAGCTGATATCAAGTAGTCTGGACATGTGCGCAACCCATGCATCTACGATGTAGCTTCTTCCTCTGGGAATCCGACGCCACGATTCGTGAGCAGGCAACTGTTCTTGCGAACTCTCGATCGGAGCTCGATCCCCTCTCCTTCACTCCAACAAAAAACGTAACCCCCAAACGCTCTCACGGGGGTTTACTCACACCCCAGACCGAGCGTCGGTTCTATGATACGCCCCCGCCCAAATTCAAGATGCCGCCGAAATCGGCCAAAGCCAGAATGATATCAGAGGCCTCAGACGAGTTCAGCTGGGATGACGAATTTGATGATGATGAAGAGCTGTTGAAATCCTTCTCGTCAACCCAGCCTACCGAAAGCTTTATTACGCAGCCTAACTACGACGCTGAATCTCCGGCAAAGACCACCCGCACCGAGAGAGTCACATCGCCCGGCAAGCGGAAGCTATTCGAAACCGAGAATGACATTTCGCCTCGTCAAAAAATAAACTTAGCCACCCCGCTGTCGGCCGCATCCTCTCGCACGGCTACCTTCCCCTCCTCTGCGGAATTGTGCATGACACCTACGCCGAGCAAGTACAACGACGTACTTTCCGCAGAGTCAGCGTTCGACACCTCAGATCTGGCAAAGACCCTGATTGGAATAATGGAGAAGCACGAAGTCGTTCTGCCAAACAAAGCACGCAACGAAGTTGTCTCACTACTGAATCGACATGACCTGAAAACACAAGGCATCATCCGCGGCCGTGATATGACCCGCTTGGCTTTGAAGAAGAAAGACACCGAGATTGCGAATCTGAAGCAGCGCGTTGCCACTTTGGAAGCGCAGAGACAATTGGATCAGACCCTCATCGATGGATTGAAAGCGTCGCAGTTCAGTGACTGGGACTGAGGAATTGGGCGGACCTTGACCTCCAGGGCTTCAGAGTGATTGGCATGATGCGAGATACCGGCACGTTTTTCATGCCTCGTTATGATGATATGACACTTTTATGCTTTGCATCACCAATTAGGTGTTTTTCTTTCTGGCAAATACTAGATATTTACATTGTGGTTTCATGAACATTCAATTTCTTCCCCATTTTTCTCCAACACAATGACCTCAGCCTCATTGTAAGTAAAGCCTGGTGTGGACTGTTAAGTGCGACCTCGGGATGTTTCGTCAAGATTGATACTGCCCAAGTGATTTCTCATCAACTGGCCCAACCTTGGAACCTCGGGATGATCCCAGGTCAATTTCGTTCAAGTAACTGATATAATCAGCCTCTTCACTTGCAACGTATTGCGCCCGGCAAAACCTGTGTATAAAAAGGGCTCTTCACAGTGGTGGCCCAACGCACCACGAAGTATAAAAAACAGCCCTGCCGATCCACAGTCACGTGCCCGATAAGCCATAAATCAGTATCAAAGCCGCAATGCGCCTCGAGCGTCGATCGAACAGATAAATCACAAATTGGACCATCTCCCTCCCTCAATTCAATGGAGTCCACAGAAGCGACGAAGCCCGAATCCCGCGACACCATGTTTCGGCCACCCGTGAACCGAGCGATGCGCACGCTCGACCGATCTTTTTTCCGAAAAACCGTGCCCCTCTCCGCCGCCCGCATTTTCAAGCCCAGCGACATTTCAAATGTCCGGAAACAACTGTCTAAATCCGATCTGCTGGTTCTGCCGCGCGTGAACTCTGTTCGCGAGGTCACGGAGCAGGATGGTTCGGTTCGGAAGGCCTTGTTGCTGAAGGAGAGTGTGAAGGCTGATGGCAAGTCATTCGGGTTGCGCCGAGCGCATTGTCTATATGGATTGGTGCTTACTGGATCTCGCAGACAAGACAACATGGTCGCCTACTATGCAGGGACTTGTTGAGAAGGGGACTGTGGCTGTTGGGCCTTATGATCTTACGCTGGAATATGACCATTGGACATACGGTACGCTGCCTTCATACCGCGAACTGACCGTCGTATGCTAATTCTTGCAGCTGATATTATTGCTTCCATCCTGCCTGAGGATCTGATGGAAGAGATGCCCCAGGGTTTCACGCAGGTGGGACATGTCCGTATGTTGTCCTGAGTCATGCGCAACGAACTATACTGACCTAGACAGTGCACATCAACCTCCGCGAGCGATACCTCCCATATAAGCATATCATTGCCGAGATCCTGATGGACAAGAACGCCAGCATCCGCACCGTCATCAACAAGATCGAAGATGTCGGCTCCCAGAGCGTGTTCCGCACCTTCCCCTTCGAACTCCTCGCTGGTGAAAATGACCTGAACGTAGTCCAGCACGAGCAAGACTGTGAATTCCACTTCGATTACGCCCGCGTCTACTGGAACAGTCGCCTGGAGACCGAGCACCGTCGTCTCGTCGAGAAATTCCGCCCCAGCGAGATGGTCTGCGATGTGATGGCCGGCGTTGGCCCCTTCGCCGTGCCAGCAGGCAAGAAGAAGATCTTTGTCTGGGGTAATGACCTCAACCCGCACGGATACGAAGTGATGCAAGATGCCGTCGTGCGTAATAAAGTCCGGGACTTCGTTACCCCGTTCAACATGGACGGCCGTGAATTCATCCGAACCTCAGGCCAGAAATTGCTGGACGCCAAGCCTCTCACTGTCACCCTTCAGCAAAAGATTCGCAGAGACAAGAAGCGCAAGATCGAAGCTGGCGAGGAGAAGCCCCTGCCTCCCCCTCAGACCTTTACTCGGCCCAAGGTTGTCGATCACTATGTGATGAACCTACCCGCTACAGCTATCGAGTTCCTCGACGCGTTCTCCGGCCTGTATGCTGGGAAGGAAGAGCTGTTCACTCCTGCCACGGGCCAGAAACTGCCCATGGTTCACGTTTACTGTTTCTCGGGGCACTCTGAGAACGAGGTCGATGATCACATCGATATTTGCGAGAGAGTCTCTGAGCGCCTGGGGTACAAGATTACCGTTGATGACTGCGTGGGCGGCAGTGGCGACGAGGGCATTGAGCTCGCCATTCACAATGTCCGACTGGTCAGTCCTAAGAAGCAGATGTTCTGCGCTAGCTTCCGTCTGCCGCGCGATGTCGCATTCCGAAAAGTATAGAGATTTTGCATAGCATGTTAGGCGTTGGAATCAATGACAACATATTGATACCCCGAGACCAGATGGGACAGTATAGGAGACTAGTATGGCAAGTACCATTCCAATAGTCAACAATGTATACAGTACTGTGGATGTTCAAGCAATGCTCTCACCCCACATCAAAGCGCATATAGAGAAAAGGCGGTGTCGCCACCGCCCGAAGTGCGATGGCAGAAAACCACGCGAGACCTCACTGAACGCCAACGAGGCAATCCCAGATCAATTCCACCGTTCCATCAAACCCACGCCCATCTGCGACCCCCCGAACCTAAAAGGAACGACCTCCGCATCACACAATGAGCGTCCCACTCCCCCCCGCGACGCACCGCAAGCGCGCCCTCCCCCAAGGCGAGCTCGAAGCCGCCTCTACGCTGAAACTCGGAGCCGACCAAAACACACATACGCTGTCGCTCTCAGAAGCACGACTGGTCATTCACAAGGTGTTGGAGAACAAGCGACGCGGGGGCAACAAATACGAAGAGCCGGAGTAAGTGGGCATCACGCGAGCGGGAATGCATCATATCAGGTGTGGTAAAGGATACTTATGTTATTTCTACAGGAATCTGAACAAGACGCTGTATTACCTGGATGTGTTTGCCCGATTCAAGGACGAAGAGAACATCAAGGCCGTGGAGCGGCTGTTGAACTCGCATACGGAACTGGAGATGTTTGAGCGGTCGCAGCTCGGTGAGTGCCCCGTGTCGATCCGCAGGGAAGATGGCTGGATTTTGGAATTTACTGACTGGCCATAGGGAGTCTGTGCTGCGACAATGCCGAGGAGGCCAAGTCTTTGATTCCGAGTTTGCAAAACAAGATCACGGATGGGGATTTGCAGGAGTTGTTGGATGAGTTGACCAAGTTGCGGAATTTCACCGAGTAAGATGCCTAGGTACAGTATTGGCGGATCATTGCATATTTCCCCTTGGGTAGGGGGATGGAGTTTTTGTTATTCTTAGGATTGCCGAGATATTGAGACCGTTAGAGTCATATGGGTGATTCATAATGGAAACGAGGCTCAGCCAACCGGATCTGATTTGATATTAACCTGCCGTTTGCCACCGGAGTAGCGTTTTAGCATGTGCCGGGGACGGGGATGAGGAGTCCGGCGCGTTCCACTCGTAATTAGGACTATTACCTGATAGTTATTGGAGCGGTCAGCGTGCATACTGTACTATACTCAGGAATAAACGTTTCAGATTATTATCCTGCACTACTCACTGCCTAGGTAGTATCGTAGCAGTATACTGTACTATACAGTACTAAGTGCTAGTTATACCTGGAGTGAAGAAGACCAATATAGAGTATTTAGTAAGGTTCCTCCACACCCCACAGTTCTGAGGCATTCGGGCACTACTGCGCCTGTGTCGGCTGTGATTGGCCGGGACCGGGGGTGTTATCATGCCATGCTGATTGGCCCGGAGGCAGACAGTTCAACGGCAGGCGCTTTATTACCCTCTGGGCAGCGCAGTTCTTATTATCTAAAGTGTCCCTAGGCGAGGCCAATAGCCGAGATGAGGTTGCTGACCTAAGGGCGTCCCCAGAAGAATCGATACGTAATGCTCCAGAAGGGGCCGTCGGGCCAATCAGGAAGAGGCCGCTTATCTGGTGACAATTCGAGTGGGATAATTCTCGTAGTCATTGCTTAGCTCATGGGGGTTTTTGTTACGAGAGCAAATGGTGGATCGTCGACTCCATTTTGGGCCCGGATTGTATATCGATGTCATCATCTCTCTTTTTACTCTCTGCTATTTTCATACACTACACTACCAGTACTCTGACTACTCTCGGACTCTCGAATGGAATCCAAATGACGGAGCGAACCATTCGGCATCTCATCTGGTTACAATCTCTGGCAGACGCTTGATCTTCGTCTCCGGTTCCGGGGATTATCGTCGGAGATAACCTCTTTTTTTTTTTTTTTTTAATATCGTGATAACGACGGTATGTGCTTATCTCTTCGCTGCCGCCCAATGACTGACGCCAGCAGATCAGAATGGCTACCGTTATCATTCAGCCAGGCTACTCCCCTGATCTCCAGACCCCAACCCTCTCCCCATCCCCCATATCCGGTCCCCGCGTACGGAATGGAGTTAGCTGTGACGCTTGTCTCCGCAGAAAGAGCAGGTGTGCCATGAACGAGATGGTCAACAAGTGTTACTCCTGCGATTTTCATCGCCAGGAATGTACCTTCACCCTCACCGGCGAGTCCAAGAAGAGGAAGCTCTCAGACCAGCCGGAGGCTGTAAAACGGTAGGCACGCTACAGCTCCGGCAAGGAAGCTTCTAACACCCAGTAGACAAGCTATACAATCCCAATCCCATACTCAATCCCAATCTCAACCTCAAGCTCTGCCCCAACCGCAACCGCAACCGCAACCCCAATCGCAGCAACCAGCCAGCGTCGACGTGGCGCACCCGCACGCATTGAACATGATCCGCCCAGGCTTCTTCAACCAGTCCACGCAGCATATTGGCATGACCACGGAGCTAGAACCGACCCTGCTAGAGTATCTCCCGCTAGATCAATATGACGAATGTACCGTGTCGAACTCGCGCGTGCGCAAGTGCGCCGATGACGGCACCTTTATGCGAGTGGTGGATACCCCCGGGGACGCCCACGCCATCTCGGTGGATGCCATTGAGAGCTTGGTGGCGCCCTACGGCGCAACCTTGATCGAGAAATTCTTCGACCACGTGCACCCGTCGTTCCCCATTATGATCGAGGAAGCCTTCCGGCAGTCCTACCGGGAGCGCCGGGGGTTGTCCCCGCTCCTCCTGGCCTCGGTCTATGTCTTGACGTTGAAGTTTGTGGATGTAGGAGCGACCTCGCAGACGGCCCGCAAGCCCGATGCCGCACGGCTGGAAGCCACCGCGTTGAAATTACTCATGGAATCACTGCCCTCGCCCAGTGTGTCGACTATCCAGGCTGGACTCTTGCTGACGCAGAAGTCGACGTTGGCGACGGCGTCCCTGAACGGGCAATTGGTCACGGCCGGGTTTGAGGTGGGTCTGCATCAGGACTGCACGAACTGGCGGATGGAGACGTGGGAGAAGGGTCTCCGCAAGCGATTGGCTTGGGCTTTGTATCAGCAGGATAAGTGGTCGTCCCTGGTGAACGGCCGGCCCTCGCATATCTTTGCCTTCAATTGGACGGTCAAGGATCTGGTGGAACAGGACTTCTCGGATGCTTTTGCGTCCGGCACGGATTCTTCACACGACGAGACAGCCGTCGGTCACGGCCCTCTGCTCTTCTGCCACATGGTGGCCCTGACGACCATTCTCTCCGACATCCTAGACAGATTCTACACACTCCACGCCATTGAGGAGTTTTCTGCGGCTGGAAACCAGCGCACGCGAATGATCCTCGAGAAAGCCAAACCGGCACAAATCCGCTTGAAAGACTGGTTTTCGTCCCTCCCTCCTTCTCTTAAGATGGAGACCTCAACCGGCGAACTCGTCGAAACCATCACAGACGAACACGCCCGCAACGGCGCTCTCCACCTTGCCTACTTCGCCACTGAAATCACATTGCACCGCTGCATCGTCCGTTCCCTGCTCGCCGAGGGCACAGACCCCTACCTAGCGCACATTTGCCGCTCAGCCGCCAAAACGCGCCTGATCTCCGCAATGGACTTCGTGAACCGTCTCCGCCCAGCCCATCTGCACTCCTTCTGGCCCGCCTCAGCCCGCACCAACTTCTCCCTCATCGGCTCATTCGGCATGCTCCTCCGCATCACAGCCCCAACAAACGAGGAAGCCGAGTTCTACCGCGTCCGTCTATGCGAGTATCGCTGGACTCTAGGCGTCAGCCACAAAAACGCCGCATTCATGGGCTTCGCGCTCCAAAGTCTCGACAACGCAACCGCGCTCCACAAGCACGTTCCCGCTAAGCCGGGCATCGACGAGCTCATGGCCGGCTCGAAGAATGCTCCCCAGCGAATGCCTGCTACCACGCACGCCTCTTACGACGACGCAATGATGGACGCCGGGACTTCCAGCTCGGTTATCTCTGGCCTTGCTTCCCCTGCTACTTCTGTCAGTGATTTGGAAGATGAGTCCATGGCTCCTCTGTGATTCTCCTTACTCCGATACCCTTATAATCTTGTTTCTTGATATCGACATGATATCCTGCATCTATAACTCACGGCTTTCTCATGATTTTTCGCTCGGCGCTTTTGGTGATCTGATCTTTGGGAAGCGATTGGATCTTTTTTTTTTTTTTTTGGTTTTGCATTTATTGCACACTTCTTCGGAGGTCTTTTTTACCCTGCAGACTAGACTTTTTATCTGGTTATGGGATTTACCCTGGCTGGACACTTGGGACTGGCTTTTTGCGCTTGGGGGAGGCTTTCTATAGACCGACACTATGTATATAGATTGAATAATGAATTATGATTCAAGCTATTGTTTTCAATGGTTTCATGGTTGTAGTACTAGGTATGGCATGCACTATATCATCACTTGAAAGCCTGGACTAAAAGGCGTAGTTCTTGCAATATTTACACCAATGTTATATTAATTAGCTATTCCTTTCATTCGTCAAATCCTAACACTCTTCTCACGAAGATATTCAAAAGCCCAAGCTTGGAATGATCACGCATAGTTAAGTGGCTGGTGATAAGCCACGCCATCAATAGTCGTAGTCAATGTCCCGTTAGCCACAAAGATATTCTCAAGAGCATTGATAGACATGTGGAACCCACCCGGTCCAGTCTTCTTGACAGCATGCACCAGGCCTGTCTGAACAATATCCGAGACCCAATCCAAATGATTAGACCAAGGACTCTCCTTCGGCACAGTCAAAGTCACCGACTCATACCCATTGATATAATGCCTCCCATCATCCGAGTACTCAGTATAGTCCACAGACACAGTCTTAGGAATACCGAGCAACTCATCATTCACAAGAGTCACATTCGCAAAACCCCCAGCCCTACCATGAAGCGTATAACTTCCCCCCGAAACAAAATGCAAAGCAGGGGGCGTATCCCCCGGCCCAAAAGACATCGCCCAGGGAATCATATCCGGCACAACAAAAACAGGCGCTGGATTCGTAGGCGTGCGACTCGAAAGCCTTGCAAGCATGACCCTGTATGTCCGACCGCCTTGCGCAGTAGACTCTGGACATGGTAATGGGTTACCACCACCGCAAGCAGGCTCAGTGACCAAGCTCTGCCAGTAGACGATCATAGTACCATCAGGCGAGAAAGCGGGATCCGCCTTACCATTCCAGTTAGGATCGTTGATACTGCCATTATCACCTCCATCAGCATTAACCTGTTGACCGAAGTATGCATCTCGATCACCGAATCTATCAATCAAAATCGGCTGGAAGAAGCGACGGGCGCCATTATTTCGAATCGAGGCAGCAGCCGTTACAGCAACGAGATCAATAAGAGGAGGAACGTGACGCATCCCAGACATCCACATCTGGCGATCCGACCCGCGAGTATCCATCGTCACGAACCATTGGTCGTCATGCGAGAATGCGATTGGATCCGCGTACTCCGGGTGACTGGTTAGACGGCGAATAGCACCGGTGATGATATGGACAGCGAAGAGATCGATATTGTTTGCCTCGCGCGTCCAACCAAGATAAATGATCTCATTGCCTGAGCCACTGAACCCACGTAATTCGCCGATTGTAATGGCTTCGTTGTGGATTTTGAGCTCGGAGCCTTCGACACTTATAGAAGCCGGACCATCAGGCTGCACGAGGATATTCACGTTAACGAGATCGTATCTGGGGACTAGAGGCCCGTTCTTCGGAACAGCGTTGAACTCCAGTCGACCGAAATATGAGTATTGACCTCTGGTAGTGAATGAGCTCCAGCCCATATGGATATCGTCCGGGTGCATGCGCATTTCCCGAGGACTGTTCTTCGTCCCTGGCCAGTGGATCGGGTATATGTATGTGATTTCCGGTGTGCATAGTTCACTGGTTAAGGGGATAGAACTGCATTCCAAAATATTGTGGCCCCAAAGAGCTTGTTTGGCATTGCGGGCGATATGCGGATAGTCTCGTGAGGGATCGATGGAGCGGGCGTTCTGTGCTGGGACGCCGCAGCTGAGACATTTCCAGGAATCGCCGTTTGCGAAGGTTGTGCCGTCCACTTTTACTAGGATCAGTTGTAGTCCGTTGTAAATGTTGCCTGGGTTTGGGGCTGCGGGCGCGCCGATATATTCGACGGTTAGGGCTATGTGTTTGCCATCGGGGGTGAAGTCGCCTGCTTGGAAGAAGTCTGATTCTTTTCCAATACACCCTGTGTTATGGGGGTTGATTGAGGCACTGCAGGCGCCGGTTATGTTGCTGGGGGCGACTGGTGGTAGTGGAAGTTCGAGGATGTCGATTGGTTCTGGTTGAGGGGGTGCTGGGAGGGCTGATGGGAGAGTCAGGGCAGACTGGCCTGCAAGCGCAAGGAATGACCAGTGCATTTTAGAAGGTATAGTATTTCCATTTTTAGGGGATTGGGTTTATATATGCCCTCAACTACTCCGTGGCACGACCAAAATGGCGTTGTATAAGAATACGAGTACGCGTATCGTATCCGTAGCCGATGAGCCTCGGAGCAACGCTAACTGGACATGGACCTGTGAAGACCTGAGATCTGCAATACGACCCAATCAATGAAGACCGAAGACATTGGCAAAGACATAATCGAGATGCGCAGAGTTTCTCTACTCGTTTTCGAATTCGGAAACTAAACCGTAAAGGGTAAGGATTGTAACGGCCTCTTCGATCACACCTGGGCACTGCAGGCAATGGTCGTACACCTTGTCGAAGGGAATAACTCATTCGTGGTGAACAATGCTCAGTTTCCCTTTTTCGAACCCTAGTAATGGGTCAGACTGACTCCCACTCGAGGGAGAGAGAGAACAACGGACACAAATTTTGGAATATCCCCAGAGTGTTCCAAACGGTGTTGTGACGATGAACGCAGTCTCAGTGAAGAGCATGGAATGGTGATAAACTCATCGATGATAAACACAAACACCAGTCACCAGGGGAGTCTGTGATCGTTGCGATCACCTAGGTAGGAAGATGAAGAACAATCGAGAAAGGGGCCTGGGAGCCAGCAGTGAGACATGATTTCGGATCTCATTCCAAGGCCATCCCGGCTCATCCGTGTGTTTAGCTGGTCAGAATACTTCACGCCCATGCATAGACACATCAACATTGAAGCCGTACGACTCATGAGGTCCTCAAAATAGCATGTCCGGTCTGGGGTAGATTTCAAGGCCCAGGCTCCCATCGAATCAGCGGGTCAGTCCTGACGGCATGAGGAGGACCATTCGAGTGGATCCATCTGTATGAAACCAAGATGACGAGTTCAACGTTGGGAGAGGTGAGATGGCTGGAGTAGACCATGAAGTGCAGCCGACTTAAAGCACAATGGGGCCAGAGACAAGCCCATCTGGAAGTCAACAACACCCAACTGAGTGAGGTTAATGGGACTCGGGAGATGCTCAGGGCCAAAGTACCAAACCGGCGACAGGTGCTTGTTTCGGGTTCTAACCTGATACGAATTAAGATGGAGACTTTGTGGGGCATGCCCCTGAAGATTGATTAGCTTCTACTCATCTGCTCCAGGCCTCCGAGTCCAGAGTCCAGAGTCTCTCGTCTTGTGTCAGTTAAACTCGGTTTAGTCCCGGTATAGTGCGGGTCCCAATTTTGAAGATCATGGTATATATATGAGCCTGGTACATCAACCTCCAAGTGTTTTCCACACATCCTCTCGAATTCAAATTCACACTCTACAAAATGCACTTCCTCAACTACATTGCCCTCCTCGCAGCTCCTGCCATGGTTGCGGCCACCCTCGACCCAGCCTCTTCCAACACCAAGGGTTACAAGCCTAGCAGCCTGAACTGCAGCGGTAAGTCTTCCTAATCCATCGAAAACATCATGGATGCACATACTAACAATCAACTAGCCGCCAAGGTCTCCAAGGCCATCCAAGCGGCCGAGTGCTCCCACAACACCCGTACCTCCTCGACCCAGACCTTCGCCGTCTTCGAGACTGACCACCAATACGACTCCAACAACGGCGCTCCCTACGGAACATGCAGTGCTTACACCTGCACTGCCCCCACCAGCTCTGAGTTGGAGGAGAACTCGGACTACTGGGTCTTCTACTGGGGTGATGAGGGAGAGAGCACCGGATACGGTACAACCTGTATCAAGGACCCCCAGACTGGAGAGTGTGGTTGCGAGAACTCCGATGGCACTTTTGTTGCCGGCAGCGACAGCTGCTCTTAAATGTTTTTGATCTGACGTCTGACCTGGTGTCGGGATTGGTGATTTGTTAAAGCTGGAACTATGAATGAACACTGCCTAGGCGTTTTTGAAACAATTACGAATTGTGAATACTCTAGGACCAACCTTAGAACGAACAGATTCAACTCTTGGAAGTCTTTCATATAGGCCAAATATTTACTAGGTACATACGGAGTATACTAGTACTAGGTAGTCAAGGGAAGTAGGGAGTACCAAAGTACTGACCGACATCCCCTGGAGGTTCTCGGTGATCGTCGGCGAGGATCCCCGGGTTTCGATCCACCCCGAATACCCCAGGGCTGATAGTTCGATGCGCCATTTCGATTCGTAATATAATCCTTTACCCCCGCATCTACCGAGAGTATGTGAGATATGATCTCACCGTACAGTGACTCACATCATGCTATCTGAATAGGAGATAGTCGGGTAAGCTCGGCGATAGGCATATGTAGGAGTATTAATACCTCCATGTCAACCTCAGCATATGCCTTTCTATTTAACTATTTCGAATATTATGGGAATATCATTTCCGTCTTAAATAGCATTCATTCAACGCGATAAACACCGAAGTCTCAAAGTCTACTTCTCCAACCTCACATCTACTCCAACTTCATCATGACTTGGGACCAAAATCGAATGCGCGCTCAATTTTGCCATGCACTCTCCGAAATGTACAAGAGCGAGGTACCTCTATACGGCGACCTCATCGACGTAGTCTACGAGGCAGACGCAAAAGCCATTGAAAACAGCCAAGAGTCCGGATTTTCAGTCATCGATCCCGATGATATCCTACCGTCTCGACACCGCGTCGAGAGACACGGCGCTATCCGACTAGGTACCGCATTCGAGCTAGCCACCATACGTCGCATGTTTGCTGTGATGGGAATGTACCCCGTGGGCTACTACGACCTCAGTCTAGCCGGTTTCCCCATGCATGCCACTGCTTTCCGGCCCACGACGCAGCAAGCACTTGACATCAATCCATTTCGTGTATTCACCACTGTTCTGCGAATGGAACTTTTGACGGAGAAAACACGAGAGCTGGCACAAAAGGCGTTAGATCAACGTACCATATTCACTCCCCGTCTTCTTGAGTTACTGGATATTGCAGAGAGTCAGGGATCCTTAACGCCTGAGCTAGGCACGGAGTTCATCGCAAATGGGTTGGAAACATTCCGCTGGCATTCAAAAGCTACTGTCACTCTTAATGAATACGAGCAGCTCAAGGCGGAGCACCCTCTGATTGCGGATATTGTTTCATTCCCAAGCTCACATATCAACCACCTCACGCCTCGAACGATTGATATCGATCTGGTCCAGAAACTGATGCTGGATCGCGGGATGCCCGCCAAAGAGCGCATTGAAGGCCCACCGAAGCGGGTGTGTCCTATTCTTCTTCGACAGACAAGTTTCAAAGCACTCGAGGAGCTTGTTGATTTCAGAGACACATCTGATTCGCACGTGAAAGGCTCCCACACGGCGCGCTTTGGTGAAGTTGAGCAGCGAGGATACGCTTTGACTCGAAAGGGACGCTACCTCTATGATCAGATCCTTGAGCAAGTCAATTCAAAAGCTGCTGAAAAGGGTGTCAAAGGCAGTGACTATGATCAATTATTGGAAACTTGTTTCCACGAGTTTCCTGATACTTTGTCTAGTCTTCATGATCGGGGCCTGGCATACTTCTCTTACAAGATAACACCACTGGGCGAGAAATCCCTCCGTTCCAGCGTTGAGTCTCCGCCAGATACAGCGGCAGCCGTCTCACTTCAGGATCTTCTAGCCCAAGGGACGATCGCGTATGAGCCCCTCACATACGAAGATTTCCTTCCGCTATCCGCAGGCGGAATCTTCAACTCAAACCTGGGCAGTGTTTCTCTGTCAAAGAAATTGATCATGGGTGCGGATCCGGACCTTGACGGCTTCCAGCGCCTCCTTGGAGCTTGTGTCGCCGATGAGTTCCACTTATATGAAGAGATGCAAAAGCGATCTTTGGAGGTCTGTAGACAGACGCTGCAGCTACAGACAATCACAGTCTAGCGCCTGCGCATCCCTACAACACCGACTCCAATTTGATTTTCTGCAATCTATAAATCTCTATCTATCACTTGCCCCATCTCGTGGGGGTTAAAGAAGCCCTAAATACAATCTAATGTTCGCTACTGGACTTCCTACGTTCGATGATGCACCATTACCAAGCCCAGTCTTGTATCAGAAGGTTTCTCGCAATTGAGAACGAATAGTGATGGCTTTTCAGCGTGGAGTAGTTTTAAAAGTGTAGCTGAGGGATCGGCGGGGTTGCCCCAGGCAAACTTTGTTATTTCGTATCACAACTGAGAACTGACCCTCTTCAAACATGCGTGCAATCAGCTCGATTATATTCGTTGCATCATGTGTGAGATCTGTGTCAGTGGCCTCTCCAGACCCGAATCTCTTCACATACGGCAACACCGGCACACTCCTGGGTACATCATTTGGCATTCCCGCCAATGCGACCTTTGACTACGTAGTAGTCGGAGCAGGAAATGCAGGTCTCACAATTGCAACTCGACTTGCAGCAAACCAGACTGTGAGCGTTGCAGTCATCGAAGCGGGCGGCTTTTACGAATCCGACAATGGCAATTACTCAATCGTGCCTGGATACGCAAGCTACTACACAGGCTCTGACCCCGCGGACTTCCAGCCTCTTGTTGACTGGGGATTCAGCACAGTGCCCCAGACTGCATTGGGGGGTAGGGTTTTGCATTATGCCCGAGGCAAAACTTTGGGCGGTTCCTCGGCCAGGAACTACATGCTTTACCAACGGCCTACGGTCGACAGTATGCAGCGCTGGGCAGATGAAGTAGATGATCAAAGCTACACCTTTGATCGCATATTGCCTTTCTACAAGAAATCGGTGCATTATACCCCTCCCGATCAGACACTATATACCAACTCCTCGAATACCGAATCTGAAGATGTGTTCAGCCCAAATGGTGGGCCACTGGAAGTCTCGTTCGGCAATATGGTGCACGCATTCGGATCTTGGTGCCAGAAGGCATTCACTGCACTTGGTATGAGTCAGATCGATGGGTTCAACAGTGGCAATCTGCTTGGATCTGCTTTTGCAACATTCACTATCGACCCGCGCAATGCACATCGCTCGAGTTCTGAGTCGAGTTTCCTTCAAGAGGGATTGAGAAAGGGTGCAGGGCCTACTGTGTACAAGAACACCATGGCTCAACGGATCTTGATTACCCAGAATGACAATCGGGCAACAGGCGTGCAGGTTTCAACCGCAGGAACGTTTGGTACTCCATCGATCAACTTCACGCTTCACGCTCGCAAAGAGGTCATCCTGTCAGCTGGTGCTTTCCAGTCACCGCAGTTGTTGATGGTATCAGGAATTGGACCGTGTGTTCATCTGCGCAGCTTCGACATTCCCTGTCTTCAAGACTTGCCGGGTGTAGGGCAGAACATGCAGGACCACCCGATATTTGGAATTGCACACCGCGTGAAGGTTCTCACAGCTTCCGCCATGGCCAACAACGCAACCTTTGCAGCAGAAAATGTTCAAGCATTCCTTGAGCATGCAACCGGTACCCTTTCCATCTTTGGTCCAGGATACTATGGTTGGGAGAAGCTGCCCAACTCATTGAGGTCGAAGCTTACTCGCGCGTCTCGCCTCGCTTTATCAAGCTTTCCGCCCGACTGGCCTGAGTTGGAGTGGCTACCCACCGGTGGGTTTAGCGGATATAATCTCAACAAAGTGACAGCCGATCCGAAGGACGGACACCAATATGCAACGATCAGCGGAGCCCTGATTGCACCTTTGTCGCGTGGCACGGTCCGACTCGCTGGTCCAACAATGAACACACCACCACTCATCGATCCACAGTGGCTTGTAGACCCGACTGACATGGATCTAGCTGTCCAGCTGTTCCAGAGACAGCGTCAAATGTGGGCAGAGCTGGCGAACCTAGGCGTGGCCGAGCAAGAAGAATACTTCCCAGGTATTAACGTTTCCACAACCGCTCAAATCCGGGAATACATCCGAAAAAGCATGGCGACGGTTTACCATGCGTCCGCAACATGCAAAATGGGTCGTTGGAATGACACGATGGCGGTCATTGACAGCAGTGCGCGTGTCTATGGGGTGCAAGGATTGAGAGTTGTCGATGCCAGCAGTTTCCCCTTTCTGCCACCAGGCCATCCTCAATCCACAGTCTACGCATTAGCCGAGAAGATCGCAGACGAGTTGTTGAACCAGCAAGAGGACCAGAGTGAATATGGCCATGATCTGAGTTCGCCGGAGGATTGGGAAATCCCCATGCATAGACGTCCTACGCAGTTTCAATATTAGAACGACCCGGGAGGAATAAAAGAAATCGATACTATAGAATACAATGCATACAGAGAACAGCCCAAAATCCATCTATCTGTACAAATATGCCGCATGAATATCGTCCATCACGACAGGACCATGCTTCGGGTGGCATTTTTCGATACCACAAAATCACTGCGGGACCGTAGTCCGCGATCAAAAATCTCAGCTCAAACAAATGTTACTCAATGCCTGATCATCCGATTAAGACCGGGGCTCGATAACCGAGGCATCTTCTCCGTCTTCCACAACCACCGCGCCTTCCGCCAAAAGCTCCTCCGGCGTCTTGACCCGGACGTCCATAACCCGCATAAGAGTATAGCGGTGCTTGCTCGTAGCATGCTTCACGTGTCTGTTTCTCCGCTTCGTCTTCTCCTTAATACGCAAAGGCTCCGAATCCACACCCGTCACGCGAACCCGGCACTCGTAGATGCGCTCGTCGATAGTCGGGGTACCCTTCATTGTGAAGTCACGCGATCCAACGGCTGAAGCGCGGTTGAAGCGCAGGATATCTCCTGCCTTGACCTTGGGCATGAGGAAGGGCAAACGCAGGTGGTCACCTTCGGTCAAAAGATATGGGCGTGCGTGCAATTGGGCCACGACGTAGTGTGGCTTCTGGCCGGCGAGATGGGGAAGCTGTGACAGCATTGACTTTGTCACTTTGAGGGGGGTTGTGAAGGTGGGTTCGACGGGTTGTTTCGCAATGGGGACATCTGCGCGTGTTTGGGGTGTCATGGTCGCTTCGTCGAAGTTGCCGGAGGGCGGGATTCCCTTAGGGCTGGCATTTTGAGCCCGAGGGGTGGCGCTGAGAGGGGATTCGGGGTGAGTGGAGGATGATGGGCTCTGGGATTGTGGCGAGTTCATCAAAGAGGCAGTTTGGTGCAGGCATGCTCGTTGTTGAAGGGGAGCTGATGAAATTGTAGACGGCGCTGTCCAGCGCAGCTCGGAGGCGAAGCTCCGGAGAGCAGATCGTGAAAACATTTTTTGCTGGACTTTCTGTCAATCCTCAATGCAGACCGAGATTGACAATGGTTTGGGGGGATCTTCGAGGGCGGCTTGCTTCACTACTAGAAGAAATTCACTATGCGTCCACAGGAACAGTCACGTGCTGATAATACAGGTCACGTGGCTAGCCATCTTTTTTTCGGGGCCGATTAGACAAGACAAGAACTTCAACCACCCATTCCCCAGTGTTGTTCATTCTTCATAAATCATGGTATGTTTCCAGCGCTATTCTGACTGCTGTCTTCTTGATCTCCCAGTCCCGCTAACCAGAATTACCCATATAGCCTCAGAACGAGTTCGTCTCCCCCGCCAGCCAAGCCTCGTCTTTTCACCACTAACATTTTCCCACCAGGTACATCGAGCGCTGGCAGAAGCAGCACGGTAAGCGCCTTGACCACGATGAGCGTCAGCGCAAGCGCCAGGCCCGTGAGGGACACAAGCAGTCGCACGATGCGCAGAACCTGCGTGGTCTGCGTGCCAAGCTGTACCAGCAGCAGCGCCACAAGGAGAAGATTCAGATGAAGAAGCGCATCAAGGCCCAGGAAGAGAAGAACGTCAAGTCCGCCGCGCCCGACGAGCCTTCCAAGACCCCTCTGCCCCAGTACCTGCTCGACCGTTCGCAGGAGACCAACGCCAAGGCCCTCTCCAGTGCCATCAAGGATAAGCGTAATGAGAAGGCCGCCAAGTTTGCTGTTCCCTTGCCCAAGGTCAAGGGTATCAGTGAGGAGGAGATGTTCAAGGTTGTCAACACCGGAAAGAAGACCCACAAGAAGTCCTGGAAGCGTATGATCACCAAGCCTACTTTCGTTGGTAACGACTTCACCCGTCGCCCCGTCAAGTACGAGCGCTTCATTCGCCCCATGGGTCTGCGTTACAAGAAGGCCAATGTCACACAGTATGTTTACTCTGGCACAATCGCAATGTACAGTCTATTCGAAAAGCGAAATGATTCTAACCTTTCCTCAGTCCCGAGCTTGCTGTCACTGTTCAGCTACCCATTCTCTCCGTCAAGAAGAACCCCCAGAACCCTCTCTATACTCAGCTGGGTGTCTTGACTAAGGGAACAATTATCGAAGTCAACGTCTCTGAGTTGGGTCTCGTTACCACCTCCGGTAAGGTCGTCTGGGGTAAATGGGCCCAGGTTACCAACACCCCCGAGAACGACGGATGTGTCAACGCGTGAGTATCCTCGAAGTCCAAGCTTTTGTTGGATCCAAAACTAACACCGACTAGTGTCCTCTTGGTCTAAATCTTCGACAATCTTTCACTACTCCCCGACGGGTATCAGCCTGTCTTCTATACCTCCATGCTCAGGCAATTCTATATTTCCCTTTCTTGATACATACAGCCTATCCAGGCTGTTTTATTCTTGGGCGGTGTTAACGGCGCAAAACCAAGTACATTGATTTCAGACGAAAAGTATCCCGCATGTTTGGCTTCTCAATGGACATAGCTAGTTTTTAGATAGTCAGACATTTATCAACCATGATTTATGAAGGCATTCCCCCAGCTTGATTTGTTCTATTACACAACAACTGTAGGCTTGACTCGCCGCGACTCGGGAGCTTTGCCACGAGCTACATCGCAATACTTCCAAGGTTGGCACTGGTTGAGAAAAAGCTGTTTATAAAGGTGGTCAAATTTGTCATTGAACATTTCAACCAGAAATGGAGTCACTGGGCTCCATGGACCCGGACGCTGTAGGAGCCCCCGGATGCAAAAGAAGAGAAGGCTAATGAAACATGTACAAAAGGGGAAAGTCACACGCTGCGCTGAACCGAAATTTGTCAAGAGATATCCACCACGCGGAATGGTGAGGGCCAACCAAACACCCAAAAGGATGATGCACAAAGAGGCAATGCGAACAAACACGGCAATCAGAGATCTGGCAAACCAAGCAGACCTAGAAATAACACATCCAACGCCAATCATTAAGTCGTTCTAACCAACAAGGAAACATGTAGAATTGCCATAACGGCAGCCGAGACAAAGGAGATAGAGTAAAAGAGTGGTGGGGGTCATGCGTTTTCTTCTTCGAGGGCTGCTTTGATTTTTGCGAAGAAGCCTGCGGGCCATGCGGCAAGCTCTTCTTCTCTGGGGACACCACGGGCTTTGCAGTGGTTGACGACATTGGCCAAAATACGACCGAGCATGTCTTGGGTGACTGGGACAGCGCCCTCGAGCTGGGCATCGGGGTGCAGGAAGGGGTCTCGGGGTCCAAGCATTTCTTCAATGGTTGGTCGAAGAGTCTGATCGCGTTGTAGGCAACGCTTCAGGGTGCGGACAAGGCCAGGGGGTACTGGAACGCCGCCGACACCGAATGCGGGGAAATCGATTTGCACACGCGGGTTGGGAATGGCCATGATGCGTTCATAGTATTTGGCGATTTTGGCGAATGGAGGCTGTCCGTATACCATCTTGTAAAGGATGCAACCCAAACTCCAGACATCGCTGGGTTTTCCTAACTTCATCACCTTGCCAACACTGGCTGGCAGACCGAGGGAAACATTGGAGTCTACCAGAGCCTCTGGTGACATATAGTTAGGAGTGCCGACTTGTTGCTCGCGGTGAACGTTGACGGTGTTGTCTTGGATGGCGTTGGCGATGCCGAAGTCGATGAGTTTGAGCCGGCCTTGCACCATGAGGAAGTTGGCAGGCTTGAGGTCGGAATGAACAATGTTGTGTTGATGCACGGCCTGGACACACTCGAGCATTTCCTTCCAGTAGAATCGAGTGAAGTTGATGTCAAAGGTAGCATCTTCGGCATTCAGGCGGAAAGTGAGAATCTTCTCAAGATCGGACTCTCCAATTTCCATCAACACGCTGAGGGCATGTTTGTCGTTATTTAGTTCCCAGTCAAACAGGCGCACCACGCGGTCCACATTCTCCAGCTTCTTCAATAGATCGATTTCACCCTTGTATCCGGTAAGAGTCAGTGGATCGACATCTTCCAGGTTGACTCGCTTCAGAGCGAAGATCTTATAATTCTCAGCCATCACCCGATAGACACGAGAGCTGCCACCACGACCAATGCAATCTAGACGTGTGAAATGCTTGCCGTTGATTGAGACTTGAGACTTTTTCTTTCGGGACTGTGATGTTGAAGTGCCTGCTGTCGATGTGGCGGTTTCGAGGACTGACATTTTGGGGGGAGGTGGTGCTGCTCTGTGAGGCGTGTTGTTGCTCTTCGCAGCGAGTATTTTTCGTGCCGAGCTTCCAGCTGGAGTCTCGGCTGCGTCTCGCTTTTCGGTGTCATAAACAACGTTGTATTTATCCGGCTTATCCATCACACTCGGCCCCTGGGGTCTGGTGCGCCTAAAGGTTGGTGGTGGTTCATTTTCCTGGTCCCGGACTGATGGCAAATTTGGTATTGAAGGAACCTTGAACACGGGCTGTTCTTTTGCCAGAGAGGATTTGGAGGAAACTTCAGAAGACCCAGGTGTTGACTTTGATCCATAGGATTTTGGCGAGTTTGATCTTGAGAATGGACCCTCAACTTCGGCTGGACGAAGCGGATATTCGGCGCGAAGTGGTTCCCGTTGGGCCGGCGGACTTGGGTCTGCCCATGATACCTTGGGCGATGAGGGCTTCATAGAGTTGCGAGACTGATATTCGCCATTTTCCTCCTCTCCTTCAACATCTTCCCGAACACCATCCGTTGAAAGGTACTGGTTGTTTTCCTCGTTGCTTTCTTCACTCTGCCTTCTCAACACACCCCTGCGAGCGGGGCCATTGAGGAAGCTTCCAGCAAGTCGACCGACCCTCTTGACGCGTAGTGAGCTGTGAGGCGCGATCTCTTCCCCGCCACGACCTCGAAGAGCCGAAGAAGGCATATACCGGGATGCTGGGTCGTCTTCATAGTGCAACTTGCGATCGCTGTCGGAGCGCTCGGCACTACCATACTCATCGCCTGAGTTACGCTCCGCCGAACGTCTCCCGGAGGGCGAGGCAGAAGCTGGCGAGTTCGAATTACTGCGAGAAACATTGATACGAACGCTACGCTGTCGAGGTGCCGGTGTGATAAAATCGTTGCGATGAGCGTGGCTCTCTGGTTCTGCGCTCTGGCTGTTGGAGAGAGGAGAGCTTTCGCGCGAGAATCTGGCCCCGGATGAAATCGCACCAATGCGAACAACCCGTGGTGCTGGGCTCCCATTGGATGAGTCGTGAGGAGAGGCATTGCGCGGCGAGCGGCTCTGCCTTGAGCTCGAAATGCGTTCCTGCTCATGTTGAGCTTTGTGTAAGTGCGGCGAAGAACCTAAACCCTCGCCATGTAATAATGCCTTGACGGATGCGCTGAACTTTGGCTCGGGCACCTCTTCGTCTGAGCTGTCGCCTGCGGAGTAATGTTTCGGGAGACCTTGCGTTGCTGGCGATACCCGTCTAGAGCCCGCACGGGCAACCGTGGATCGAGACATTGGTCGGGATTGCTGTCGATATCTGTCGTTGTACGCTGAGGGGAGGGAGTTGGGGGATGCCATGGCGTGACAACCTACATTGATGTCGTAGATCAATGCGGCCCCTCCAAATTTGTCGTTTGTTGATGCTCCAGGGGAAAGAGAGTATCCGCCTCGAATTCGTCGCGAGATTCGCGCCATGTTATCACGTGAGTGTTTGGTTGCCATGGCGACTGGGGCACAACATACCAGAGAAAGGTGGGCTCCGGCTCAGCCAGGGCAGGGATAATCCATAGGCTATGTGACATGTACAAAAACCGTCAAATATGAATAGAATCGACGTGTAAGTCCAGGTGTGGGAGACATGCTGTCGCTTTCCCAGGTTGACACTGGATCGACCAGACCTCCACTTCTAACTTCCGCTGTCCACGTCATAGCCTTCATCGTACACTTTGCGCCATGTACTATACACTGTCTGTACGGAGTATCACAAGCCATTGGTCATTTCTTTGTCTTCCCTAAGCTGGTCATATCCTCAGTGAGCCCCATGCTATGTACAAAAGCTCAATGACTCGCAAACTTGATGTCTCACCTGGGCATCTCTAATGTGCGCGGAAAGATGATCACACCTCAAAGTGCCCCAAACAAGGAATTGGATTTTGTATATAGCATCCTAGGATGCTACACATGATATCCATAGATATACCTAGGTACTCTCTGATTACTCACATCGACAATAGACCTCGGGATAAGCATGGGGGGCGGAGTATAATATTGCATAATGGTCCTGCTGAGTGAATAGAAAGCTATCTTACTTCGAAATGATTAAGAATTGACCTTGGAAGACCACTTACAATCGAAACTTGGATAGTACTAAGAGTACCTAGGTACCTAGGTACTATATAGCGAGAAATCTATGAAAGCCTTCTCACAAGGAGTCATTGATACTAGGTACCTTGCTCATCCCTAAGTGTTTTGTTTGGTCTACTGTTTGCCCAGATGGATGTGTTCCCGGATCCACGAAGTAACTATTCCAAGGATGTACCCACCTAGGTATATATGTTGCAGGCAGTGAGGAAATTCCACACCAACATAAATCCATGAATGGATCGGAAGAGTACCTACCTACAGTAGGTAGGTATTCCACCTAGGTAGGCAAAATGTAATTCTCATGATTCACCCAGCACTACTGGTACTTCCAAGGGTTGTAACCGTCGTTCTTCTCCAGGGCTCCCCACAAGCCTGGAACTATGACCCACTAAGCTGGTGACCTCCACGCATTCACAAAAATGCTCTATATTTGTAGAAATACAGAAGTCAAAGATTGCTTGAGAGGATACATCAGCCGATAAGAACTGCGGAGGATATTACTATATGCTGGAAGGCTAAAATATTCCCAGAGAACTGCCCAGGTGGAAGTACCTAGAAAATGACCACGGGAGATGGGGCGCTCTTTTTCTTCGCCTTAGAGTTCAGGCAGCATTTCTCAGGCAAGAACATTCTATTTTCGCCTTAAATCTCAGGCGAACAATCTTTCTTTTCTTTTCGCCTCAACCTTCAGGCGCCTAATTTCCGCCTTAGAGCTAAGGCGACGACAATACAGGCACCCATAAGGGCCTAGCGCGCAGCCATCATGGCGCGCGCGAGATCTCTCTCGCCTTCTGGCTCATCCTTCCAATCCCTCGTCCTTGCCAAAATGGCGTCTAGTGTGGACGCAAAGCTGCTCAAGCGTACCAAATTCCCTCCGGAGTTCAACCGCAAGGTTGACATGACCAAGGTTAATATCGAGGTCATGAAGAAGTGAGCACTATTCCCCATCCTCGGCATCCTGACCCCAGATTACTGACCTGCGCCTCTCTTCTGTACCTCTACAGGTGGATTGCAAGCCGGATTTCCCAAATTCTCGGGAACGAAGATGACGTCGTTATCGAACTTTGTTTCGGGCATCTAGAAGGGCCTCGATATGTACGTTGATCACTGGGATACCTAGCGCCTGCCGCAGCTCACTGACTTTCTCACGCTTGGGTCCAGCCTGATATCAAATCCCTCCAAATCCAGCTCACCGGATTCCTAGACAAAGATACCCCCAAGTTCTGCCAGGAGCTATGGAACTTGTGTCTCAGCGGCCAGGAGAACCCGCAGGGTGTCCCGAAGGAGCTCTTAGAAGCCAAGAAGCTAGAGCTTATCCAAGAGAAGGTACCTTCAACCCCAACCCATGGCGATCAGAACCTGCCGCTGATAGCGATTCCGAAATCTAGCTTGATGCCGAAAAAGCCGCAGAAGCTTCTCGACGACAAAAAGAACAAGAGCAAACCCGTGAACGCGATCTCGAAAACCTGAGGCGCCGCGAGCGATTTGACCGCGGACAGGGACCGGCAAGCCGTGGCCGCACAGGTAGAGACTTTGACCAACGTTCTCCACCAAGAGGCCAAGGCCGCAACTCAGACCGATTCCGTGAGCCCCCCTCGCGACGGGACTCTTATGTGCCACCTGGTACCCAGCGAGGCCGCGAAGAATCCGCAACCCCCGAGTGGCACCCTCCCCCATCTCGATCTCGATCCCCAAAGCCATCCTCACCCCGCCGCAGCCGTAATGACACTCGCCACCGACCTCGCGAGCGCCGTCGCCGCTCCCCAAGCAGATCAGTATCTCCCCAGCGTCGAAACCGCGGAGGAGCGAGAAGGCCCAGCCCGGACTACAGTGACCGTGCTAGATCTAGATCCACCCATTCCCGCAGTCCCTCGCGCTCACGTTCCCCCAGAGGAAAACGCCGCAGTCTCTCCGCATCTCCTCGTCACAGCCGATACTCGCGACGCTCTGCGGGCGCACACTCACCCTCTCGCTCCCGTTCTCCCTCTCGGTCCCGTCGCCCCTCTGACCGCTATCGCCGAGACCGTAACTCTCGTCGTCTGAGTCGCAGCCCATACCGTAATAGTAACCGTGATCGTGATACCCGCCGACGTCGCAGTCCCAGCGGCAGTCGCAGCCCCCAGCGGGATCAGGATGCCAAACGTCGTCGCGAGGCGGATAGATACAATCCCGAACGACACGAGCAGCGTAGCGCATCTGTCGATTCCTTGCCAGAGAAACGACGCAAGGTGGCTGATGAACAAGATGCTGACAGTATGTGTGATTGAGATACCAAAAAATGACATGCCTTTCGTCCATTATCAGTCTTTATGTTTTTAATCAGCCCATACTCGTGGATCCCAATGGATGTAAGGAAGGGTGGCGAGATGCGTGCCCTTGTCCTTGTCCCAGTCCTTGTACGGAGTAGTCAGTGTTCAGAAATCAACTCTCAAATGCCTCAAGGTCCCAGCGTATGCTTGTAGATGCACAAATTTAAACCTCGTGAGGACGATACCTAGGTACCTAACTACTTAGTAGTGGCGAGTCCTAAGTGAATGATCTAGTAGTGGACAGTATACAACAACCTTAGAATAAGGAATGTACTCCATTGAAGGGGGAAAAGGTATATATAATTGTGCTCAAGTCATTAAACAATAACAAGGGATCTCCGCCATCTTCTTGTCAACCAAAGATCTGCCGCACCCGAAGGTAAGCAAGATCTTGATCTCCAAGATTAGAATTAGAATTAGATATCTACAAACAGGAGGGGGACACAACAGATCACAGGACAGGCGGGTATCAGACGCGACAGATCGCCACGCTACCAATTCACAGTGCTGAAGGTCATCTTGTCATCAAAGCAAAAAAAACAAAAAGGTAGGAAATTTCTATGAGGTTTTCTCAATGTGTGCAGACATGGTGCACCTGTTTACTCGTCGCAGCCGCAGACGGTGGCGGTCACAGTCGCAGTGACGGTGACAACCTCGTTGCCGGAGCCACCACCGGAAGGAACGGTGGGAGGGCTGGTGGGGGCGGGGCTGGTCTCAGTGTCGCAGGGAGCACTGGGGACGGAGCCGGTACCCTGGGGACCGCTGGGGGCAGGGCCGGAGGCAGCGGGGCCGGAGGGAACGGGGACACCAGTGGGCGAGACACCGGTAGGAGTCTGGGCGGGAACACCGGGGATGACGGTAGAGCCGACGATGTCGGAGGTCTCGGTGTCACAGGGGGTGGTGCCAGCGGGGCCGGAGGGAACAGGAGTACCGGTGGGAGAGACACCGGAGGGAGTCTCGGCGGGAACACCGGGGATCACGGTAGAGCCGACAACACCGGAAGTCTCGGTGTCACAGGGGGTCTCGGCAGGGCCGCTGGGGGAAGAGCCAGTAGGGGCGGGGCCGGAGGGAGCAGGGCCAGAGCCAGCGGGGGTACCGGTGGGGGAGACACCGGTGGGGGTCTGAGCGGGGACGGAGGGGGTCTCAGCAGGGACACCAGGAATCACGGTAGAGCCAACAACGCCGGAGGTCTCGGTGTCGCAGGGGGTCTCAGCGGGGCCGGAGGGAGTCTGAGCAGGGGCGGTGCCGGAGGGAACGGGGACACCGGTGATCTCGGTAGAGGCAACGATCTCAGTGGTCTCGGTGTGGCAGGTGTCGCAAGGGGTGGTGTCAGCGGGGCCGGAGGGCACGGGAGTACCGGTGGGAGAAACGCCGGAGGGAGTCTCAGCAGGGACACCGGGGATCACAGTAGAGCCGACAACACCGGAAGTCTCAGTGTCACAGGGGGTCTCAGCGGGACCGGAGGGAGTCTCAGCGGGAGCAGTGCCAGTGGGGACAGCAGGGACAGTGACAGTGATGGAGCCGGAGCCGCTGGGACCGGGGATGACAGTGGAGCGAACGACCTCGGAAGTCTCAGTGTCACAGGGGGTGGAGGCAGCAGGGCCGCTGGGGACGGGAGTACCAGTGGGGGAGACACCGGAAGGAGTCTCAGCAGGGCCACCGGGGACGGAGACAGAGGCAGAGCCAGCAGGGCCGGAAGGAGCAGGGCCAGAAGGAACAGAGACGGAGCCAGCAGGTCCAGAGGGAGCAGGGCCGGAAGGAGTCTCAGCAGGCGAGGTACCGGTGGGAACAACGGGGATGGTGACAGTGATGGAGCCGGAGCCGCTGGGGCCGGGGATCACAGTGGAACGAACAACCTCGGAAGTCTCAGTGTCGCAGGGAGTGGAGGCAGCAGGGCCGCTGGGGACAGGAGTGCCGGAGGGAGAGACACCGGAGGGAGTCTCAGAAGGAGCAGGACCGGAGGGAACAGAGACAGAGCCGGCAGGGCCGCTGGGGATAGGAGTACCAGTGGGAGAGACACCGGAGGGGGTCTCAGAAGGAGCAGGACCGGAGGGAACAGAGACAGAGCCGGCAGGGCCGCTGGGGATAGGAGTGCCAGTGGGAGAGACACCGGAGGGGGTCTCAGCAGGGCCACCGGGGACGGAGACGGAGCCAGAGGCACCGGGGCCGGAGGGAATGGCGGAGGTGCTGGCCTTGTAAGGAGTGCTGGAAGGCAGGCTGGGGACGGAGGAGGAAGGAGTGGGGGCACCGGGGATGCTGCAGCCGGTGAACCACTGAAGGAAGATGATCTGGATGCTAATGTCGATGTTGACATCAGTGGAGCCACTGAGGAAGGCAGCAAGCTCAGCACGAGCACCGAAAGTGAGATCAGCAATGCTACCACCGGCAGCGCAGAGAGAGAGGGCACCGCGGAGGTCGACGCTGAGGCCAGCGAGAACAGTCTCGGTAAGGATACCGGAGACATCGCCGAGGAGACCACCAACAAGGTTGAGGGAGGCGGAGGCATCGGCCTCAACAGCGAAAGAAAGCCAAAGAAGGACAACAGCCTTCAGCTCAACACCCAGGGTGCAGTCGGAGCCAGAGAGCCAGATGGCGAGCTGAGTGCGGACGTCAAGCTCGACGGAAGTAGCGAGCTCGCCCTTGGCAGCAGCCTGGAGACCGAGCTGGACGTTGGCACCGAGGTGGGCGCCAATGGAAGCCTCGAGGAAAGCGGCGAGGGAGGCCTTACCACCAACGGAAAGGTGGCCAGCTTCCTCGACGTGAACGCCAATGGAAGCACCGATGGAGACGGTGGAGAGAGCACCGGCACCAACAGAGCCAAGCTCAACGAGCTGACCACCGGCGTGGCCCTTGATCCAGGCAAGGACGGAGACCTTGAGCTCAGCAGAAAGGTCGCACTCACCACCCTCAACCCAAGCGAGGAGGGAAGCCTTGATGTCAGCAGACAGAGAGCCAATGACACCACCAGCGGCGCAAACACCGAGACCAGCCTTGACACCAACATCAAGACCAGCCTTGGCCTCGAGCCAAGCAGAAAGAGAAGACTGGGCACTGAGGCTCAGAACGAGGGCAGACTCGAGGCTGGAAGCAGCAAAGATACCATCAACGGTAACGTAGAGCTGACCCTTGGCAGCAATCTCAGCACATCCGGGGATGTAGGCGGACAGACCAGCGAGGACATCGGCGGAGAGGACAAGTTCAGCATCACCATCGCACCAGGCGATCAGATGCTTCTTGAGAGAAACGTCCAGCTTGGCGTGGACGAGCAACCAAGCGCGGAGAGCGGCCTTGGCGTGGGCGTGGATAGCACCAGCCTTGCAACCAAGAGCACCACCCTCAAGGGCAGCAGCACCCTCAGCGCTCAGACCAGCGAGAATGGAAGCCGAGGAGTGACCGTGACCGAGCACGGCCTCGATAATGGAAGAAACGTCAACAGCGGCGTGACCGAGGATCTCAGCCAGGAGACCGAAGGTACGCTTCTCTGTGGCCATGTCGGTGGGGTAGGCGAGAGCAGAGCCCGCCAGACCGGCGAGCATAACGAGAGCGGGACGCATGTTGTGAGGTGTGTATTAACGAATGTATAAGTCAAACGCTTTGTGAAGTATAACGAGGGTCTTCTGAATACAGAAGCGAGAGACCGACAAGGCTGGCAAGCAAGCCGCCAAGGTATTAAAGATAGACTGTGGAAAAGGTGAAAAGAAAAAAAAAAGACTGTTGAGCGATGAAGATCCTCAAGCTGATCGTCGAAGGGTGTTTATATACCCCTGATGGATGTGGTGCCGGCAGGCTTCCGGGACTCGATTCAAGCTACCGGGTCAGGAACAGAGCCACACTGACTCTACCCCGGTCTGCGATTCCACATTTGGAGTCATCGACCCCTTGGGCTTCAGGGATATCGAAGACTGGAGACCTGGATCTTTCACGAGTGGATCATTGAGTCCACCAGTGAGAAGCTAATGATAGATTGATTGCTGCACGAGTGGAGATCCTCCCTCTCCACCTCGGGGGTCTATTCTTGGTTACAGGAGTTGCGAATTGTATCAGAAATCACGCTAACCATGAGAATCGACCCATCAAGCCAAGCTGAATTCGGAGATGCGGTGTTGATATGAGAAATTTTGCCAATCTAGTACTTTGTGTGCTAAGGTCCGAAGAGATCAAGTACTACGTCAAGAAAAAAGCAAACATCGACAGCAAAAACAATGAAAAAACGGAAATTTAAGCACTGGAAAAAGGAAAAAGGAAAGCCATAGATTAAAATGCCAAATCCCAAGGGGGCAGAAGTCATCGCCGATCACGATGCGCTCATACTCAGGCTCTCAAGGCAAAAGATCAACAAGATCCACACAACGGTTGAGTCTGTTGTTTCCAATTTTTCCATTTTTATCGCCTTGTTAATTCTTCTCTTGGCCAAGTCCTCCGTGAACCCCCTTTTCTATCATCTCCTGTCTGGACTAGCCTGGACGAAGCTGCAGACTCTTAGCGGGCCTTTGACCGAGCTCAACAGTGGGAAACAATCCGCACTAGTACCTATGGAGAACTAAGAACTGTGGTAGTGCTCGTATGTAAACAATGTGTGAACCTCTGCAGGCTCTACTCCGTACTATACGCGATCTTCCGAGTGGTCCATTCCAAGTCCACCTTTGACCCACAGCTCCGGGGAATTAGTTCAGGTACACCTGCACGCTTCTATCCCCTTCTGGCAACGATAGACAGGTCCAATCGTGCTGTTTTGTTGGACACAACGCAAGACCTGTCAAACCGAGAAGGAGGCAACTGCAACGAGCGGGCTAGATGTCTGTGATCCTTGTCTTGACCCGTCCGGCCTCCTCATTCAAGTTAGCCCTGCCATCATCCCACGGCCCAGCTTTCTCCGTGGGGCCAGGATTCGGCTTCTTTTGCCTGCGATGATGGCATTTGCTATTGTGCCTTGGAATTATCCGCAATGGATCCTCTGTTTTCAAACTACCGAATAGAAATCCCTGCACAGGTCTTTTGGCGACCGTATTTTGTGCACCAAAACATAGTTTGATCAATTCGAGGTTGACCTCCGAGCAAGTCCCCCTTTTTGTTTACTTTCTCTCCTTTAGCTAAGGGATACCAAAATCCAGTTGGTGGCTGACAGGTACCAGGAGCTACAGACGCTAAAGACGCCTGGTCTGGATTCCAACGTTGAGTTGTGCAGTGACCACTGCACGAAATTCTCCACTTGAGTCTGAAAGGGACAAATAAGAGTGCGAATACTCGCAAATCCATAACAATTATATTAATGCAAATGTGGCAGTGATTTGCCCTAAAATTCATCCTTGCACTAGTGTGCGATGGCGCCGGATGGGCTCATGGCCAGAGGTAAGCTGATAGGGGGCTCCTCCAATTTTCACGGACGTTAAACGGCTTCCGGCGTAGTCTGGTGGATTTCAAGAGCCAATTCTTGGCCATTAAGCTTCGTCCGCCACGCTCCACAGGCTAAGCGTCCTCAAACAACACTAGGTACTGTACAGTGTCCTACCCATAAGTACGGAGTCCAACAGCACCCTCACAATCCCCACCTCGGGAACCAGTTCGTGATGCTCTAACCACTTTGAATGTTGGCTTTAGATTTTGAGGCGATCGGGGTTTCATACCGGGTGATCAACCTTGGACCCGATGCTACTGTACTGTATCTGGCCACAGGGCTACTAGCTAGGCCAGCCAGTCCACTGTTTTTCGGCACAAGCATGGAAGAACAATGTACGATTGTCGATTCTTCATGTCTCACTCCACACGGGCACATTCCACGAGCTAAGTCTTGGAGGCTGCATATAGCGCATTCAATGGGAAGACGCTGAACTGGCCGGCCCCCTGCTTGAAAATCAGCCCATAGGCCGATTTTCAACAGGCCCCCGATGAGGGAGGTGGGACTACCGGCTGCATCTTCGCATCTCTAGCTGCAGCTGACCGCATAACCCGCTGCGGCCAGAAATCTTCTCTGCGCCGTCCGTGTTATTGCGATCGGTCCGTTGCAGCAGCCTATGACGAGTATGCGGAAACGGGAGAGCTTGCCCAATGAGACAGAAGAACTACTGCAGTTACTCTTGACCTCTGGAGTAAGTACATCACTTGGACTTGTACAATACACTATGGAGAATCTTGAATCGACCGACCGTAGAGTACTACCGTAGTATAGAATGTGTTTGCTCGTACTAATAGTATACTTTAGTGCGCCCGTGAGGGGTCTCTGTTGTATATTTCTCCGTACTCGTATTGTTGCTTGTTGGGGCCCGGCAACAGTCACACCCCTTCTCCATATTCCGGACTAGCATTGAACAAAGGAAAATCCATCCGAGCAACCTAATCCACAAGGTTCCCACTAGTCGCGCCTCTTGCCTTGGCTATGTGAAGTTTCGATACGGAGTAGCTATATTCCCCTCGGCCACCGTGCCGAGGGCTCGAGCCTCACATAATTGAAAGGGGTGCTCACAAGGGTTCGCTGTTTGAGGGCTATAAATAACAGGTTCACTTACCATGCGAAACGTGGAAAAGCTTAAATCAAGCTACTTGATCTCACATTGAGTCTGCCCCATCGTGCCCTGTTTCAGCTTGATTAGTGTTACCCGAGGAAAAATCGAAGTTCGCTTGAATTTGGATCCAGGGTTCGGCCTCACTGTGTTTGAAACAACCTAAAGGGGCTATTTTTGACCCTTGGTGAACTGGTGGACCAGGCGAGATTCGGGCGCCACATTAATCGGACAATATGATTACCTTTTTGGTGCGGAGCACATTGTATGAATATCCTGTGCTCAATTCTCATGAGTTTGCCGGACTTCTGCCGACTTTGGGGGGGCTAAACGGGTAAGCGAAGCTAAAACGGAAAATCCCCAAAGTTCAACTTGAAACGCGAGCTCGTCGCGATCGGCCCTGGAGACGGAACATCGGATTGACAAATCGCAAAAAAAAATCTTGCTCGATCTGCTATCCATGCGCATTGGCAGATCGGACGGCTCCAAATCCCACTTATATGAAACACCTTGCCACTGAGTAAACTCAGATCCTGAAAAACCAGGGACGTCATGTTTGATTCCTTGATGAATGCCATTGACCGCAAAAGGTCCGGTTTGACGGTACCCGAGCCCTTCCGCTGAGTTTATTCTCCCAACCCACATCCATCAACACAATGTCTCCTCCGTGCTGAAGGGCAGAATGCTTACAAGTCACCCCTTGTCGACAGCTGATCAACAAACCTCAATTCCATGGCCGTGCTAGTACGATAGGGCTGACTTTCAGGTACTGCCCCTTAAGTGTTCAAGTGGTCCATCTTATGGTTTGGCTCACATGGCAACTGCACATGGTTGCTCTGAACCGCGGTACAACCCAGCGTGGTCCCGGAGATTTGGCATACTTTAAGTAAACGGCCCTTTAGACCCCAGCAGTCATCTTCGAGAACCTCTCCATTCGCGATCTTCATGTGAAATACGGTCCGCAGCGGTCTTAACGGGCAACGGGGCCTCGTCGCTCAAAACCCAATTTTCAGGCGGCGGCTGGATACCGTGGTTACGGTCGCTCCCAATCCACACCCAGAAAAGAATTTGCCCACTAACGCACAAGTATTGTAAGGAGCCCTGGAGGAGGTGAAGAGACCTGTAGATATATTCGATCAGCTCCTTGTATTTCGTTATAGATATTGGAACGAACATTCAATCTAGGACTCGGATTTTTCACCGAAGGCTTCAAAGCACTCCCTGATCTTATGTTACCCTTAAGATTTTAATGTTCCAATGTTGAGTTAAACCACCTGGGCATCATCCAAGAGCCTCGGAACTTCCAAGGTTACTGAATACAGCCCTGGAGCCCTGGAGAGTCACGGCCCAGATTTTTGGCGGCTAGATACATGCATGGTGTATGAAGACAACCCTTCCAACCTTGGAAGGTTCTACCTAGTAAGCTTGACGCAACCTTCCAAGGTTGGAAGAGGTCATCGCAAAATAGAAATGAAAGTGGTGCTTCCGAGGTCGTACCCTGTGTAGTAGCCCCGAGGGGAGTCAGCACCAGCATCTTACTCCGATCATGCTCAGTGGACTTTGGTTTTAGGTACTAGGTAGGGTATTTTAGACCTCAGTTCTATGGTCAGCGGCGATTACTTATGCCCACGAGAGGGTACCCGTGACCTAGGTAGTACCTAGGTATGGGATCATCATATAAAGAATGGGTTCCAAGTTCCATTATATATATTTGATAGACTGAAGCTCCGAGGTTATTTGGGGAAGGGCCTCCCGAGCTCGTGACTTCCAAGCGGACTACCTAGCCCCCGGGGCACTGAGAGCTACCTACCTAGTAGGGCTTCCAGGTTTTGATCTCTCAAGGGATTTATATCCTACCCATGCAAGAACCTTGGAAGAAGATGAGAACAGCTACGATGTTGAAGCCCTGAAGCTTTCTTTCAACCTTGAAGATGCCAATTCTTGGCATGTTTGTAATGTTTGGGGCCCAATGGGCCCCCAGAAAAGCCCGATGGGCTTCGACCCTAACTACCTAGGTAAGCCCAGAGCCCATTACTACTGGATTGGGCCCGGGTTGGGCCCGGACTTTCTGGGCTAATGCGGCAGTCAACCTCTTTCCAAATAACCGTTTCGACCCAACCAATCTTGGAAGATCAGAAGCCTGTATCATTCCAAGGTTCTCGAGTGGCAGTACCGAGTACTATGTAGATACCAGATACCCACCGCAGTGAGATTGGTTGACTAGTTGACATATATTGGTAGAACATAAGGTGTCGGGATGACCCCATGCCCTAAGCGCCTCTGCCTCGTGATTCAATCACCAGCTGCCCCCCACCCCCACCTTGCTTTTACCTGCAATCATTCACCTCTACATCTTGAGTTGTCTCCGAAGTCCCGAGAAGTGATGGAAACAATAAAAAGAGATATTTTGATTTGAATGTTTTTATGCTTGCCTGCTGTAGTGTTGCTGTGCTAGTAGCGTTACAGCAGGCTTTAATTCGCAACAACCATCCAAGATCACTAGCTGAAGGGCAAAGCGAGATGAAACTCATTAATGCCTCCATCAAAGATTTATCTGAAGCATTGCACCGCGGCGAATTCACTAGCGTTTCCCTTGTTGAGGTCGGTCAATATACAGAAAGATTGACGTCGGCATTGTTTCTGGCTGACATTGCTGATAGGCGTATATTGCACGCATTCAACAGGTCAACGGATTCGTGAAAGCGGTCAGTGAGATAAATCCTGATGCCCTCGAGATAGCTCGAAAATGTCATGAAGAACTACTCTCTGGTCAGTCGAAAGGAAAATTACATGGCATCCCTTTTCTTGCCAAGGATGTGTTCTTGACGACGGACCGGATGCAAACAACCGGTTTGTCAAATAGCAGATTGGTGTATATTGATGGACTATCTGCTGACTCGCAAGAAAAAAATTTGCTGGATGTAAAGCACTTCAAGGGGCGAAACCGAGCCTTGAAGCGACTGTAATCGCAAAGCTCCGCAATCAGGTGGCAATACTTCTCGGCAAAACTGCATTGACTTAGTGGGCGAACTATCGAAGTCCACGTACCGCGCCTAATGGCTGGTCTTCTGCCAGTGGGCAGTGCACTGCTCCGTTTGCAGACTATCAAGATCCCTCAGGGTCTTCTTCGGGAAGTGCTGTCGCTGTTAGTCTTGGTATGTGTGCATTTGGCATAGGTACCGAGGTGAGTATAAACCCCTCACAGACCTGTAACTTTGGAATGATGCTGATCATTTATCTATCAAGACCGAAGGGAGCATCACTAATCCGGCCCAAAGGGCAGCCGCGATTGACCTGAAGCCAACGACTGGGATGGTCTCGCGACATGGAGTGTACTCCGTCAGTGAGTATCAGGATTCGGTTGGCGTTCATGGCCGAACAGTGGATGATTGTGCAATCGCTCTGTCGAGCATAGCTGGTGTGGATCCCCAGGATCATTTCACGATGGTTAACCCTCTTGATGGCCAGGATGCAAAACGTCCAAAAGAGGGAACTGACTTTTCTTCCAACCTGGAATCCTGTAGCATGGACGGTATTCGCATTGCAGTAGGTTCTCATTGCCTGAGAGTAGAACAAAGCTAAACTTATTCTAGGTCCCCTCCGTTCTTCTTGACACTGATTATGTACGACGGGATGCTACAAAACAGGCAATGGACATAATAAGGGGCCTTGTCGCAGTCGTAATTGAGGATGCTAATTATTCCCAGTGGGAGACAGATGAGCAGAGGGAAGCCGATGAAGAATGGAGTCGAGCCTTCAGGGTTCAACTAAGAGATAGTATGACCATCCAAGCTATTGTATGCCGAAAAATGCTAATATTCGCTCAATCCTTGATTTATCAGACATGGCAAAATTTTTGACTTCCTTCAAGCCGAGCGGAGTGAAAATGCAGACGCTGGGCGATGTCATGAATTCCAAGGTTACACCATAAACACACTGGAAGAGCACGCCGAAGAATATGGTATCGAAGAATGGCTTGCCGGTGAACTTACAGGACAAACTCATGACCGAGACTCGGAGGAATATAGCGCATCATTGAGGCGAAGATTAAAAATGGGTGCTCAAGCGAAGGAGTTGCTTGATCGTTACCATTGCGATGTTTACCTATCTTCTTCATCAAGATGGCATCCAGGAATGGCCGGTGGCTATCCCTCGATCTCAGTTCCCATTGGTGTATTCCCTCCTGATACGCCAATCGAGTCGAGACCTCGAACTGGTCTAGTGAAGAAAGGCCCTGGAATTGTGTAAGCGTTGTTGTCATGTCAACTTTTTATGCGCCGTCCTGACGAGACATAGATTTAGCATTGCGATGGTGGCAAGGCGGTGGGACGATCAAAGGTTAATTGAGGTGGCAAAGGTAGTTCAAAAGGCCATGGCCATTGGACAAAAGCCCCAACTGAAGGTTGAGCCTACAGCGGAAGTGAATGTCCAAATCCCAATTCTCGACACCAAGGACCTCTCTATATCAGACTCATTAATAAAAAGCGATTCTGTAATCACAATTCATGTTCATAGAGCTCTTGCCCTCGTGTGAACTCATCCATCTGATAGGTAGAGCCTGGACCGAATCCATGCAGCAAACGGCCCAAAAAAATGGGTGTCCAAGTTCCCAGGCCGTTCGCAGAATGCCAGAAGGGCCTCATAACGCTCAGCCGCAGAGCTCCCGGTGGCACCCAAAAGCTTAGCAAGATCCACTGGACAAAGATAAGCTGGCTGTCTGGCATCCTCGCAAATGGATGCGGTCCCCTGCATCGAGCACGCATAATACACACAATGGGCAATACCGAAACAGTGACCCAGCTCGTGACTTGCTGTCCGACACATCCGACCCAACCAAAGCGCATACGCCAAAGGAGGAGCAGAATCCACACTCGGAAGACGTTTGTAGGCTAGCACTGCATCTTTCATAGGGCCGTCAAGTGTTGGCCCCGAATTGTCCGAAGCTTTGTCATTGGTGCGTGTCTTTTGTTTCTTCAAAACTGGCTCTGCCGAGACGCATGATGCCATGTATTCCGCGCAATGCGAGGCGGGCCAGGCATGGAGGCGCTCGATCTGTTGGATGCTATCCAGGCCGGGGTTGTATCTTGCGCTGGAGACCACTGCAACTCGACTTCCGCCATATGCACGCCCGCAGACGAACTCATCGTCCTCGTCCTCGTAAAGATCAAAATCCACGAGCATTATCAAAGCATAAGCATCTTTCGGCAGAATGCTGATGGCCGCATCAAGAAGATCGTCCAAGTTAAGCTGCCCCCCGTATATTTCATTTGAGCGAGTGCGTGCACGGATTCGCACACATTCGTCTCCGATATTGAGTCCAAGGTATTGTTGCCGAGCATTCTTTCGTGATTTTGATTTGGGTTCATCCCAAGGGATGATGCGCGATCTAGACGGGGGCATCACTTTGACAGGCAGGCCATGGTAGAAGGCTGCCAGATAGTCTTTGATCTCCTCTATGTTGGGAGTGTCTATTTGACACTTGTTAGTGGAAACCTTTGGCTTTTGCCATTCTCGCACAAATTCGAGACTGGGGTCAATTCGAGGAGAGGGCACCACATATAGAGTCTTTCTCTTCGCGGTGACTGGATTGCGTGTCTCTCCATCAACCCATTCCTGAAAGCTTTGGGCTTCCTCTGCCTCTTCAGCGAGATCGTCACCGGGGAGAATCAGAGGAGCAGGGAAAGCCAGCGGATCCTCATCGAGAAATAGTTTGTCGTTCCTCGCGAAGGCTCGAGCATTTGACTTTGTTGCGGAAACTCGCTGTCGCTGGCTTGGACGTTTGTAATGCCCCCCAGATGCATGTGAAGACGGGGAAAAGCGGAGAGATGAATGATCACACTTGGCTTTCGACATTGTGAGAAAGCGTACCCGGGCAAGGGATTGGCTTGACAAAGCAAACGAAAGAGTCCTTGAGCTTTGTGGGGATCGTTGGCTATGTGTGCGAAGCACGAGCGCCTATTCCCAGAATTGATCTTGCAAGTAAGACCCTCGAGTGCCAAGACCCTTCGGATCCGCTTGCCGGTCGGACTGGTAGTTGGATATCGAGTTGCAGGTGTTCCACCGAGAAGAAGCTTGACAAAGGTGGACGTATTGGGCCAGGCTTCTGTATGATCATAGCCTCAGTTGAAGATCACTTTTGGGCACCTCACTAGAGTAGTTGCAAAATTTGAGTGACAATATTTCAAGAGAATCATGTAAATCCTACGATGAGCAAATTTCTGCTACGCTTTTGAACATACTGCAAATGATGATTCCTTTGCGGCAATCGGGCGAAGAGTGTCAACACCCCGAGAGGGACTGTTTCGTGGCGCCACGGGGAAGGTAGAAGCGGAATCCTAGGAGGGAGACGTACGCCCAAGAGCCACGGAGATCAAAACAAAAGATGGCTTTCAAGGCAGACGCACGTCGAGGGGGCCATGCTCAAAGGTCACATGACCGGTGCCAGGCCTCGCAGATGTCTGCCTTGTTGCCAGCTTCACTCATCTGTCTTTCCCCCGGAATCTAAACTGTGCGGGGCTTGCACATATGAATCTCGCGGAGACTTTCAAGTTTCTTCAAGCAAACGCGTCGTGTGGGTCACTGAGACTTGAGGACTGAGGGATGTCTGCGGGCCCCCAGATGCTCCGGGGCCGGTTATCCCGATTATTAATCGGCGTAAGTCGTGATGATCGCATCTTCTTCTATTCAACAGGCCCGGATTATCCGACGATCGACAATGCCGTTAAGGCGAGATTGTGATGTTCGGGTTAGTTTGAGCATTGCGTACGGCAATGGGGTGCTGATCGACACAAAAGCCAAGGAACAGGAAGATGCGTCCTGATGTCGCTCATGGCCATCTGAACTGATAAATCACGCAAGTCGTCTTGAAGTCAACCGCATCTCGAGTACAGCACCCATCGGGCCACATCGGACACAATGAAATGGGAGACCCTGCTCAGTGGGCTTCTCATCGGGGTCGCTTCTGCCAATGACTATGGGACTTTTCAAGAACCCGCCAACAATGCACGCTTGAAATTTCGATACTGGTTGCCGGATGCGAGTGTTGATATCGCTACAGTGCAGCGCGATATCAAGGCTGCTGGCGCGCTGGGTGCAGGTGCAGTGGAGTTTGTGCCACTATACAACTATGGCGCTTCCCTGGCAGCACCACCAAAAGGGGCTGATTGGGCAACTTACGGGTTTGGAACCCCAGCTTTCAACAAAGTGTTCAAAGCTTCACTCCAAGCTTGCAAGGAGGCAGGAATGCGGATGGACTTTGCCTTGGGCCCAAGTGCGGCACAAGGCGTGCCATCCGAGGCCACTGATGCGGGATTACACTGGGATTTGGTAAGTCTTCGGTCCGTTGGACGAGTCCCGATAAATCACTGATGCCGGCTATAGACATATTTCAACATTAGCCTACCATCTAATGGTAGCTACACAGGACGTATCCCGGGATGGGGCTTTGGGGAGCTCGTTGCCTTGGTCTCGGCGAGGTCAACATCATCGTCGACCGTCACAAACCCAGCCAGCAGTTTGTTTTCAACGCCTGCAAACAAGGCGACCCGCTTGATCATTGACAGCGACTCCCTTATCGATCACACGGACAAAGTAAAGCTCGATGGAACAGTGTCCTTGTCGCTGACCAACGGGTCGAGTCACGGTAGTCACCATTTGTTTGCCTACTACCAGTATCAAGATTTGGTCAAGAACTTGGACATCGAAACCAATACTACCGGGACCATTTTTGATAACGGGTCTTACACTGTTGATCATTTCAGCCCCCGAGGTGCTGAAACCGTCAAAAACTTCTGGGAGACTCATATACTCAACGATACCGAGATTATTTCCCTCCTGAATGACGTGGGAACATATGGCTGGGAGGATAGCCTGGAGATAAAATCAAATATCTCGTGGTCGCCTTCGATCCCAGAGCGGTTTGAGAAGATGAACGGATATGGACTGCGGAAATACTTGCCTCTTCTTCAATACGGAAACAACAATCCCGGCGTACAGCCATCATATCCCGGGAAACTGAAATGTGTTGCAAATGATGATCACCGAGGAGAGGGATTCGTCAATGACTTCCGCGCCACTTTAGCTGCAGGCTACGGTGAATACCTCGATACATTGACATCTTGGCTGCAAGGCCTTGGGCTAGGCTACTCCGCACAGGTCTCGTATAATCTGCCAATGGATATGCAGACTAACATTGACCGAGTTGATGCCCCGGAGTGTGAAAGTCTGGCTTTCAATGATAACATTGACGGCTACCGCCAATTCTCCGGAGCCGCCAATGTGGCCCAGAAGCCCGTGATTTCGAACGAGATGGGCGCCGACCTCCAAAAGGCCCTTGCTCTCCCACTATCGGAAATATTGGGTCAGATCAATATTGCCTTCGCTGGTGGCGTTAACCAAATCGTGCTTCATGGCCAAACATTCACAGGTGATTATTTCGAAACCACATGGCCTGGATATCTCAGCTTCTTCCTCCTCTTTTCAGAGTCATACATGGACAAGCAGCCAGCTTGGGAGTTAGGAATGCCAGATATGATCAACTACGTCAACCGAAATCAGTTTGTTCTTCACACCGGTCAACCACGCACCGACGTGGCCTTTTTCAACAAGGTGTCATACACCGATCCTCAGCTTAACAGCCTTTACAAGGAGGATGATTTGATCGACAACGGCTTTACATATACTTATTTGAACCCAGCCAACCTGAATCTCTCTCAAGCATATGTCTCTGATGGGATACTCGCCCCAGAAGCACCTGCCTATCAAGCTCTGGTGGTGACTGCACAGGAAAATGTGACGCTTGAGGCAGTCTCGAAAATTCAAAACTTCGCAAATACCGGCCTACCAGTTATCCTCAGTGCAGGGCTACCGGGATACTATCCAACTGGAAATGCGTCCGATAAAGATGCGGTCGCTGCTGCTTTGCGAAATCTGAGGAACTCCGAGAATGTGCACACAGCCTCCCGTGGAAAGCTCGCCTCAAAGCTCAAAGCGCTAGGAATTCGCCCTCGAGTTGAGGTATCCACCTCCAGCAACGCCAACTGGTACCCTGTGTTGCGCACCGAAGACTCCAACGACTATGTCTTCGTTTTTAGCAAAGGGAGTGCAGGCCAAGGCCACCTTACGGTAAACTCCACAAAAACGCCATATGCTCTAAACAGTTGGACCGGAGAGCGAACCGCGCTGCTCAATTACCAAGTACATGATGGGTATACATCCATTCCTGTGACGCTGGCTCAGAATCAGACTATTGCTTTTGCTTTCTCTGATGATTGGGAAGCAGAAGTTCCCACGCCCGCTTCACATGCAGTCCATGTTTCCCCAGAGGTGGTCGGATACAATTTCACAACGCAGAAGGAACTGGTAGTGCATGTAGCTACTGGTGCAGGCCATGCTAACCAAAGCTTGAAGCTTTCTAGCGGCAAGACACACGCAATCCCAGCCAACAGAGAGGTTTCCTCCTTCAACTTGCAGGACTGGACCCTGGTAGCGGAACATTGGGAAGCCCCACAGAATATGTCAGATGCCACGGTGATAGCCGACAAGCGCAATACGACACACCACCTGACTTCTCTGGAATCATGGCTAGACATTCCCGGCCTCCGCAATGCATCAGGCGTGGGATATTACTTCACCAGTCTCTCCTGGCCACCGACATCTGCCAACACTACCAAGTCAGTTAACGGGGCATATCTGTCATTCCCTCAAATCTCGCATGGCTTGAAGCTTTTCGTGAATGGTCAGGCAATCCATGCACTGGACTTCGCACATCCCATGGTTGATATCGGTCCATTCTTGCACAACGGCTCTAATCAAATCACTGCTGTCGTTCCGACCTTGATGTGGAATTACATTCGAAGCATCTATGACGAGCTCGAGATCTCGGGCTCAAAGCCATTGCTGACAGCTTTGCCTGGCAACGTGGATACTGGCTTAATCGGCAATGTCAAGGTCGTCCCTTACACTTCTCATCGTATCTCAGTGTGAGCATGTATACTGTCTGGTAGATGAATGCGATACCTATTCAGTAGTACGCCTTAACAAACTTCATTCTGCGTTTGTTACCTGATTTCAGTTTTGGCACCCAGATCTCCGTCGTGTTACTATCACCCGTGGACTGTGTATTTAATTACGAGTAATGTACCGATTGGTAACCATACAGAAACTTGTATTTCAAAACAGACATTTGCAAAAAGAAAAAAGAGAAACAGAGAGGAAACTTCGTCTTTGTTGCCTAGGTGTCCATTTCTCTAAGCCCCAAGTAGATTAAAATGCCAAACGACCTCGGAAGATCTGTAGAATTAGTCAGAGAATATTCAAGGTCTCATTTCTCAGCATACTTTACCCGTACACCCTGAAGATTGCCCACACTTCGTGCCAAAAGCAAAATGACAAGCGAAAACCACAGTCGGCTTCGTCAAATATCTCTTGCGGCGAGCAGAAATAGTTGCGATACCCCGGAAAATCTTGTTTCTCCAGCCCAGACAGAGAAACTCACCCGGCTACAAGAGCGAGAAGTGAACATCAAGAGTCTTGAAGTGCCTTGTCCTCGACTTGGGTGGCCACATGATGCACATTTACAAGGCTGCCCGCATCCGATGCGAATGAGTGAATAGCACATCAAAGACCTGAAGGAATTGCACGAAGCGCTGGCTCTGGCAATCAACAATATCGTGAAAAGATGGTGGAGGGACGAAGAAGCCGCTTTTCCGGAAAGAATGCCACTTGACGAACACGAGGAAAGCCTTCTGAAGGTGAGTGCACCTCCGCCGACTGAGGCATACTAGAGAACTATGAGATCGAACTAGAATAATAACGGATGACAGTGGATTGACCGCGCACATGGCACAGAGGGAGCGCCTCGTCCATTTCAAAAGAACCAGGGCTCTTGGAGACCAGACTTTCTGATTGAAGAAGTTCCGGCAGCCAATGGACAAGGAACAAAAGAGCAATTTCGAATTTGCGAGATCAATGCTCGGTTTGCATTTAATGGATTTCTTATATCCGCGTACGGCCAGGATGCTTTACTTGCCCTAGGAGCCGAAGATCACGATTTCAGTGGCGCAGCAGACTCCAGTGAGGTGAGAAGTACATTTTTCGCGACCTTTTCAAGGTTTGCACTGCGTGACGCAAAAGCTAACGATTCGAGGTATAGATCATTGATGGGCTGCTCACGCTGTTTAACCCTGACGCCCCATTGCATCTTCTCAAAGGCGCCGAGGGCGGCCACGATATCTTGATGTTTTTGGAATGCGCGGAGCGACGGACCGGCGTCGTGCCTAGAATCATTTCACCGCAGGACCTACGCCTTATTCCGGATTCAACTTCAAAGACCGGGTACAAGCTTTGCTGCGTGATTAATGTCGACAAAGCATTGTCAGCAAACACGAAGCATCCCAAGTCCTCGGTGATTACCGACCCGGAGAATGGAGAAGTTTTGGAAGAAATTGACCAGGTAGCACTTGAGCTGCACCAGCATGAACTCCGGGCACTGTCGGTCAAGATGATCCAGCACATTTCTGAGCGCTGCTTCAACGATTTCCGATCTGTTTTTCTGGTACACGACAAAATGATGTTGGGGATCGTCCGTCAAGAACTGTATTCCCTTGTTCACAAGCATGGCATTCTGACCGAACATCAAGCGGATGTTCTCCGCCGCGGTATTGTGAACACTATCCTCCCGGGGTCCCCAGAGTTCAAAGACTTTGTCAAGCAATGTGACGAGGTATCATATTTCAAAAACCAGTATATCCTCAAGCCCGTGCGTGGAGGCAAGGGCGAAGGGATCTTGTTTGGGGACGATCTATCGCCTTGGGAATGGAACGAAAAGCTGCAAGGACTTGGAGATGCAGGCTTGGTGCAGGGTGGAACCACGTATGTTGTCCAGCGTCAGGTCGAGCAACCCCTGTATGAAGTGTTGTTGAGAGAAGAGGAGGGCGTGCAACACAACCGTCTAGTTGGGACGTACATGTCTGTCCACGGGAAATACCTGGGTGTTGGGTGTTGGCGGAGTGGACCTGGGCGAGTATGCGCTATCAGTCATGGAGGGGCATGGATGTGTTCTGTTATAGGGAATGAATAGATAAATGGTGATGGGGTTGATGAGTATGTGCCCTAGGGCACCGGGAGTCATCAATCATCCGATTCCCAGCCCTGGAGACTTTGTCAAATTTAAACTATTTTCACATACGGAGTACATCCGGGCTTCTTTTGACTTCGAAAGATTATTAAAAGATGGCATGCACAGAGATTTTGGGCCTGGTATACCTTCCAGACATGATTTTCTGGGCTTTTCCCACGCGTTTGTCTCCAATCAGTCGGATGTATGTCTCGTATCGACTTCATTGAAAGTTACACGAAAAGTAGAGAATACGGGACAATACGGGACAGCCGGACCACACGTCGGCTTGCCCGTGGAGACTCACTCACTAGCCCCGGGGCTTCCAGGCACCCGGGCCGCTGGGATCGAATCTGATCTGAACTAGTACACCGCTCCTTGTTTGATCGACAAACCCATGAAGTTGGTAAATTCGGCGCCTTTAGCCTTGAATCACCGGAGTGGAGAGTAGTTCGTGGGAGACCAGATCTCAGGATCGACATGTCAGCTGTCATCTTTTTGCAGTTCGTAATTTTCAGCGTGTATCTTACCGGCGTTTTACTGTCACAAAACCAAATTTGCAAGTCGTTTTTACCACCTGGGCAGTACCTATTAGAGTGATGGGACGTGTTTCCTTTCTCATTGTGTTGACCCTTGGTCATTTCAAAACGACTTCAAATATTGGAGTATGCCCTCTCTTTCACCAAATTCTGAGCTGGCTGTCGCCTCTAAAAAACGAGTTTCGTGAAAAATCCAACACAGAACGTCGCGGTGATCCGACCAAGTGACGGGCACATGGGCAAACAACATTAGCGGCCATGTGCGAGAGTGATCTTCTTTGGAAATCCTGAGATTGCTTCTCCTCATCCATGGATGCACGGAAACCGAGGAGCTCGCTGTTTGGGAGTTGTAAGGCACCAAGGCCAAAGCGCATACGAGCAGGGTCGTCATACATCTATACAGACAATGGAGAAACAATTCTCAAGCTTTCCCTGTTCCATTCAAGATTATTTCAACTTCATCATAGGGCTGGTCAACATTTTCCCTTTTTCTCCCCTCTATCGCTGTTATCACCAAGCCACCTTCTCTACTCATTGGGGAGATCAGCCTAGCACCTCGGAGTTCAACGGAGCGATAAACGGGGGAAAATCCTTTTTAGAAACAAGATGGCCAACGCCCGAAAGGCAGCCTTGACGAAGCTCCCACTTGAGCTATTGTGGTTGATTTCCGCGCACCTAACACCCGCCGACTTTGCTTGTCTCGCCTTAGGCAACCGTCACCTGCTGAATTCCTTTTCTACAGATGCATTTTCAAAGTTCTCAAGCGTTCGCACCGGAACACCAACAGATTACGAACGTATTGAATTGCTGTCTCGGATATCTCGGGATATTCCGCAGTACTATCCCTGCTTCATCTGTCTTCGCCTTCATTTGTGGAGAAAGATTCAACTGCCCAGCCTCTACTCTCCCTCGATCAATCACAATATAAGCCCTAGGGATCTCGACAATTGTCACTTGATATTCGAGCTACCCCTCGCAAGCTACCCATCATATACCCACTACGGTTTCTATTTCGTGCATCTTCAACTTGCCATGAGAAGGTTCTATCATGGACCGGAATTTGGTATTCCTGTTGAGTCATTGCTTTACACAGAGGTGGGAGCCAATATACTTGAACCAAACTCGCTTTTGATACAGCGCGATGTCAACAACTTATCCGGAAATCCCCAGAGAGGTGTCATGCTGACGCTTTTCTCTGCTGAGACTCGAATCTGTTCAACGCCTCCCGGGCTATGCATGCGGACGCAAGATATAGCAGTGGTGGCTAGAAAGAATGCAGCATGGATTTGGGCAGGTCGCGGATACGCAATCATGAGAGTTTGCAAGCATATCAATACTTTGAATTCTGACTTTTATGATATCTTGAACTCTCAAATCAAGCGTTACTGCTCTACCACTGACTCCAAAGCCCACGCCGATCAAGGCAAATGTGATGAATGCAATACTTCCTGGCAGTTGGAGATTCGAACCCTGGATGAGTCTCGTACAAGTCTCACTCTTACTCGGTGGATGGACTTGGGACCAGGGCTGAGCACAGAAGATGTTGAGTGGAAGTATCGCCTTGATTGTGTGGTGTCAACACCACCGAGACAGGAACCGGTCGACTCTCGCTCACGATTCGAGAAGGAGTCTATTCAATCTGGGTTCCCAGATGCATTGTCCGAAGAAGCAATGTATCGGAGGAATGTTGCTTTGCTAAGGGGGAACACATTTCAGAGAGTGATGACTCCTGTGCGCGGTGGATTCTACATATTGCGCGGAGATTCCAACACAAAGACCGACTCGCCTGGGTGTTTGATTCTATGAGGCAGTCAGAGCAAAGTGCCTTGAGTCTGACCTCGGGAGTTCCCTGGGATATGACCTGATCTTGGTGAGGCTCACGATCGTTCCTTCACTGCTCCGAGACTTCCTCATGAGGGCCAGTTTCCATGAAGACGCTGCCTACATTATTTGAGAATTGTTGAGCGCACATCCGTGATATTATTCTTAGCAACCACATTTATGTCAGACCTAAGTTCCCCAAGTGACACTCGAGTTGAGTTTGTCTCTTCCATAGCCACCTGGCTTGGCTCTCAAACACAGGTCTAGAGCAAAAGTTATCAAGCTTCCGACCATAGCCGCGACCATAGGACCAAGCCAGGTATCTATGGAAGTGGCAAGCTCAACTCGAGTGGCACTTGGAAAATCTGGGTCCGACATAATCGTGGTTGTAAAGAATAATATCACGGGTGAAAGGTATCCTTGATGATACCTATGGTCTCTCGTCTTCGTGTGATAGACCTTGTTGCTACTCTGTGGTTGTTGATTTAAAAGCTGATCGTACTTCAGCGTGCGATGCAGGAGCAGATCAAATCCATTGCTAATGATCAGGGGGAAATCTCCAATCGCGCTTCTCAGGCTTCTTATTCTGCTCGTCGGGGCGAGGAAGAGACTTGATCGGTAGGTAGACTTTAAATGACGGCGAACTCTAAGTGTGAAATTACCTTCTTGGGTTTGAGATTGATCATAAAAAGAACTATTTGAGAAGTCCCGAGGTCAGGTTCTGAATAGTCATCAAGATTTCCAAGCGCCGACCCATGGAGATATGATCATGGTCTGTTCTTTAGATCCCTTCGGTCCCTCATCTTATTTCCCATTCCTTCAACTCGTCAAGATTCCCAACAAGCCTAGAAACATCATCATGTCTTTATCCAGATTCTTATCTCGGGGATTAAGATCGAATCTTGACCAATCGCTTTAGTTCTTGGTGACCTAGTAACGATAACTTGTTAACTCTGTTAAGTCCAGGAAGTAGAGCCATCAACTCACGGTGTACGATCTCCATCCGTCAACGTCATGCTCATCAGAGCTTTGGCACTTGCCATATCGGTTCTTGGGGCTAGTCACGATAGACTTGCCCAGGCAGTCCCGTCGTCGGAAATAGGTAATGGTCCAGTCACCAACGGCTTCGGACTTGACAGACTTGCTCAGATGGCCAATGTTGTGGCATCCATATTCAACCTCGTCGCCGACCTGGGCAGATTCGCCGCTGCAGTCGCTGTTGTCAGTCCAGGACATGACGCCCCAGAAGTCAACACCGGACGCCATGGCGACGGACGCACAGAGGACAGAAGCAAAGATTGAAATCTTCATGGTGAAAAAGAAGGTCAAAAAGATGTTCAGGTAGGTATATTTGTTGAGTAGAAGGGAGTTCTTGGTTGGATTGAAGAGTAGATTGTTGCCGGGAACCACCGGCCTTCTTATAGACAACCCCTTCTCGCAGCTCTGGCATATCACGAGATATCGAAATGTTGGGCAGCGTGTCAATACCTCAAAATCATATCCGGCCCCCATTTACGGTTCTAGAGACAGTAAAGATAAACAAGCACTACTGCGTACATGCTAGTACTTTGGGCGCCAGTGGGTCCACCCCGGGGCCGATCTGCGGTGCAGTCCACGGGTGAAGAAGCCTCAGTCTGCAAGGTTGACAGCTGCATTTACTATGTAGTCTTGCCTATGTCAGTTTTGGGCAATTCGGGACATGAAAATTCGAAAAAAAATGTCTAGCAAGACAATTTGATTCCAAGGTTTAGCATACTGTATATAGACTACAAGAATCTTTACTTAGATGAAAGGTAAGTTAGGTTGTCTTTTTAGCCCGTGAAAATTGGATACGACGGCGATTAGTGGCCCCGGGGGTCCAAACCATGCTCCTTTTGACTTGGCAGTGTTATAGCCGGTCTATGTATGCCAATGGATACCTTTACTTTCTGTTGGTTTGCACGGGTCAATGTAACGTCGGAAGATATGCTCGCCGTGCAGATCCTGTGGTTCTATTTAAGCGATGGCGGGAAGAACAAGCGTGGAGAATGTTACCAGATAACTGGACTTGGGGCTGGGTCCGTCAACTTTGGCGTGAAGACGAGGCTGATTTAGTGGTCGGGGGCTGCAGGGGGCCGGGGCTGGGGCCGGGGTCGAACTGGCCCCCATGTTACATGATCAACACTTGCCCCCGAAGGGGGAAGTACGGATTCTTTGCACCAAGCCAGGAGTGATTCCAAGGTTAGCTGCTCATATTTTACCATATGATTTTCAGGGTCACGGCTAGGGTCGCGGGAAAACGGTCATAGACAGAAAATGCCATAAATCAGCTAAAATGCTACATTTTGATACTCAATAAACTCGCGTCGCCGTAACTCCATTATTCCTAAGTTGAGATCCAAACCAATAGAGTAGGTACTACACACGTCCTGCTCCCTCCCTACCTCCCCCTCTCTCCTCTCTTCTTTTCCTTCTCTACGGTCGACTAATCAGGCAGAACTTCCAAGGTTCGTCCATGCTCTTTCATCTGCAGCATGTACTCAACAGGTCTGATCAGTTCTCCCAGCAACCGATTTCTCAACTAAAAACTACGTGCCGCGGCGACGGGATGATTTGCTCTATGTCTTATTTGTGAGATATCCGTGAATTAACTTTCATTTCCCCTCTTTCTCCCCACTAACAACCAAGTTCCTACCAAGCATCCCGAGGTAATCTCTCTTGCCTTTGTCAGGAACTTCATGAATATTTCACCTTCATCGCGAGTCATTACACGGTGAAATCCCCGCCCCTAACTCTCTTCAAGATGGACCTCGGAATCGTGGCGGGATGTGAGTGTCACTGTTCCTTCACCTTTCACTGGTTGTATCACTGACGATTCGAAAGCTCATACAGTTCACCACGGACTCAACGAAACCAGTATTCCCCTGATACGCTCTCGTGGCTCAGTCGAGAAGGGTCACTTCTCACTTACACTCTTGGACATCGAGTGCTGTTGAGATGGAAGCAAATACAGCAATAGTCTCTACTGATCGTCCATTGTCAGATCAACATGACGCCCACACTCTGAGACAAGTATACAATCCGCCTGTCTGCTCTGTTGGTACTTCTGGAGTCGCTCAGTCTCAATCTCGGGTCAAATGCGAGACTTAGAGAGTGAAGTGAGCCCCATGTCATCCAAACATCCCAAACAGAGCAACCAAATGTGATGCATCTTGATACCCAGTTCACAAATTCCACGGGTATTGTTGGAATTACTTCTCTATGCCGAAGAAGAAATTCCGGCGAGGACATGAAATCATGGCCCGCAACAAAAAGGCCAAAAGGCCAAGGGCCGGAAGAAGACAACCCGTGAAAGTTCGGAGGGCAGCTTCAGCATGGAGCGGGTAGTCTGGACTGACGAAGCTTTGATGACACAGATCCCGAAGGATTTGAATGGGTGTATCGGACCAGTTACCACACATACCGTCGACCTGCGAAAGAGAAAGATGGAATAAGGGATTCGGGAGGCCATCCAGGATGGGAAGAAGTAAGGTAACACCCCCGAAGACAACTTTCAAATAGATATATCGGCGCTCGATATTGACGACCGATTTTAGAGCAATCCGCAAGTGGGACCCTTGAAGAATGGGTTTCCAATTGGAACTTTCAGGGTGGTTGATGGGGGAGCTCCCCGAGACGACACTTAAATGAACTTTCGACGGGTGGTTGCAGTGAAGATTTCACGATTCACGGGCCGCATACAATGGGCACTGGCAGAAACCAAAGTTTTCGGGGGGAAAGCCAGGGCTGGGGCTATCGAGGCTACCAAGTCGAAGCGAGCGATATTCGACGCAACGAATATCGATTTTTTCCAGGAGTTTCAACTTATGAACTAGCAACCGAATGGTCCAGGTTATATTCTCCGAGAGAAAAAGCAGCTGGTTTTTGACTCAATGAATCCCCAATGGGAAATGGGGTTAGTGGCCAATTGGCAAACCTGCGAAACAATGCTGATGCATCCTCAAAGCTTTTTCGAGACAGCCCCCCAGCAGCGAAAACTGCAGGACCACAATTAAATTGTCCCAAGAAACGCCAAAACACCAATGATCCCATTCGATTGGGACAGAGTTGGACTTCGGAATCTGACCAGAGGATCATGGCCATACCAATACCAATCCGAGATATTATTGCTTCCGAGGCAACGCGGTGCTCAGACCGAAGAGTTGGTTCCGGAACAACTAACCACCCAGTTCGAGGTGCCTGTGGAGCCACAGGAAAAGCAGACGGACTCAGGAAACAATGTTCTTTTCCAGGATTTGGGCTCTGATAGCAGGTTTACAAACTCCGCGGGGCTCCAGTCTGTTGCCGCACAGTCTGTTGCAGTTGCAGGTGAACGCAAAGACTCTGCGGTGCCGTCACCTGCTGTCCGTCCTGGCCCCAACAGGTCGGGGTCATTGCCTGAAAATGAATAAACCGCGCGTGTACTGCGGTCCTGAGATCACAGAATCGCGTTCAGAGCACCGTTTGGCCAAAATATGCGCGCAATCCCTCACCACCTGCATCCTCACCATCAAATCGGCTGCATCCTGCGCCTTCAGCATCACCATCCACACCATTGAATCAACCGCGTCCTGAGCTTTCGCAATTACGTGTTGTGTGATCATGAATCACAACAATGACCCTGCACCCTGAACTGATGACTGACATATTGATGATAGATGTCTCACCCTCTCCTTTGGTGTTGCATGTGCATGTCCTACTCATTGGAGGCTTGGTACGGTAGTGGCCAAGAGAATGGCTTTGTTGTACCAAGTGAGTTTCGCACCACAGCACAAGCCAGCACGATTGCTGATGCATTCGGTTAGCATCAGCTCCTAGTGAGGCTGCTCCGGCCGTGGATCCAGTTGCGGAGAGCCCTCAGACTGGGGAGGTAGAGGGATCAGCTCCTAGTGAGCCTGTTCCGGCGATCGCGCAGCGCTCAGGAGCAGTCTGACCAAAGCCACACTGGGCGTCAAGGTGGATTTGGAAAACAGGAACACACGGACCGACAGGGCCAAGACTGTTGGAGAGGCCAAGAGAGAGAGAAGACTTGATTCGCTTATCTGGGGAAGCGTGGAAACTGCCCAACTAAGAGGGAACTGAGAGCTAGACAAAACCCGGCGTCATGTGCCCATGACTCTCAACCTCGGGACACACCAACAATCTCAGCAAGAGGAACAGGTCATTCCCACCCAGAATACTCTCACGGTGCTTGAGAAACGGGTCTGAAGGCTAGAATCACCAGTCACATCAGTATCCATCTCGCCTATTTCAGAGAGGCGCGACGTTTCACCTTCCCCGCCGCCGCATCATGCAGCTCCGCAGACCCCATTAGGAAACAGAGGTCAGAAGCCGGCCAACGAAAAAGATCCTTCGATACCGAAGAATGGGCAAAATACGGTCGAAACGCGAGGGGTACGAATCCATGTCTCAAGAGGGATGAAGATCAGGGTCAGGGGGCGATGGCGATCGCGGCACAATGCATTGATGAAGGTTCAATGGCAAGCGGGGATGAAATACCCTGGAAACATTGACAGCTTGAAGGAAGCTCAAACCTTCGATCTCTGTCCCAAAGAAAAAGCTTCAGGTCATCGAATTCTACCCGGCAAATGGGTTCTCGAGGTATAGATCTGGGAAAACATGGCCACCTGACCAGGTGTTCACAACAAATACGCATTCCGGAGATTTCGGTACGCAATGGCACTCGTTGCAGGCTGCAGCACACTAAACCACGGAATTTGTTCCTCCCCGTCTAGCGAAACTGAAATTGTTCTTTCATGAAGGTACTAAGCAGGGTATAAATACGCACGTATTTGAAGAGAAAAATGAAAATTCTTAATGGTATTAATATGCGAACAGACATAAGGAAATAGAGAGAGCGGGATCCGGAAAGAGAGGACGGCATCATGCGAGCAGACTATGCCATAAAAGGAAAAGCAAGTACAGGGAGCACCTAGTTCATACCCATGGCAGGTGTCCTCTGGTAGCCGGCCAGATTAGGTCTTGACCTAAGCTCAGCTTCTTTCTCCTCTTGGATAATAGCACAACAACCGCAGAATGTCGACACGCAGCAATCCCCACAGCATGAGCCTTCAATGCCGTGTTGCTTTCGCAGCTCACCACGCGTGATCGTCTGAGAAATCCACTGTAATGCTCCAAAGCTCAGGAAGGTCCAAATGGCGCACTGTGAGGCGAGATTAGTGAAACATCTTGGGTAACGGCAATGCTGAAGCTTACAGAGCTATTCACGTAGCTAAAGCCTCGCAAACTTGGGTCTTGGACTCTAGCTTGAGTCTTTCCATATGCCAGGCACGGTAAACAGCAGGCCATCAAGCCTAAGTATGATTAGATTAAAAATTGTATCCGCTATCATATCCACGAAAACTCACAAAGCGTGCCGGGCGAACAACAGTCGAAGAGAGAATAATTCCATTCTCGGCTCTGCGTGGCCCCATCGTTCACTTGTTCGTAGGTTGGAGGGTCAGTTGGCCAAGCCTGATAGACCTTTTGTGAAGAGCTAGCCATTTCGCAGCACTGTGGACTCGAGGTGGTATTTGGTTATGAAAAAGAATGCACACTCAACAAAGAAGAAATAGTTGGATTGCAAGTAGACGTAACTCCGATTTTTCTCGGTCTTATACTCTCGAGCCGCATCACCTCCTTGAAAGATTCCGAGGAAAAAGGAGAAAATATTTTTTTCCATTGCAAGTCACTCAACGTTTATAGCCCGATTAGGAAACTCGCATTCGTCTTGTGTGGGGAATACCCGGCGAAACGACTAAAGTGTGGCCCAAGTGGGGATCGCAGCCAGCCTAGTTAGCAAATTTGTCTCTAGCTGCTCCACTATTTCAAGGGTAAAATAGTCACGCTACGCCTTGTATCTACAGTACATAAATAAATTTTCCCGCTTAGGGAGATCCTCGGAGATTTTGGCTTATTAGTGAGGATCATCACTAGAACACAATAAATTCAGTCGTAACATTTTACAAAAGATACTCGTATACTGTTGGAGTCTACTCCGTAGCGAGCGCTTGTATGCCTCAGCGAATGCTCTTCAGACGCACCATATGACTGGGCCTCACAGCCCTGGAGTCTCTCACCCAATTTGTCACCCAAGATAAACTATTTTAAGATTGTGAAGAGTTCTAAGCAATAAAAAGCTAGCCAAATCAGTCAAAATTACCGGGAGTGGAGATGGCCCACGAAACCGGGTGCATGATGACCTCGGGAGGGCTCAAAAGGCAGTTCGTATTCGACGGAGTCATCCAGGAAGGGTTCATGAATAAGTAGTCCAGCGGCCGTTAGATTATAAAAGGATCTTTGGGGCCCAATATCTGAGGATCTTTAAACCTTTTTGTCTTTCGAGCAGCATCTGCTCTACCAATTTGATTATGTTTGGCACCAATGTCACTGCTTGCTCGCCCACAGCCATATCGACTCCGTCTGTATTTGGAGCAGAAGTTCTTTCACTCTCCGCAGACTGGGTCCAGAACTATACACTGAACGTGCCTGCTTCTTTCAACTACAACCACGGAGACGTCGATGTTCAAAATGCCGAGTTCTGCAACGTGACAATCACATACACTCACCCTGGACACGACGATCGCATTACCGTTGAGACTTGGCTCCCTCGCAAGTGGAATCAGCGATTGCAAGCCACAGGCGGAGGAGGGTGGTCCGCTGGCCGATTCGTGTTCTCGGAATTCTTCATGTCCGGAGCTATTGGAGAGGGATACGCCGCTACTACAACTGATGCCGGGTTGGGTGATGCAGGATCCCCTGAATCGTGGGCCCAGACAAGCCCGGGTAATGTCAATCTCTACAATCTCCAGAACCTCGGCTATGTCTCTTTGAATGATCAGGCGATCATCGGAAAGAGTCTCATCAAAAGCTTCTACGGGCAAGATCCTCAGTACTCTTACTGGAGTGGTTGCTCTCAGGGTGGTAGACAAGGCATGATGCTGGCACAGCGTTACCCGACTGCGTACGACGGCATTGCCGCCTCAGCGCCGGCTTTGTCTTGGACGGAGCTCACCCCTTCTGTGTTTTACCCACTTCTGGTCTCTGGATGGGCTGGTGCATCTTCCCAACCTTTAGCATGTGAGCTGGATTTCATTTCGAAGAAGGCTGTTTCCAATTGTGATCATCTTGACGGTGTTGTGGATGGACTTATCTCCGATGATTCAATGTGTGATTTCGATGCGTCCTCGGTGGTCAATTCGACTTTCTACTGCAGCTCCACCCAAAAGAGGATGCGCGTCAGCAAGACTGCTGCGCTCGTTGCTAATGCAGCCTGGGACGGACCTCGGACCGCCGATGGAGAATTCCTTTGGCATGGCTACACCCGGGGCGCGGATATCAGCGCATTCGGCTCTACCCCAGGACAGAATTCTTCGGGTGCGGATCTGTGGTTCCGACTGTTTGTGACCAAGAACAAAGCATTCAACATTCAGAATGCAACCCACGAAGAATACGATCAACTATTCCGCCGCGGAGCCCAGGAGTATTCCGATCTCATGACTGCAGACAATCCTGACCTCTCCGAATTCAAAAAGGCCGGAGGAAAGCTCATCTCCTATCACGGCATGGTAAGTCTCCCTCGATTTCAAGAATGACGGCCCTTTATACCTGAAGTGATGCTGATGTCCCAATAGGCAGACGAATCGATTCCAACGAAGAGCACAGAGTACTATTATCGCGCCGTGAGCAACAAGATGCACGATGTGCAAGACTTCTTCCGCTATTTCGAGGCACCAGGCTTGGGCCACTGTTCGGGAGGTGTTGGAGGGCAGCCGCTCACAACGTTTGACGCTCTTCGCCACTGGGTGGAAGACGGCAAGGTGCCGGAGACATTGCCTGTGAACTACAATACCACGAGTGGTATCAAATCATCGCGCATCCTATGTCCATACCCGGCGAAGGCCGTCCACCAGGGTGGCAGTGTCTTTGATGCGAAAAGCTTCAAGTGTGTCAGCAAGAATGCGACAAACACCCACGGAAGCAAGATCACACACCAGCGGCGTTTTCTGAAATAATAGCTGCAAGTATGACCTTGTATCGCCTGAGTACCTTTGAGCCTCCTATTTGGAATGTTCGATCCATGATGTATCCGTTGGGGTAGGGTTGACGACCTTGCAGGCAACTGAGCCATGAAGCAACTATTGCCTGGCACTCCATTGATCGCATTGCGACGTGTATCATTAATCGCTCCTTTTCAATTTTCTTCTTGTTCATTCCATTCTGTTCTTTCCCAGAGTTCACACTCGTTCGATTTCCTATCTCAATTCCATCACACTTGAAAACTCATCTCAACATTCAAGCGTTTCGAAAGTCGAACCCACTGGTGACCATTCTTGGGTGTTTAAATCCACGCCAAGTTGAGTGAGAGGCCAGCGAATGAATGGCTGATAGAATGCTGTCAAATTCTGACCCGCCCCTTGCACAATATGCAGAGGCCAGCCTCGAATGAACCAGACAAAATCAAGCTGGTTCAACAAAACTGCAAAGTATGAAAACAGCAACAGCGCAACGGGGTGCCTTCGTTGCATCTCCTGTACGAAATCCTCCGGCAGCATATACAACCAACTGAATATATTCGGCCACAGCTCTGGGGCAGAAATGGGAGCAGGGCCTCCGAGAATGAGCCAATAGCGAGATTGGAGCGACTCGAACACTTCAGAATAGGTTGAGCGCCGGTGATCACCTGGAGGGAATGAGTCCAATATCAATCCTTTCAGAAGATAAAGTGGCTCTGCAAATCGAGCGGAGGGATTCCCAGTATTGTAGTCGGTGATACCGCTTGCTGGAAGGTCGTGGGTTGACTGTGATATTTGCTCTTGCTCTTTCTCTTTCTCTTTCTCTTTCTCTTTCTCTTTCTCTTTCTCTTTCTCTTTCTCTTTCTCTTTCTCTTTCTCTTTC